ATATATATACCAAATACGAGAATCAGAATCTTATTCTACAAAACGGGTGTTCATGGAAGTAGCACTAATTATTGCATCATTGCTATAAATCGTGTGATTTGATTGGCTAATTCAGAACCATGTGACTAAAAATACCAGCGTATTTCACAGCTCATTGAATTATTTCCATATTTAAAAGACGTATTGTCCAGCGTATTGCCCGCCTGGGGATTCTGACAACTGCACTTTCAATGATTTTTGCAACATGTATTACCATCGCCCTACGGGCTGCGGGCAATACATATTGCAAAAATCATTGAAAGATGAACAGGTATTGCCCTCCATAGAATGAAATATTTGCTTAACATTTCTTACTGTTTCGGGCTTAATATCAATTTTGTTATAAACTGAACAAAGTGGCACATTTAACATGCAGCTAATTCTCCCATCTAACCAAGAGAGCCTCTTTTAATATATCGAAATTTAAAAATTGCCTCTGATTCAATTTGTTCAATCAAATCTAAAATGGTAATACCTTTTTACTGCTTCGAACTTCCTTATATTTTATACCATTGGGGTAGGATGTTTGTCTCTTTCAATTAATGCTTTCACCAGAAACATGGATATCACTAATTTTGATTCATATTTAAAATGGTGTGCATGAATAGACCTGTGTATTTTATACCAAATAGAGACACTTCCCTGGAGAGTTCTAAATCTCTATATGTTAACAGCCTAGTTCCCACATCCCTTGTTGACTTTGCTTCCATATTTCCTGTGAAGCCGTGGAACAGTTCTCTTGTTCTTCACAATTTTCCATTTTAATGTAACTCAATGAATAAGGCCAATTCATATCACTGGCTTCCCTAGGTCATTTGAATTCCTTGCAATTTTTAAATCAGCAATAAAGAATAATGGGTTAAATTATAAAATAATGAAAAAGTTGCAAATTATGAGATTTGTTATAGCTTCGAAATCTTGCTGAAGTGTAGTTTAACTATAGGTTAACAGGCTAAATTCTCATTGAGATAATTTTAAAGAATCTTAAACATTGACTTATTGTTTCAGTGGTCCTATTAAAGTTCATGTGTACACAATCTGAACAACATCTAGTTTCAAACACTTCTGATTATCATCAAGTTTCAAACACAATCTGAACATCATCAAATTCAATGCAAATGCAGTTTTACTTTAATCCAACAGAACGAATATGGTAAATCAATAGACTAAGTGACACATGTCAAGTCAATGGTAAATACTTGTATCTAGCCCAACTAGCACAAGTGCTGCCATCTACCGACTAGTATCAATCCATCTATCCATATACATAGCACCTAATGAGGTCACGACTTCAAGTAAAGCTTTTTCCCTTGTCTATGGTAAAAAATAAGTTAAACAAAAAAGTTAGTTTGACACCATTGGTGATGCCCACCTTGTATGGTATAGGGATAAAAGGAAAGTTCATGATAACACTTACATAAAATAATTTAAGTATCTAATAATGATAATGAACATATTACAATGTTACACAATGTTAGTAAATGATAATTAAATGTCAATTATTGTTAGTGTAATATGTATTTTTTGCTTAATGCTGCAACAATTACACAAGTTCCAAAAAGTGCCACGCCCACTTTTCCCTAAAAGTAGTTGTGTGTGACTATATTTGATAGATATTATTGATTTATTGGAGCATTATATCAACTTTTTAGTGCTTTAGTGTGCATATATACATATTTATACAACTTTTGACAAAGTTGCAGCCACAAAATCCAAACAAATTTGCAAATATTTCACTTTGAGGGCTAAGGGACATATTTTGGAGGAGGTCAAATTGAGAAGATTTTGATATATAAATACTGTTTCCATGGTAACCATATAAGTTAAAGATTGGACATTTCAGGCACTGACTAACCATGGTATGCTCTGCCTACTATAAAACTATGAATATATGACATGCATTAGTATTCTTTTTATCAGGTGGTATTAAAGTACCCCCAAGGTTTTCTTAGGGTGGGGGTATGAATTGGCCTGAGGGCCGTCTGCCACCCCTACATGAAGTCCAACTACCCAGAAAGTGCCTAGCATAATCATACAGACTGTTTGAAATATGTTGGAATGTGTGACCTTCCATGAAAAATTGAAGTTGCAATTATCAGAGTAGTCCACAGTCTAAACGCATCATACATTATCGTAGTTGTGATTTGATGACCGAAAATCCAGTCTTAAAAATGATAACAATCTCATCTCAAAGAAACGCTGCAACCTGGTTAATACTGGAAACTGGAAACGCTGCGGTACTAGTCTAGATATGTTTAGGCATTTAGGAATTAGCTTGACTTTCCTTTTCAGGAAGAGAAAGCAAAGATCTATTATATCCCTTGGCATCAAAAGAAGAAAGATTAATTCACATTTTTGTTTCTTTGTCAATAGTTTGAGCACACATGTAGACGTAGCATCTGATGTAGGCTTAAGTCGGCTTGTTGCATGTGTAGCACCACCAGATTTGGAAGTTTCAATTTGCCTAACTAGTACAACACATATTTTACCCCCCTATCACACCAAACTAGTTCTTACCCGTTCTTGCCAGTCCTACGAAAACGTTGTAGAACGGGCTCAATCTGGCTGTGGGCGGGAAATATGTCTAAAATAATTAGCTACTTCGTTCATAAACAGTTTTCAATACGTCCATCTCGTTCGCAGTTCGTTCAGGTCGCACCACGTCTGCGTGCAACGTCGTATAAAGCGTCCCTTAGTCTAGAAGGTCATCATGACCTGATTACAGAACGGTATGGTCGCCATCAAAATTCTAAAATAACCTTCCCGTCTGAGAACGTTCCTGAAGTTCGTAAATAGACCTTAGAAAGTTGCAGCTACGTTCATTCCGTTCGCAAACAGTTTAAAACCAGTTTTGAAGAACGCAGTGGCAACTTGTTTGGTGTGATAGCTATATTTTTGCCAACTCGTTCATAAGCAGTCTTAAATACGTTCTTAATCAGTTTAAACTCGTTTGCAAGAAGTTCTACCTCGTTCTCAATACGTCCTCAGACAGTTCAACTCGTTGTTAAAACGTCCCTAGTAGGATTGGAGTACGACGGTTCCGTTCGTAGTACGTCCAGCTCCCGGGGTCCAGCTCGCCGTTAGTACGTTGTCACTCGTTCTAATTGTAGAACGTATCGACCACGAGAACATTTTGAGCATGTTCTAAGATCTTGAGGACCTACCCGTTTTAGTACGTTCGATGAAGTTTGTAAATAGACCCCAAACGGTTCTAAGTACGTCCAATCCGTTCGTACACAGTTGAAGGAAAACAAGTGATTTTTCGAGAACAAGCTATGGATTTGGACTGGGATTTTAGCAAATGAGATTGACGTTTTCCGTTAAATACTAATTTAATTTGTAATTTGTGGTCAATTCGTCAACTTCAGATTCGTTTCATCTACACTACGGAGCTTTGATCAAGCAAATAACAGTTTACCACCAGAAATTGAATAAATAAGATCTTTGCTCGGGGTATTGTTCATCGAATGGTACATAATATGTCACAATAACGTATGATATGTAGGAGAAACGAGTTAAACAATACTTATGGTCATAGTGGGATCTTCAAAAGCCGCCATTTTATTTCACTCCGCAGCGTTTCCACGTGAATGAAACGCTCCGTCGTGCATGTAAGAGCGTTTGGATTGGACACCGTATGGACACCGTGATTATACCCACGTGTTAATAGTAACAACCGTTAATTGGAAAGGTATAGTTTGTTACGCGGAAAATGGCATGTATTCGTAGTTGTGCGGTATTTATGATAGCATACGGGTGAATATGCCATACTCATCTGCGATTTATAGCATATTCCGCAAGTGAGAATGACATATTCCGTAGTGAATATGTAATACATTGGTTTCAGTGAATACCCGATACTCAACTGCAGAATATGTCATATTCCGTAGTGAATATGTCATCCATTGGTTTCAGTGAATACCCGATACTCACCTGTGGAATATATCATGTTAAAAAATAAAGATCTAGTAATTTTTTTATTTTGGTTAAGAACAGCAAAAAGGAACATATTTTTCTTCACCTACTATATTATTTCAATTACAGAAAAACACATTGTTTCAATTTTTTCAATTTATGGTATCGTCCCCTTTCAATTGGAAAATTATGCATAGATAACCGGACCTTGGAAACAGATTGTCTATGGGTATTAATTAGCTAAATTATCACGCCAAAGCTCTCAAAAATCACTAATTTGAATCTATTCTATCACAAAACATGCAGGTTAATTAGATCATTTTTCGAATCACGCAACATACACTTTTTTAAGTCGGGACATTATCATAATCATCACGAGGTGTCAGTTAGGGAATTATCTGCAATCGGGGAACAACCTATAAGAAATACCAAATAAAAAGCCACTATTCATTCCCATAAGACTCATTTCAATAATGGCCAATACTAGATATCGTAATGAAAATACAGGACCGATCTACAGTAACATACTCTTTACTCGAGTCTCTAGCTTACAGAGAAGGCTTTGGACCTTGGTAACATACTCTATGCCAATGGTTCTATATTTCGCCTGTAACCTTCACTTTCTTTTGAAGTAGAGCGTACACTGCGAGATGTACAAAATGCAGATTATGTCATACAATACGAACTTGCAACTGACATATCGAAATATACATTTTAAAATAACTTAAAGAAACTTAAAGAATCCCCTGTTTAAACTCCAGCAAAATGATTAAAACATGTTTAAATATTATTGAATCATGATGTGAAGAAAAACGTCAATGTTGGAGTAAGATACGCCTTCAAGCAGCTGAGTGAAAAATAGATTTTAGTATTTCTGAAGATTTTTTTTGTATGAGGCGCAATTTGAAAAAAAGTTTTTATATGTACCAGAACTTAAAAGTATGACTGTTGCAAATGTCTGAATAAATGGAGGTGGTGTAAAAGATATCTGAACTGTTCTAATTATTGAACTTGTAATGTTTGAATTAAGAAATAAAAAAGTATTTCTGAAGATACTATATGCTCCCCATATGAGACAAATCTTCCAGTGACACCACATGTCAATTAATTGCTCTTGTTCATGCGTGTAATTTGATTTAATGCTGGGTTCTGATTGACATCAGTAACCTCCATTATTTAACTACCAATATTGCTAATGGGGTATGCTTTTTTCAGGAACCTGGAACTCTGTATAAAAAGAGGCTCTGTTTCTCACTTCGTAGTTTGTCGACAGTTGATGTCATGGGAGTTAGTCATCATGCTAATCTCAGACCAAACCATACGTACCAGTGGGCCTCTGTAATAATTAATGATCGAAAGGAGGCCTATGATGGCGCTGGCGAAAGACACACTTGCGTAACATACCATTAGGTTTCGCATAGCAGCCATGCCACAGTAAAGGGGGCAACTAGTAACATGGTCCATATTTCATTTTATACAGATGATATGGAAGACGATATTTGAAGACGACAATAGAATTAAAAGAAAACATTACACGATCAGTTTGAAAACCTCGTCGAGGAACTAAACAGTAGCTCGTGTCTAGAAATAGTTTATGAGAAAAGGATGCAACGGGTTGCTGACGATCCCCGCCACAATATGATAAAAGGACCGGGAAATAACGTTGCAGATATCAATGCTGCATCATGTGCAGCTGGAATCAATGAGGGGTTGGGTCCAAATGAAGCTAATGAACATATCTATGCAGATGTTGTAGTGGAAATCAAAATAAACACTTTGGAAGAACCCAGTAAGAAAGAACCCCTCCATGCTATGGCTACTGCTTCTTCAAATCCAGCAAGTACGGAAGATCGAGCAAATGGTACAATTGATTCCAACGAGATTTCAAATGCAGAATCGAAAGGCCGTAACGTCGCTTTCAATCTCCCATTGACAGCTGGTATTGAAGAAACCCGTAACGTTAGCGCAAAGGATCAGCCCAACGATTCAATGAGAAAGAAGGTGAGCTCCACATTGTCGGAATATGCTGAGATGGCATCTGTTAATGGACCAAAACGTATAGTTCGAGCAAAAAGTAGACCGTCGATGGTTGCATGGAGTGTTATATTTCTTGGAGTGGTTTGCATGGCGGTGTACCTTATAGTTGGTGTTGTCGTCAAATATTACACATATCCCATACAAGATGGCATAACTATCAAAACACAGCCACTAGCTTTTCCAGCTGTAACACTGTGCCCTTTCATACCAAACTCTATGTCTGATTTGAAAAAAGCGTTACGCTCAAAAGAAGCCAAGCTACCATTTGCAAATTTATTAGGGGATAAAATAACAGAAACAATGATAAGATATCATATAAGCGCAGTGCATACACGAAATATGTACGAATTCTCCATCAATCCAGAAACCTTCGGACTTTTAAAATTCAATGGTACAGATATTAACATGAAGAAGATATTTCAGTTACGCGAGGCATTGCGTTCAAGTGGATGGTTAGTGGAAAACGTTCCGATAAATGACTTCAGTAGAAATTTGCTTAAGCAAATCAAATCCAAAGACTTCATCATGGAATGCACCTATAATGACAAGGCGTGTGATGATCTGATAGACATATCGATATCAAACACAGTATATGGACGCTGTTTTACATTAAACGTTAATGAGTCCATCGGATATGTTCAGGAGGTTGGGCCGGACAAGGGACTTGTGCTGCTCCTTTATACGGGCCGTCATAACCCACTTCAAAGAATTGGTATGGGAAATGGTGGCTATGAGTTTGAATCTAAATATGCTGAACCAAGCGATGGTGTTAAGGTTGTTGTTCACAAGCCAGGGACAATGCCAAGACCATACAGCGATGGGTTTTTCGTCACTCCCGGCAGACTTGCCGCAGTCGGAATAACCCAATCTGAGCGAACACGACTTCTGCCACCACATGGCGAATGCACTGATGCAGTTTTCAATACGAACACAACATATAAATATACATACGAGATATGTGTAGACCAATGCATACAGGAAAGAATCAAGGAGAACTGTGGGTGTGTTTCTCCTATGTTCCCAGTCCCTAAAGATCACGATTTTAAAAGAATTCAATATTGTGGAAATATATCTGACATATTCAAGTCTTATAACGATAATGAAACGAGTGCTGAGCTTTCTATGTTTAGCGTTCTGTTAGAGTATACGGAACGTCTGCATGCTTCAGAAAAGGGAGATTTTGAACATTACATCGACACAATTTTGTCAACGCCAGAGCTGAGAAAGCAGTTGGCAAATACTGTTGATGAAATAATAGCGAGATTGCAGTGCGAAAATCATTGGATGATATCTGACAAAGACTCCTGCAAATGCAAACGACAGTGTAAAGAAAATGAGTACACTCATCTGATCAACACCATTCCGTGGCCTGAGAAAAGTGTCGTTGATACCGGAGGACACAGAGGGTTCGTAAAGTTCTTTCAGAAACATAAACATTTTGAAACTCTTATGCATAATCTCGTAGGACTTACACGTGAAATAGGTGATCTACATTTTTATCGACAGAGTCAAATTGAAAATATGTTGCGCGGAGAGAAATCTGAATTCAGGAACACTGCAGAGGCGTTAGTAGCTTTGATTCTAACCACGAGATTTGACTTTATGAATGAGCTGTTTCTTTACACAGAAAATTTTCAGAACGTCTACGGAATATCATCGTTCACAATTGCTACATATCTGGATAAATTCATTGACACAAATTTTTTGAAACTGAACATTCATTTTGAATCATTAGATGTTAGGGTTGTCTACGAAGAAAGGACCTACACATATGCCAGTGTAATAAAGGACATAGGCAATGTATTCGGCTTCTACCTGGGAATGTCAGTATTCTCTGTGATGGAGGCGGTTTTCATGATTTGCCTTCTGATAAAACTGGTAATATGTCAAATGGTAAGATCGGAAGAGAATGATGATGACAACATTGGCGAGCAACATATCAAGGGCACAGATGATATTGATTAAGTCATTGTCGTTCTAGAGAAGTTTGTTACGTCAACAATGAAGATTTTGACTTGTCTTTATTGCTAGTAATATGTCAAATGGGCAAAGATGATATTGATTAAGCCATTGTCGTTCTAGAGAAGTTTGTAACGTCAAGAAGTTTGTAACGACTTGTTTTTATTGCTGGAATAGAAACACTAAATCCAAGACGCAGCAAATCCCATCGAACAGACAAGGCTGCTATTTTTACAAATTTCCTCTACTACTCTTTAAGTTATAGTAAAGTCGTAAAATAACACAAAATGCCCACTATTTTTCAAAATAGTCGCTCACTAGCAAAATTGTCATAAGAAACTGTAATATGCCTTTTAGTTGGCACATATAAAATTTCAACAAAATTGCTCCCTTATAGTAAAAACGTAAAATAAACAAGGGGTCGTTTTCTGAAATGGCCTACCACTAGCCAAAGTGGCATGCTTGTGATTATTCACATATCAAACATGAACAAAATCGCTTCACTACTTTTCGAGATACAGCAAAAGTCGTCAATAAGCGTGTAACAGGCGTCATTTTTCAAGATGGCCACCATATATTTCTTTATAAAGTAGATTTTCAACTAAATCAATATCCTATATTTTCTTTTGCAATTAAAACATAAATATTAAAGTTTTACATGTTGTGCCTAAAATACTGTAAAATTGACACTAAAATAGCGGCCATTTTGAAACCGGCGGCGACTTTAGAAATAAGCGTTCGACAGAACCTTGTATTCACATGGGGCATATACTTATAAAATATACTATAAACGATATTAGTCCAACGGTATTTGAGTTTTTCCTCAGACGGATAGACAGAGCCGTTCTATATATCCCCCCAAAAATTTGTTCGATGGGATAAAAATATCAGCACCACAATTGTTGTAAAGTGGCACAGGAAAATTGCATAATCACGGCGTCTCAAAAAATTGTACCGAGATAAACGTGGAATAACAACATAATTTTCTATCTAATAATATTTAAAAGAGAAAAACTTTTTTTAATACCATCACCCATTTTTCAAGTTTGGTATTGCATTTAGTTTGAAATTGCATTTAGCTCTGCATCGATTATGATGGAGGAGGAATTTTTGGTTGATTTTAAAAAAGTATTCAAAAAATTAAAACAAAATCCCCCGAAGTAGATAAAAATCAAGATAAACCTTTTATTTCATTAACAAGATACTTTTTTGAAATCAACCCAAATTTCCTTTGTACAATTACAATATTGAGAGACCTAAACGTGTTGTGTTTTTGTCATTTTGTTCCAATGAGGTTCGGAAAGATGTTTCATTTCACTCTGGAAACATGATACCAAAAGCAAAAAAAGAGTTTGATGTGTTTTCTAAAGACGTGTCGCAAAAAGGTGGCGCATTTGTTTTTTAAGGGTATCGCGTGAATGTAACTTTGATTCCCCGGATTATAAGATAATATTCTAATTAAAGTTATATATCATTTTAAAGCTGTTTCGATGAAGTTTTTAGATCAACTACTCTCCATTCACGATTCTTGCGCGTTCTTTTTTAAAAAATAGTTTTTTTACCAAAACATCTGGCAAATATCCCCTGTTGACACGTTACATTTTGAATTATTTTTCGTCTTTAAACGCTCATAACTCAAACAATATATGACTATTATACTTATTTTTCGTCTTGATAAAAGAAGATGGAAGTTTTATTTCAAAGGATGAATTTTAGTAAGCGTCCCATATTGTGACGTCATAGAATTTGAAAAATAGAATCTGTTGACAGCGACCTTTTTTGCTACCTTCAACTTTTCAGGTGTACATTAAACAAAAAATACGAGATCAATTTTTAATAAATCATACATGATTATTTTGCTCTTAAACTCTAGTTTATTAACAAATAGTTGATTTTGTTCGCAAAAGTATATGTTGTCTGTTGTATGTGGAAGAGTGGAGAACGAAAGGTTTTCAAAATTCATTAAAATAGGGCTAATTTTTTCAAGCACAGCAACGCGTATATTTATTTCACCTAAAATATTAAATGATTCATGTTTTATGATGCTCCTATCCCTTTGTTAATACATATACGATATCAGAGTTATTCGCCTTAAATATTTTGAGATATAGAGGCAAATGTGGAGGACGAAAGGATTTCCATATGTGTACATTTTTCTCAAAAACGTCACATTATGTGGTGTTAAAAAGCGAAAGTGTGTAACAATGCGGGCGCGACCTTTTTGCGCGACACGTCAAAACAATATAGATGAAAGTATATATAAATTTTTCAAATTATATTGTTACCATTCAAAAGATGACCATTTAATTGACGATGTGTTAAATTTTTAGATTTTTTTATGACTGGTTTAAGAGAAACGTGTGTTCAAAAAGTTCTCCATATCGATACCACTCCTTTCTCAGTAAGTAATTTGATCTCATTAAAAAAAGTTCATGCATTTTGTTCAAGGAAATAGTTAATCCTGTTTCACTTGGGTACAATTTTTTATGTGACACCGGGTAATTTATAAGTGGTAGATTCATGTACTTAACTATGATTCAAAAAGAACATTCCCTCTATTCATTTACACTAGTAAGGACTGTTCTGCGGGGACTGTGCCTGAGGCTGATGTAGATCAATATATAGGGAAATAAAGAATGGGGGGCCAGAAGTAACAAGGCATTAACATGCAAAATGTCACAACCTGCCATTTGTTACAGATTCTGAAACCCAACTGGCAAATACCATCCAAAAAAAGTTGGAAACTAATTTAAAAATATGTCAACACTTGTGGTGGTGACATAATAAAAGCTGAAAACTCAATATTTTAATACAAGCAAAAAGTACTGTTACACTTAGTAGTGTTTATGTGTATTTTATAGAATCTTTTCACAATTTACAAGTATAAACAAGTTATATACCATCTATATAACAATTTATAACCATTCTATAAAATTATGTACAAAAATCATACAACTCATAATTCTATACAATAAAAATCATTTTATACATCGACTTATCTATCAATAATTCAATAATCTATGACCTAGGCTGGGAATAAATAAAAAAACATTATCATTTTAGTGTTTTAGTGTGGTTATTGTGTGACTACTATGATATTATGAATATTGTATATGTTAATGTAACTGCTTTCAAATGTTTTTCTATGAATAAAAAAGGAATAAATTTTTTTTAGTGGTTTCCCGGCCCTTAGAAAAGATCACGAGCAATACAGGTAACATTGTGTAAAGCCTCCACAATATTAGTGTAAATTATTGTAATGCTGTTCATTTACAGGACCAATTCCATAAATATGTACTCTTGTAATTTCACAGTATCATTACATCTTTTGTACAAACGCTTTTATGCCATTGTACTTGTAAAAGACATTAGGTTTTACATCTACTCTTGCAAAGCTTCAACAACATTGAGGAGGAGATCCTTGGCTTGAATTAACTGTCCACTAGAGCAAGCCACGAGTGAGTCAAGTACATCTTGCACCCTGCCTTGTATGTTAGCACTCTTAACAGCAACCTTAGCCTGAAAATAAAAGCAGCTATTGACATCAATTGTGCATTTACAGGTGACTATCCAGTCTCTATAATGTGAGCAGTCTGGTCATTTGTCTTTCCACAAGAATGATTAGATGAAAAGATGTCCCTTTAAGCAAGAATATATGTAACTTTTGTAAATACATTAACACTGCACAGTTAAATTATTTCTAGGTATGATGGCATGATAGCTTAGATATGTCCACTTTTTTTTCTTAAAATCAGATCACTTATAGAGAAAAAGCCACGCTATCCTATGCTGTGACTTTGCAACGTTATTAGAGCTAACCAAAATTTTCATAAAGGCCTTAGTTCAGCTTTAATGTCCTATTTAAGAACCCCTATTCTTTATTGAAAATGGATTCAACCAATACTCTCCCACATGAATCTACTTGCTGAAACTCAATAAGCTTGAGTTCTTCTAAAATTATGATTTTGTATCTATCCCTATGATGACATAAGCATACATGATGATATGCAGCTTTTTAAATTGATTGTATCCCCATGTTAAGTCAATATATTCTTGCTGAAATCCCCATCTTCTCAGATCTCAAGTTGATCGAGTCTCAACAAGTAGATTTATGTGGGATAGTATTGCTAGAATCCATTTTCAATAGTAAAAATAAGGGATCTTAAACTGGACATTGGCCTTGCTTTTTAGAAACTTTAGTTGGCTCTAGGTTCAAGTCTAATATCAAGGCACTCATTTTTGTTGGTTTTCAGTCAGGGGAGTGCGATCAAAAAATATTTTAGATTTGTTTGAATTTTACAAAAATTAATACAGAGGGAGGGGGGGGGGGGGTGTTCTCACAAACCACATCCCCAGGCTACACCTGAGTGTTGTTATATGTTATATATTGTTGTTTTAAGTTTGCTAAGTTTTAAATATTTGGAATATTTATTGACCTCTATTGTGATACTTATAACTTACCTTTTGGCTGTTGTATACCAGCGCATACAAAGCAGACGCAGCTATTACTTTCTCTTCACATCCTCCCTCTGACAAACACTTTATAAGAAATGGTAGAAAATGTTCTGGAAGTAGATGATATATATAATTAAAATACAACTTGAAACTAGAGCAGACATAGCCATTACTTTGTCTTCAAACCCTCCCTCCGATGAACACCTAATTTGAGATGGTAAAAATAAGAAAGTATTCCTCAGTACTTGTACAATATACTCTATGCTTTGAACGTTACATTAAAAAATCTGGTAATGCCAACAATCACTATTTGGTTTAGTTTTTACTAATAACGATCAAAGTCATTAGAATTGTAGACTTAAAGTAGATTGGTTGCTGGTTATCATTACAAAAGCATTTCTAAAATTCCAGTAAAATAATAATGATGTAAAGTTGATACCTATAAATTACATGTAGCACATCTCAAAATCATATCACGTTTCAAATCCGGAAGTGATATTGAATGATGAGATTAAACCAAACATCACACAAACATAAACAGAAATTATCTGCATGACATTCAACATCCCACACAATATACATAAAATAACAATTTTATTAGAACATGACAATTAATAATAATAACGGTGTCTGCACAAGTATTTGTTCACATGTGCTGTAGGTGTTTGGATGTGTTTGTACACACTGTTTTAAAAATGGCTGTTATTATAGTGTAGGCTAGTTCAATTTACTTATCCATGCCCATATAAAATTCCAAATTAGTGACAGCAAATGTAAACTCAAACATAAAAAAGGCAACTCATTTTTGACAATCCCTAGATATGATCATCTCAAAAATTGTCAAAAATTGTAACAATTAATAAAGCTGATCTGTTTACTGATGAAATAAAATTGTAAAATTCCCCATGAAAATCATGTTGGACAAAATATTTAAATAAAAAAGTGTAACCATGTATGTGTATACCTGTAAAACAAAAACAAAATTGGTCTATTACTTGAATCCTGATGAAACAGATCCTTTAAATATTCATCATGCCAATGTTTATTCAGTTGACGGAACTTCACAAACCAACACAAAGCATCCGCTATCATAGCATACATATTTATACTGTTGTATACATAGAGACAGGACTTCTGAGATCAGAGAAAATAGAAGCTGACACAAGTCGGATATCAGAGGTGAAGACTGCCGCAATGAGAGTCATATGCATCCTCATTGCTTTGGGTTTAGTGGTATCGATCGAAAGAAAACGAAGAAGAGCATGTATTCCACATCCAACAGTAACATGTGAGAGAAACACAATACCCAAATGGAACTGCCCAAACGCATACAAATGTAAAAAGACTTCAGGAAATTGTTGTAGATATAAAAGTTTCCCAAAAGGATGCAGACCCGAAATTGACTCAACAGGAACTCCATACAAATGCCGAGGAGGAGGAAGCCAAAGATGTTCTGCTGGATATGTTTGTGTCAGTGACCCTTCTGGAAGAAATCTCTTTAGCGTGTGCTGCGAAGACTTCATCTGCTATGATAAATCAGCAAAACTACATAGAGCATATGAAGGCCAATGGACTGAACCTGATGGCTGTACTGTATGTACCTGTGAATCTCATAACAATACCAAATGTGATGACTCAAGATGTGTAAATAGATGTGGTATGTACAAGTATTTCAATTTCTTGAATTGTCCAACAATGAAAACAATGTTTTTTTTTTTTATCTTATCAATGATATTTTTTAACTTTTGTCATCATATGTATTTTAAAATAAATTACTTTAAAGTACATATTTTCTGTTTATGATTTTTATTTGTAGAGTTGCATTTGTATATTTTGTTTAATTCATTTTAGGTAAATATTCGGATTTTTCCTCATGCCCCTTGAAAACATGTGGAAAACAGGTCCAGATAAGAAAATGTACAAATTCAAATAGTAACACCATATCACAACGTAATGCTGAACTGAACATGGTAGTATGTCACCCCAAGTCCCCTGCCCAATGTCCACAGCCAGGAGTTGCTCTCACAGAATCAATTGCAATAATATTCGGAGGAAATGAAGTAATGCCAGTGCATAATTATCGATGGATGGTTCATTTTTCTTCCCAGGGTCAGGTTCATTGTGGTGGCTCAATCATCAGTCCAATCCATATTTTAACAGCTGCCCACTGTTTTGTTAACGGACTCACTTTTGAGAAAATGTCGATTGAATATATTGCAAGATTCATCAAAGTTGAAACTGGTAAACATGATCTAAGAGTAAACGAAACATATGAACAAATTCCTACAATTAAAAGTGTTACGCTTCATGAAGGGTATAATACTTATTCGTTTGGGTATAATAATGAACATGATATTGCTATTGTTACATTGGATTCACCGCTTCAGTTTAATCTTCATACACACCCAATCAAACTTCCAACTGGGAACTTCAATAATCATACCATCAAAAAGTTAAGGAAAGGTATTTGTAAAGTACTAGGATGGGGAATGGTGAGCAAAACAACTTTTTCAAATGTCTTGATGATGATTCAGATAAATATTGAAAATGAATGTAATCTTAAATCGAATAAAGATAAAGAAAGAGTGACAGATAATATGTTCTGTGCTAGTGCTGTAGACCCCATTAAAATTGATAGAAAACTAGATTCATGCCGTGGTGATTCTGGGGGACCTTTCATGTGCCGCGAAGGGACAACATGGTATCAGTATGGCATAGTAAGCTGGGGACCTCGTACATGTGGGAAACAATCTGGGGTCTATATCAAAGTACCTAACTATATAGATTGGATCACAAAAATCATCTCAACTCCTGGGGGCTGGGGGGAGTTCAGTGGATATTCACCATGTTCAGTGTCATGCGGAGGTGGAATCAAGTCAAGAGTGAAGGCATGTACAAACCCTGTACCCATTGGCAATGGAACATGTGCCAACTACAACTTCATGACTACAAATGGTGAGATGGTGTATGTGGAAGATGTTATATGCAACACAAATCCATGCTAATCCTCAGAGACTAGCAAAGCAGGAAATCAACATGAACGTATGCTATATCATGTACATGTACATGAAAGGAATGTGATTTACACATGAAATAAAATGAACTGTAATTTAAATTCTTATTTTGTTGATTTGGACTGAAGGAAAAAACAAAAGAACAAACATATCAATACATCCACCTGTGTAGCTCAGTGGTAGCGTGTGTACCACTTACGCAATAGGTTCAGGATTCGATCCCCGGTTCAGGCAAGACTTAGTTTGCTTGTTTGCTTAAAGTACTTCAGGGTGTTTAACTGAGTGGTCCACAACTCCTACAAAAGGCTGTGTACTTGTATGTCTATGTATAAGTGCACATTAAAGAACACAGGGCTCCTTCAAGGAGGAGTTCCTGGGTCTGTCTTCCAGAATAATTACGTAACTTATGACCGTACGTATATGGGATATACCCATGAGGTCTTGCTCACCTTCATGGGTGGTAAACAAAATATAATACAATACTTGACTTTTATCAATCCCATGTTTTTAATTGTGCCCTTAATGTCATGTGAAGTATGTACAAGATTAAGAATTTTATCAATCCAATGTTTTAAACCATGCACTTTGTGAAATATGTACAAGATTAAAACAGCACATCATTCCCATGTTTTAACCCATGCTCTCTGACAAATGTTCATGTAAATACAAAATTGAGACAGATGATAGTGAAAGAGAATCTCATCAATGTAATGATGTTTTCAAATGAATATCTATTTTGACAAAAATGAAATATAAATTAAGTCCGGATTAATGACTTGGTGAATAGAGCAGAATATATGCGTAAAAACAAGGTAAAAACTGGATTACTCAGATGCGAGTAGGTAGTAACCAGTTTCACCACCAGGTGGCTAATTGGGGGAAATAACATGTTACAAAGTTCCCTTAAACTTGAATATTCATCAGTTTTAGTGGTTCATTTTTCATATTACCCTAATGTTTCTGCTGGTTATTCAAATTAAAATATGTCCAGTAAAAGAAAAAATATTATCTGCCAAACACAGGAAAAGATATTTCACTGTTTGTGAACATGGGTTCTATGGGGAATCTTCCCAATCTAGAAGTCACATTTTCAAAGAAAATAAACTCTTTTCAAAACCACATTTCTAGATGTAATTTTACATGTAGATTTCAAATATTTTTAATGATGTAAATCAAGATAATTTCTACTCGCATCTATTGACTTATATCACAAGTATTAGATTCACAGGAGTTAAGTTTTGCAAGAAGGGTGATAGTTAAGATTTTTAAGTGCGGGTCTGGTGGATAAGATTCCAACACAATGAACTTACTGTTTGATAGCAGTTTAGTTTTGCTAGAGGGGTGACAGCAAAGATTCCTTAAGGCCAGTAATACTTTACTATGGTGTGGGCTGGCTGGGTTAGATCCGAAACCCAGTAGAAGCTCTATTGCATCTGGAAAATCAGAGTTGTTGCTTTAGGAGGAACTGTTTTTAAATTCTCAATGTTTCAGAGAGCCACTGTTGTTTTTTAGTGATTTTGTCTTGAAAAAAGTTGAAGGTATCTTGAACACTTAATTGTGATCTATCTGCTTCTGCTATACCATAAAATATTCATCTTATATAAGAAAGATGGCAGGTGTTGCAAGTGTTCCATTATAGTGATATATATTTCATTATTTTTTATTATAAATTTTACTTAGTTTATTATGTGTGCACTGATTGCTAGGTATATTGGATATTCTTCGTAATTCCAACTCTTTTTTCATTTCAATTGCAGCTTTATTTCCTCATATTACAAGCTTTTACATGATATCCATTATATGTTGATTTAATAATAGGCTACATCAATGTGACTGCTTGCCTTTTTGAACATCATCAAAACTCACCTTTTGTTTTCACAATCATCTGCTGACCATCTATAGAAAAAGACAGGTTAAGTGCTATATCTATCCACCAGGTGTCAGTACTGTGCTGAAGTTTGGATTTTTTGCTCTTTGGATTCAAACTTGAGAAACCTTGGAGAAAATTGCTCTGAAAATCAAATCAACCCTTAAATGTTTGATGCAGCATTTATTCAAATCTGAAAAGGGGACCAATATGAATGTCATATTCTATATGATAAATGAGATAATACAGGTTCTAATTTACTACAAGCTAATCATGCTAATGTCTGGAGATCCTTTTTCCAAAATAATCTCCTTAATCTTGTAAACATGTGATTTATCACAGAAAATTGAAAAAGTAAAAACCTTGATTTTTTTACCTTATTGAAAACTCCTCTACACTCTGCTGTTAAACTCAAGGTTGCAAGAAGACTATGCAACAGTTTCATCATGGCGAGGTTCTCTTTTGTGATTGGTTTGTTGGCTAGCTTAAGTAGACAATTCAGGAGAGAACTGTTGCTCACTTGTCCCTTTGTCTGTGGTTGGTCTATTATAGCATGGACACTTGTGCTCACCAGTGAACTAGAAGCTGAAAATACATGTTCAGAGAATAGGGGTGACTGCATGAACCTTTTGTGTTACTTAGAGTGTGTTTTGTGCATAAATGGTACAATAAATACAGAATATACCGGGACTACAGTAATTGAGCCAGGCCACGGGAAAAGGGGTCTTATCACATATTTTATCAATGTTTTGATTATTTGTTTTTCTTAAAAGCACAAAGAGACCTTTCAAATGAGCCATGGCTTGTGTCTTAACAATTTTTCCTTGCAGGTATAGACCAAAAAGACGGATTTGAATTTAGCACATTTTCCTCTTAATCTTGGGCACATTTTTGGCTCTGTAGCACAATTAAAATTTTTGTGATAAGACCGGTTTTCCTTTGGCGAGGCTCAATTGATTTAATTTTTAGCGAGCATAAAATGGGAGTTCAAATTACTATCATTAGTTGATTAGCTGTATCATATCAGTATCATACAAGTCTATGTTGTATAACTTAATAGTTTGTTTAGTTAATTTATTTATTCATAGTGATCAGTCTTACAACTCAACAAAACAAAATATGAAGTACAGTGTATTTATAACAATTTTACCCAGCCCACCTTGTGCTTTAACCACCGTTAACAATAACGAATTGTATTATCATTCTGGTACTGCCTGTACTACTCATATTGCAAAAACTTTTTTTTACTTTGTTCCTTATTTCTTTGTAATATACTTCTTTGTAATTGTAATTTTCATCAATTTACAATCAATATTACTTGAAATAAATAAATGAAAATAAAAAATTTAAAATATGACTCCTGTGGCGCTCGGATGACGCTTTCACAAATTTTGGATTAATATACTAAGTGTTGTGACTGTAATATCAACTTAATTTTGATGAGATAAACAGATCATAAAAATTGAGTGGTTTAGACTAAAGTAGATTAACAAAGGCCCATTTCAAACATGTAAAATCAAGAGGAAATGGTGGTAGGGTGGCAGCTCTTATACAAATTCCCATTTGTAATAATATATTTTAAAATAAGTAATCATGTTTATTAAAGAGTTGTATATCCAAATATCTATTCAATTGGCATTCCTTAAAAAGCTACTGACTACTGATTCTGCTTGTAATAGTTTAAACAAGCTGATGACAATATCATACCTTTTTAAGGTACAATAAAAAAAAATATACAGTTGTATAAAGAAACCTAACAGAGACTGCAATTTCATTTCTCCTATAGATAAGGGATATGTACTGGGAGGTTTTAGATACAGGGTTTATCCCAAAGGGGGACTTGTGTTTTTCTCGAGGGGCTGCAGGGACCCAGTGAGATGCATATATATATTTCCTGATGGATGAACCCTATATCCAAAACTGACCATTCATAGAAACAGGTGTATTCCATACCTACTGAGGTTCTTCATGCATTTTACCTTCTAAGGTTCCAAAATTTCAAAGTAATTCATTATAATTTCAAAACTTTTTATCAACTTTTTTTGAAATAGTAAAAAAGAGTAAATATGACTTTTTTTCAAAAAACAAGTGGAAGAAAACTGGGATGGATACAGACTGTATTTCCCAGATTTTGGTAAAAGTGAAAAAGATACAGAAATACATATTCTGCTCCCTAGATACCCTACAGTACTGTACATATTCCTGCTTGTTATGTACCTTGAACCTCAATAGGTGCAGAACACACTTACATTGTATATATAAAATTGAGTTTATCTGCCATATAATATATACATTGTACACCTGTAATTATGATAAGTAAGCAGCTTGGGAGTATGTTTTTAATCGAAAGTAAGGTTAATACATGAACATTTTCGTTTAATCATTTTAAGTATCACAAGCTTAAATTTGGCATTCAATGTGTCTTTGAAACATGAGAAAGTAGTATGTAGAGGGTGTAGTAACAGAATAATATTTGTGCAGAACTTTTCTTTAAATGAGATCATAAGCAATCAGAATGAAGTCATAACATCTCTATAAAGCCTTCATTCATTTTGAAACGGCATAAAAAATGGTAATCATCTTTCTTTGTCTGAAACTTCTTTGATTGGAAAGATCTATCAATGATCTATAAGATACAGACAACTTAATCATTGAAAGAACAATTGAATAGGATTGGATTACAAATGAACAGTGACGTAAAAACTTAATAAGTAATTTCAAAGGGGTTGGATAATCTGACAGATGTGACAGGCTTGAGGATTGTAATACGAGTACAGAATATTTTGTATTAGCTGATAGCTATTAATGTAATCCAATAAATATAGTATTACACAAATATAGTTTGTAAACAATTTATTTTATCGACTTTGAAGACTTACTCTTATATTTGATCTAGCACTAAAGCGAAAATCCACCATTGAATCTATCTATGACTTAAAGAGAGAATCAGAGATAGCGAGCAGCCTAACAAAAAATTGTGTCAATTTTAGAATATTTCTGGCTTATGTCATTCCTTTTCATGTCTTTTTTCTAAAAATCCCCAAAGTGCACATTTTTTTTTCAGAAAAACTAAAGATTTTTACAATAATGTGTTATTTCTCTATAAGAATGGTAACCATTCTTATTATTTGGGAGAACTTAAACATTTTTCACCCATTTTCAGAAGAAGTGAGTAGCTCCCATAATAGTATCATATTCTTTCGTATTCGGGGATTCCCCTTAGCCATCATACATGTATATGGTCATACAAGCCTTATATGGATCTATCACATGATATTCAAAATGGCGGACAACGGTCAGTTGGATTCCTATATGGTCGTGTAAGCCTTATATGGATCAAGCACATGGGTACCACGTGATCGAATAGGAAGGCTGAACATTGGGAGATCTCCCCGTCTGCCCATTTCAGTACCTTGAATCCATTATAACTTCACCAATTTATAATATATCGAAGATCTTTTTGGAGATATACTATTTGAGATTGTAAGGAATAGATTGGTAGGTCAATTGGACATGTTGCTTGTAATTTTGTCACCCCCATAAATCTGATTCTGCCTTTAATTCCTGGGAAATTCTTGAGCACAAATGAATTTTACAGTGTTTATAATGTTCTATTTAATGATCTCAAAATCTAAACTTTTGTAGCCAAAATGTTGAATGAATATTTAAAAAGGGAAAGACCAAGAACAGTCAAAATTGTATCAAACAAGTTTTAAGGCAGAAAATCATATTTGAATGATAAAACAATATTCTCAAACTTTACATGGGGCCTTTAAAAACTGCACCATTGAAATGATGATTCAAGAATATTTATGACTTTAATAATGCATCACACAGATTTTTTCCTTGCAAATATCTACAAAATGCATTACTGTGTAATCAAATTGAATGAACTTTGGCATTGTGGAGAAGTAAAATAACAGCAACAACACAACAACACAAGGCATTTACATGCACGATGTCACCACCTGGCACTGTTATAGATGCCGAACGCCAAACTCCAACTGCTGTCCATAAAAAGTTGGAGAATAACAATATGTCACTAGTTGTGGTAGTGACATAACACTATTAAGCTGTGAAGGAGAAATTCTGAACTCCAACCCAGTAGATTAAGGTAGCAGGAAATTATAAATATGATTATGTATGGTAAAACATTAATAGCAATTGAGTTCAAACACAATTTTAAATGATTGAGAAGTTTTATATAGATTCAGTAAAAACATATGTTTCATTAATAATGGCTGAATGAGTGATAAAAGATATTACATACAGGGTGGTCAAAAAATGGAAACCCTGCATTTTCCTCATATCTTTGTCATTTTAGGAAATAACTCTCTGATATTTCACACATGTGTACATTATTCACTTCTCTACCACCCTACCCTATTCCATGACTATCAGACTATCACAATTTCACGGCACTTTGAACAACATGCTTCATGTTTTGGCATTATCGCACTTTAGCCAAACCTGCACAGTTGTCAATGACCCGAATGCATTCCTCAGCAGGTATGGCCTGAATGATACAGATGCTCTCACTTTTGAGGTATGCAATTGTCCTGAGGTCATTCTCTTACACTCTATCTGTGCCGTATCCCCAAAGATAGGGACATTTTGGACTATGTGTGCAGGTTTGTCTAAAGCGCAATAGTGGCCATGGGGCATGTTCTTTAAAGTGACATCACATTTTGACTACCAATCTGATGGTCATGAACTATAGCAGGCTGGTAGGAAATTGAATTATGTACAAATGTGTAAAATATCAGGGAGTGATTTCTTAAAATGACAAAGATATGAGGGAAATGGCATAACAGGGTTCGTACACCTTTTTCAAAATGAAATTCCCTGACATTTCCAGACAGAAAAAGAAATTTCCAGATCTAGTTCTGCTAGCACTGCCTACTAAAAAGTCTCTAATAACTGTATTATTTGAAAGACAAGACCTATTATAAAGCATTTAGGGTTTCTCCTTTAGTACCATTTCTCATGACTTAACTTTACTTCTACAGACCTCCTTATTCACAAATTATTCTTTGATACGTTATGTTTTTTATTTTACATACCGTACTGTATTTTACATTACATAAGGCCAAAGGCGTAGCCAGCTAATGTCAAGGGGGTGCAATTTTTGGGGTTTGCACCACCGTAAGCAAAGCGAAACCCAAAAGGGGGAATGGGGGTTCACCCCCAGAAAGGTCCATGTGCAGTATGGCAAGTGATAGACAGTCATATCTTTCACCATGAGTATTTTCTGGGTATAAACAAACACAGTGTTTTTTATTAAAATAAAAGTGACGTCGCCATGATAGAAAAATATCAATCCTACTCTGAAAAATTAAGGATTAGGACCCAACCTTGTCACTTTTCTAAAAATGTAAGGCTTGATTTCTAAACAAAGGATATTTTGTTTATCTCAATTTAAATGTCTCAAACGTTTCTTCTACACTATATTAATAACTTCTGAAATAAGGAGATGGGTATTGAAATGCAATAAAGTTAAAACCACATTTCCCATTTCCTATAGGGAAAACTCATGCTATCCATTGTTTTCAGCATGATTTTGGTCATCGAAAATTGATATCTTCAAAACTAGACTTTCAATACCATTCTACTTTTGATGTTTTAGACCCCTTGTTGAATAATGTTTTTATGCAATAAAAATCAGAAAAAGAAGATCCTCTTTTAAGCAAATAAGTTCAACATTTTGAAAAAATTGTTGACGTGGGGTCCCTATTTATAATTTTTATCATCATGGGGACTTCACTTGAAAGAAAACATTTTGTTTTAATAATAACCACTGTATTTATGCCAAGAAAGTACTCATTGTAAAAGATATTACCCTCTAAAATCACTTGCCATACTGCACATGGACCTTTTTGAGAATTTACATCGTATATGGTGCATTCTAAGCATTTCAAACAATAATTTGTTAATGTTTTGTTATGAATCCAAATGACAACTGAAAGTTTTGATCAAAAATAGATAATACCAACTCCCTTGAGACCAGAGGGGCAATGTCTACCTTATGAAACATACTTTATCGAATACTGATCATTGTGAACATTATAGCAATAACCTGGCATTACTATTGTCTTCTCCCTTTTGGGAAAATCTACACCAAAATATATACCATATTAAAAATTCCTTCTCGAGTAGCGTCACTATAAGGCACAGGCCTATGATACCAAATCAAATAATCAGTATTTGTGGAGAAAGATGGCGAAAGTGTCTTCTTATAGAGGCCCTATATGACCAAAGCATCAGTATATAAAATTTGAACCAAATCTGTCAACTGATATTTGAGTTATGAACAGATGAATATACTGACGGCTGCTTAATATAAATAGTTTTACACTGAAAAGCGAATTCCCGGATTTTTTTTGATTTTCACCTCCCATCCTCCTTAGATTAACCCCTCAACAAAACCTGAAACATATACCAGTAAATAACTTTGAATGGCCCAAGACTACATTACTTCATGGAAAAGCATAATTGAATTGAATCATTTATACATATATGTATATAATTGTTCGGTTCAAGAATAATGTTCACACTGTTCTTACAAATAGACAATACCAGATAAGATCTCATTCAATCAACCCTAATGAAAAGATTTCCAATTTGTGGAAACAACTAAATGTTAGATTTTGGATTTCATAGATATCCTGTTATAGCCCCAAAATTTCTGATACAAAATTCCCTGACATTTCCCTGACATATCTCATGTTTCAAAATTCCATGACATTTTTGGCCCTTTTTGACCAAATTTTAAAATTCCCTGACATTTCCAGCACCTGGAAAAATAAATCAATTTCCCTGACATTTCCAGGTGTGTACGAACCCTGCATAAGGGTTTCAGTTTTCTTTGACCACCCTGCACTACAAATATATTAATTTTGTGTGGAATAAATATGTTTCAACATACAGGGTGACCCATAAGAAGTTACAACCCTCTAATTTTTGACAATCAGAGACCCAGGGGCTAGTAGTGATTAGTACTGATAACTAGATTAAGCTCTTTTTTCACTTTTGGATTAACTTTGTCACTGATATCATCTTGACTTTTCATATTTAGATATTTCTTTGTGACATTTGCCAAATAAACAAGTCATTTCTGGATTGCTTCCTTGCACACTATCCTTGATAATAATGATTATCCAAAAATTATCAACAATTGTCTAATGTTTACTGGTATCTCTAAAGTAAGACTGATAAGATCTGTAGTGAAATTTGATTTGACCGTAACTTAGTTAGATTTGAACTTTTATATTTGAAATTTGCCAGTCGAGACAGGTATAGACCGGTATAGACCGAGGTCCTCATCTGCCTTTCAAGTCATTTATACAACATGAAATGGGAATTATAAATGATGGGTTGCATTTTTTGGGGTCACCCTGTAAAAACATTAATTCAGAGCAATCACCTAATAGATGCTAAAACATCATATGAATACCAAATGCATTAATAATTATTATCAAAGTTGTGAAAGCACCAGACTGAGTAAAGCTGTTGATGCAATGTTTTAACTTCATATACTTTATACTTTATTTACGCCAAACGAACTGAGGAATTAGAACTTGGAAAACTGGTGAATAAATCTCGCTGAAGCAAAAGTTAAATTGAGATAAGTATATATAGTTTTTACTATACTTTTTTTTAAAATGTTTTCATTGTTATTTGAAAATTAATACTTCTCTGCAGTGTATTTGTTATTTGAAATTGTAAATATATATATATTCTTTATTCCATTGTTACTGTGATATTCATATTATATTGTGACAAAATAAAAACAGTTCTGTTTGTAATCAGTGAAAAAAATATGATATAATTGGCAAATTTCACCAAAACATAAATCATAGCTCTTTAACTATGAAGAACTGCTTTATTTGAAAGTAAACAGTATTTGCTAATTGACTCAAAGAAGCCTTTCATTTGTGTAAAAGACAGAATGATAGAGTAAAATATAGAATCCTATCTAAATTTTCAGAATTTTTGTGGTCCAGAATTTTGAAACAATGGGTTTGATAAATACTGTCATTGGACGATGGGGACTTTTGATGGTCGCAGTCTGCAGTTCAATGAATTGCAGTGCAGCCAAGGAAAACACCAAGGGTTTATCTGGTAAGAGTTCTGATGATAACTATTCAATTCAAGATAAACATGGTATGAACTGTACTAAATGTCAATTAATCAAAAATAATTTATTTATTAGATGATATTTATTTGTTATCACAAGGTCATGATGGTTCCTCAAGTAATGAAACAAACAAACCTTACACTACAATAACAATGGAGATTGAACAGTTGACCATTACAACCGGTGCTGATATTGAACAGCTTGACAAAACAAGCACTTCTGGAATCAAACAGTCTAACACAACAGCCGCTACTGAAATCAAACAGGCGAACATAACAACAACTACTGAAATCGAACAGCCTAACATAACAGCCACTGCTGAAATCAAACAGCCCAACACAACAGCCGCTACTGAAATCAAACAGCCCAACATAACAACCACTACTGAAATCGAACAGCCTAACTCTACAATTGCTCAAGTAATTGATGAGCAAACCACTGTATCTAACTCGGAGCATATGAGAGATATGGAGTTCTTTGCACAGTTCAACTATTATTTCAACTTTTGGATTCAGGCCTTGTTACGCATTTTCGGTATCATTGGTAACATTTTCAACTTGATCATTCTAAGTAGACCGGAATTTAAGGCTAAAAACAGCTACAATATTTTATTGCTGTCACTGGCAGTTGCCGATATGATAACACTGATAATTGGCCTGCCTCTGAACATCCTCATCGAAAACTCCATGTTTTTACACAAATCGGTGTCATTCGAATGGCAAGTGTATATGTACTATGGCCTATTTACTGTTGGTTACATGTCTATTTCTGCTGGAAACTGGACAACCACTATGGTCAGTATACAGCGATATATTGCCATTTGCATGCCACTGAAGTGTAACAGGCTATGTTCCTCAAAGCGCACTCGTATCGTCACAGTAACCATCTGGTTGTTGTCTATTATCCTCTTCACCGAGAACTATCTAAACTACAGTGTTGAGTATGTAACCGAAGGAAACTCTACATATCCAAAGTTCGTCAAAGGCATCTTACGTTGGCCTCTTTATGACAGCATAATGAACAATGTTCAGATCGCGCTATGTTCCTACGTGCCCTGGTTCATTTCATTCTGCGCTATAATTCGCATTGGTACTGAGCTGAGTCTAAAAACAACAGAGCAGGATATCCTTAGGAGCACCAAAGAACCTGGCCAGCAGCAGGAGGTAAAAATCACTGCTATGTTGACGTCGATTGTTTTCGTTTACCTTATATGTAGTATACCAACGAGTGTTCGCTACATCGTGCGCTCCACAGTAACTGTACCTGTTTATTACAGTCAAGGTGTTCCCTACATGGTCCTTGATGGTTTAGCTAACTTTGGTATTGCTTTTAACAGTGCTATAAACATTGTACTGTACTCTGTCACAAGCCCTAAATACCGAAGGATCTTCATCAGTATCATATGTCCCTGTTACACAACAAGGAGGTCATTAGATAGTAGTACATCCAACATGCGTTCAAATGAAACTGGCATGTCATCTACAGCTAGTGTAGATCAGATAGCGCTAGGACAAACCAGTATGGACCAGAAAGGTCTTGATAAGAATAGACAGGTTTAGAGAAGAGCAGTTTGGGTTAGAGAGTATTTCAACAAGCCAGTATGGACAAGGAAGATCTTGATAAGAATAGACAGGTTTAGATAAGAACAGTTTGGGTTAGAGAGTATTTGAACAAGCCAGTATGGACCAGAAAGGTCTTGATAAGAATAGACAGGTTTAGATAAGAGCAGTTTGGGTTAGAGGGTATTTGAAGGAGCCAGTATGGACCAGAAAGGTCTTGATAAGAATAGACAAGTTTAGATAAGAACAGTTTGGGTTAGAGAGTATTTCAACAATCCAGTATAGACCAGAAAGGTCTTGATAAGAATAGGCAGGTTTAGATAAGAACAATTTGGGTTAGAGAGTATTTGAATAAGCCAGTATAGACCAGAAAGGTCTTGATAAGAATAGGCAGGTTTAGATAAGAACAGTTTGGGTTAGAGAGTATTTGAACAAGCCAGTATGGACCAGAAAGGTCTTGATAAGAATAGAAAAGTTTAGATAAGAACAGTTTGGGTTATAGAGTATTTGAATAAGCCAGTATGGACCAGAAAGGTTTTGATAAGAATAGACAGGTTTAGATAAGAACAATTTGGGTTAGAGAGTATTTGAATAAGCCAGTATAGACCAGAAAGGTCTTGATAAGAATAGGCAGGTTTAGATAAGAACAGTTTGGGTTAGAGAGTATTTCAACAAGCCAGTTTGGACCAGAAAGGTCTTGATAAGAATAGACAGGTTTAGTTGAGAACAATTTGGGTTAGAGGGTATTTGAAGGAGCCAATATGGACCAGAAAGGTCTTGATAAGAATAGACAGGTTTAGATAAGAACAATTTGGGTTAGAGAGTATTTCAACAAGCCAGTTTGGACCAGAAAGGTCTTGATAAGAATAGACAGGTTTAGATAAGAACAATTTGGGTTTAGAGAGTATTTGAATAAGCCAGTATAGAACAGAAAGATCTTGATAAGAATAGGCAGGTTTAGATAAGAACAGTTTGGATTAGACGTTATTTGAACAAGCCAGTATAGACCAGAAAGGTCTTGATAAGAATAGACAGGTTTAGATGAGAACAATTTGGGTTAGAGGGTATTTGAAGGAGCCAATATGGACCAGAAAGGTCTTGATAAGAATAGACAGGTTTAGATAAGAGCAGTTTGGGTTAGAGAGTATTTGAACGAGCCAGTATGGACCAGAAAGGTCTTGATAAGAATAGACAAGTTTAGATAAGAACAGTTTGGGTTAGAGAGTATTTCAACAAGCCAGTATGGACCAGAAGCGTCATAAGAAGTTAACCTCACTTTTGATATCTCACATTATAAATTCCCATTCGTTAGATGCTATTATCTATTTATAGTACTATATTCTGTATATATTTGTCAAAAATTTCAACAGAGTACAGGTAGTATACTAGTTCAGAGGGCTCAACAAGTTTATTGTTCATATATTCACAACTTTACTTGCTGCAAGTCCATGATTCATTATAAAAGGATTTACATACAGGACTCCATAAATTGTGGATGATTTTAGGCAGAAAGGTCCTGTATGAGACTGAATGAGGACAGATGCACATATTAAAATTACAATTCATTGAGATTCATATATCTTAAGTTCTTAACCATTCATGTGTTGTAAAATATAGAATGAAAATTATATCATGTACTGTGTTCTGTTGGCTGGAATTTGATATGCCATGCCTAGATAATGTGTGAAAGAATGATGCTATAAAAGCATTTTTTATATGTGAAATTCCGACCAAGGGCAATTACAGTTTTACATTAATAACTATTGTTATGAAGAGTCAAGTGTTAAATGTAAGTGTAAGTTAAGTGTAAGTGTTAAACGGGGAGAATATTGAACTGATTAATGAACTAATATGACAAACACTTACCCTGCGAGCAACCTGCAGTGTAGGTGCATAGTAGTCCCAGTGTAGTGGTCAACAGTCCATTATCTAGAAGACACCATGACCACAGCTTATGTAGAATATTGCTTAGGCCACATTCAAAGGCCACCACCTAGACATAAAAGGAAATATATACAATGATTGAAGATGTGTTATTATACAAGAATTGTTCAGTCTGATTGTCAGGACATTTTGTCAGAATAATGCAAAAAACTTATATGTCAAAATGATTCCTTTGTACCTGAGACATCAGTATGTAAAATTCGATCCAAATCTGCAAGTATTTGAGTCATCAAAGATTACATTTTTTAAGAAAAATGGCAATTTTGAATTGAGTGGCCACTTTGAAAATTCATTCTCAAGCAGATGTCGACTGTCCATAAAGGATAAACCTTAAAAATTTTAACCAGATCCGTCAACTAGTAATTGACTTATCGCCCGGACATACATACATATGAATGGACAGACGGATAAATGGACAGACTGATGGCTTCTCTATAACCCTATACGGGACTTTGTTTGGTGAGCTGGGATAATAAAACTACATTGATTATTTCCTGTGTTGGATATCTAAACATTATATTTTCCGCTTGAGTTAATCCTACATTAGAGGTGTCAAGTATTAACCGGTTAACCGCCGATAATGCCTTGACCGGTCTGAGTTTTTATGGGCGGTTAGTTGACCGTGTATAATTCTGTTATTTCCCGCGCTTATTTTGCATGCTAATCCGTTTGGTTTTATGGTGTCAGTTTCACGTAAGCTACTCATACATGTCATAAGTCCAATAACTCCTTACAAACATCCAATCAGCAACTTTAATCCCTGCCACATTGCTTTCCCGCGCTTACTTTGCATTTTAATCTGTTTGTTTTTCAAGCGTCAGTTTCATGTGAGCTACTCATACATGTGATAGGTCCGATAATTCCTTACAAACATCCAATCAGCAACTTTAATCCCTGCCACATTGCTTTCCCGCGCTTACTAACATAGAATAGCGTAATTAAAGCTTGACGAACGTAAAAAATAAACGCCGATATATCATTTTTCCAATTTTTTCAACTTTCAAGATCGAAGATGAAGATTTCATTTGAAATTATAAGTTCAAATTTCCCGCCGGTTAACCGACTTTAACCGGTAAAAACCCCCGGTTAACCGGTTAATGCTCAAGCGGTTAATTGACACCACTATCCTACATGCAACAACTCTTACCTTTGCATCAACATAACGATGCATGAAGTTGCGTAAGAGCTCAAGAGTCAGAATCAAATTTTCAAGGGTGGGTGTGTCTTTTTTCAAGCCTCCCATTTGAAGAGCTTCAGAGTTCAAATCGTTATGTCCACACTTTATATTCTCAATTATTGTCTCCATTAAGCCACCTGAGAATATAAGATTCATCTATCAAAACATTAATTTGGTACAGTGTATATTATTTATTCAAATTAAAAAAACATTTTTTACTCAGGCTATTAATGATATTGTATGTTTGAGATTGAAAGAAAGGAGTGTCATCTCTAGTTAGGTTAACAACTAACAGAAAACAAGGAGGATTTGCAGGCCTGTAGCCAGGATTTGCCAAAATGGCCAAAATCACTTAAAGAGTGCTCGGAATGGTGAAAAACTGCATGATTTTTTTTTGATTTTTTGGCAAGGGGGGGGGGGGTGGTGGGGGGGGGGGTTCGCTCAACCCATCGAACCCCCCCCCCCCCCCCCCTGGCTACAGGCCTGATTTGCTCCAAATATTCTTTCATGATCCTCTTTTGACTGACATGGACCTGTTTGGTAATAATATTACTATAATGTTTATCTCTACACCAAGCATTTACATTTATTGCAGATAACATAATAATCTAGTAATATTAAAACAATCCTCCTTTACAGAACCACTGCAATTTGAAATTACAAATACTGTTCTAAAATATGCAACTTTCAAGACAGTTCAAAGCTTTAAGAATACAATACCAACCTTCAAGGGCTGTTATCTTTGAACCCTCATGGACAGCCAACAGAGACTTGAATGCCACAATAACATGTGCCCTCCACACAGGGTTAAAGCCCTTAACATTCACTGAGATTCTATCATACTGTTCCATCAAACACTGGCATAAATTTGCCCCTATTGTACTGGTGAATATGTTTGTCTTTGAGTCAACATCACCATCTTCTGAAAATGAGTCATTTGAGGACAAATGATTCCAAATATTCAAACAAAACATATCTTATCAATTCACTCATTATTTTGTAGACAGCATGATAGAAATAACGTTGGCAAATTTTCACACTGATTTCATATTATGAAATCATAGATTATTATGAATTCCTTCTTCAGTAGAGTTCATATAGCCATGAGGCATTAGCCTATAAAATGTTGACCAAAACATGATACCGATATTTACATTATCAAAAAAATACTTCTGGAAATGGCGGACATTTTAAATTCATTAGCCATCTTGGGCCAAATCTGACAACTGTTATTTAAGTCATGAAACTTTTTTTACAGAAAAAATAGTGTCCAATTTCATACCTTTATAAAGCTGTGTATTTAGACCATCAGTAATATTACAACTTGAGTCTTCACTATCTCCTCTTTCATTGTTCCTACTCAGTAGTAAGGTCAGGAATCTACAGGCTTGAACTTTTAAATCATCACATGAAGACTTGATTGAGTTGTGCAGAGATTCTGAAATGCAATTATATTTAGTGTCAAGAATGAAATGAAACTTAGGACTTAGTTTGTATTGCTTTTCGCATGTCAAAACATTATATAAATAAATAAAAAAATGAAATCAGTGCTTCTTCAATTTTGACTGTCAACTGTGGCCTCTTCAATACACCTGACCCAATCTAAGGCAATGCTGAAGCCAATGCGGAAAGGTCACCACACTTGAACAAGTAGTTTGACAGTAGACCCATGCTGGGTATACATCAGTATTTCTTCAATAATAAATGTCAACTCTGACCACTTAAATACAATTGCTCTGCTAAAAGCAAATGTGAAGAAGTCATATAACTTTTTCAATAGCTATTGATAATGGAGAAGCAAAAATGGTCCCCCCTCTGATAACAAGGACAAAAACAAGTAATGTGATAAAGAATCATTTTTTCCTAGTATATATTCTCTTGAAAACTATAACCTGCCTAGTTAATTGATAATATTTTCAAATTTCAAAACTCTTAATAGACATTCAATTTGCTCCTATCATTTATGTCACATTACAAGGGTAAAATCTCAGACATGATGTATCAACATTCAGTTTGATGTATCATTTATTATACCTCTAACTCTTACCAGATATTATAGTCCAATCCTGTAGAAATATTCCCATAACAACCATTAATTTATTTCCTTTAGTTTTTGACAGAAGTGTAGATAGGAACTGGTACACTGTTCCTCTTAGATGATTGCATTGTTCTTCAAAGCCTGTAAATAAATGGTGCAAACTACACAATTGTAGACTAATTGTACACCATGACTGCTTACCTTGAAAGCACTGTTTAATAGAACCAAATTATGGGTTTACAGTATTTTCAAGGTTTACAGTATATTTATTCAGTTAACTGATACTTGACAGCTTTCTGTTTATCTATCCTAGATACATATATCTGTAAACTATAAGTTATATATTGCTATGTTATTCATTTATTTCTGATAGTAAGATGAAAAAATAGATTTTTAAGCGGATGACACCCAACCGTGCTTATTGTCCACACAGTTCGAAAACTAATATAGTAAACAAAATGTGTTAATAATATCTTCGATTCAGGAGCTAATAAACATGCACTGTTAAGTTTTGAATAAAAAACAAACAAACCATTTTGAGTAATCTTCAGCATTTGCACAACATTCCTGAGAAGACTCTTGTTGTCCTGTACAGAATCCAGCACCACGGAGCTCTTCAAGAGACACATGTCTAATAGGCCAACCAGGCTGGAGTATGTGGTCAGAAGATTGGAGAAAACAATTTTGTAAGAGGCTATTGGTCTTGTACCATTTGTGATCTCTTCTGAGTAGGCCTCTAATAGTTTCACCTGCAGTAACCTAAATATAATAGTTCATTAAAATCACTTCTTTATGTAAGTGAAGTCAGGGATAGAAATTGACATTTTTGATGTTTGGACCGGTATACTGATAACGGTATAACTGACTTGCCACCTTGTGGTTGTGTAATATTAACACAGTGCACATTTATGATGATATACACTAGAATGATTTGAAAAATGTTTTTGATAAACAACAAAAGGAACATAAAATTTTAACCTGTTCAAAAATTAGTTGTTGAAAAACATAGCATAAATGTCATAAAAAACTTACTCTGTAAACTGCACCAGCAGATTATCTTTCAGTAATGAAGTAATTGTGTCTTCCGAGACTCTGATGGACAGATTTTGTAGAACTTGGGCAACTGCATCAATTAGTCCTGGAGTGACAACACTTGGATAGTCATGACCACTGGCCATTGTCCCAGTGCTGCTACGTCCACCATCATTCATAATATGACCTATAAAAAGAAACTTGCATATATTGGTCAAACAGTCAACAAGTCATTGTAATTTGATGAAAAGCCAGTAACAAGACAAAAATGTGACAAAACCTAGCTGCAATTACCAAAGATGCTAAAAGCTGACATAGAATATGGTCACAAAGATTGGTGGCCACAAAAATAACATAACCACTTCTTATCGCATTTTTCTTAGTGATTACCATGTATAGATGCCGGTGTGCTTGTTGCCGTGGTAACTGTAGGTGGTGTCTGTATGTGTCTCAGTGCTGCCCTCTGGTGAATGGAATGACTAGTAGTTCCATCTCCTGGACGAGTATGCTGTGAAGGAAATGAATCCTAGAAATAATGATTTAAAAGATTAAGTACATGGAGTATTTATTTTAATTTGTATTATTTTAACATCCTGTGCTGAAATATCAAGTACATTGTAGTATTGTACATGTATATTGATATATGCCAACCATTACATTAGAAAGCTCAGAACTAAATTTGGCAATGTGACGATTATGTTAATATTCACCCACTATGTCCAAAAGCTTTGGGACACTCACCTGCAGGCGCCTAACACACGGTAAACTGATCAAAACATAGCTCCAAAAGGCAACAACACAAACTAAAACAAGGCATTGACATGCAAAATGACACTACCTGCCATTTGTTACATTTGCTACATGTTACATATGCCAACCGCCAAACACCAACAACTGACACAAAAAAGTTGAGAGACAATGAAAATATGTCATCACTTTTGTTGGACATAACAAACAAGAAAATGACTGCATGCTAGTTATATGACAAGATGAACTTACAACTGGTGCAGGAGTTGATGTTGAAGGGTTGTTTAAGCTGGGTAGAGTTGTGTCTAGGAATGTAACTGTGGTGTCACCAACAGACTGTGGGTCTGGAGTCCCTGGAACATAAGCACATAGGATATAAAGTTGTAAAATACAAAAAGTTGAAATAAACAAAAACTCTAAATTGTATGTAATGCAATACAAAAGATAACTAAAATGGTATACCTGATACAGTGAGAGTTAAATGGGATCCTATAGGGAGACTGGGATGCTACACTGACTTACCTGATGTAGTGAGCGTTGACTGGGATCCTAGTGGGGTCCTATAGGGGGACTGGGATGCTACACTGACTTATCTTATGTAGTGAGCGTTGACTGGGATCCTAGTGGGGTCCTATAGGGGGACTGGGATGCTACACTGACTTACCTGATGTAGTGAGCGTTGACTGGGATCCTAGTGGGGTCCTATAGGGGGACTGGGATGCTACACTGACTTACCTGATGTAGTGAGCGTTGACTGGGATCCTAGTGGGGTCCTACAGGGAGATTGGGCTGCTATGCTGACAGGATGGATCAAGGGTTGAGGGTAGTAGTTACTTAACATGTTGTGGATCTCTGGGTAGAAGTTACTATGCTCTAGTAAGGCTATCAGGGCTCTTTTTCCTGTTAATACCTGGAAATATAGATATTCTTTATAAATACCAAGCATAATCAAAGCCAGTACAAGGCATTAACATGCAATATGACATCACCACCTGCCATGTGTTACAGATGCAAAATGCCAAACGCCAACTGCAGAACACCAAGCACAAAACACGCACCACAAAAAGTTGGGAGACTAGAACAATACATCATCATTTCTGGTGGTGACATAAAAACTGGTGACAGTGGCTCAAACTTATTGATAAGGCAGATGGACAACCCGTAAAGGACTTCCTTGAGTTGATGATCTATCATTTCATCTAGATTTAGAATAGTTTTAAAATGAGAATCGGGAAAAATATCCAGAGGAAACGCTGGAGTTCATATTAATTGCATCAATCTGGGTATGAAATTTACATAGTACATAATTTAATACAGACTACAAGGCATACCTGTGAATCTGGGGTATTGATGACAGGACCAATTAATTCAGAATTTTTGGATGTTGCTGTCGTTTTGTTCAAAGTTTCCTCGGATATCAGATTGACCAATAACAATGCAGCCTGCAAACATAATATGCATGTGTACAACAATGTCTGAATATGATGGTATATATTAAATAAGACCCAAATTTTTTTTAGAATGCAAGAATTAACATTCTCTTTTGGGGCAAAAACGTTTTAATTGTCACATTATGTTTCTTACTTACCACAGAATCTTAATCTCCAAAGTTGTGTTGGACATGTATTGAATCAAAAATTACCTATCTTCATGAAAAATGGTGGCCATCTTGAGTTCCTATGTAATTCAATTGGCATCAGCATAATATTATAAAGTTTGAACCAAATCCATCAACTGGTATTTGAGTTATCAAAGACAGGGGTTTCATTAGCAGCAGGCAAGAGGCGATTTTCACCAGTTGTTTTCACAAAATCGCATGTTGTTTTTAGGGACTTTTCAACTTTTCCATGTTAAATTTATGATTTCCATTAATTTTGCCTGTTGTTTTCATTTATTTAGCCTGTTGTGAGAAATCCTAGTGAAACCACTGAAGGATAACATTTTTTACAAAAATAGTGGCGATTTTGAATTGAGCAGAGGACCCATAAGCATAAGCCTACAGTAGTTGGAGGCTGGTGCAAAGTATAAGTACATACCTGACGACGGACAATGCTGCACTCTGATTGGTCAAGTAGTATGCTAAAAGCTGCGCCCCATATCCCACCTGGGAGATAATGGGTACAATGGGTTGCCATGGTAACTCGTCCAACATGCGTTGAAGTCAAAGCGACTGCAATTCCTAGTCCTGCAGCTCGAACCTATACAAAATCAACCATCACAAATGTGTATTCATTATACCCTAACAGAAAAGAAATCAAGTTGCATGAAATCAAATGGCAGATAGGTGTGGACTTGACTAACCTCTGGATCTCTGTATGCCCACAGTGTTAGCAACCAATTAAAACCATCCTCTCCTTCAAGTTCTTTAGATCCAGATTTTGAGAATACCCACTTTTCAGGCCAAGTCTGAAACATAAATATTGTTTAAATATAATAAAGGCACAAAGGCATGTGTTTGGAGCAGTAGAATTTATTACATAATATCAACAGGAAATAAAAATTATGTAACATTATGTTATCCAGGATAGCAACCTTTCCACAGTATAAAGGTTAACCGTAACAAGGAGTGAACGACTCAACTTCTACTTTATGGGTTCTCAAGAATTTGACATGAAGTGAATGTGACATTTTCATCATTTCTTCAAGTCAAATAACTGTGTACATATAACAGTTTGCCATTTCAATAAAATATTCAAGATTTTTTCCCTTTAATTTTCATCTGATGAGTATAAAGTTAAGAATATACCCTGCTCCTATGACACATATATGTGCCATCTACACCAAACTCATCTAAGTATGAGATACAGAGACTTTATACAGGTATATACCTATATGGGAAATATAAGAAGAGTCAAAACTGACCTCATTCACTGAAAGTGATGCTATCTCTATGATAAGGTGTCTCAAACATAACACAGCACATCTTGTCACACCTTTTCCCATATACGACATCAGTACACCACCCCTACCAATATGGAAAGCTGACACTATCTGAAAAAATGCAGACAATACCTTTGCAAAAATAAAACTATTAGTTGCCATGGTGATGAGTCAGTCCCTTTATAACGATCTAATTATATTCATCAATCACCCGATAACTGCTTTTTTTAACAATTTGATTTATTAAGACAAATTAAGCCATGATCAATGAATTCTGTAGGTATATCTCCAAAAGCTCACGAGTATAGTTACTGTACCTCGAGCAAGCATGATAGAAACTGTTGACATAGTGACAGTCTGTCTGTGTGTCTGCAACCTTCACTCCAACCAACCCTAGAAACAAGAAAGCATATATAAAATACAGTTTAAAGAAAATGAGCATGAAGGATCTCTTTTTCAAGGGCTCAAGGTCATACTGGGTCAACAGAGAAATGTGGATAGAAAACACAATACATATTTGTTTCAAAATAACCCAAAAGGATGTGCTTCTTCATTTCTTAATTTTACGGGGTCAAGGTAATATGAGTTATTGGAATATAGAAGAGACACTGTAACTATTTGCTTCTTTACCTGGCTGTGAGATGTAAAAGACATTGCAGTGAGCTCTCCAGTGAGGAGAGGTTGTAAAAGTGAGTCGTATCTGTTAGATTTAACTTTAATATCAACTGGCTCATTAGGTTGCCTTTGGCCTCAGTCATCCTCGTCTCTGTGCTCCTAAAATATTATATTGGATAATAAATTAACATTGCTTGGAATATTCAATTGAAGAACAAGGTACATAAACATAACAATATGTAATGGACTTTTTGGGGGAGAGGGTTAACTCCATTACATACTATTTGGATAAAACCATTCCTAAATTGGAGCATTCTATAAAAATCAACAAATGTTCAATTACTTTTGCACAAGATGATACTTTAAAAATTCAGCCAATTTGCAGGAAATTAAAAAAAGTAATTTAAAATGTGTGCAATTTTTCTGAGATGTCTATTTTTACAAAGAAATTCCCAGTTCCAGTCATGATGTAAAATTATATATAATGTGATTTTCCTTACCTGTTTAACCTTGGGTATGGCAGCCTACTAGAAACAGTTCCTATATATTGCAACAAGAGCTTGCCCAGTGTCCTAAAAACATCAAAGTAACTTTTATTTCAGCTAATTTATTAAATAAAACATTAATCCACTGATTTTATACTGTATTAATAATAATACTAAGATTGCTTTTTCCAAATCTTATTTCCTCTTAATGACCATTCCGAGATGAAAGAGTAGGTAATCTTGCAATATTAGGCCAAGGTAGCTGTATGTATACATACCGCTTTGTCTGAGTTTCACCATCAGTGTTATTCTGTGCTAGAATTTGTAGGACTGCAGATTCAGGAATCGTAAGTCTCTCACAAAATGTTCTCAGACTTTTGGGGGCTTCATGTTGTACTCCAGGGGCAAAGTGAAGACTGAGAAATGTAAGTATGTCAATGAGTAGCTGCTCATCTTGCTCAGATGCAGGTAGAGTGGTCATAAATCTACAAAACAAGCAGATTCTAAGACAACTGGGGCTATCATGTTGTAATCCAGGGGGAAATAAGGGTGAAGAAATATGTAGGGGTCAAACGGTTCAAAATTCCAACGGTTCGGTTCAGTCACGGTTTTTAGGTTCACGGTTCGGTTCTTTCACGGTTCTCGCGGGTCTCGTAAATTGGTTATATTTCCTTATAAACTTGTCAAGACAGCTCATAAAGAAACAGGTTTTAGCTTTCTATCTAGCCTTGCCCAAGTTGGTCACTTTCTATCCTGGTCCCACTATCCTTTTTTATTATATATATATATCTTTTATCGACTCTTTAGATGTCATATCATGACATATTAGTCACTTAGGTAGAGCAGTTCTTCCCATTGTCGAGTTGAAGAACTGGTATCTTTATCCTGGCTAGAACCATAGACAATTCTAGCCAGCGCCAGCCTTTTATCGAGTTAGCAGCACTCTAGGAATCGCCGGTATAGGTCAGCAGTCATAGGTCAAAGACAAATCACAAGAAGTGCTGTGACCTGGGTTTGAAATTGACTTGGAGTTTATTGGCCTAGTGGCCCATTTTAAACTTTAGATTTCTCTGTCCTTGATACGATTTCTGTCAGATAAGAACTGAGATCTATATGTAGCACAAGCAGTAACATAGCCCCGGGAACATGCATAAAAAGATCGAATCGAATACACCAAGTAAAGAGATCTCTATTCTTGGTGTATTCAACTGTAGATGTAGATGTTAACTTAACTTGAGGGAAATATCTAGCCTAAGAAAATATTTTTCTCACAGATACTTTATGATCTCCCTACAGATTCTGCATATTGATACATTGTCCTCTGATTACCCATTTAAGATAGGAAAACCCCAAAAAATTCCAAACATTGCTTTTGTATTTCAATAATTGAGATTTAATCTCGCAATTCTTGTACTCTGTCAAAGCAGCCATGCTGAATCAGCACAGATGGCGCTGCGATTGTGCGGGAGATTTAAACACAAATATGTTTCAAGTTTTTAACAAAGACATTAGTAATTTTATAATTTGTGTAATTGAAGTATTTTTTAAATAATATTGATTAAAAACTAACTCATTATAACAGACATAACACCTCCACCACACCCGGTGATCGTGAAAATTGGACGGAGGGGGGAGCAGGCAATTTCAGCTAGAAAATTCAACAAATCTGGTAAAATTATTTTTTCAAGACAGAGTTTACGATTGAATTGAAAATTGAATAAGCGCACGGTATGATAAAATATGTTAGGTATTCTAGAATTATTTTTCAACCGATACTCTTTTAAGATATAAGATCTATTAAAAAAGGCGCAACGCAACCAACGTGCAAAAGTCAAAGTTTTTGCTATAAATCAAGCAACAATGGACTACACGACCTGTAATAAATACTTGTAAGTGATGTTATCATAACTAAATTAATGTCATTGCTGAATTTATAAAATAAGTTTCCATACGTAAAATAAAAAATAATGGAAAATAATTAAAATGGGACGGAGGGGGGGAGGGGACGGAGGGGACGGAGGGGGGAGGGGGGGAGGGGACGGAGGGGGGGAGTAATAATTCTATAAAGTGAAACAACTTCACAAGAATTCTTGTATTTGAAAAATGAACTCATTAACTTAGTAAGAAACTGGATGATATACCCCTGGAAACTGAAAAATGGGGACATTTGGAGTAAAAGGACTTAAAGACCGTGCTCGAGTACCCCCCTGCAGCCCATTAAGAAAATTAGATAGCTGATAAAAATTACATAATTAAACATTAAGGATTAGCCTATCACAGATGGGCTCACTTTCCTTATATGGATCACTGCAGTATTTACTGAACATAATGAGCTATGCACATGGTATATTTGGCGGGGTTTTGTATCTTGTAGGGTGCTTGTTTATGAAGGACAATTGGGTGTTAGTTTAACCACTATTATTATTTACAGATAGCCATCTGAGATATAGTTTTCTTTATTCTTTTAATTATCCAAATAATTTCAAGAAGTCCATAATTTGTTATCTTCTTATTCTACCATAAATGATGAGCACAACTTTACTAATGACCCCTTTGAATGTCTAAAGCATCAGAATCTACTTGAAGAGTGTCATTAGCAATTGGTTTAGGATAGTTCAGTAGAAGTTGATAGGGAACTTCTCAAAAAGTTGCCAAATAAATTATAGATCATGGTATGAACCAATCTTGAGATACCGACACATTTCCTACAACCCCCCCCCCAAATCAAGGGTAATGTCTGGAAATGTTATGTCCCTTTCATCAAGATAAATGAAAGCAAACACAGGACAACCAGAACGATGATAAATGTTCAAAATCAGGAAAAGTTGAGTAATACAGTGGGGTTGTTGAAAGATATTCTTCTAGGACACACGGAACCCAGGATGTTCTGGTCTCTAACCTATATCACTCATGAACCATACAGTTTGAAACTGTAAACTAATTTTCAATGAGAATATTTGAGTCATCTTCAAAATGTTAAAATGGTAAATTCAATTATATAAGGGGATGTCTCTACTAGCTCCCTTTACTTCCATATGTCAGTTCTCAAATCAACTACATCATGTCTCAAGCACTAGCAAATAAAACTAAACAGAAAGTTATTATTCGAAGTAGAACTTTTAGGAGATGATTTATAAAGCAGAGACTTTATAACAAGCTTGGTGGGATTAAAATGCAAACTTGAGCAATATCAGTTTAGTGACTTATACAAATGCATTTGATACACAATGTTGAGAAAAGGTCAATTATAAGCACCAACATATTGTATAAAACAAAACACGGAACATGTTCAAGGATTATCAATAAACTCAAGCAAATGACCGTATCTGAAAAAAGAAAACAATAACATTTGAAATCAATGGAATATATACTCATTGGCATTGTTGGATTAAGTTATTGAATTGATGAATACTACACATGTTTGGTAAGTAGAAAACATTGTTCTTTATTTACATTCAGCCATGTCCCTTTGTTTATATGTATCATGTGACTAATTTCTGCAATGCCGATTGGCTGTACTTTGAATTGTTAACTCCTCCCATTAGCAGTTTAAAAAATGAAGATTTAATGTGTTTTCAAGATATCTCTGATTGAAATAAGTACATTTATTTGAAGATAGTATATTCATACACAAATGTGACAAATTATGTAGCGATCTGATCATTAATTCTATAGGAAAAGGCTATTTTATTGTCAGAGCAAGCAGTTTCAGTTATTTTCAAATTTAATGGTTTACTAATGACTCCATTTCTAACTGAATCTGAGCTTAAATACTCAGCCATCCCCTTTAAAGTCGCGAAACATCTCTAATCATGTCTTATATACATATTGCTCCCCCCTCCGTCCCCTCCCCCTCCGTCCCAAATTCATTATTTTCGATTATTTTTTATTTCACATATGGAAACTTATTTTATAAATTCAGCAATGACATTAATTTAGTTATGATAACATCAGTTACAAGTATTCATTACAGGTGGTCCAGACCATTGTTGCTTGATTTATAGCAAAAATGTTGATTTGTGCCTGTTGATGGCCTTGCGCCTTTTTTAATAGATCTCATACCTTAGATGCGTATCGTTTCAGAAAAAATCCCAGAAAACCTAACATATTCTACCATACCGTGCGCCTATCCATTTAGCAATTCAATAGTAAACTTTTTCTTGAAAAAATAAATCTTCCAGATTTGTTGAATTTCCTAGCAGAAATTGCCTGCTCCCCCCTCCGTCCCATATTCACGATCACCGGGCGTGTCCACGAAGCAAAATTAATTGTACTATGAATAGCGTAATCTGGCGAGACCAACTTCCGGTCTATTTAAAAATGTAAACAATTACTTGTCTATCGATTTGTGAGCGATCTGTTTCATATCTAAGGTAAGAATTGAATGTTCTCTATTGCTATAAACATGTTTTTAAGGAATATATACATAAAGAATAAGTTCATGTCGAATGAAAGAGAGAATATTGAAGACTAAAAAATTTTATTTTTCAATTTTTCCTCGAACCGTGGATGAACCGAATCTCATATTTATGAACCGAAAATACTGTCCTAGCATCATTAACCGCGGTAACCACGTACCGCGGTTAACCGTTTGACCCCTAGAAATATGTCTGTGTCTATCTACTGTAGCCATCAGATAGGAAAGTACAAAGGGTGGGATTGTACTTTTGACCAGCTCAGGATTGTACAAATTATCTATTTTTTGTTTTTCGGCAACAGCAGTTCTTTGGTAAAATTCTAATTCCCCCTTCCCAAAAAGTAGAAACCTCAAGAAGCAATAGTCTTATGACATTGCTTACCTATCGAACGCTTCTGTTAGTATACCCTCCGTAAATAGTGTCTCCATACCAAGGCAGGACTCTATAGCTCTGAATACAGTCATCAAATAAACCTGCTTTGAGACAGCATCGTGTGAAGTGGCATTTGTGATGTCATAAGCACATTGTTGTATGACAATCTGGCTGTAAGTCAGCATCAGTGCAGCTTTATTGGCCTCTGTGAGAGTCAGCTTAGATGAAAACCTAACATCATCAAATAAAACAAGGCATTAATATGACATAATGTTGACACCTGGTAAGTCAAGTGAAAATGGTAACATGACATTGACTGCCAATGCAGACTGCCGATATTGTGACGCTAAAATTTCCATCATTACAACTGAATCAACCCAAATAATTCTAGTAATGTATCCAGATTTCCAGATCTCTCAAGTCTTAAGAGGGAATAACTACTCCCAAAAAATTTGGAAACTATATGAGGCCTTTGAAACAACTTTACTGTGTGTATGTATACCAGTACATGATAGTTATATATATTTAACCTACTCAGTATGTTTCTGTGGTTGTCTCACAGACTGCATTAGGTCGTCTATTCCATTGTGCCAGGAGAGGTTCCAGAATACCCGCAGTCTGTCCAAATTGACCCTAGTCATCAGTGGGTCATTCTCAATTGGCATTGGCACAATATGAGGGCTCTGCGTGGCATAACTGCTGAACTTGATTGGCAGCTTATAACTACAATATTACAATCCTTCCAATTTTATTCATATGTCTTCACCAGCCTTGGGGATAATTAATATACACTTAGCAAATATTCCCTCTTCATATTATAGAAATATGTAATTCTACTGAGGTGAATACAGTGTGCATCTTTCACATATTATATTCCACGGAGCCCATAAAAGTCAGTTTACAGACTAGAAATTATCGCTGCTTATTTTTTAGTCATACGTAGGAAATAGACCAATCATAGAGTGAGGAATTTGACAGGGATATAATAATAATATTTAATTCTAAAAATATGTTTACCTGTCAACGATCACTCCAGGAAGTGAAAACTTTTCCTGAACAAGTTCATCAAATAAAAGAAACAATAAAATAGATGCCACTTCCTGCTTGGTACGCGTGTCTCTTGCACAGAGAATTGCAGAGCGTATGACATCATAATATATTTGACCATCACGGGCTAAAGAGTGTCTCAAGTTTGGATTGGCCCGTATGAGTGCATGAAGGCATACTAAACATGGGGGGATAAATTCCATATTTCTTCCCTGTTGTAGTTCATTTGAATCTTTTTTGACGCAACCACGTAGAGTGTGGATCAAACGTTGAACACCATCTTCCTTACGAAATGCTTTGTGAAGATGAGTATCTGGAAAAAGATTCAAATTCAAAACTGGTAAATTCAAATTTATTTGCAATTAGCTAAGTGGCTTCCTGAGTTATCAATCTACAAGATATAGCATAGTTCCAGGAGTTTCACGAGAATTTCTAGGCTAAATGAATGAAAACAACAGGCAAAATGAATGGAAATCATGAATTTAACATGAAAAAGTTGAAAAGTCCCTAAAAATAACAGACAACTTGTGAAAAACAACCGGTGAAAATTGCCTGTTGCCTGCTGCTAATGAGACCCCGGAGTACACATATATGGATATCTGAGAAACACTTCCCAATGGCTTCTTTATATTACTTGACTGAGTTATCAAACTACATAATATGGATATCTTAGAAATACAAAAAAAAACAAAGTGAAATGTAAGTTAAAATTGGACTTCTTAATTGAAACATATAACATAACATGAATTATAGTCAGTTAAATCCCAGATCTAATTCAGGTTAAGGACACTTTCAATATAATTTGTTTTACTTTGCTAAAATCACTTGCCATACTGCACATGGACCCTTGCTCCCTCATTTTTTAGGGTTTATATTTAGTGAAATTCACAAGAGTAATTCTTTGTCCAAAAATCTGTCAACAAGGCATTAATATGACAAAATGTCACCACCTTGCAAGTTATTGCAAATGGTTACAAAATGTTACAAGTCCACTTATTTGTTGCCATGGTAACATTTCAAGTTAATGTGACTCACTGACTATGCATTCTTAAGTTACAGTATGCAAGAAATATGAGAAGTGTTTTAAGGCAAGTAATTTGCTTCCATGGTAACATATATTCATTGCCATGGTAACTGAAACTGCCAAAAATATGTTACAAGTTGTTGACAAAGAAAATTTCAAGTCCATGTGAACACTACTACTTAAATTATTGCAAATGGCTACAATATGTTAAAGGTCCACAAACAACAAACGCCAACTGCTGAGCACCATCCACAAAAAGTTGGAGATCGTAACAATATGTCACAAATGCTGAAGGTGGCATAAAAATTGAAAGCTTCCAAACACAAAGGCATCATAAATCAAGAGAAAGTCGATAGTAGACAAGTTCCGCGTAATTTAATTCCAAAGTAACTGTTTAACACCCTCAGTCACACTGGCAGAGGGTCTAGATCCAATATTGGTAGGGTGTAACAAAAGAATCATTAACAACTTTGGTGTTCACTTACCCTGTAGAATGACAGCCAGTTGTTCCAGTGCAGACTTCTTAACACTATGATCCACAGAGGGTGAACGGAATATGTCGTACACTTTCATCATACCATCAATCTGAAATTGAAAAATTTCAATTCTATAAAGGAGTGCTAGCAAAAACACACGAACATGATGAGAACTGAAGTGCAAAAATAACTTACATTAACATCTATTTTATTTTGAAACAGAATAAAGTTTTAAGAGGCCTCCAACTTATGGGCTGTATAGAAAAGACACCATATAACCTAATAATCTCTGTGGACCATTGTATCTATATACTCATTATAAACACATTACCTCAAAAACAGATCTCCCAGTATCAAGATCTTGTGGGTGCACAGGCAGGTCAACTATGAGCAAATTAGCCAGGTCTGTCACATTCAGCTGGGAAAATACAGGTAGCTTTTGTGTACTATTTTCTTCACTTGTTAAAAACCAGGCCAACCTGTTCAAGCCCTCAGTTCGCAGCCTACAAGTAAGAGAAGGGGCTTACCTTGTAACTGCACATACATGTATTTATATTCCCTCATTCTCATAATGAATGAACTAACTTATTATCTGGTAATAGGGAGGTTAAGGTACATGTTTTTAATAGAATCTGTACGTGAATGTGTAGAGTTATGGTCCTCTAAGTATTAGTTCATCCCTTCATATCAGTTTTTGTAGTGTAATGGTGGACAGAAATACCTGGGATCTTGATCAAGGAATTCTTTTTAAGCTTACATAATTGAATTAAAGTCTTTTGATGGTCCATATATCATATAGTATCATACTACTATGAATCAAAACATTTTGGGTTAATTAGATATCAGAGATATAGACACAACCCTTTTAATAAGATTTACCGTATATCTGGCATATAAAGCATCCTTAGACAACCCCGGAGTCTTTCCACAGTTGGCAGTGTCAGTGAGGTACCCTCATCATGGGGTTTGGCTTCACATAACTTCAACAAACAATTTCCTAATGAACCCTGCATGGAAATAACAGTTTGAATGATGGGGAATATAGCGACAACATTGTCGAGAATCTGTCGCCAAATTGTAGATGGCACCACCAACTGACTTTGGAATATATATAGTAGTATTTCCTCAGCAACTTTGCTAACCTGAAAAATATATAACCAAACGTATAAATACACAATTTACCAAGTTTTACACGTGAAACCAGTTGATTCTAAAAGTGAAAAGGCCAATTCTGCGTGAATTCTGAGGAATTACTAAGGTAAGGCTGATTTTCATCATACATTAAGAAAAGTTGCCAATTCCATGGATATTCTGCAAATATGCCGGCCAAAGTAAATTGATTCTGCTCCCAGCTGAAGAATAATTTTAAGAGACCATATAAGGTATGATCATACTTATCCTTTACAGTAAAATAATGAGAATCCACATTTTCAAAAGTTATATTGGCCATTATGTTACAAAAAATATCTTCAAATGGAAATATGTAATCAGTGTATCTTTAATCAGTGTTCTCCTGTTGGTAGTAGTAGGTTCCACCTCAATTGTGGTACTATAGTAAATGTGATGACAATGTTGATTAGCATTTGACATATACTTGACATGTGTATACTTAATAGTGACAGAAGTGCCTACTGTGATAAAACTCTGATCACAAAATAGTACCTTTGCATCAAAGAGGCTATGGCTGTATAACTGGTCCAATACTTTACGATCTGTTATGAACAGGCCAATAGGATTGAAGCAACTAACTGTAACTGCATTGTCAAGACCAAATGTTTTCTGAAAATAAACCCATAAAGTTAAACCCAGGATAAATTCTGCTTTGTTGTAGTCTTATAAAAGACATGGGTGTATAGTGTGTGTGTGTGTGTGGGGGGGGGGGGTCCCAAGGTATTGTAGCTAGACTAGCTTTGTTGTTGACTTTTTAAGAATTTCATATATCAATGCCCGCTGATTTAATAAGATAGAGAGATATGCTCCAGTAGATACTATAGTTACATGTGTGAACAATGAATAAAATAATTGAACAGATATGCTGGTATTGCAACATTAAACTTGAGAATGAGAACATTTGAAATATTATGAAGAAATCAGTAAAATATGGAAGGCTTCTATTGAGGTGCTGCCTATTTACGGTAACACTGTACTCCCCCGAATATTCTTTTTACCTTGGTCAGTTGAAGACATTTTGCAAAGGCACGCTCTCTGACACTCGACATGGGGTGTGTCATGCATTTTAGCACCAGCGCCAAATTTTGATGGTGTAAACTATCTTCCACATCAAAATTATATCTACAACATTGAACAATGATATACTTAAAGTTTCAGCATTTTTCTGCCACTAAGTCTAAAATTCCAAGTCAGGGAAAACAATCCTGATTCTCCCTGACTGCGGAAACCTAATTGCACTTACATGAAATAATAAAATTTATGCTATTTCTTAAATGTTCAATTACATTACATTGACACGTGTATACTTGGTAATTAAAACTAAGTAGATACATCCTATGCAGACAGAGCCTGTGGGAAATATTGGGTGTGGAGCAAATGAGCGGAGGGTGCGGAGCTAACGGTCATTTTTGAATTTAAATTTGGGATATTTCTGAAATTAAGCCATTTTGGGACTTCAAATATACCAAGATATGTGTATTTGACACCAAATATCAATACAATTGTGAAAATAGTAGCGCAATTCATTCTATAGCGACGCAGTGTGCCTTAAACCTTTCCCAGACCTATATATTTTGAAATTATCCCTTTAATACTGAGTCCCCAGCATTCATAAAAAATGGTGTTCAAGGTACACTATCTATACAAATTATTTTTGCATCTTGGAAGCCAGGCAGTATCTGTGTGATTTTATAAAAATTCGGAAATGTTTTCAGATATGAGCCCCCTCTAAATATTGGGTGCGGAGGAGCTCCATAAACGTACATAAAAGAACATTTCCGAATTTTTATAAAATCACACAGATACTGCCTGGCTTCCAAGATGCAAAAATAATTTGCATGGGTAGTGTATCTTGAACACCATTTTTTATGAATGCTGGGGACGCAGTATTAAAAGGATAGTCTCAAAATATATAGGTTTGGGAAATGTTTAAGGCATACTGCGTCACTATAAAATGAATTGCACTACTATTTTCACAATTTTATTGATATTTGGTGTCAAATACACATATCTTGGTATATTAGAAGTCCCAAAACGGCTTAGTTTCAGAAATATCCCAATTTTAAATTCAAAAATGACCGTTAGCTCCGCACCCTCCGCTCATTTGCGCCGCACCCAATATTTCCCACAGGCTCTGTCTGCATAGGGTGAGATAAAGAGTTCAATCTGACAAAATGACATCATACATACATTATTGAGGCCATATTTATTAATGTATCCACTAGAGGGAGATACTGGTGGTATGGAAGACTGTATATTGCATTTTCAGCCAGTTTCAGCCTCTCTTTCACATCATTACGGTGCTGCAAAAAACAAATGTAAGATGACATTTAGTACCAAACAGTTCTTTTTTGAAGAATGTTGTAAACTGATCAAGTCATTATTTTTTTACATTACGAGCACTGTTGAAGAGATAAAACAAGGCATTAATATGACAAAACCTGAGCTGTAAATGGTAGAAAAGAGTCAAAATCAAGTAAGTATGCCAACCACCATTGCTGAATTCAAAATACTGGTCACAGAATTGGTGGCTATAACAAAATGCCATCAATACTTGCTGGTATCATAAAAATAGACTAATTTCCACCAATCTTTCATTGAAAAAAAAATGGATATTCAAATAGACCCCTTTATATACATACCTGAGCACAAATATCTTCCATCATGAGCAACTTGCAGGTAGCAGACATAGACTTGCATACTTCACTAGTTGCTTCAAAGACCTGATAGGGGGAGCAGTCTGCATGTTTCAAATAACCAATCAGAGGCTGTGTAACATCAGTTTCTTGCAGATAACCAATCAGAAGCTCCCTTACATCTGGATAGGCCATTGCTAAGCATTCATCCATGAGGAGGATGTTCAGAATAGACAGGCTAGACTCTGGCAGCACATCAAGCGCCTACACAATGAAGAAATATGAATAGCAAAAGATTTATAAACAAGGCATTAACATACAAAATGTTACCACCTGCCATTTGTTATAGACATTGAACACCAAACACCAACCACCAAGTACCATCCACAAAAAAGTTGGCGACTATAATAATATGTCACTACTTGTGGTGGTGCCATAAAAAACGACAAACTTGAAAATTAACACAATTAATTTTATACATCAATCACTAGGAACCAATCAGGTATATATATATAATAAAAGAAGGGCATCAGTACTAATAAAATCCTATTATTATTATATATAATATACCCATGTAGCTCAGTGGTAGCGCATGTACCTCTTACGCAATAGGTCCCGGATTCAATCCCCGGTTCAGGCAAGACTAAATTTGCTTGTTTGCATGAAGTACTTCAGGGTGTTTGACTGAGTGGTCCGCAACTCGTACAAAAGGCTGTGGCGTGTACTTGTCTATGTATAAGTGCACATAAAAGAACACAGGGCTCCTTCTGGGTCTATCTTCAAGGTTAATTACGTAAATTTCGACCGGGATATACCCAAGAGGTATTGCTCACCTTCATTGGTGGTAAACAAAATACAACAATACTGAACTTCGAAATTGTTAACAATAGATGACAAAAAATGGTTATCTATACCAACTCCCTAGGTAATATTTTAATAAAATAGGACCCACGGTCCTGTGCTCACACAGTTTTGAACCTTCAGAGGAATGTATATCCTGACTTTCAAACAAAAATTTTGATTTGGATTTGTAGTCTCGAACTTTGAGAAACTTAGACAGCCAAGTAGTGTGACCTAGTTTGATGATTTTCAAAAAAAAATTTGGTCAAATTGAAGCAAGTTGAAAAATAACTTATTTTTACTGTTTTTTGACGTCAAATATCTCAAAAATGGTAAAAATTTGATGCTGACATATATTGAGCAATATGTAGGGAATGCTTAAATCTAGTTATGATGTAATTCATTGCAAGAAATGATCAAGTATAAGGCAAACTTTGAGAAACTTGTCAATCACAAAACCTGCCATTGACTTTATACATAAGAAAGTTTCCTGAAAATGACTAAGTCCTCCTTTTTGTCAAATTTTATAGAGTAAACACCAAAAACTGTAATTCCAAGAGCTTTGAAATCTTCAGAGGACATAAGTTGCATATACAGCAACTACTACAAGTTATTTGAAAGTTCTACTTCAACAAAGTGTCTAGTATTTACAGAAAATTTGACTTTTTGACGTCAAAATCAGCAATTTCTCGGAAACCGGGCGAACTTGGGAAATGGCGATGATAGGTCAAATAGGCATTATGGATATGCATAAAATGAATGTGGATATGACTCAATCCGAATAGCAGTTTTAATTTGTGCGGCCAATGTTGACGGACGGACGGACGGACGGACGGACGCCTGGTCGATCCCATAGGCTCACTGTGTGAGCCAAAAAGTCCAGTACCTTTGATTTAGGCACCAAATCCTTCAAAAGTCGTACAAGTAGAGATGCTGCTATCAGGTATCTCATCCTGTTGTTTTTTAACCCTGCTTGGCTGGTGGAGTGATTGTTAAAGGTTATCACATCTCCAAGAATATCAATGCACTCTGTCAACTTATCCATCTAAAATAGAAATTCACCAAAAATGTAAAAATCTAAATAAAATGACATAAAATCTCATTCGAACTTTTTGAAACATTTACATAAAATCATCGCATTATCAATGATTGTATATAACAGTATGAATAAGTGAAAGTTTCATTGCCCAGATCCATCAACTTTCAAAATGAAAATAAGGCTATGAGAAAATATTTCTTCTTTTTGGAGCACAAAATCCAAAAACAAGGACAAAGTGCATTTCTTACCAATTCTCTGGCTGCAGGACTTGGGTCTGACCATATAGAGCTAGTGACGGATTCCTCAAGAATGTTTAGTAATTTTTGAATCAAGAGTGCTGAATAAAGTTGTAGCTTTTCTGAATTGTGTTTAAGAAGAGGGAGAGATTTCTGTAAGGTAGATATACAGAACTGGGGTAATGTCATCTGCATGAACTGTAAAGCTTGAATATCTTCAATGTCTGGCACTTCAAGATCAGGAGAAATTGTCCTTGATGTATCACTGTAATATATAAATAAAATACAACATGGCATTATTATGACAAAACATCATGTGATTATCAGACACCTATACTGACTGCACAATGCCAGTCACCAAAAATGATGGCTCTTAAAACAGACCACCACTTCTTGGTGGTGACATATTCAGAACTACTAAGTGGTATAAGTGGTAATTTTGCCTAATCATTTAATTTGCCTATTGCCTAATTTTAACAGGCTCGGAAAATTAAATGTCGGAAATATTGGCTTCATAATGTTATCCAATGGTAAGTTTCTTGTCATTAGGAAAATTAAAATTAGGAAATTGATAAAATTTGACCATTCGGCAAATTAACCACTCGGATTAAATACCACTTATACTGTATGTTAAGGATGTTAAAATTGAGTGGTAATATGATGTCCCTGTAATGTATTGTGCTCAGTTTAAAATCCAGTTGAAAACTCAAAAGATTCCTCAAATATGGAAAATGTACATGTAGGAGAATGGTTGTTTTGTGTCACATTTAATAATTCGGAATGAAAATTCTATGAAGATATATTGTACAGAATAATGTATAATTAAATTGCTTAACGGCCTCTAAACATATCAAAAAACAAAAAATGTAAACAGTGTAAGACTTTAATAAATATTTTATAAATACAAAAAGAGTGTTAAAAACAAAAATTTGAAATCTGAAAATTACTTCGATGATGATGAAGAATCACGATCTCTCCCATCACCACCACAACGGATATCACTTCGACCAATCGCAGAAGGACGTGTATCAGACGATTTCATTGATTGGCTACTGGAACTGGACAGAGACGAAGAATGTGACGGAGCAGATGTAAAATCTGTAAAACAGAATTTTGAGATAATGAAAGTCAAACACAGAGAAAAGAAAAGTTATAACAATATGTGCTGTATTCTAGGGTGTCCCAAAAAATCACTTTTTTGGAGTTGAGCTTAGCACAGTTGGGGTTTGGTTCCTTTTGGGGAGTTAATTAAGTGTGTAAAATATTATAGAGACAAATCGATGTTTCAGTTGTTGGAATTAGACCTAAAAATGTAACGTTTTTGGCAAAAATCGCACTTTTTGACCAGATTTACTGAAGAATAATGGAAACCTACCTCACCTTCTGTTCATAAAAATGAAGGCTAAATGAAAGGTTGTGCACCACATTACCACTCTTAGTAAGAATACTGCTGAGATTTGGGTATATACCCTCCAAAAAGACTCTGAAATGAGGCTAAAAATGACATATTTTAAGATTGAAATCAATGGGTAACATTCATACGTATTACAAATGTTTTATTTAGCTATAGATATGCAGATCACATAAGTAAGTTCAGATCAGTTCTTCAGATAAAATTGTCCATATTGTCCATTTGTTGTTTGTTAAGGTTTTTAAAATCAAGAAGCTGGCGGTGATGGTTAACCACCATCTGAACACGATCGCGGCGATCCACACCCTTACCGTAATTTGCGAACTCGGTAACATCCTTGATTGCCCGTTCTGCACAATCGTTAACTACTTCCATGGAAGTAACGAGCTCCTTAAATCTAATATACTCTGGAAACTGATCCCAGTTGTCGGGATTAAATTCCATCCAGTGTACATCTACTTGAAAGAGGTCAAAAATTAACCATGACCTTTCCCCACCAAAGTTTTCAAGCGTGACGTCCCCTGGTCTTGTTAACAAGTGATCTTTCATTTGTGTTTTCTGTGGAGGAAAGTTCTGGGGACGACCTGCATCTATCATTACTCTGATGATCTCAGATTTCTTCTCACCCTTGATGTTGTTGTCACATAGTGACAGAGGTAACAGTTCCTCAGAGAGGTACCACATATGCCGTTTAATGGATACAAGTACCTTGTTGACGAGTTCAGGATCAGATGCCTAAAAGCCAGATGTTGGTTATTGTTCAGATTGCACATTATGATTTTGAATCTTGATTTTTCATTGTTCAATATTTTACATGACGAAAAAGAAGAATTGTTACCTGAAACTGAAGAGTATTCTCCCAGAACTCTAAATCCACGCGGGGAGCAACTGCAGGAATCATGGCCTGAAGGAAGAACTTGCCGTATAAGAAGAGAGTAAACCTTGCAATTCTAACCACTTGTTGCAATTCTCTAGGAGTAACAATGTGTGGAGGAAGCTGGTGCCTAGTCATCAATATTTTGATGAGATATATTGCCTTTGACATAAACTACTTGTCATCTTGATTTTAATTTGAGAGATATCTTGGTATGTAGGTCCAAAGACGAGGTTTGGGTGGTAACATTTACAACTACCAGTGGCGTATGAAAAGACCAGGTGCAGTTAGCCATGCGCGGTTTATGTCAAAGGCAATATATCTCATCAAAATCATAATGTGCAATCTGAACAATAACCAACATCTGGCTTTTAGGCATCTGATCCTGAACTCGTCAACAAGGTACTTGTATCCATTAAACGGCATATGTGGTACCTCTCTGAGGAACTGTTACCTCTGTCACTATGTGACAACAACATCAAGGGTGAGAAGAAATCTGAGATCATCAGAGTAATGATAGATGCAGGTCGTCCCCAGAACTTTCCTCCACAGAAAACACAAATGAAAGATCACTTGTTAACAAGACCAGGGGACGTCAAGCTTGAAAACTTTGGTGGGGAAAGGTCATGGTTAATTTTTGACCTCTTTCAAGTAGATGTACACTGGATGGAATTTAATCCCGACAACTGGGATCAGTTTCCAGAGTATATTAGATTTAAGGAGCTCGTTACTTCCATGGAAGTAGTTAACGATTGTGCAGAACGGGCAATCAAGGATGTTACCGAGTTCGCAAACTACGGCAAGGGTGTGGATCGCCGCGATCGTGTTCAGATGGTGGTTAACCATCACCGCCAGCTTCTTGATTTTAAAAACCTTAACAAACAACAAATGGACAATATGGACAATTTTATCTGAAGAACTGACCTGAAGAACTGATCTGAACTTACTTATGTGATCTGCATATCTATAGCTAAATAAAACATTTGTAATACGTATGAATGTTACCCATTGATTTCAATCTTAAAATATGTCATTTTTAGCCTCATTTCAGAGTCTTTTTGGAGGGTATATACCCAAATCTCAGCAGTATTCTTACTTAGATTGGTAATGTGGTGCACAACCTTTCATTTAGCCTTCATTTTTATGAACAGAAGGTGAGGTAGGTTTCCATTATTCTTCAGTAAATCTGGTCAAAAAGTGCGATTTTTGCCAAAAACGTTACATTTTTAGGTCTAATTCCAACAACTGAAACATCGATCTGTCTCTTTAATATTTTACACACTTAATAACCTCCTAAAAAGGAACCAAACCCCAATTGTGCTAAGCTCAACTCCAAAAAAGTGATTTTTTGGGACACCCTACTGTATTCTTGATAATGACATAATAAGGGTTACCTCAGATAATAGAGACATTTATATTCAAATGTTTGCGGAATTTCTTGGACGAAAGTTTTACCTTGCTTAGGTGTATAGAGGGAGGGGTCCTGATAATATGCAAGTCTCGTATGTAAACACTGAGACAAATACTGAAGAGTCTTCACACCCGCTAGGTTCACTTCAAAATGTTCATCTGCTGGGACTTCTAGCAACGACAATAGACTCTGAAAATTAGTCAAATTATTTGGATCAAATTCATGTTTTTTGTCTTTAGTTCTTCATTTTTTGTCTTTAGCTCTCCAAACTTGTTGAGATGTTTGCTTATCAACTAGCTCCATACTTATAAAAAAAATTGCTGAAATATTATATTTAACTTTAAACTACTATTATATGTCATCATGTATAAGATGAGTAAACATTTGATGAGTAAATATTATTTCAAAAAGTATAAGATTGCTACCAATCTATACATTATGAAACAAGGCATTTACATGCGAAATGTCACCACATGCCATGTGTTACATATACCAACCTGTGACTTCTGGTGGTGACACAATTAATTAATAAATAAAAAATAAGAACTTTATACTTGAACTAAGGATTAAGATTGCTACCGATATCAATACATTATGTAATAAACTAAAAAATAAAAAAAATAAAGAACTTTGTACCTTTACGATGTTTGGTCTTTGCAGGAATACTTCTGCTGGGAAGTCTTGAAATACAACATCACAAAGGAAGTCACAAGCACTCACTATCAAACCAGTTTCTCTCGATCTAAGGGACCTAAAAATAAATAAAATAACTAAAAATTCCAGACATCTAGTCAAAATATCTTATCCGATAGGAGAGGGCACCTTTTTGATTCTCTACTTTTTACTTGGGTTTTTATGGTTTTTGCTATGGTTTATAAAAAGGATGCTCAAACAGTTTTATTTCGTATTACTTTAGAAATTGCCAAATATCACTAACGAAAACATATACATCTGAGATAGAATGTATAATGAAAGTAAAAAACATATTCTGGTTTGCAACTGCTTCAACGGTACAGTGTGTCCATTAAGTCTCTTTACGCTTTACACAAACTTTGTATTGCAATTGATGAGGTCTTTGGGACACCCTATATAATATTCTGTTTTATCAATTATAAGCCCTACCTTACAGTTAAGTCCACAGTTTACATTTAAGATTAAATCTGAAGTCTATTCAATCTAATCTTATCATGCATGGTATATAATACTTCTTAACTTTGAAAGATATCATATGTACATAGGGTGCAGTATAAGCACTGACCTTTACTGTAAGACAATGTCCAATATATACTAAAGACAAACTGATTATTTCTGTGTATATATTGGAAGACATGAAAGTGTTTAGGATTTAATGATATAACCCCTCTTGATTATCTAATTATCTAAGTATAAGTCCTGACTGTATATTTGCGACAAGTATACAATAATATAACGATAAAACAAATGCAACGGGTTGCTTACGAATCAGTGGAGTCCAGTACGTGTCTATCAGTTGGAGTCAACCCTAACCATGGGAATGTAGAAAACATAAAGCAGTTTGCACTACCTGGAAATATATAACATATACAGGTCTATTTTCTTTATTACTATGATATTATTATACTTTAAGATACCCGCGTAACCATAGTATTACATAATTTAATTGTAAACATACCATTGGATGCTGAAGTGTCATCCAAATGTCTTTCTTCTGTGGTGGCGTGAAAGTATCCCCGATCTTCATGGGGAACCACATGTGATCTCTCGGGAACATCCTGGTCTCTAGGAGTGTAGTATGAATCTGAGGGTTCCAAGTACTCGGTGGGAATAACTGGAATGAAGTCATGATGTGTATTGATGATGTCACAATGCAACTACATTTTATGCAAAATAAAGGGGAGGTTAAAACCTTCAAATTGGTTTCTCTAGCCCAAGTTTCAATGGCGGAAATAGACTTTTGTTACAAATGATCAATCTGATTTAAATGATAGGCCCAATATCTTCATAAGCAGATGTACAAAATCAGTTAGAAGACATTCTGGATTTTGAGACCCTGCTTAGCTAACAAGTCATACAGGCCGAATCAATGAATAATCTAGTATCCATCTATCAACCAATTTAATGAAATCAGGATTTTATCATATATTGAATCTGATCATCAATTTTATCATGTTTTAGAGATTTTTTTCCAGAATGGTGCAAATATGCTCAGGATGCATGAGAGGGTCTAAATTTCAAAAATTTTCTTGGAGGCATGTTAGACCTGCTTACAGCCACGCTTTGCATGAGTGCATATTCCATGTGCTCTGTGTGTCTGGGGCACAACTTATCCAAACACAAAAGTCAACCCCCCTTATAGGAAAATCCTTCACCAGGGTACTGTATCTTGCCAACCTCTTCATTTACATCATTTTACCGCAATTTGATAATTTATGTACGTGTATACCTGGCTTTAAAGGTTTTACTCTGTAGACACATTCCTCTGAGTGAACCTCCCCACTGTCAATAACAGGCAGTCTAAACAATGTTTCTATGATGTCATCTATCAGCGTACGTAACAGCCCAGTGCGATTTTCGCGCAGTTTTGTAAGAAAGGCCACACTGCCGATTTGTAGTAAGATGTTCGCTGCACCAGGGTGCTGAAAAAAGATTGTAAATTATTTTATTTTATTATTTGGAGCAAAAATATTGTGTCTACTGTCTAAGATGCCATCTAATGATTTTGCTATTCTATGGTTTATAAAAATTATGTGCCATTCAGCAAAATTTCAAATTTTCCAATTGAATCCTGCCATCTAAAGTCTCATGGTTTCTAGGGTCAAGTGACCATTCCTGAGATAGACGAGATTTGCCAAGTTGCATTTTACGATTTGATGGTATGAAATAAATCCAAGCTAAATAAGCCTTATTTATATTGTGATGAAAAACAACATAGATATGACAATAAAATCGTTAAAAGGAGATAGTGAGAGATTACAGTTTAATATACTGCACCGACGAATCCTTGAATATTATTTGAGACAACCCCTCAAAAACTCACCACTGGAACAGTACCTTATCACTCTGATACAACCTCTCACAACTTTCTGTTAATAATTATCTAATCACTATAATCCTGATAGAGACTGAAAGTAGTTTGTGATCTCTTACAATAGTTACTTATTTTCTTGTGGTTTCAAACTTTAAGTTGACCTATTGACCTATTGAACTCTCTGTCTACACAAAACAATTTAAGAAGCTTCGAGCAGATTATTTCAGAATTTTGGGTCACTCTGAAGATTACTCAAAGTTAGTGCATTTATAAAAAGTTCTCAAAAGCTTTAGATAAAAAAAAATATCAAAATTGAATTCACATTTGGTTTAAGGTCATGTTTGCATATACTTCAAGTCAATATAGAGTATGTAAATTGCAAGCATATATTTACAATTCATGCTCCTTCGATGTATATGGATATGTTTAAGCAAATCAGAAGCAATTTTTATACATTCTTCAAAGTTGAGCATGTAACTCAGAACGAAAATCTCTGAGAGAATTTCTCACTATCTCTAATCTTCTACTTGAATCGCACATAAACCAATATTCAATTGTGTATTGTGTAAACATGAAATGTACTCTAAGGCTAGGTTAAAAAATTAATGTTTAACATACCCTACTTCAACTATTTCTCATTGATATACATTACATTAACTTCAAATGTCACTATGTAACTATCAAATGTGTGTATTATATAGTTTTCTGTTTACTTTAATTCTATGTAATAAGTCAAATCCTGTAGCCAAATTCTGAGATATGAAAGGGTTCCTGTAGCCAAATTCTGAGATATGAAAGGGTTCATGTTTATCATAAACTGATGTTAAACATCAATTTCAATTAAACTAGCCTTGGATGAAACTATACATACATTTACACATCACATTTATGAGGGATTTGTCAAGTCACTCAAATAACTGAGAAATCACAGCAAAAAAAGCAGAAACTGAGACATTTAAACAGGACAAATCATTGCAGCATAGACATTGAAAAAGGACAAATCATCTATCTTGCAAATCAAAATCATAGCAAACAAACCTTGTAGGCATCAAAGCAAGTCAAATCATAAGAGTGACATGGCAAACACGTCATCAGATCTTCATCCCCAACTACTTGGGTCCATCAAAATACCTAACCACCTTTTGAAGAATTCATCTGGTCTTTCATGTGATATTGGTAAGTCAACAATTCAGACATTACAAAATACCAAAAAATAATTTCCTGACAGCAGCCTCACAGCTACTTTAAACCAGACCTTCAATACTCATCATCCGAACACACGGCTACAAAACTCGTTCCTTCTTTCCCCCTGTGATAAGCATATTGATTTATCCAAAAGAGAGAGATTCTGTATCTTGGAGCCCTGCGATCTGGTGATGGTTATACTGTGATTCTACTCAATGGTATCAAAGCTAAGGGAAGAGGCTATGTGTCCGCAAACTATATTACTCACTCAAGGCAGAGCCTAAAATTCTCACAGTTCGTACGATGAGGTATGATTGGTACCAGTGGGACAGGGTTACTAAATGGTAGAATACCAGTTATTAACATGCAAAATGTCACCACCTGCCATTTGTTACAGACACCGAACACCAACATCACTTGTATTGGTGACATAATAAAGGGCTTAAAGTAATGCTCCTTTTAAGACTATTTATTTTTTGTATGTATACTGTATGGCGTCTAAATATCATGGAAATCATCTAACACTGTTACTTTAATTATGATTATAGGGGGGACTCTGGCCAAATTTGCATACTATGCAAAAAAGAGTGAAGTGAGTACATTACCATTCCTAGTACCTTGTGATTTGTGAAAATAGGCAAAGGGTACATTTCTCTATTAGTTTTCAATGCGTACAGTGAAAAATTCACCATTGTTGAGCAGAGTTTTAAAACTTTTAAAATGTTTACTTGAAAGACCTGATGACACATCCATTTTGCATTCCAAGTTCTTCATATTTTATTCAATTGATGGCAAAAATAACCAATCAAATTGCATATTTGTAGTTCTTTATATATTCCTAGATCCAAAACGAATGAAAGAGTTCACCAACTGATGAATCATACTTCAAAAGTAAATAATCATTAAATTATCAAACCTCTATTAATCATACTGCAGTCTAAAGATGAAACCACAACGTTAAACCTGGTAGCCTTCACAAGAGAAAATATTGACGAGGGCCTACAGTATATCAAGAACAACTTTCTGTCTGTTGCCGATGACAACTGGAAGAAGGTCAAGGTCACCACTACTGGAATAGGCAGCTTCCAATACAAAGAGAAACTCATCAAAGTCCTGGATATTGAACCCAAGTAGAATTTTTGACTCTTGATTAAGTCCTTTTTGACTCTTGATTAAGTCCTTGATATTGAACCTACGTAGAATTTTTAACTCTTGATTTGCCTAACAATGGATGAAAGGGGAAGGGGGAGGGTGAAGGGGCAAAAACATGTTTTCAATCAGAAATGATAGCCCTGCTTCTTCTAAAACTGTCACTTTAGCACTATTCATTGAAAAGCAGGTTCCATAACACTAAAGAACAGCTGTTGTGTGAAATGTTGTGTGAAATATATAAATAAATAAAACTAGCCCTGTAGCCAGGAGAGAGGGGGCAGTTTGACTTTCTTTCAAAACTATGCAGTTTTCACCATTCTAAGCACTTTTCAAGTGAAATTGGGCCAAAGTTGAAAATTTGAACCCCTTAAATTTTTTAAAAAAGTGAACCCCCTTGGCATAAACTGGCTATGGACCTGCAAACAGTGACACTCCTATGCATTACACACATTCACTCACTTTGTAGGGTGTTGGAAAATTTATTGGAGAGTGACTGTTTTGTGAAATCACTAGAAGTACTCGGCAAGCACTTAAAGCCAGGAGAGTTATTGGAGAAGATGAGGAAAAGTGATAGAATAGAACTTTATAAATGGCAGCAACTAATGGTAAAGATGTTGGATGCTGCCAAGGCAAGTGGTAGCTTGAAGACTAATATGGAGGTATGTACTTTTCATGTAATTAATCTATAGATTGTATATATCATTCCATGTCACATTGATGTAATTTATTCATATATTATTCAGTGTCATATCAAAGTACAATTTATATGTAATCTTTGCTTATTATTATCATTCCATGTCATATAAATGGAATTTGTACAATATATTATTGAATTTAATGTCATCTCTGCATAAATAATTCCATGTAGGGTCTTCCATCTATGTGCAAAAAGATATGGCAGGAAATCACCCAATCATTTTGTACACATCAATGCAGGATTCTCACTAGGCTTTTAGACGCTCAAGATTCTCCGGAGTCTAATGTCTTTAGGCCCTCTTGTTCCAGAGTCTAATATTTTTTCTGAAGTCTGAAGTGTTTCTTCCGAAGTCTAATTTCACATTGACACAAGTCAAAAAATAAGAAGTCAGAAACCTTTTAGAAATGTATATTGTGATTAAAATAGGAAGATAATCTTAGGTAGTATTTTGAAAAGTAATCCCCACCCTTTGTTACTGCAAAGGGTAAGTCACTGTCAAGTATAATATGGCTAAACCCAAGGCCACAAAATTTCATGAGTTTGCAACTGGCAAACCGAAAGTAGCTTTTATTTACAGATTCAAATACCAACAGATATGACAAACCCTGAAGAGGAAAAAGAGGACAATGAAACCATTCAGTTCCCATGTGTAGTCATGATGTTAGGATCTGGTGGAGCATTGTTTCAGGTGAGCACCCGACTATAAATAGTATTGAATTGACCATTCAATTCCCATGTGTAGTCATGATGTTAGGATCAGGTAGAACATTGTTTCAGGTGAGCACCCGACTATGAATAGTATTGAATTGACCATTCAGTTCCATGTGTAGTAATGATGTTAGGATCAGGTGGAGCATTGTTTCAGGTGAGCACCTGACTATAAATAGTGTTGAATTGACCATTCAGTTCCCATGTGGAGTAATGATGTTAGGATCAGGTAGAACATTGTTTCAGGTAAGCATGTGACTATAAATAGTATTGAATTGACCATTCAGTTCCAATGTGTAGTCATGATGTTAGGATCAGGTGGAGCATTGTTTCAGGTGGGCACCTCACTATAAATAGTATTGAATTGACCATTCAGTTCCCATGTGGAGTAATGATGTTAGGATCAGGTAGAACATTGTTTCAGGTGAGCACCCGACTATAAATAGTATTGAATTGACCATTCAGTTCCAATGTGAAGTAATGATGTTAGGATCAGGTAGAGGATTGTTTCAGGTGAGCACTTGACTATAAATAGTATTGAATTGACCATTCAGATCCCATGTGGAGTAATGATGTTAGGATCAGGTGGAGCATTGTTTCAGGTGAGCATCTGACTATAAATAGTATTGAATTGACCATTCAGTTCCCATGTGTAGTCATGATGTTAGGATCAGGTGGAGCATTGTTTCAGGTGAGCATCTGACTATAAATAGTATTGAATTGACCATTCAGTTCCCATGTGGAGTAATGATGTTAGGATCAGGTGGAGCATTGTTTCAGGTGAGCACTTGACTATAAATAGTATTGAATTGACAATTCGGCTCCCATGTGTAGTCATGATGTTAGGATCAGGTGGAGCATTGTTTCAGGTGAGCATCTGACTATAAATAGTATTGAATTGACCATTCAGTTCCCATGTGTAGTCATGATGTTAGGATCAGGTGGAGCATTGTTTCAGGTGAGCATGTGACTATAAGTAGTATTGAATTGACCATTCAGTTCCCATGTGGAGTAATGATGTTAGGATCAGGTAGAACATTGTTTCAGGTAAGCATGTGACTATAAATAGTATTGAATTGACCATTCAGTTCCAATGTGTAGTCATGATGTTAGGATCAGGTGGAGCATTGTTTCAGGTGAGCACTTGACTATAAATAGTATTGAATTGACCATTCAGTTCCCATGTGGAGTAATGATGTTAGGATCAGGTGGAGCATTGTTTCAGGTAAGCATGTGACTATAAATAGTATTGAATTGACCATTCAGTTCCAATGTGTAGTCATGATGTTAGGATCAGGTAGAACATTGTTTCAGGTAAGCACTTGACTATAAATAGTATTGAATTGACAATCCGGCTCCCATGTGGAGTAATGATGTTAGGATCAGGTGGAGCATTGTTTCAGGTAAGCATGTGACTATAAATAGTATTGAATTGACCATTCAGTTCCCATGTGGAGTAATGATGTTAGGATCAGGTAGAACATTGTTTCAGGTAAGCATGTGACTATAAATAGTATTGAATTGACCATTCAGTTCCAATGTGTAGTCATGATGTTAGGATCAGGTGGAGCATTGTTTCAGGTGAGTACTTGACTATAAATAGTATTGAATTGACCATTCAGTTCCCATGTGGAGTAATGATGTTAGGATCAGGTAGAACATTGTTTCAGGTAAGCACTTGACTATAAATAGTATTGAATTGACCATTCAGATCCCATGTGGAGTAATGATGTTAGGATCAGGTGGAGCATTGTTTCAGGTGAGCACCTGACTATAAATAGTATTGAATTGACCATTCAGATCCCATGTGGAGTAATGATGTTAGGATCAGGTGGAGCATTGTTTCAGGTGAGCACCTGACTATAAATAGTATTGAATTGACCATTCAGTTCCCATGTGTAGTCATGATGTTAGGATCAGGTAGAACATTGTTTCAGGTGAGCATGTGACTATAAATAGTATTGAATTGACCATTCAGATCCCATGTGGAGTAATGATGTTAGGATCAGGTGGAGCATTGTTTCAGGTGAGCACCTGACTATAAATAGTATTGAATTGACCATTCAGATCCCATGTGGAGTAATGATGTTAGGATCAGGTGGAGCATTGTTTAAGGTGAGCACCTGACTATAAATAGTATTGAATTTACCATTCAGTTCCCATGTGTAGTTATGATGTTAGGATCAGGTGGAGCATTGTTTAAGGTAAGCACCTGGGGCCATTAACACAAACTTTGTTAATTTAAGAATTCATAAAATCCATTGTTCTTTAACTGTGACGTCATTATATCCATGGTTACAACAATTGATTTGTAATTTGTAACTCTACAAAGTTTCTGTTAATGACCCCATGACTATCAATAGTATTGAATTGCGTCACAAATGTATAATATTAGTGTATTACAAGCCTGATATTGTTTAACTCAAATTTTATATTGTAAAATTGCAAATATGTTATTATATACCTCACTTTACTGTAATGTAAGTTATTGTACTGTATGCATTTGTTGTATATATGGTATTGTATCGCACTTATGTTATAGGTGGGAGAGGATGGCAAGTATACTTTCATGAATGTCCTCAACCAAGCTGGTAGGATGTTCACTGGACTTGGCAGATTGTTGACAGGAGCAAAGGTAAGTGAGCAGGGGAAAAATTATCAACCTCCGAACACAGGGCTTCAAAATCCAGAATATATTCTTTCTTTTTACCCCCTGCGATAAGCAGTTCGCATTTCCCTGATTAAGAACTCGCAATCTGATTGTTGTCGCGACACTGCAACAGAAATCATGTGTAAGTCATTGAGCATAATAAGATCACGTAATATAGTTTAATTGGGCGGTTCCAAATTGGTTATAGCAGGGGGGGAAGAAGGAGGTACGGATTCTGGACACCTGCTTAGGAGGATGAAAAATTATGTGTACAGGTAATTTGTACTGTCCGAGAAAATTCTAATTATTTTGAATGAAACACCGATACTTTTCTATGCAAACATGCTCTCTCTCTCCCTATTAATATCAACATTACTCAATCCAAAACTGAAAAATTATTTTTACCAAATAATTGAAAATTCAATTATTGTTAAGGCTTCTTTGATCTATACTAACCAAGGGTTAGATTCAATGTCTACTTTTGACAAAGAACTGGAGCATGACATTTTATTTAGAAACATCAACAATTGTTTAAATAAAAAGCTGTTTAATCGTGGACCCCACACAATGGCCAAACTAATCTTCAGGAATTTTGTTGGAAGCCAGTTCTGATCTCATACAAAGTTATTGAAATGGTGCAGAAGTTGTTTTTCTATTTCTACCACATTTATTAAATGAGCTTATTGAACATTGGGTCATGTGATCTTTGTAACAATTAAACAATTTATTATACAATCAGTAAATGACACATACTTACTCCATACATGTATATGGTCACAAATATTTTAGACATTTGATGACTTAATGAGTTTAGCTGAGAGAGGAAATTCAGATAATGTGGATACAATGACCCATGACCTGGGTGCAGTTAAGGAAACTTCAACTCCAGAAACTGATGATTCCGATCCAAAATCTGCTAAGCAAGCCATTGAAAAGTCAGAAGCGACAAAGAAAGATTCCAATGAGAATACTGAAACATTTGATTTTTATGAATCAATGGTAGATGAACAACCTAACCAACTAGTCTATTCATTTGGCAAGTGTGTCAGCAAAGATAAAGGTATGTTCCACATCAGAGAAATATTGAATTACAAGCCTTAGATAAAAATTACCAGCCTAAGAAATAAATTACCAGCATTAGAAATGAAATACCAGCATCACATTTTCTTGTTCTTTTAAAATTCAAAACAACATGCACTTTCCTGTTAACTGCTCCTAAGGGAACTCTGACAACATTGTTGATCAGTAAAAGCATTTTCATCCGCATGCATCTAAAATGTTTCTTTTTGGTATACTAGATGATTTTAAAACAGAAGACATTGCACGGACATTACTATCAAACATGTGTCTAAGCCTAGTACAAATGAGCGTTGTATCTGCACAAGCAAGTGGGCTACACAACTTGTACATCTGTGGCAATTTCATCTCACACCCACTTATAAGACAGGAGATATCAAAAGCAAGCACAGCTGCTTTAAAAATGAATTCTGCAAAGGTATGTTAATATGATATAGCTCATAATTTGAATAATGTTATGCTTGTTTAACCAGAACAACGGCAACAAATCGCTCCAATACTTCGTCGCATGAGAATAACTTTGTACTAACTGCCATTTTCAAAAAATTGAGATAGACATGGAATTTTACTATTTGAAACACAGGCTTTCATCTCAGATACATGCCCCATCTCAATTCCCTCTCATTAAGCTAGAATTCAGTGTGAAATTGTACCATCTCCAGACAAACAGCTTATTTCTAATTTCAAATTGTCATATCTGATATCAACTGTTTCAACCAATCAACTTTCTAAGAATTGGTAATGTGACTTGCAAAACTTGGAGTTATAACAATCTTATATTAAAACGAAGTATGCCAATATGCATGTTATTGTATCTAGAATGAAATAATGTTTTGTAACACAATACCATGCATGCCTGGCCTTTCATGTTTTAGTTTTAGAACTATTACAAGTAGATCAAAAAAATAAAATGATACAGTATGTGTAATCCCATGCATATTCAAATTATATGCCCTCAATTACTCTTTGTATTATGGATGCTCATTGGATTATTCATGGCCACATGATATGAAATAGAATAACTAATTTCCTCGAAAACCTAAATTGCTACCAGGGAAGATGAAAAGTACAAATGACCAGTTAATTAGATCATGTGAGCAGTCAAAAGTACCCTTTATCTTCCCTGCTACCAGGTCTTATAGGGGTTTGAATGGCCAAATGCAATAGAAATGCATATACGAAGCTGTCATCATTAAATGTTGAAAATGAAAGACTACTTATTTGTTTCTTCAAATAGAGTACATTATAATAGGTTATATACTAGATATAGTAATCAAAACAAATAGTAACTGTCATATTTTGCACTACATTGCTCAAAGGCAATCACTGTCTGTATACTATTGAAATCTCTTTCAAAATGATGTTTTATAGTTTGTGGAAAAAAAGCTAAATCTATTTAAACTAGCTTTAACTTTCACTGACCATACACTATATCAATAAGGAGTTATCTTTATGTTAGTATAGTCCCTTAAAACACTTATTTTATTTTCTCTTCATCTATGATTTACTTTGCGCTTTTCACTGAACATCTGGGATCTTTTTAGTTATTTTATTACTAGTATGTTTTTCAGATTTGTCCTTTCTTTTGCATTTTTGGGATCATTGTTTTTACATCATCTACATTTTATTTTGGAAAAGTAACAAATTGGTTCAATTTCTTTACAAAGAGCCACTCTTAGTCTCCACTTCTACAATTGCTTCAATTCCCAATTGTACTCCACAGAGTAGCAAACAACAGAAAATGAATGGATAATGATAGCTGCATCCCAATGAACAAAATGTGATTACCTAAATCGAGGTTTCATCACTTTCATTAATCTAAAATGAATTAGAAATTATTTTTCTATTTTCAAATTTCTTCCATGTACATGTAATAAAAATTGGTTATGTCTTTGGCCCTATAAAGGATCTGAAACCTGCTGGTCAAAATGGAATTACGGACCAGTTGCAATGTTATTCTCCTATACCCAGTGAAAAAATCAACTGGTCTGTATAAAAAATAACCTGATAATGATCAGCGGACCGGTCCTTAGGGGCTACATTGTAATGTGCTGGGAGGTTTAGGCTACAGGGTTTATACCGAGGGAAATATGTGGGGGACCGTATTGGCATCATTGGTTTCAATGCATTGTACTTCTGCCTTAGTTTCAAAGGCAATAAATTCTTTTTGAAGGGTGTCCTGAGGTTCCAAAATTATGAAATAATTGTACTTATTTGAGAAATTGATTTTAAAGTTTTATAAATTGAATTTTCTTTATTTTATTAAATAAAATTCTTTGGTTTTTGAAGATCTTTTTACAAAGCAAAACATTATTTTTCATTCTAGATACAATAACATGCATATTGGCATACTTTGTTTTAATATAAGATTGTTATAACTCCAAGTTTTGCAAGTCACATAACCAATTCTTAGAGAGTTGATTGGTTGAAACAGTTGATATCAGATATGACAATTTGAAATTAGAAATAAGCTGTTATTCCGGTGGGAAATTGTATCAACTCCATTTCCATAGTTTTAAAAAAGGATCTTGTAAATTGTTTCAAGGTATGATATTTCATATAAGATATCTCTAGGGTGAGACCAGGTGACATACAAAAAATCAAGTTTCACGTAGCAATACTAAGTAAGATACAGACCTCTAAACTTTCAAACCTTGATTTCTCAGTTCCGTAAAAATGTGAGATAGTACAAAGTTATTCTCATGCGACGACTTTTCGAGTTATAGTAAAAAATGTAAAAATGACAGCCATTTTTTAAAATGACCGCCTACTATGCGAAGTGACATGGGACAGTGTGCAAGGCTCACGAGTATTCACATATCAAATATGAACAAAATCGCTCCACTACTTTTCAAGTTATAGTAAAAAACTGAAAAATGGTGGCCATTTTTCAAAATGGCCCACTTCTACCCAAAATGGCATTAGATATTGTGCCATGCTTAAAGTATTCACTTCCCAAATATGAACAAAATCACTCCACTACTTTTTGAGTTACAGTAAAAAAAGTTAAATAACACACGTAAAAATGGTGGCCATTTTTCAAAATGGCCGCCTACTATCCAAAATGTCATTAAACATTGTGCCATGCTTATAGAATTCACATACCAAATATGAACAATATCGCTGCACTACTTTTTGAGTTACAGTAAAAAATGTTAAACAAACATAAAAATCGCGGCCATTTTTCAAAATGGCCAGATACTACCCAAAATGTTATTAGACATTGTGCCATGCTTAAAGTATTCACATACCAAATATGAACAAAATCGCTCCACTACTTTTCAAGTTACAGCAAAAATCGTAAAATGACGTGTAAAGGCAGCCATTTTTCAAGATGGCTGCCATGTATTTCTTCTATATTTACATTTCTAGCTTAATCAATGTCATATATAACTTTTTTACATTTAAAACATATTGTTATTACAGTTTTATATGCAGAACCTAAATAACTGTAAAATCGGCACTAAAATGGCCGCCATTTTGAAAATTGGTTTTCAAGCATAACTTCTACTTTCATTGGGTATATGTGTACCAAATATGAACAAAATCGGGCCAACGGTATTTGAGTTATTGCCCGGACGGACGGATGTACGTACATACGGACGGAGTTCCCTATATCCCTCCGAACTTCGTTCGATGGGATAATCATGAATTATAAGATGATTCCTATATTATCAGGTGGTTGAGTGGTTTTGTGTTGTGCTTTGATATTACAAAGAAAAAACCCATTTTAAATCTATGTGTTTTAATTTATTTAAAACTTATTTTCAGAATGGTCCCATGAATTTATCATTTGTGAACCATGGAGGATATTTAGGAGCTATAGGAGCTCTACTCTTTGCTCAAGAGTAACCATGGAGGATATTTGGGAGCTATAGGAGCCTTACTCTTTGCTCAAGAGTAACCATGGAGGATATTTGGGAGCTATAGGAGCTCTACTCTTTGCTCAAGAGTAACCATGGAGGATATTTGGGAGCTATAGGAGCTCTACTCTTTGCTCAAGAGTAACCATCTTGCTTCAACAAACTTCGGACCTCACCTTGATACTTGGCAAAGTATTGTTTTAAACTAAATAAACAAACCCCAACTTGATTCACTATATTTTGAATCCCATCATCCATATGAGGGACCTCAGTCAACACATAGTATGTCATTAATTCATCTGTTTATAAAAGTACAAAACCTCTTTGTTGAGAATATGTTTACGAAGAGTGAGAACAATTTAGCACAATGTACTAGTAAAATTTGTATATTTTGTACATGTAGATGTAATGATGTATGATAGACCAAATAAAAGCTTAGAACACTATATGACAAAGTGAACTGTTACAAATTTTGAGTTGACACACCCTAAAAAAGTTGTTGACCTACATAGACAGGCCAAATGAACTATATTGACTCTAAATTGGAAAATCCCATAAAAATAGGGCTACCTGAAGTACCTGGGTAATCAGATTTCAATGCAATCAAGATATACACTACAGATAACTAGTGTTGTCGTGATGTGCCATAATCGTACATCGATGCATCGGCAATTTTCAGTAGTTAACATCGATGCACATCGTGATGTTCATCGAGAAAAAGTTCGAGGAAAGTTCCCTGAAATACCAAACGCTAATGCACTAAAATACCGAACAGAACAAATTAATAAGAGTACGCTGGTACATCCGGGAACTTCTAGTAACGGTGAAATGTAGGTAAAGTAATTTTTTGGGATTGATGGTTCATTTCGACTAGCTTAAACAGTTTTAAAGCGAAAGAATATCAGAAAACATTGGAAAATGAAATAAGACATGAAAAAAGGTAAGCGATTTGCGTCAAAATAAGATAAGAAAGGGCGATTTTTAGCAAATTAAATTTTTTTAAAAACATCGATGTTTTGTTTCAGACATCGATGCATTGCCAGAATCAGCTTTGGCAATGTATATCGCGATGTATCGGTTAATCACGACAACACTACAGATAACATGGCCAGACTCACAGACTATTACTGTAATGAGTACCAAGATGCTGGGAAAGTTTTTAATGCTCAATTGACTGCACCATCTTATATTTTTCCAATTATGTTAAATGCACTGTTATTAATATGGTACATGTATCCATGATCACACATAGGAATTCAAGAAATACTGCACATACCTTAGCAAGTCTTAATATCAGCTTCAGGACATCAAGTTCTTGAGGAGTTGTTGGGAAGTTGAACCACTCAATCAGTCGAATCAGAAAATGTTTCTCTTGAACAAGGTCCGACTCACATATGAGATTATGCTCTAGCTTAGATAGTATATTGTTCAATGCCCTCAGTCTGATCTCCTCAAGTTGGTGACCTACGGAGAGATGATAATTATAATTTAAAGTCACATTGAAGATGCACAAGTAATAATTGATGTATGGATGCTGCTGTAGGCCTTCTACAGGGTGTACATAAAGCCTTTTTACACTAATTTATTCCGGAAATTTTGAGCATGCATGCGTACATGTTGTTCACTTTAACACCATATGTATAGAGATCCCTCTGAAATTACTGTGTTGCCAGTATTGCAGAGACAGGTGCATCTGTCTCGGCAATGCTAGCAACACAGTAATTTTAGGGGGGTCTCTATCTGTCTATACATGATAGGTGTTTAAACAATATTTTCACCTTTAGATGGTGGTGCGATCTTTGTTATATATTTATATGTGCATGCATGCTCAAAATCAAAACTTCCGGAATTCATGAAGAAGTAAGTCTGTTTTACACTTACACTTTTTATCTTTTGGATATTGTGATTATGCTCAATGGTTGACCCAAGAAAGGTTACGTGCTGTTAGGTTGAATGTTTAACCATGGACAACTAACTTCTAAAAGGTAAACTATTCTTTAGCTCAGTCTTATTTTTCATGGTCAAAGTAGATAAATCAGGTGGAAGACTTTAGCCAAATTAACATGTGATTGATTAGCATAGGCCTGGGAACATGTATAAAAATCGAGTCAAATACAAAAAGTAAAGAAATTACGAAAAAGAATGACCACTGACCACCGACCACCAACCAGTCACTCTAGACAGCCTGGTCCATGTCGGCAGTCGTTTTTTACACAATCACACGTAAATTGGAAAACTATTTTGATATATTTGGTCCATGAAAACACGGAATCAAAGCATACAATTTGATCCTGGGCAACATTAACTACATGTAATTGATCTTATAAGTGTATTTCGTCCTAGCAAAGATCAGCAATGAGCGAGGAAGACTTACCTCATGGGTTCACATCCAAAATAAACTTTATAGGCTCTTTTTAAACCTTATTAAAATGTTGGCATTATTCTTTAGGAAGAACATTATTGCAGGGAGTATCCAACGATCATGGACCTACATTTAGTAAAAAGAAACCATCTGAATGAACGTTATTTCAGCTGAAATTCCTCCAGTTAAAATCTTGTAATTTTAAAAATATATAAGTGAGACTCCTCTTATGGTAACTTTAAACTTAATTTACACTTCTAAATGCTTAAATCCATTTAAAAAAAATAAGTCTGACAAAGAAGATGTTAAGCCAAACCACAGGCTTTCAACCATGGCCAAACATTGCCCTGATAGCTCAGAAAAATTTATTTTTTCTCTACTGGGGGCCTTGTTTATACTGCAACCAATATAAGGACAACAGTATGGACAGAGCTGTTCTCTATATCCCTCCAAACTTCATTCGATTGGATTCACAATTTCTATCGTTATCAGGAATATCGTTTTCCAGTTGTCAAATTGGTCAGTGGCACCTAAACCAAGTGACAATAGCAACACGATTTCATAAGATTAAATATTTTTTCAAACCCTGTTTTGAGGCTACCTATGGAAAACACTGACCGGTCGGTGGTCGATAGGGTTGGTCGTTTTCGTAAACCCAAAGTAAAGACAGTAATCTCTTTAATACTTGGTGTATTTGACTCGATTTTTATACATATTCTTGGGCCTCTATTTATTGGAATGTACTAAAAACCCTTCGACCTACGACCCTTCGACCCTACGACTTACTGGGTGTCAAGAATTTTTGGAATATATTTTATTGAAAAACCCTTCGACCTCTGATTTCCCAGTCCAGTTTACTAAATGATTACGTATAGTTCCAACTTGAGCTCCCTGTGCACGCAAATACGCATTTTACCTGGTAATTGTCAAGCAAAAATGTTTCAGTAGAAAAATTTCTAAAAAAGATCGTCTACACAGCAAAAATACGAACGCCGAAAAAAAACGTACGCATTTCGTTCGGACTTTTCACGCGAATTACGTATATGTCACGCATTGCGTTCAAAATTTTTCGGCCCTACCCCCCTAGTATGTTGATACTCATTAGCATGGCACATTGGCCAGGTGGCCATTTTGAAAAGTGGCCTCTACAGTATTTTAAAGTCTTATTTTACTTTTTTACTAAAACTTGAAAAGTAGTTGAACGATTTTGAGATCAAAAGTTCGATGGGATTTGCTCCACCTCGCGTTGCTGTTATCTAGTTCTGAATGTTTCATATCTATGTCTAATAAATATAGTTGTATAGATGTGTTTGTAATAACCTTTATGCCCTTAAAATGTATATATTCAAGGGGGGGGGGGGCATTCGTGGGTTCAAGTGGACCACTCCATTGGCCAAATATTCTCTCAAAATCAGTACAATTTTTCACGATTCTGAGCATTTTCAAGATTTCTGGGCCACTTGAAAATTGTCAAATGTTCACCCCTTGATCCTTTTGAAAAACTTAAATTTGCAAAAGCTGGTTATACGAACCTGATATGACCTAGCTTGCAAGCTTTTTCTTGAGTTTGTGTTTATTTTCCTTGTACCCTTCCATGCTTTGGATTTTGTAGGATGCAAAACAAAGAATCTACTTATTTAGTTGGCATTAGATTCTTAACTATACAAATTCAAATTGAATCAAAGTTGATAAAATCAAAAGACGGTTCTCTTTAAACTATATAAAAAATTTGACCTCCTGAAAATATGCACGATGCGCCACTGTTACAATGTGATGGGAAAAGCACAAATATTTTTACTGAGGAGGTAAGAAACGTTCACATTCGAATGTGCTTGAATACATTAAACCTGCACATCGCTCCAAAACGCAATATGTTGACATATATTGTTTTTACATTTTCAAGCTCTAATATAAAGTTTATGTAAATAAAAAAAAATTATCTGCGTAATGTCAAAGAACAATCATTTAGTTAAAAAAAATAAAAAGGCGATTGCGGGATTCGAACCCGGGCCTCCCGCGTGCTAAGCGAGCATTCTACCTCTGATTTAATGAATGGTGGAAGTAATTAAACGCTACTTATTTTGGATGCTATGATTCGAACCAGACTTACCTCACTCGAAAGATCCCAAAATACTTTACTGAAAATCTGAGATCCCCGCACAGTAGAATACGCCGTCAGTCCGCTTTTGATTTTTTGAAGTGAGTTTCGTGACGAATTTCTTTACCCTTGTAGGACGTATGCGCAAAATTAATTTATAAATGTGATTGGTTCATGATTTTCTCCTGAGCATGCGCGAAGTCTGATGAACACTTTGATGAGGACATGTAGCAAGCATTACTAGCTCTCGAACGAAATTCCAAGATTCGGATCATTTTGCTATGTTTGCTAAGCGTGTATACGTGAATGACAAGCTGTTTTGGGTAGATCAGGTACATGTTTTAGACACAACATTGATTTAGCTTGATATTGAGGTATATTACACTTTTGAGCATGTTAATACAAGTTTTTACATCCTTAGCAGGAGACGGGTTTTCGAAAAATCTGTTATCTAATTCACTCGATCATCGTATAGATATGTATTTCTGCTGACGTTTTAACACCACAACACATAGAATTACAATGCAGAATGATAATAAAACCTACTAAATTCCACTTGTTATTTCACAGAAGGTAAAAATGCACACTGCCTAGATTTTTTTTAAGGGTTGTCAGACATCGGATTGGCCGCCATATTTGAAATGAAAATATCACTAAATGGAGCTTTGCGCATGACGTAACAGATCGACTGGATAGAAAGAAAACGATTTAGCGGGACAAAACCAATACCATCATATGTTGAAGAAAAATGACGTACGCTGTACAGTGGGGATCATCAAGAATTGCAAAAGCTATGAAAATTACATGCTCTCGCACATGTAATAAATTCTTACCTCAGTGTATTCAGTGCTCTATTTTCTCCGTCTTAGTAAGTCCAAATATAGTGGAATTTGTGTCCCTAATGACAAATAAGAACTTCAAAAGTTGAATTGGATATTCACATGTTATGCCGACTCTTCAAATGTTGAGGTGATTTTGTCGCCCGATTGCGCCGGAACGGAGGATTGGCTCCCAGAATGCAACATGACACGTGCCAGCTTTCAAAATGCTGTTCCGCCATTTTGAAACCTGTTATGAGTAAATACGGTTAACTGATGTTGCATTCTGGGAGTCAACTGTCCTTGGATAACAAACATGGCGATTCATGAAAACATTCATTCGATTTGGTAGGGATTTATCCATTATTTGCAGGTATGAAGCTTTGGATTCATTAATTGTGCTACTTTAGTGAACGGGAAGTATTTTTCTACCGCTTGGGAGAGTTTGAGACACGAGACTTGGAAATAAGCTCATTGTGACAACTTGTGAACGTTGAGTTTTATTTTTGTCCTCCACTGTAGGTATTCAGTGAATGAACCTACAAGTGCAAGAGAAAACTCCAAATCCAGAGATTTTCAGCACCAATGCAGTATACATTTTACGCATACCATCGGATTCAGTCGGGGAGAAAATCAAAGCAGAAAAAATATTGGCCTACCTAATTTGGCAAATATAGGTTGAAGATCTACGCCCCGTCCATCCATACTGTCCACACTCAAACTCTTCTTTCTTCTAACATAATGTGTGAATTTAAATCTTTCTCTATGAGCGTAAAAATACTCCAAAATTGGAGAAATCACAAAATATTTTTGCAAAGTCAAAAATGGCGCTGAGTGACACACCACATATAATTTCTTCGAAGCAAAATACTCTGAACGAAATACAATATTCCCGGGATTGGAAATATAACCATGTAGCATTTGTTTGCATTCTTTAGAAGTCATCTTTAGTAAAAAATAAATCGTGTACATGTTTATGTTTATATCTCAACTTTAATCTATATGTTGTTGTTGTTGTTTCCATATGGCATGAAGTTGAACCATAGGCTTCTAAGGGATGGTTTCCAATTATCAGCAGTTGTGGAATAAAGTTGGTGTAGTTAGGGGGAGAGGTAATGATGAAATCAATTTTCCCTCACGCATCTTTTGATGATTTGATCTTCTCAAACAAACAAAATGAAATAATAGGACATAATATTCAGTGGAATTCTCTCAACTCTTATACAGTTATAGTTCCAACAATAGATTCTGAGCATTCAGACTTTGCTCAACATTTCTATTAGCAGATTAGTGGAAACTGTAAATTGCCAGATTTAAAAGACAGTGATTTATACCCAAGACAAGTCTCAAATCATACAACGATGGAAATGTGATTCCATTCCTGATCCTGAGTGGAAATGGATGAATTTTCGACTCGATAAAAAACATTCTTGTTTGCCCGACCCCCTCTTTTTGCCACTTTGGAAAATTCAAAAGGATCAAGTGTGTTGCATTGTTATAATTTAGTTTAACAACATTGCTAGCTGCAAATATGGCATCATAAATCTTCATTCCTTCATTTACCAAAGGGGAAATATCTATTTTTCTATCAATGTGGCCTCTATGGAAATATAAGGTCTCTCCAAGGAAAGCACACATAATATTTTATATATTGATAGTATTGTTTGAGAAACATATTTTATTTAATTTATCACATAAACAAGATAGACAGGATGTCAAGAAAATAATAATGAACAGAAAGTTTGAATACTTTAATGCAAGATTGTCATGATACAAAATAAATCAGAAAGTTAAGGTGCAGTACATTGACTTTGCTTACAGGGGCTAAACCTTAATGGTCTTACAAAAATTTCCTCCCAGGAAATAATAAACTGGCCTATGGATATCATAGTTATCGCTTGGAAACATTGTTCAAATAGCCCATGAAATTCTCTTATGATATCCAAGGCTAAAGCTTAAAACAGGGTTTATTAGACCCAGTGAATGTTTAACTGAAGGCTCTTAGTGTAGCGCCCATGGGCAGTAAAATGGGTGGGTCCCACCACAAGAACTCTAGTAAACACCAAGAGAATTTTCAAGATTAATGAAGGGAGTGTGTCTCATACAGCAGAAGATCCATATTGCTATAATTAAGTTTTTGGGTATATTTTAGAAAAAATATATTAAAGGTTGAGCCCCTTTAACTGAAAAGTATCATAGTTTGAGCAGAAAAAGAAATGTGTCTAAAACTTGTTTAGATGGTGAACTTGTTTACTTTACATGATGTTTGATGAGACAACACTTCATAAACTACCTGTAATTTTGAAAATATTTTCAGAGATTTCAAATAATGTTAGTAATCTAGTATTTTCATCCAGTATTTTTTGTATCATGATAAAGTAATTTAGTAACTTTATAAAATAATTAAATACCATGCTATTGCTTAGCTTATTTTGCAATGGCTTTTCATGTAGCATCATTATTATTACATATCAAGAGATACCTTAATCACATGATAGTGTGCCCTAGAATACTAAACGCATGTACATTTACATGGAAAAAAGATCTCAACAGAACTTATTGTCACCATGTCGTGATAATCTTAATGAAATGATGAAAGTCTGGCTGGTTTTGCACAAACATTGTTTTCTGAGAGTGTCCATATTCATTGCCTCCATATGCATATGTATATAGTTAATTAAATTATTCTATAAAACACGATACAGTTTTTGAATTGTCTCATTTTATGACGTCTTAGCCCTGATGGCGGCACGTTTTCCCGTCACAGCCTTGAATCCTGATTGGATGCTAGCCACAGAACAGCGAGAACCACACGTTTCACATTGTAGGAAAAACAAACGGGTATCTTTTTGTAAAATTGTGTCAGGTGACCTACAGGTGTGACAAGTCACATATTCCTCTGCAAAATAAAATGACCATTTACATTTGCATGATGTGTAATCAATATAAAGACGATCAATTTATAAAAGGCCAAGTTCTCATTTTTAAATGTGTCGCCTCATTTTTATGTACTTTTTTGAATTATTTTTTTGATCATTATTTACACTAATTAACTGTAATTATAGAACATGTTAAACGTCCAAAGAATCTCAACACTATCCAACCTGAATCAACATATCTCCAAAATATTCAACCACTATTATCTTTTAACTTACAGTCTAATAAGGCTTGATAGGAAAGGTTGTTACATATAACTTACTTATATATCTCCTAAGCACATTTTCTATTTGTTTTTGCTGAAATCTGCCTTTTATTATGAGCTGATTCATACCATCTATGGAACCACTGAAAAAAGAATTGTATTGCATGATGATGTTTATTAGGAATTAACAACAGATATCAACAATCTTACACCATAGAATACCATTTCCAATCAGTATTTATAAAGAGGCATTTAATGAACTATTTCATCTGGAATTTTTAAAAAATTTGAGATATAGTGTCATACCAATAAATATGAATTAGAAAGAGATTTGAACTGATGCTGAGAAACACAGCTTCTGTAATTTGGGTGAATTTTACACTCACTAAATTTTGGCGAATTTGAAGATTTAAAAACTTTGCCAATTAACATATTCACCAAAACTTTGGATGAATAATTACCATAATTAAATTACCAGTCTACAGTAGCCTACTAAAAGCCTTAACTGGATTTTAACTGAAGAGCAAATGTCTCAAAATTAAATAGCTTCAAATTAACAGTATGTAATATGATCTTGATATGTCACATACACATTGAGAATACATCACATGCCATACCTGGTTCCTAACTCAGCTAAAAGGAAGGCTAGAAGATGTTTAGGTTGTCTGTGTAACGCTTTACAGATTTCTGCAAAATTTGAGAATGAGGACTTCTTAGTGCCGACTCGCATGACTTGTGGTGGTTTCATAACGAAGCGTTTTTTCTCTCCAGCTACCATATCTGGATTCTTTTCCCGCATCTTATCAAATACTCTAGTTAGAAGCTGCAATAAAGAGTTCATTAAAAATATTGTCCTTACACAGGGGTTTCATCATGAGAACAACATCTTGGGAAAAACAACTTGATAAATTCAACTGTTGCCTGCTGTTAATGAGCAAGTCAATTTAGATTTTCACATAGGCACAAAATAAGCCTAATTTTTGAATTCACACTTGGGTGAAGTACCCAGTTGCCTCTGGGAAAGAGAATTGAATATTATTATGAAGTAATAATCAGTACTACAAAAAATTACTTCACAAAGTATGTTGTGAGGAGTATAGTATACATATATGTAATAAGCCAAATGCTGGAGAAAAATTTTGCACAGCTTACCTCATCATATGTGTAGTCTCTGTCTGAGCCTGACCACGCTGGGCCTGATGAATCTATGAAATCTGTACCATCTGCATCAGAAACATAGAAGTAGAGCATTCTTTAAAATAGTGCACTTATCACCATTCTATTTGTTTTTCTTAATAATGTGTGTGACAAAGAAATAATTTAGAAATTTATTAGTAAACAGATTAAGTTTGTTGAATGGAGCGTGGTAATCTCAATGGAAATTCTAAGACTACTGTTTGATTGATACTTTCAATAATCTTTCAAATCATAAATTTAGGATCGTGTCATTCTTGTGCCTCTCTTACTACAGAAGTGCTTGTGTTTGCGTGTACATTAACCAGTATAAACATACCGTCATCTTTGTCTTCGGTTTCCATTTTATCTGCTGTGTCTTCATCAAATGTAATCTTCTTGCGTTTTTTCTTTTTCTGTTTTGTAAAGTCTAAATCTAGGTCAGTATCTGTTACTTTTTGGGTGGAATTGTCATTTTCTTCTGTTTTGTCTTCTGATTCCTATAATTAAAGGTTTATTTAAATTTGGCATTGCCCATACAAAAATTGACCTTCGATTGAAATGTTAACAAGAATTTAAAACAAAGACTTTTTGTACCAGCCTTAATGTTCTCTTTTTGCACTATTTGATAGCACTTTTTTGTGTAAACTTTATCTTTTTATTTGACATAATAAGCTAATACAATGTAGTTTTGAATCAATGCTAGAACTTACACCCATGTAAATCATATAGGCCAACTATTTCCCTGTTCCCTGTTCTAGATCAATAAGATGGAAGGTGGAGAAATTACAAGATAAAAGTCTTGATGCAGGACTACTTAATTTCAGTAAAATTTTTTGAACACATTTGCTTTTTTCACAAAATTCTGCATTCTGATGCTATTTCACGACCAAAATCTACAAAAATAGCAAGTAATCGAGATTCTGTAAACTTTTTAGGAAAAGAAGTAGATATCGGACATTTTTTATCTGAATCTCAAATGAATACATGTTTAAATGAGAACTTACTGGTACTGCATCTTTCACTTCTTCCATATCAAACACCTTCTTCTTCTTTTTCTTCTTCTTGCCTCCAAAATCATCAGTGAAGTCAAGTTCAACTGGAAAAACATCATCAAAATTTACATGTACAGGTCGTGTCTATGGGTATTTACTAAATTTTGTATTTCTTAAATCTGGCACATCAGATTAAATAGAGTAAGTAATGATTTCAGTTGGTTATTATGACTAAATGTAATTTGGTACATAATATGAAAACCCTGTTAACTCAACAAATTTCGGAACCCAATCCTCCCACTACTCCAGCCCAAATTTTTTTGAAAATATGTTTTACTTTGATCAATTTTAAAATATCTGTTTCAAACAGCCGAGCTCCATGTTCTAAATACTTCTTGAAATATAACCTTTTCAAAACCGATTGGTTAATTGTAGAATTCAAGATAAAGTTGAACGATAAATAATTTTTGCCCAAGTTGAAGTTAACTGCTTAAGGAATTTTGAACAGCCAAAAAATAAAAGTTTCAAACGAGGAGAGATTGCTCCCCTTTTCAAATATTGGTTAAAATGAGCCACCACGGGCCTGTAACCAGGGGGGGGGGGGGCTTTTTGATAAATTTTGGCTAAAAATCATGTGAAAAGTGCTCAGAATGGTGAAAAACTGCATGATTTTGATAGAATTTTTGGCAGTGGGGGAGGGGAGTCCCTTCGCTCCCCCCTAAGGGCCTGCACCACAATTGTACACAAAATAGAGGATGTATGCACCTTTGTTTTCTTTCACTTCTTCATCTTGTTTTTCCGTCACTTCTACTTTTGTCTCTGTGGGGGTCTCTACAGTGCCGCCATCTACTGGAGCATCTGGATCAAAAACAGTCTTCTTTTTTTTCTTTTTCTTCTTCATGGTAGGATCGAATAACTGAAAAATAGGTCATAGTAAATTTAATTTAAGTTTATATTGAAGGAAGAATCAGACAGTGGGCAAGATTTACTATACTGTACTCCGGGTATTGTTCGCGTGTGATTTAATTTCACTTTGTTCGCGAATGTAGTAAAATCGCGAACATTTATCGTCGCGAAATTTGTCTTTTAAATCCCCGGGGATTTGACCTGGGACTTTTGATATGTTTCGTTTGCTGTAGTACTAGTACTATACTGTCAGACTGTATGTTCATTTTCTTCTTTTATAGCGTCGAAATTTACCAGGAGTACAGTAACTGTTTAATTCACCATTGTCTCAATTTTGAGAATCATGGGGGGGCCCCACCATTCCTGGTCATTCATACTTTCTAAAATTTTTGTTACAACATTTACAACTTACTCCAAGACCAAAACAATCACTAATGATGAGCTACTGTACGCCTGGTATTATTCGCGTACGATTAACTTTCGCGCTTTTCGCGATGGTTTAAAATCGCGAAAAATTATCGTCGCGAAATTGCCAATTAAATCCCCGGGAATTTGTTATTACCCGGGGCTCTGATGCATTTTGTTTTGTGTAAACGTTTCGTCTAGTGTTATTGGGCGATAATTGGATATCCACGATCTTCAGGACTTCAGTAATGTCCATTTTACGTTGGCTGATTCTGCCCAGTACCACCAGTAGGCCCAATAATGATATCGATGACATCATTGCAAATGAAGTGCAAATTGCAAAAGATAACATGAAGTCCAATTCCAAACGCTGGACATATAAGGTGTATAACGATGCAGAAAGAGCAAACATAGCCCGGCACGCATTGTGTAATTTGCGAAATTTAATAGCCGCGAAACCGTGTTTTCGCAAAATTCGCGAAATTAAAGCTCGCAAATAATACCGGGCGTACAGTATACTATTATGACAGATACATATTTATTTGCCTTTGCCAAATCATAAAACAAAACTAGACATTAAAACCTAGCAAGTCATCTTAACCTGAATTTAATACAACTCTTATGAACATAGATATGTTAATTGATTGCCTATGGGGTTAAAACCATTTTATAATTTATACCATTTGTAGAAATCATAACTTTCAATATGTTATAAATGAAAATCTACAAACTGAAATATGGACCACATTCACTTAAAAGTTACAATTTGGATAAACAACAAACAATGTCAAAATATGAAAACATGACAAAATCGCATTAGACAAATGGACTTTGTTTAAACAAATAACAAGTTATTTCCTAAGCTGAGTGAAATCATGATAGTCCACATGTATTGTGATAACTTCACTGCCTTTTTGAAAGTCAACAAAAGGCAAACATGCAAAATGTCACCATCTGCCATTTGTTACAAAGTAAAGACTGCAAATGCCGACCACCAAACACCAACCACTGGACATCAACAACCGAACACCAACCACTGTCAAAAACAAAAAAGTTTGAGAATAACAATATTTCACCACTTGTGATGGTGCCATAAAAATCATAACATAAAAATGATTTTTTTTCTAGGAAATGAAAATGATCCTCATTTACTCACCATATCTACTGCATCTAAATATATCATAATTTTTTATAGACTTGTCAAGTTAAAACTTCCTTTTGCTAATAATATTTCTCGTTTATTAAGATTCCAGTTTGATCATGCTTGGTATAGACTTTAATTCTTTATGTGTTTACTGTTTACTTGACTTAAGTTTATCCTAAAAAACAGGATTACTAAAACTTATATCAGTTGTTTCTCTCAGACTTGCATCATCCATTTCTATGAAAATGTAAATGAGTTCTGTTTCCGTATCCTTGACCAATAAAACTGATTTTATCAATAATGAGGTTTGAAAGATTAACATTTTCATAATCTGGCCATGTAATTTGGCTTGCACTATAATGTTTGAAAATTCACTTAATTTCATACTTATTCACACCAAGGGAGTATCAGCTGTAGCAGTTGTTTACTACTTTTTTCCTGGCATGACTGCGTTGGTAGCACTTGAAATATAAGAGCTACCTAAAGATTAGGAGTCTTACTTACCTTCTAGAGGTAAGAACACACATTTCAATGAAACCATATCACCTTTGTTTTGTTCATTATGAAGAAAATGAGAGTACTTGATTGAAATTTGTGTAAATGCTTTTTGGACTTTTCCATTTTTCCTCGTGTTGACTTCTGTGAAGGCGTTGCCCCTATCATGAAATAATGTATTGACCCTTGAACTTTGGTGACATGTCATCCAACCATGTCTGATGTGAAATTAATTAGACAGTTTTGCGGTCGTATGCAGATGAGCTTAAGACAGGGCAGAGGAGGATGGCCTGTTTTAAGATAGAAGAAACTGCATGATCTACAGAACTATTGGTCTGAACAAAATGCTGTGCAGAAAGTATGAATGGGTTGCCTATTGTATTAGTCTATTAATACAGTAGGATCTGTTTGTGATGCTTTAAAATTTAGACCAAAATATAGAAGAATACACAAACTTATAAATCACAAAATTAACGAACAAACATTCATTTTCCCAAGTGTTGGTAATTTTTCATATCGAAACTTTGGGAACTTACAAGGAAATCATTCATTTTTAGGGTCCTTATTTTACCTCTTGGATATCATGCTAAATGCTCAATGGTTGACGCAACAAAGGTGATGGGGTTTCATTGCAATGTGTGTTCTAACCTCTAGAGGATAAGTAAGACTCCCAATCTTTGTGTAATTCTTATATTTCAGGTGGTAGAGCCTATGGTCAACACAGTCAGGCCATGAAAAAAGTACTTCTTGGGCAAAAACTTTTTTTATTGGGGAAATATGGGGATTGAAGTATAGGGTTATTTTGTCATAGAGCTATTTTGGCTACTTTGACCATGATGTTATTTAGACCATGGCTGATAACTTACATTTCCCAGGTTCTTGGATTAAAATCTCGCCTATTGGAGATTCCGATTTATTTTCATAATTTTCACAATACACTTTATTTGTTGTTACCTTATTTTGATCCTTCAACAGTCTGTTGTAGTTCAACAGTCTGTTGTAGTAAATCAATGTTCTATCAGACAACAAAACTTTTGAATTTGGATTGCAGCCATTTTTGGTTTCGAAAGTAAAGATTTGCTACAAAATAAGTCCCATTAGCTTAATATGAATAGTCACGTGATCCTTTAGCGGCGATGCCCATGCGCCTGAAAAGTACACACATGCGCAAAAAGTTAAAAATGGTGCGAACCAGATCTGGAATTTCTATGAATTTCTTCTTAAATACTGTTAACTTATTCCAGTGCGCCTGCTGGAAGTTGGGAGTAAACCACTTCACAAGACGGTATATTTGAACGGTGTGTCAGAGCCAGCTGTGCTCAGTAAACCTGTATAGTAGTGCTGATACAAAATAATAACGGGTGAGTTTTCATAGAGATAAATTTATCTCTGAATTCTGGTATTCCCTATACTTTCTATACATTGGATATATGATATATGTTAGAATGCCGGTGAAGGCAGAAGTCAAAGGACTGGATGGAGGCCATTTTTATTTTTTCCCAGATTTTTAAAAAAATTCAATTGATTTAGATCTTACCGCTTCTTCCTCAGTCATTTTAGTAATTTTGGGTGGTAGATGTGTTAAGTATTGGTTCCGATTATTCCTCGTCTTAGTTTTGGAATCGTTTCAGGGTAGATTGGATGGTAATTACGACTCTATTGTAAGATTTGATTTCATCAGACACGTGAGTGACGTCACTATTCAGCCCGTATTAGCAATGTGACACACCAAGAATTTGTTTTGCTGCAAATTCAGTAGGCCCTAATTTTGAAAGGTCGAGGGACGTCTTGAACAACAAATCAGAGGTGCTGCTGTAAGAATATATACTGACAGAAGATAGATAGATTATAGGTAAGGATAGATTTCTTAATCAACTTTTGTAATATTCAGTATAGACTATACAGTGTAGGAAATAAGCTTGATTGAAGTTGAAGTCTCAAAATGAAAATCACAGGTAGGGATCAGATCGCACCTTCGCGTCCATACCGCTGTTTTCCGTACAGGTTGCCGCTCCTTCGAGTAGATAATCGACAGAATTTACGAATACAAAGGCTCTATCTTTTAATTCAGTCAACCTAGCCCTTTCTTCATAGTATATTCAGTTAGAGGAATGTGTTTCATATCATCTACGTTTTTAAGGGTACTTACATATGTCTAGGTTGCTCGTAGGACAGCACACAAATTACCCCCTGACATCCACCATTTCAGTTAAGTACGTTTTTCTTGGATTTTGGGTCATTTTTGTTCCTTCACACCTCGTCCAACGTAAAATTTGATTGATTTTACTGTTTAAATGGCTAAATTTTTAAGAATATATACCTGTTATACCAGCATTGTTTCGACTTTACAGTTTCTGTCAAATTCCGCCGTTTTCGTTTTTGGATTACGCACCTTAATCGTATTTTGGTTTCAGTTAGGTAGAACTCTCCTTTTATTCAGATTAATGTTAAATTGGCAAAGTTCAGATCACAGAGAACTATTTACACGTGATTTGTGTCGTTTTTAGAGTTCTTTCAAAAACGATACAAACGATACAAATCATAGTCATGTAAATAGATTAGAATTTCTCAAATCGCAGCCCATCGATTTTTAAAGAATTGCAATAAAATACAGCAGAACTTCTCACCTTCATGTCGTAAACATTTAAACAAAGAGGCCACGAAAATCAAAACCTCTGCTGTCCTGGTTGGTTAAAGTGCAAAAACGTCGTCACATTTATGTTAATGAGCCAAATTACCGGGGCCCACAAACAATTGTGTGCCCAAAATTTTTGCAGTGGGCCTTTTTAGGTCAAATTATCAAAAATGGGCATTCAAAGTTTTTGGATTTGAAATGTACACCCCCCCCCCCCCTTGTTAACTTCTGGATTCGCCAGTGGTTATGATCACAAATCTACAAGTTATTCTTTACTCTCTCTCGCGAATAGGCCTACGGGTGTTTATTTTGCACAGGGCGTTTATTTGAAAGAATTTTTAATAAACGCCCATGGGCCTATATTGAGAGGGAGAAAACAAGGTGTGAAATATATGAATAGCATCGTGAATAGCCCTATTAAGATTCTGTTAAAACTATACTCATATTAATCACGTATTATTTTTGTAAATAAATGTCATATTCATAAAAATTATAAATTGTTAAATTAAAAGTGTTTAGCATAAACTTCTCTAGATAAAACCAATATGATTTAATCTTTTAGAATTAATTCACCTAACTTTTTTACAATCAATAAATTCAGAAAATTACTTAACATTTCCGATTTATATCTAGTTTCTAATTTATCCATAATTCTTTCAAAATTCATCAATATCATAATGAAAGGTACATCTAATTGTTTTTATAGATATTTAAATATGGTGGGGTCGAGTTGACTAAGGGTTGAGTTGACCAAGGGTTGAGATGACTTGGGGTCGAGTTGACTAAGGGTTGACTTGACTTGGGGTCGAGTTGACTAAGGGTTGACTTGACTTGGGTTGAGTTGACTTGGGGTTGAGTTGACCAGTTACCTTTTTAAAGAGGGAAAAACCTTTTCATACACCCCACTTTCAAATAAACGCCCATGGGCCTATTCGCGAGAAATTCGCCAGCAGATGAACCGGAATCAATATTCAATGTACGTACAGTACACCTACTAATAAGGTGTGGAACTGTTACAAAGAAACAGTGGAGCTTCGTGTCAAATTGTGTTGATCGTCAAATGGGATGGAATATTATATGAACGAACAAAAGGATATTATCTTTAACATTCATGGCACAATTCCAATTATATGTGGTAGCTGGGGGAACTAATACAAACACGAGTTTTACCAAAACAACTGGCCACGAGAGATTTTCGAATGATAATTCCCGACTGTGCGCCCGTTTATGAAGAAACTTGAGGTAAGCTGGCGTGGGACATGGGTGAAAATGGTAGATAAATATGTGATTCAACTTATTAGACCATAAACAGATCGGATAATTATTGTGAATTACGATTTAGATGCAGTTCTATGACCTACCTGTCCGTGATTTCTACTCGAAGGGGCGGTATTTCTACTCGAAGGCGCGGTAACCTCTACGGAAAACGGCGGTATGAACGGGAAGGGGCGAATTTGATCCCTACCTGTGAAAATATTATGTCAAAAATGTACCCAGTTGATCCAGGGGCTTCTAGGACCTAACCTGAAGTTCGAGAGATTTTTCTTGAAAGCCCATGATGTACCTTCACAGGAACTGGTCAAAATTGAAATAAAATTCAATACAACAGTGCGAAAATCTCTTGAAAGCCCATGTGCATTGCCATTGAACACCAGTGCGGGAAAGTTAGAAATAGCGCATATTGCGAAACCATATCAATGGTACAGTATTGGTGTCGATACCCTATTAATACAAAATATTCATGCATCTTTAAAGTCAGAGACATATTATTTTTGGTGTGATTTTATTGAAATGGGAAATGTTTATCTGAAATGAGCTTCAGACCAGACCTAAACACTCGGTACGGATACAGACCTGTAGCCAGCTTTTACCAAGAGGGGAGAAGTTTTACCAAGGGGAGAAGTTTTACCAAGGGGAAGCTTTTGCCAAGGCACTTGCGGATCTCGATGGGGATGTGCGGCCCCTTAAAAAGTCAGAATTTTAACTGGAAATCAAAATAGATGGTTATGGATTGTCAATAACGCAATTGCATATGCTGAAATCTGACCTGGGAATTGGACCTTCACTCTGAAATTGGTCAAAATGCACCAAATCAAATGATGATCAATTTTCGAAATTTTCCTCCCAAACCCCCCTATTTTAGCTCTGGAAATGATGTTCAATTTTTGAAATTTTTTTAGGGGGAGAACCCCCCAGACCCCCCTATTCTAGTGCTCCTTCGCTGCGTGCGCTGATGTGGTTCACTTTGCTCATGGTTGTTATCAAACGCCCCCCTCCCCCTTACTCAAAATCCTGAATCCTCCATTGCAAGGGGGAGGGGAGCTTTTTGACAGTTTGGCTGACAATCATGCGAAAAGTGCCCAGAATGGTGAAAAACTGCATGATTTGAAAATAATTTCTTGCCTGAGGAAGGGGGGGGGGGGAAGCGACCACTTTCTCCTGGCTACAGACCTGGGATACATGTAAGCTTAGTAAAGTTGCAACTTAATTAACTCTTATGTTTCGCCCATATATCAGGGATTGATTTGATGAAAAAATCCATTCATACCTGTAACACTTCAAAACCTCAAGTCATTGAGTTTATTAAGTTTCATTAAGCTTATCTGCACCTTGGAGTGTTTTAAGGGTAGCTCATAATTGATAAACATTTCCCAAACATTGTGTAAATTCCTGTATTATATTTTTATGTTCTACTTTGCCACTAATGTTATTAAATCAACAAAGGCATACATTTGTATTTATATCAATATCAAGGAAATATAAATAAGGCCATAAGAAGTAGATTCTTTGTTTTGCTTGCACGATTTGGAGTAAATCAGAAAAAACAAACACATCCAAATAGCAATCACAAGGGTCTGAAAGTACCATCGCATCTTATTCAATCAGAATCAGACGAAATGGCGGATAATTTGACGTGCGTCAAAATTGACAGAGTTATTGATCACTTTGGCATACATTGAGTATTTTCTTATTTTTACCCTTGAATAATAGCTATGTTTAAATATATTGTATAAAATGTATAGATATGTGTTTGTCATCACTGCAAATTGGTATGTCATCCCTTTTTATGCCCACAAAATGCATACATATCTCAGCAAACAAGTTTGTGTTTTTTCTTGAGTTTGTGTTTGTTTCCCTTGTACCCTTGCATGATTTGGATTTTGCCAGGACGCAAAACAAAGAATCTACTACTTATGGCCTAAATTGAAATTGAAAAAACAAACATTTCCCGATATTATATAGTCACACAGAAACTTTATGACTTTCAAGATGCAAAAATATTTTGTTTTGATATACCAGGGTATGTTGATCCCAATACTGTACTGTATGTAAACTGAGAATAATAAATGAAACATACAATTTCAAAATCTATGTATTTCCACAATTTCTTTTTTATAAAGTGTCAAATACACATACATGGATTGATTTTAATTGAAGACCAAACATATTAGTTTATTAGTTTGGCTTAGTTTATAAAATATCACAAATTAAAATTAAAAAATGACTGGTTTTGCTTTGCATGTTCACGTTTATCCGCACCTGCCACTTCATTTGACTTCAGAATATCAAGCTGTTAAAAAAGTCACTGTTGAGAATAGGGTTGCTGTGTTTTATAATAACAGGTGGGGACCTGAAAATAAAGAGGAGGAGAGGGGGCAATTTTGCTGTACATCAAATTATAAGGGTGAACCTGAAAATCGAGGGGGGGGGGGGCAGTTTTACGGTGTTTATCTTTCTTTATAGGAATACAGACAGTTCACATTTGTATATTTTGTCCATTTGTGTTGACAGGCTTTGCTACAGACTATTGAATTGGAATGTTGTGAATAAAACTGAGGAACTACTGAACAATGCTGACCACATTTACAGTTCTACTCCTCATTTGGTTTGAGCTGACAGGTATGTGTACTGAGGCTTCATGCATTTACAGGTTGTTCTATATGTTTCAGGAATGACGCTGTATTTTATTAGTTTTCTTTTCAAACTAGCTGAATTTTTGACAAATTGTGTCAAGTTATTGACAACATATTTGGACACATTTGGTCAAAAATTCAGCTAAATTAAAAAGAAAACCAATAAAATACAGCATCATTCCTGAAACATATGGAACACCCTGTACACTTTCAAATCTGATAGAAGGGGTAGTCACAGGGAAGAGGGTCTGCTACAGGTGGATGGTCTAATGGGGCAAAATTTCAAAGGGGCTGTACATGGGGAGGATGTCATATGAATGGGTGTCACAGAGGGATAATGTCACGTGGGAGGTGTTATGGAGAGGATGTCACAAAGGAGGAGGGTGTCATGGTGGGTAGCGTGTCACTGTGACGTAGGGAAGGGTGTCAATAGATTCAAAGATTCAGGGAAAAAATGATTCAAGGATTCAAAAAAAGACTCAAGGATGTGCACCTACTTGACTAGGCTAGTTATCACTATTTGATATCAAAATTAGTTTGTTGATATCAATGTTTTGAGTGAATATTTTAGAAAAGTAAATGAGAAATGTTGGCTTCTACTTAAATTGCTTGAATAAAGATCATGCACAATTTAATATTAATTTATATGGTTACAGTTATTTTCTCTTCCTTAATAGGTGACGATTCAAAATTCAGTAGTCACCACTCACTGTCTCATCATAGAAGCAGCTAGATACTAAGCCATAGGCCTAGCCAGGGGGAGCGATGGGTGTGATCACATCTCCCCATAACCAATGTGAATTAATTCATGAGAAAGCAGAAGAAAAGAGCTTTAAAATGCTTTTTATTTGAAGCTTCTATCTCAATTTTGAAGGAAGTTGCATCATTTTTTGTAAAATTCAAAATAAATCTTATTTTTTGGTTTGTTTATGGCACAATCGCACCCCCCTGACTGAAAACCAAATGGCGATCGCACCCCCCCACACTGACTGAAAGCTGGCTGAAGCCTTCACCCATATGCTAATTAAAGAAATTATTTGTATCTGAATAACTTCATTTCCATCTATATAGGATAATTTCCCCTCAATTCCCCTCATTAAAGTATAAAAAGCATGATTTACTCACTGTTAACCAGTCATAAATGGATAGGATTGATAAAATCAGACATTTGCAGCAAAATGAACCTGAGCAATCTGTATTGAATTTGCAGCAAGCATAGAGGGATTAGATATAGACCCTAATAAAATAGCATGTGAGGATAAAGGAAGAGTACATTGCCCCGATGGTAGCTGTAAAAGGAGAAGAATAGATTGCCGTAAGTATTTAATACCAAAGGATTCTCAATTTTCAGATCAAAACTGAACTGGCAAAAATTGAAAATTATCATTTATATTACACAACTCCTTGCTTCTTTTGAAAAATTTACTTATTTTTTCATGCTACGTTTTTTATGTGTTTCCTGACTGTCAGTATTTTAAGTGAAGCTTTATTAAAATAGAGTTAATGAATTCTAATAGAGCAAATCAAATTACATTGATGTTCACCTGTGAAAGAAGTGAAATTTTTAGCCTATTTTCAACTCATAAATTGGAATTTTTATGATAGCTTCATACATGTACCAGGTAATATCGACATTTTAAATGTTATCGGATGGTTTGTTAAAAATGGATAAAAAAAGACACATGTATTTATATTTATATCAACCCTAGGTGATGGGCTAGCTTCTCATTCAGATGTAAGTGAAATCTAATATTGATTCAAATGACTTCTGTTAACTTCTAGCTGGTAGAGGCTGTTACATCCATTTTAATAATGCCCTTTGTGACAGTGGGGATGGTTGCTATGGTTTCTTCGACATGTGTGATGGAGATAATGACTGTGATGATGGTACAGATGAGAAAAACTGTGGTAAGCAATTTCCACCTATCTAAAAGTCTTCTTAACTGCACAAGTTTTACTTCGAAATAAACTTTTTCTCTCCATATCTCTGTTTAGAAATCTTGAAGGAGTAAACTGGTAATTACATGCATTTTTTTTAAATCATAACATTTCAGATTTTTATCAAAACAAAATTTAAAATCTAAAATGAGATTAGGGATATAAACAGATTCTATGATTTATGGCACAATAAACAAACACTGATTTTAAATTGTTTTGCAGACCACATACATTGCTTTATATCTGAATTGATTTGCATTTTCAGGAACTAGTAGTGTTCCACTGAATTTTCAATTGGAATACAGTAAAACTTGTCTTAAATCTGAATGCCATTAGGACTTGCTAAAAGTGTTCAGATTAGGAGGTGTTCGGATTTCAAGGTTTTTGCATCTGCAAGATTCTGGATTTTGAAGAAATATCAATGTATTCTCAATGAATACTACTTTTTCTATTGACTTAGGTTCATGGCATTCAAAAGTCCAATTCAAATGAATTAGTCATGCGAGAGAAACCCATTATGATTGAGACCATTTGATGTTTTTCAAAAGTTTTGATATCATGACAGATAAGTATTAAATCTGGTTCTGCTAAATTTACTCTATTTTTTGATTCAAGATTTTTTTTATTAGTTGATTTAATTCCAGTGTGTTTAAGAGATGAGTTAAAGTGTGACCCTGATGATGACAATGCCGGATGTTACAAACTCACTGACAGATGTGATAGTGTGAAGCAGTGCAAAAATAATAAAGATGAAGAAGGCTGCAGAAGTAAGTAAAGTTTTTGAAATATTTTTTTTTTGAATAATGCCTTGATTCATTGCCCAAAATTAGGTCAAAGAAAATTTAAACATTAAACAAGATTGTGTTTTTTTTCAGAGCTGACAAGGAGTGATATTCTAGCCAAGGTCAAACCTAACAGTACCCTGACGATTGTGTTTGTTCTCATTGTCACGGTGATAACAGTGGTGGCTTTTATTGTCATATGTGTCAAGAAGACTAAATGCTGTGATGGTACCAGTGATAACTCTTATGAAGGTATCTGCAAAATGCTGTTGTTTTAATGTCACCACTATGTGGTTACACAGCAAACATTTCTCAAGGTTGAATCAAGGCTGATGGCAAATCAAGGTTGATTTAAGCTTGGTTCAACACAAAAACTCCAATCCTGAATCAACCTTAAATCAAACTTGATTCAACATTGATATCCTCAACCTTGAACCAAGCCTGAAAAATCAACACTGTATCAAGCTTGATATCAAGCTTAAATCAACCCTGAATTGAATTAATGTAAGATATAATATAAAAGGCTTTTATTAGTACTGATGCCCTTTTAGAGCCAAACGTACATCCAACAATTACAATTTTGAATTACAGTAGCAATATTGATTCAAGCCTGAATCAAGCTTGAAATCAATGTTAATTTGTTGTGGAATCAAACAGTTCTCAATATTGATTCAACAAAAAATTGACATTGATTTCTCAAGCATTGGTAAAGCCGTAATTGCACTGAATGGATTCATTTAGTGTTAAATCAAGCTTGATTCAGACTTGGTTCAAGGTTGAGGATATCAATGGTGAATCAAGTCTGATTTAAGGTTGATTCAGGATTGAGATTTTTATGTTGAATCAAGCTTGATATCAAGCTTAAATTGATGATTGATGGTTGATTCAACCTTGAGAAATGTTTGCTGTGTACATACATGTATTCTCAAACTCAATGAGTTACATTTTTTTCTAGCACAATACTCACAACACTGATGTCCTTTTATAACAAGACAAAATATTCAAATGTCAAAACTTGATTTGAATGAAGTTGTCTTGAGCCAGTCAATTCTCACATGTGTATGCTGAGGGGTGTGGCAGAGGTTAAAAGCCTCAGTCACATTTGCTCTACTGCGGTCGTATGGCAGCCATAGGGTCACAAATCAATATAGAAAATCTACATCGTACTAGTACTGCCTATCCTTATATTTTATGCTGCATACTTCTCTCGATTTCTGGAAGCTACGGCTGCCCTATAGTTGCCTTAGATCAAATGTGACTGAGGCATTAATGAAATTAAATAATATGTATTATAAGCTCGGGTTGTTCCATCACTGTTACTTAATAAATGCTGTGTTATTTTTTTAGAGAGGAGGAATCAAGTGTCACGCGGTCGTAATTTTGCCACCAATGTGCCTGCGCCCCAGCGGCCTTTATTAGAAGCCGACTTAGTTGCTTTACGAAACTCAACGAGGAATGGCAATGCTAACTCAGAGATACCTCTCAGATTTTACAATGTTACTCCCGAGACTGGTAGGGCAGGTTCCTCATCGCCAATGATGCATTCAACACCCATGCCAAATGATGAATCATCAACTCCAGACAGACTGCCACCATCATATGACGATGTTGTAGCACCAACTGATGATGTGAGTTATCAGTATGACTAAAATTATAATTCATATCATTTCACAGTATAGTATGGTGTGGTAAAATTGTGTACTTGTATAGAAATTAGGCATTGGTACATATACTTGTTATGCAGCATGGTTAGATTGCTTCGTTACAAAGCATTTTACAAAAAATTTTGGAACAAAGCTATGATGTAACAGGTACCAATTGCATTTCAAGTAAATTGGCAACAGTGAGCCTATGGGATCGACCAGGCATCCGTCCATCCGTCCATTGGTCCGTCCATCCGTTGGTCCCTCCGTTGGTACTTCCGTCATTGAAAACTGCCTTGAAAATTGCCACTAGTTTTCAATAGAAGAATTAATTTTGCATGTTGTAATTTTATGAAATTTGCAGTGAAGCTGGAAAATGAGAATTCTATGTTGTACTTGTCTATTTCTACAATTCAATTAGTTTACTGATCATAAGCAAAGTAATGGAATCAGCTTTTGTGAAATTGATGCTCAATCAATTGCTAGTCCTCAGATCCATTCTTTTTCCCCCCAAAACTAACTTCAAAGCTGATAATCATAATTATGACACATAGACTAAATCAGAAATGTCACTAATTTTTACCGTCATATGTAGTTATTGCTTTTAAAACAGTTACATATTTATCCAGTTCATTTTCTTTCATTTTCTTTCATTATAATTCAACTCCATTTTAATTTTTGATATTTAGTAAGGATGGCGCTTTTCTTCTCATTTCAGGAGCTACCAAGCTATAATGCATTTGTGACTGCAAACCAAGGAGGAAACGATGCTCCAGCAAGTAATACACAAACCCCTCCAATCAATACAAACAATAGAGTAGTTGAGAATGAGGCTCCTAATCTCCCCTCACGAAGGGACAGTTATCAAGGTGCAATAGGTCAGGATGAAGGAAGAGTGAGTCCCCCACCCCAGGATGTTTACAGCAGTATATATAGGCCAGTAGAAACCCGTACACCAAGGAGTCCTTGGTACAATACCAATAACCATGATTCAAGTGACAGGATAGGGCCTGTAGATGAGACTGGGAGAGATAGTCATCTGCCATTCACTCCCATTTACCAGAGTGAAGAGTCTCATGATAGGGCAATGGATGGAGTACATGGGGATTATATGACAAGATACGGGGGCACAGGAAATTATCGTAACAGTGATCACATGACTTCCCATAATGCATCTGAATCTCAAGACAGAAACAGACGTGAAGAAGAAGAGCTTGATACATTGATTAACAGTCTTCAGAATGTTTGAGCCCCCTTATTCTCCAGCTTATTTGGAATTTTAGTAAAATATTACATGCATGCACTTTATTTATCAAAAGTATTATGATTGAGACGTAATATATACTGTTTATACATATAATATATATAAATCTTATACATAAAGTATGTAATAGCACAATGTAAATATTCATATTAGTAGTCCTACATATGTGCACTATGTGCACACACAATTACACATACACAAGTCATTATTTAGTAATAAAAAACGTTTACAATGCATTAAAACTGTACATTGTAAACACATCCTTAAAGTGAACACCTTAATATGTGAACACTTTGAACACCATTTAAACAGGTGTTGTTGAAAAATGTTTCACTTGGACTTGTAAATCTTAGTTTTATGATACATTTACAACCATGGATAATTGTATTAAAGTGGTAATTTTGTCAAGTTGAAATTACTAAAAATTCAAGTTGACTTGATACAGTATTATTGCATGAAATGGATTTGTTTACTCCATGTTGTATGTTGTTGTCATGAGAACCACTTGAACCTGTAATATTTAACAAGGCATTAACATGACAAAATGTCACTACTACTAGTTGCTCACAATATTGTGAGTTCAATCTTAAGTCAGATTTGAATTCCTGAGAACTTGTAGATGAAACAAACTGGTCAGTTTGAAGCAAGTTGAAAAAAGGCCTTTTTGACCCTTGAGAAGGTCATTGAAGGTCAAATCTAAAGTCAGATTTGAACCTCTGATAACTTGCAGATGATTTTGAAAAAAAATTTGGTCAATTTGAAAAATACCTTTTTGACCTTTTTTTGACCTTGAAAATTTTAAATATAAAGTTAGATTTGAACTTCTGAAAACTTGTAGATGGTTTTGAAAGAAATTGAAGACAGTCTAAACAGTATTTGTTAATTTATTGGACGTTTTAAGAATTTGTTACAGACGTTGATCGCCAGCTGCCAACCACCAACAAAAAAACGGAGACCATAACAATATGTCACCACTTTTTCATGGTGGCATAAAAATACTATAGGGTATTGCATGTGTTAGTTCTGACTGTCCAATGTTTATGTTTTCACGCAAAACTGCCAAATTCACAGAATGGTATAATCATATGCCTGTCTAAGATTATAAAGATAAGTGCTCTTCTATTGCCTTTTTACTTGTATAACATCGTTCTGTAATATTGAACAACTTTTGTGTGATCCATTTTAGTGTGTTCTGATCATTAGTACCCATTTCATCAAAATATTTTGATGTGAATACTGAATGCTGTACCTTACGTGAACATTAGGCTTTGCACTGTAATTGTAGTAAATTGATACTAGGTACTTGATACTATTCTAGTACTGTACTTGATACGGTGTCATGTTATGTGTGAGTGAATTTGTAAACTTGCAGACAATATTTTATTTATTATATATTATATATTATGTATACATGTAGATACGACAATGCAGTCAGTATATTGCATTGAAATATTATTATCTTTTTATGAAAATATTACTATTGTACATGTACCCGCTATATATTTACTTAGTGATTTTACTGAATGGGATTAGCCCTGTATGTGGTAGGTCTGTAGGTAGAAAGCTGGTTGGTCAAAACATATCATGTTTTGTGAATAAATCAAAAATTGGTTACTTCTGGTATTGAACAATGTAATATTGTTGTGATATTAATGATATTGAAATAACTGAAATATCAGTGGTGAGTTTATGTTAATATTATGATGGAAGATACATAATGGAATAGTATTCTTGCCTTGTGTTATGCATGTTATTTCACAAATGATAGGGATTTTGTAAATGAGTTTTCCATTTTGACCAAAAGTAATCTGTTTCTTGTATAAAAATGTTATCTTTTATTTGTGAATCAATGGTTTTGATTGTAGATCACGAGTGAATTGCCTTTTAAATTGCCTTCAATTTCTTCGATAATTATTTTCTGTTGATCATTCGACCTTACCCTTATGACCTTGACTTACACTGCTAGGTGGAAAGTTAGAGCTGATTAAAGTTACTAATATACAATTATCAGTATTACTTTAAAGGTGAAGTTTATCATTGGCAAAATTGATATCATGAATCATCCAACTGGCTTGCAGTCATCAAATGGTGGTTGGTCTACACTTTAATAAGTGACTGAAGAGTGTGGTGCAGTTTTGACTACAGTATATGCGAGCCTCTTTTACAGGGTGACACAAAAAGAGGAACCAATAACTCGGCAGAAAAGATTTGTAGGTTCTGTTTTTAGGGTTACCCTATACTAATTTATATACATCTATATACCAATAAATAGTAGAAGATATTTTCTATTTAAAAACAAAACAGTACATTTTGTTATATTTTTTTGTAAAAGGTTTATTAATGCTATACAAAATTAACTTAAGATCTATACAAGTTAGAGATAATATGAGGAAAATACAATTTTCCTGTACCAATTAATATAAACTAAAAGTTCACAAAATTAATTGGTAACAAATAACCTATCCTGGTACAATTACATTGACAAAGTGGGAAAATGACAGAACCATGATTTTGTTATGTTGACATCATTCATTATTTCATCATATATCAAGAAATACTTTGTCCATTAACTCTCTTAACAAATGCAATACAAAGTGTACATAAAGTGTTAATAGACATCATGGACACCCTGTATATTTTTAAACCAACAGGAAAAATTAATTTAAGTATAAAACCTGCAATAAATGAATATATCTTTTGAACACCTGAGGTGAATGCATTTTGGGACATAACGTGTAAACAATGGGAATTTGTTTGTTTATTACTCTAAATTGGGAATAATTTCAAATAAACCTGAAACAAACATAAGCTCTATATTCCTACATGTCTCATATTATTCGTTGGCACTGTATAAATCGCATTAATAATAATAATGCATCTTAGCTTCATTAAAGGTACTTCATTATTTTAGCTCTTCTGAGGTATATTTCTTAAGAGGTTCGTTCCAATTTAAGATAAATTCTTATAAAAGCTAGGAATACATTTTTCAGTCTAATTGAAAATAGAAAATGTATTTTTCCAGTCAAGAATGTCATAGCTTTTGATCCCTGGCCAACTTTGCATTCCTCTATCTATGTGTTTATCTGCTTCGATTTTTCATATTTAAGTAGCGACAAAACATATCAGTTGATGTATAGATGTATAGCTGAACTATAAGTAGTCGGAAAACTGCTGGATTTCTTTTACTAATTAATGCTATTTTTGCACTTCTCCACTCCATGCCATCTCTCTCTCTTTGAAAGAATGACCTGCTTTTCTTGCATTTCAATACAATCCACTTCGTTATCTGCATGTCTGTTTACTTTATTCCTTGCCGATTTCATTCTTTTTCATTTTAATTCACCTTTCTCAACATATATTTCAATGAAATTATCTGGATATCCAATTTCGAATGTGAAAATCCATGATAATATAGCACCAAAGAAACGGATGAGTTGAGCTTGAAAATAAAGACAATTGCTAGTTTCCATAGTAACATCCACTATTATTACACAAGTAAGAATACCATTTTCCCCACATACTGTTACTACACAACTTGAGTAATAACTACTTGAGTAACGACTGAGATGCCATGAGTAGCATTTTTAATGGCCGAGTCATTCTGTCCACTGACCTAGTCTGTAAACAGGCGTGTATTTTTTGACATAATGTGTGTAACACTATAGGCATATGTTCTCTTGTCACTGGGTTAGTGCTATCTAGATTCATCACTGCTTCTTCAAGGTACCTGCAAATATACATGGCTTTGAATTAGGGAGGATATCTGGGTTTTTACATGACTTAAAATACTAAAAGCACTTTACATTATGTGACTTATAAAAGAATGCGCACACAACTAGAGAAAAATGTTTGGCATTATGTAATTTATTGTTCTACTCTAGGCTAACTAATAACAACAAAATTACAGGAAAATTGATTCATAGAATGAAATGAATCAATTACCCCCACCATCCGGAGAGGTTACATTGCATCGAAAAAACAAACCATGTATGAATTATGGCACCGTTGTGGGGGGGGAGGGAGCCAAAAATTACAAGCAATATAGCATTATAACTAGCACATGTTGTCCGCTGCAAGGACAGTAGCAGAATAAGCAGATAACAGCCAGACACAAGAATTTTACATAACAGTTGAAGCATGCAGGAAACATAATATGTTGACCTGGTGATGACCCAGGCTGTCTTGAGAAACCCCTCTCAAGTTTAAATTAATTTCACCATGAAATAATAATTAAACTCATGTGACTTATAAAAGAATGCGCACACAACTAGAGTAAAATGTTTGGCATTATGTAATTTGTTGTTCTACTCTAGGCTAACTAATAACAACAAAATTACAGGAAAATTGATTCATAGAATGAAATGAATCAATTACCCCAGATGGGCCAAACTCTGACCATTGTGCTATTGTGTCGAACATAAGAGTTAAGGTCCCAAGAGAGCCATCTATTAACAAGACTATGTGGAATTTTGATAATGCTAACTTAGAGCAACTTAACATTGACATAGCTGACTCTGATTGGAGCTTCATTCTTAAAAATTCAGTCAATATCGCAGCTGAAAGATTTGTTGATAACTTCATGTCTATAATTAAAGTTAACATTCCCTGCAAAACTTTCTCTGTACGGTATAATGATCAACCATGGTTCACTAGTACCATTAAAAAGGAAAAAGCGTAATAAACTTCATCACAAATATAAAGCAACTGGCAACATAGAATTTTATAACAAATATGTAATTCAAAATAGAACTGTGAATCAATTAATCAGTGAAGCTAAAGCAAACCATGAAGTTAAAGTCAGAGAAAAAATTGATAATGTTTCTAAAAATTCTATTGAGTATTGGACGTTGATCAAAGACTTACTTGGAAAAAATCACGCAAGTTCCTTTCCTGTTCTTATTGACCCGGTGACAAATATTTCAGCATGCAACAGTTATGATAAAGCAGAGGCTTTTTTAAAATACTTTGTCAGTAAAAACTGTGTGGAAAATGATAATATCAATGTACCACCACTTGAGTTAAGAACAAACAGCATGTTGCAGGAGATTAGAACTACACCTCAGGAGGTTCTTGAACTATTCTCAAGCCTTGACATTAATAAGTCTCATGGTCCAGATGGAGTTACTAATAGAATGATCAAGTGTTGTGCCACCAGTTTATGTATTCCAACCAGTCAATTGTTCAACAGAATTTTAGAAGAGAATGTATTTCCTGACATTTGGAAGGAAGGCACTGTAATTCCAATATTTAAGAAAGGGGACAGAGGTTCGATTAGCAATTACAGACCAGTCACCCTATTATGCACCTTCTCTAAAATACTAGAAAAAATTATTCACGGAAGACTTCTTTTTCATCTGTTAGACAATAACCTTTTGTACAAATTTCAGAGTGGCTTTCTGCCAAAACATAATACGGTAAATCAACTTGTAAATATCATTCATGACCTTCATATTAATATAGATCAAGGTAAAAATGTACGTTCCATATTTCTCGACCTGACGTCAGCTTTTGACCTTGTTCCACACCAGTTATTACTTAAAAAACTTAAAGCTTATGGTTGCGATAATAATTTTGTTTCACTGATGACATCTTATCTTTCTAACAGGAGAATACAAGTACGGGTCAACAATAGTTTATCAAGATGGTCAAAAGACTATGAACAGTTGAATCAGTTGAATGCTGAAGTTGAACCAGAAGATAATGGTAACCGTAATCACAACTTGATCATCAATGCCGGTGTACCACAGGGGTCTGTTTTGGGACCCCTACTTTTTCTAATTTATATTAACGATTTGCCGGATAATCTTAATTCTAAAACTTTCATCTTTGCCGACGACACTTCTCTGTATGATGCATATGATAAAAATGAAGTACACATGAACATTAATCAGCCATTACAACATGACCTTGACACTCTAAACAATTGGGCTTCAGTGTGGAAAATGAAATTCAAAGCCCAAAAGAGTGCTGATATAACATTTTCAGGGCTACGCACCAAAGTTAACAATCAGTCTCCCCTGTTTTTAGGGGATGAAGAAGTTCCCAAATGTATAATGCATAAACACCTCGGATTAGTCATGGACAGTAAACTAAATTTCAATGCACACATCGACCAATTAATTGTAAAGATTAACAACTTAATCAGACCATTGAAAGCTCTATGCAAAAAATTATCAGCCAAGCATCTTGAGACAATTTATAATGCTTACTTTATACCTCACTATGACTATTGTGATATAATTTACAACAAAGCTTCCTTAACCAAACTCCAAGCTCTAGATAAGTTACACTACAGAGCAGCCTGTTTGATATCTGGTGCAATACATGGATCAAGTACTGACAAGGTATTTGCATCCCTAAATTGGAAATCTCTTGCATCTAGAAGAGAAGAACATTTGAAAATATTTATTTTTAAAGCACGGTTTAATTGTTTTCCACCTTTCATATGTGATTTAGTTCGCTCCTATGAAATCACTCATACTAGAAACTTAAGATCCCAGCCAGACTATCGGATTCCAAACCAGATTAGTGTATCTAGTGAGAAGTCCACATTATTTAAATCCATGACCCTATGGAATAAACTTCCAAATACATCCATAGTTGGTCAACCTATTTCAAGATTTAAAAATCAGTAAGAGAGTGCATGAGCCTGGTCTCTGTATCAACTTCGAAAATGAATATTTTTATGCCAAGACATATTGAGATAGTTTTTAATAGGCTTAGAGCTGGCCTCCTCTTGAATAGCCATCTATATTCTCACAACTTTGTCTCAGTAACTGATCCTAAATGTCCATGTGGTTCTAGGTATCAAACTACAGAGCATTTTCTGGTTAAATGTCCACTGCTTGTGAATGAAAGAGATGTTTTACTTGCAGGGCTAACAGACTTAAATCTTTTAAGTGAATTTGAAAACTTTTCAAACCAAAATAAAACTGATTTTCTCTTGTATGGTGACAATTCTTTAAGTGTTGAAGTCAATGAAAAATTAATTGAGATTTCAGCTCACTTCACTAGTCAAGCTTTTAAAGCTCTTGATCAAGATCTTTTTAATAACTAGCGTAAAGAATTGAGGTAGAGGGTGGGGCAAGCAGAGTAAACACAGTAATACATTCCATATTATTGCAAATGTTCAGTGTATTTTCCTAATCAATCAATATTTTTTGTCAAAATAGTTACAATTGCCGCTAATGTTATCTAATAACCTTGGCAATTTTTCTTATGTACACATTTGATGATTGATCGAAATAAACTGGAATATTAAAAAAAATAAAAAAAAAATGGGCCAAACATTTTAAAGTAGAGTGTAGAAGTATTATATATACGAAGTAATTATTATAACAATCAAAAGTCAAAGGATCAAGATCACTTCACACTAATGTCGGTCATAAAAGTTCCTATCTCAATTTAATGGTAGATTAGCTGTGAAATCTTTAATAACTTGAAGTCTGTTTTGAAGTGGCATCTCCAAATACCTTTGATAAGCAGAATTCCATTTCTCCAGATCTTATTCTTATATTTCTGAGATATCCTTCAGACAAGAATATCACCCTTGGAGTAAGTTTGATTTAATATCTACCATTTAATATGAGAATCATGCAGTAGGGTTACTTACTGGTGTTTGAGTTCAGTGTTTGTCTCTAGGTCAGCAGACAATTGTTGTATAAGAGATAGCAGAACAGGTTGCTCCAGGGGACAGGGGGTTTGGTGGAACACTTGCGTTGGGTTCACTGTCTCACATACAAATATCACCAGGTTAAGATCAGATGCGGATAATGCCTGTAATAACAAACAATATAGCTTACCACGTATGCAAGATATATATTTCATATGACCACATACCTGGACAGAAAACGTGATTCCTCTAAATCGTAGATAAAATATAAGTACACTTTATGTAATATCTACACATAAAATATCACAAAGATTACATTATATTTGACAAAATTATTTCAAAATTAGAGCGTAATGTTTTTTGTGTATATGGTGGTATAGGAATGTTTAGATTGAGGAATAGCATGGTATTTAGACTTTGAAGTACTGTGTTCCTACCTGTTGAAAGGCAGTATTTAACTGTCCTTGTGCTAACAGGTTCACGATGTGCGTTTGTTGTTGGTGGGGGTCTTGCGTTGCTATGGGAACCGGGGTAGCAGCTGTGGTGCGTACTGCATTCATGACACTGTCGCTGATTGTGCTTTGTTGTTCTTTCATGGCACTGGCCATTTCTGTCTTTACAACTGAGCGAATTTCCTTTGTGAGGGAACTTTGAATACTGAAATTATAGAAGACACTTGTTACTTTCCTTCATTTTAGCATTCTAGAAGGAGACCCTTGTGGAATTTTTGAGACTGTTTGAATGTTCATAATGAATGAATATTGAGACAAACAATGTTTAAATAAGTTGCTCACTATTTTAGATTCTTTTGCATATTCAATTCATTGTTTTAAAAATCAGCGCTTACCCTTTCACTTCCTGTTTCAGTGTGGACATTACTTGAGCCTGTGAGTCTGCAGTCTGTTTAAACATATTAGTGATACCCTGTAGTTGAGAAACTATGGGGTCCTGTAAGGATTCTTGTCGTTTCCGTAACTTGTCCAGTTGACCCTCAAACATTTGTGTGTCTAGAGAATGCAAAAATCAGTCTTTAGAATATTTGATTAGAACAATAAGGTTTGGTGATATTTTAATTGGGTTATCTCAACATTGGGTTAGGGAAATAAAATGCATTAAAACATTATGTACATGTAGCCATTGGGGATGTAATAAAAAAGTTTGGGCAATAAAACTAATTCTCTGACTCATATATCAATGGTAAATTAAAGAGACAAAGAAAAATAAATGGTACCATGGGTACTGGGCTCCCATGGTGTTTATCAAAAGTGAATGATGGCTAAAATGGCAGAAAATAAAAAAATGGAGGTAATTTTTGCCAATTTTTACAAAATTATTTCATACAACTACTCTTTACAGTGACAGACAGACAGATGTTCAGACAAACGTACAAGTGAGTAACTGCAATAGCTCACCATGTGAGCTAAAAAAACAGGAAATAAATCATTCTGTGAAAACTTTATATAAAACTATATAGTTTATACTGTACTTACATTCTCTGGTTCCTTGTTGAAAAGTGTCATTCATTTGTCTAAACAGGTTATGGCAGGATCTCTCAAATACTGGCACCACTATGGCTTGGAAAGCATCTTTATATGAGGCCTGGATAATACCCTGGATGGCCTGACCTGCTGATTGTCCAATTGCATCGGTTGTTTGCTGAAATACAAGTGGAGGGTGATATATTGCAAGAAAGGTGTTTGGAGGCCTGGACTATAAGATCAGAATAGAATCCATCAATCAGTATTTGAGTTATCATCTAGACAGACAAAGAGACAGATGAACGGATAAGCGGCTTTTCTATATTCCTCAGCGATAGGATAAAGACACAACTATGCATTTAATCAGCTTTGAAATGACAGGCATTTTAGACATTGGACCTAATTTTCATAGCTGCTAACAAGTGAATTCCAATACCCAATGGCCTTTAGCCAAAGCTATATTTAATACATAAAAATACCAAATCAATAGTGACCTTTTACAAGTAATTTGCATTTGAGTTTGTGGTTTACATAATAGCTACTGACATCCACAAGATGAGTTCTAGTGCACTTTCAATAAAGAAGATTATAGTTTTGATATGTGGTGCAGGTCTTCTACTAATCTATATGAGATTGGCTAACTTTGAGAAAGTTATGGAAAAGATAACAGAAGGATTTAGGAAACAACAGCATTTTGAAGACAGTTAGTACTTTTTTATATTTACAGTTAGATTAAACAAACAATAGTTTAAACTCTTTGATTAAATATTTGCCAATGTTGATTCCATCTTTGTAAGTTTTAACAAGAATATTGTAAAGAAATTTTGATTTTAAACAATATGGTCCAAAATAAAATATGGTCAAAAATAAATATTCACAAGGTTATTTCATGATTATGAGGAACGTGCCCAAGGTGATAGCAATTGATAAATGACAAGCAATCAGATATATACAGTGTATCAGATATATCCTTTGATAATTCTCAGGAATAATATCAAATGATGTGTAAACAATCTCCAGAATTAGAAAATGTACACCAAATTTTTATAGATTGGGAATGTCTCTGAGTGTTTTCTAAAAATCCCACGAAAGAAAAATGAAAAAGTTGTTTTAAAAGAAAAGAGGGAATTCTTCTTTCTTCTTTCTCAGCTGCCATTGAATTTAAGTTTATATGTCTTCAGATATTGATTTGTCCACTTTGGAGTGTGGTGAGATATGCAGTTATGAAGTAAAAGTTGAAAAAGCAGGAAAATATTATCCATTTCTTCAGAAAGCTGTCAACTGTGTATCTATCATGGGACGTATGGCACTCAATCCAGCAACACCAGCGTCTCCACCAAAAAGAATTCCAGATGAGATGTTTGATGCTTTTACTCAAAATGGGGAGCTTCCAATCAATGAGTTTTGGTATTTGAATGGTACTAGCATTGGAAAACAAAAAAACTTTTCAACAGGCCATATCAATGAACTAATGAATAAAAATGAGAAAGGGAAAGTTATTGGACCTTATCGAGTTGCTGAGCCTAAAATGGCAATTGCTGCATATGTTACTGAAATTAGACACAAACGTGGAGTTGTGATTGGCTCTCAATCACCCTGGCTTGAAGCACTGGCTTTATCTGCTGGTGCAGAGCACATTACAACACTGGAATACAACAACAACATGTTTCTCCACCCTAAGATAACCAAAATCCATCCATATGATATGGCAAGAAAATACAAAGATGGTAGCTTTCAAGAATTTGATTTTGCACTATCTTTTTCATCAATTGAACATTCTGGTCTTGGTCGCTATGGTGACCCTCTGAATCCCTATGGTGATCTAGAAGCTGTTGCACAAGTTTGGTGCATGCTCAAACCAGGGGGATTATTTCTCCTTGGGGTTCCTGAGACACATAATAAGAACTCCTTTATGGTGTTTAATGCTCATAGAGTTTATGGACAGAGTAGGCTTAAGCATTTAACAGCAAATTTTGAGGTGCTTCATCATTTCAAGGCATCTCAAGGACCACAAGGTGTTTGGGTTTTGAAAAAAACATAGTGCTCATATCTGTACGTTGCTATATATTCATTTTTTCTATATATATATATTTTTTCTATATGTTCATTTTTTATCTAATTTTTATTATCTAATTTTTGAATGTAACAGAAAAAGGACACTAATACAAGGCATTAACATGCCAAAATGGCACCACCTAGTTGCTCACAGTTTTGAGTTTAAAGACCATGACAATACGTCACCACATTTTGGTGGTGACATAATAGAATATCAATTGCTAGAGAGAAGAAGGGAAATAATATCTATAAAAAAGCACTTTTTCAAATTTTAAATTCAATGGACATATTGAAAATTCATTTTTGAGCCCTTTGAGTCCTATATCCCTAAGGCATTCACATATAAAATTTGAAACAAATCGGATGAGCGGTATTTGAGTTACAAAAGTAACAAAAAAATGGCAGCCGTTTTGAACTTATGTCCCAGGGCATCAGCATATAAAATTTGAACCAAATCCGATAATTGGTCTTTGAGTTATCACAGATAACATTTTTTTGTACGGCTGTCCCTCAGGCATCAGCATATGAATCTGTCCACTAGTATTTCAGTTATCAAAATCATTCTCGAGCAGAGGTCCCATCCCCATTAGGCATCAGCTATGAAATTTGAGCCTAATCTGTCAACCGGTATTTGAGTTATCGCCCGGACAGACAGATGAACAGATCAACAATGATGCCATTCTCTATATCATCTGAACTTTGTTGGATGAGATTATTACAATTTACTTACTTTTGATCTTACTAGTTTGGATATATTTTCTTTCATAAGTGAGTCAGTGGCTGTAAGTTTCTGGGCCATTTCCTGGTGTAAAGAATCTTTTAATGGATCTAATGCCTTTGCAAGGGCTGAAAAAATAAGACATGTTTGTCATAAATATGTAATAGCCACATGTACAACTGTTGACATTGTTCTATTTATGTGATAAATTGATTTTAATTGAAGGAGGGGAACCAATCTACACACACGCCATCTATATTTATATCTGGAGGTGAGACTACATTAATATTGCATAGTCATTTGGATTGTAGAAATTTTATCCCTTTCTAATAATTCATCTCTTTTTTTATTCTTGATTTTTCGTCATCATATAATGCTATACAATTTAATTTTCAGATCATAAAATACAAGAACTGGTACAGTAGTAGTTACTGTATTGGGCCACGGACAATCACTCACCATAAAACTAATAAATCAAATGAAGCAATCATTTTGTTATCATATATTGCTATTCTATAAAAGATGACATACTTGGTATCACATTGTTTTTTATTTCCTGTTTGACGATTCTGTCTATTTTATTGGATAGTGTCGACTGTAGAGATTGCGTCATATTAGCCAGTAGCTGCTCCTGCTGAATCTGTTCTTTTTGATGTTTCTCCCCCAGGAGACCATGAAGTTTCTCCTCTGTTATTGGTCAAGGATTTTGTTTGAAATTATGGATTTGATTGGTCAAGAAATTACCTATAATGCATTCCATTATAGAAGTAAAGATTTTTTTTATTCCTTTTTCAGGATTTTCGGACCAATTTTTCAAGTCATAACTTTCATTCAAATTCCAGGATGCTAAGGCAAAGAAAATACCAGAAATAAAAGTTATCTTTTTATGAGTTATTTCACTTTAGTATATTAACCTTCACTAAGCAAGGTTAAAACAATGAAATTATATTTTGGAAATAAAGAATATCTGAATTTGACATTATTGGACAACAAGAATCGCCTTATTTTAAAAATTCAAAGATTGATTCGAACAATAAAAAAATGACTTATTTTTTCACATAAAGATAAAGATGAAGAAAAGGTAGGCTAATGAATATTATAGCCAGTGAAGATATTGTATTGATGTGGGGAATGAAAATTCCTCAAGAGAATATCTTTAATACAAAACTTGGCCTCAGTAGTCAAAGGATACGCTCACTCTGTGAGTGTTGAGTAAGAGCCCCCTCAACTCTGCGTCCAACAGTGTGTTCAAGTCTGTTCAGCTGAGTTCTTTGTTCTTGGACCTCATAGCGCAACTGCTGGACTTCATTCTGATGTTCTCGTAACAGTGCTGACATCTGCTGCATTGTATCGTTGACCTTAGATTAAAAATCTAGAGAGTGAGTCGTCATACTTGAGATTTCATTAAAAGATTAATTCGATTTATCTCAACAACAATGTAGAATGATAAATAAATAATATTGATAACAATATCAAAAACAGATTTTAAAATGGGTAAAACAAACTCCATTGTGTAAGTTTTTGAAATCAAGTAACTCAACGCTCTCCTATAGGTCTTTATACATATATAAGTCAGGAGCATGTCATATGCATAGCAACATTTAATTCATATATGGAAGACATAAGTGAAATCAATGTTGTTAATCACTTACCTCTTTCATAGGGACATTGTATATAACTGGCAGCGGGTCTCGACTGAAAAAAGATTGCTCAACAGTTAGATTGGGAATGATGAAATTGTTACTGAACAAATTGATTTACACAATGATTTTGCCTAAATTAAATAAAATCATTTATTAAAAATAAAAGTATTATTAGCATGACTGTATTTATCAAATTTTCAGAATATGTTACATGTTCAAAACTGGACAATTTTCAGATTAAGAATCAAGTGAAATAATTTTCAGATTATGAAGTGCAAAACAAGTCCAATGCGCAAAATTAGATTATTTTCAGATTATAAAAAAATTGCAAAACCTAACAAAACAAGTGCAAAACTGAACAATTTTCAGATTCTGAAACAAGTGCAAAACTGAATAATTTTCAGATTCTGAAACAAGTGCAAAACTGAACAATTTTCAGATTCTGAAATAAGTGCAAAACTGAACAATTTTTCAGATTCTGAAACAAGTGCAAAACTGAACAATTTTCAGATTCTGAAACAATTGCAAAACTGAACAATTTTCAGATTCTGAAACAAGTGCAAAACTGAACAATTTTCAGATTCTGAAACAAGTGCAAAACTGAACAATTTTCAGATTCTGAAACAAGTGCAAAACTGAACAATTTTCAGATTGTGAATCAAGTGCAAAACTGAATTTCAGATTATACAACATGGGCAAAAATGAATAATTTCAGATTATGAAATGACTGCAAAACTGATAAAGCTTCTGATTATGAAACAAGTGCTAATTTGAACTTAAAACTATATCGATTGAAACAGAATCTAGCATGCAATTCCAGATATATTACACCATCTTATCACCTGAATAATGTAAACTGCAATGTTATTGAAACTGGTGCAAAATAAATGTGTATATAATAGTACCTAGTGTCTTGAACAGACTGGGGTTTACTGGGCTTGTCTGGACTACTCATACTGGATGACAGTAACATACTTTCTTCATTGTTGAACGGGTCACTAGGAAAACATTTACAGTTTAAGTGACACTCGTCATAAAAATGTCAAGGTGACATTATGGGACACTAAAATTTCACTCTTCAAAAAATTGATTGATTCATGCCTTTATAGTATTTATTTAATTCCGTGTTCATTCCACATTTTACCTTATAATAGTTTTAATATCAAAACATGATCTCCATGACAATTTTACAATCGTGAAAATAGAAAATATCCATAGCCAAAATAAAAAATCTTGTAAGATATTGACAACTCTAAGAGACAACATCTATAGAAGCTAGATGAAACATGCATGATTCAGGAATAAGACATACATGGGACTAAAATGACACACTTAACTTAACATTTTTGAACTTACGTTGATTCGCTCCTGGGCAGGGGAGATGGCTCACGTGGGGAACCATTGATCACCACATCTTCTTTCTCCAACTCAACATCTCCTTCCAGTTGCTCTGCGAATGTCTGGCCATCAATGACCGGCTCACTTAAAATTAGAACAATTCGTTAAAATATTGTTGAGATCAACAGCGATCTCCCGAGCATTAGAGAAACTGGGTCACATTCTACATGCAGCACATTGATACATTCATGCAAGAACGTTTCACTATCTATTGTATATTATAACCAGATTAAACATCAATTAAAATATGAAATGTGGTTTAGCGAGAAGTAGCCAGGCCTGAAAATTAGACGAGGCTTTAAATAAGTTTAGGAAAAACTCTAGCCAAAAAGCATCTTATACAAAATTCAAGATGCTCAAATTCCTTTTTCTACTTTTTCTACAACTGCTGAAGATTGGACACTATCCTTTATATATTTCCAAACAAACAAAAAGATGAGTTTTGAGAATAGATCGTTAAGCAAAACTCATCTAACCACACATTATGTATTGTTAATGTATGAACAGAACATCTAAAAGTAAATATTAGAACAAACAGGTAGTTTAGGCTTCAATGGACTCCCAAGGACTCTAACCTTATAGATTAAATATATCACTACACCTATAGATTCTTAATTAAAGAAAACAGGATTAAGGGATGAAATTATTGTATTAGTAGGTCAATTAGGGTCCTTAGCAGTGTAAGATCATAACAGCCTTATTTACACTACATGCAACACTCCAAGATGTCTTTGCTAAAGTTTTAGTAAAATTATGTTGAGTTTACACCACCATTTTCAAGATGTTTTACAAAATATGATTGAGTTTACAACTGTTTTTCTATAACGTCTTAGAGATATGTAGGAATACATGTAAATTGAAAAAAGCAGTTCACTGCTGGTCGAAGGACAGTTCAGCCAATATAGCTATTCCTTTCCCGCTTCTATACTTTATGCTAAAGAATGCATCGGTTTCATAAAATATGTCCTAAAAAGAGCATTGTTAAAATTATATGAGAGAGCAGGAAAAGTTTGTGCATATATTAGGATTATGATAGAACCCCAGGCAAATTAGTTCTCAATATTTATAGGATGATAATGGACACAAGGGAACGGACAAGAGAAAGGACCATGCGACACTTGTAAATGGGAAGTTTCAAATTTTTCGTTCAGCGCATTGCAAAAAACCGGGCTAAGAGCTCTTAGCTAAAACTGATTGATTTACTCTTGCTTGTAAAATGTTTTAACGCTAAGACGTCTTGGCTATTACTTTGGTCCTAAAACGTTTTAGCTAAGCACTCTGAGACGAGAGCTCTTGAGTAAATCTGGATTTACATTACATTTGTAAAACGTTTTAACACTAAAATGTTTTACCCAAAATGTCTTAGGGCTCTAGTGTAAATCCAACAATTATACAGTATTCACTGAGGTTTTCTTTTGGTGCAAATATGAAAAGAACAATGCTGTTCTGTGGTGATTTGAGGGCCAAAAGATGTAAACAGAACATTTTATTCAAAGAAGATTGTGGCACCGAAGTACATTAAGTTAAATATTTACTTTCAGTAACATTTCGAGAATGCTGAAACACCACAAGCTTGTTAGATATAAAGCTAACAAATGTTAAATCTAAGGATTAATAAATATCTATATTATGTATGAAATCAACCAATTGAAATCCACCAAAGCTTCTCCTAACCTATCATCTCTTATATCTACACTCTGATTGGCCAATACAATGTCGTCTGTTTGTCCAAGGTCAGAGTTCAAGGTCACAAGCTGGTCGGTAACATCAAGGTCATCTAAGTTTGAACTTGAATCATCTCCAGTTTGATTCTCAGTACTGTCTTCTTTGCTATAAGTCAAATGTCATTTCATGGCAAAAGTAAATACAATATATACAACACAACACCCATATAGCAAAAGTTTACAATACACACAACACAACATCCATGTTGCAATAGTTTACAATATGTGTCACACATAAAAGTTGTACGAAATCACAGAATAATGCATTAAAATCATGCCCCATTTAAATTTCTAAAATTTGAACAAAGCGTCAGATTTTTTCACATTTCTTTGCTGCCAAATTACAACATGACAAACAAAATCTTATTTTCTCACTCTGGTTTTTGCACATGTACATTTGACACATTGATCCTCAACGATGAAAAAACTGTCAATAAATACCTGCTACTTATGGCTTCTGCCCTCTCTGCACTTCGATTGATGAGTGGTGCATTTGGCCAGATAGTGTAGTCATATTGATCCCGCGATGGTCCATCACCTCTCTCGTTAGGCTGCTCAGGGGTCTGTGCTGATGATTCATTCTCAATTTCATCAACATTAAGATCTTGTTCGATTTCCTCGACAATTTCTACTTCATCGGCATCTTGGAAATTTTCGGCATCTTCCTCTCCAATATTACCAGCAATTGTTGAGAAATGTTCTTGTTCTGATTTCCGAGTTTGGGATTGTGAGAATATTTCACTGACCTCTAGTGATGCTGAACTTGAGCTTCCTGTGCTCTGAAACACTTGCCTGCGTCCAAGTGCAGAACCAAACATGGCATCTATAGTTTCAGAGGTCGCCACAGGGGGCTCCCCTTGTCCTAACCTATGGTGCTGTTCCATTAATTTCCTCTCCTCCCCAGGTGTAACTGGTGGAAGAGGAACACTTGATGGAGTCTTAACATGGCCAGGGCTGGCTGTTGAGGAGGGAGTAAGTGTGATTGAGCTACTGGGTGAGCCTGTAAGTTGAGGGGTGGTCACCTGGTCTTCCAACATGGCTGTTACATGTGTAAAGCTGCTACTTGTACTGCTTTGGAGAATACTACCATCAGATGCACTAGTATCTGTCGCTATCCTAAAAACATAATAATAAACAGCCTTATTACACATTAATAGGGTTTTAGATAAAATATTTCACACTTCACATTTGTATTTCACTTTAGTTACACATTGATAGTATCTATAACTTTCAGACTCAGACCACATACTTATTGAGTAGAAATCAATGTAAAAATCATAAATCCACATATATTGAAGGTCAAAAGGTTAAATTAAAATCCTAAAATTAAATTTAAAAAAGGATTATATTCACATAACCAGATGTGAGATTTGACCTTCCACATATTTGAGGTCAAAAGGTTAAATTCCATTCTACAACTTCATTAAATTCATATCTACAATCGCATATGCGATTTAACCTTCCATTAACATTCAGTGACCTTTAAGGGGCTAAATATGTTTTGATTCATTCACTAAAGACCTAAAAAGGTTAGGAAACACTACCTAGACACAGGGCTAGATGTAAAGGCATCAGGGGTAAGGAGTACAGGGTGAGGCACATCTTTGGTCGACTTATCTGTCTGGAAACCTTCATTTTCTGAGCTTGATATCATACTCATATCAGACAGGCCATCTTTCAGACCTACAAAAATATTAATTTAACACATTTTAAGACCAAAAAGGCATATTTTTAAGACATATTTTTTCAAACCTCAAATGAAACTATTTACATAATTTTTCAGAGATATAACAAATGTCTTCTAAAAAAATTAAGCTTCCTAAAAAAGTATACCAATTAATTTTGCTTAAAAATTAATTTATAAATTAAATTTGTTTAAAAAATAAATTGATAAATTTTCTTTATACCACTGGATTTTGAAAATTGGAAACCTATTAATAAATACCTATTTCATCCTGGGAGACTGAGCTTACAGAGCAAGCTGTATTGGGGAAAGTCACAGAAGATTCTGGCTTAAATCGTATCTGTAGTTCCTGCAGCGCCCTAAAAGCAAATGCATGATTGTAGTCTTGTAATCTGATCTCTGGATGAGGTATTAATACTACAATGTATGAGAACTGTCTTTCCATAGCATGAATTTAGAATGTAGGTTGAATGTTGCATTGGTATGTTTGACAATCAACTGAATGGAAAGGGGTTTCTAGACATTTTACCCCTTGGACAGTTCACCCGATACATTGCAATGAATAAATACTTTGTTACAAGACTTACTTTGAATGGAGTGAGTACAAGTATGACTTACTTTGAATGGAGCGAGTACAAGTATGACTTACTTTGAATGGAGCGAGTACAAGTATGACTTACTTTGAATGGAGTGAGTACAAGTATGACTTACTTTGAATGGAGTGAGTACAAGTATGACTTACTTTGAATGGAGTGAGTACAAGTATGACTTACTTTGAATGGAGCGAGTACAAGTATGACTTACTTTGAATGGAGCGAGTACAAGTATGACTTACTTTGAATGGAGTGGGTACAAGTATGACTTACTTTGAATGGAGCGAGTACAAGTATGACTTACTTTGAATGGAGTGAGTACAAGTATGATTTACTTTGAATGGAGCGAGTACAAGTATGACTTACTTTGAATGGAGTGAGTACAAGTATGACTTACTTTGAATGGAGTGAGTACAAGTATGACTTACTTTGAATGGAGTGAGTACAAGTATGACTTTCTTTGAATGGAGTGAGTACAAGTATGACTTACTTTGAATGGAGCGAGTACAAGTATGACTTACTTTGAATGGAGCGAGTACAAGTATGACTTACTTTGAATGGAGCGAGTACAAGTATGACTTACTTTGAATGGAGTGAGTACAAGTATGACTTACTTTGAATGGAGTGAGTACAAGTATGACTTACTTTGAATGGAGTGAGTACAAGTATGACTTACTTTGAATGGAGTGAGTACATTTTGACTAAGACACCAATATTTGAACCCTCTTCCATTCTGTCACAGATTTCCTCTTCATCTTCATCATTCATGATCTCACCTGGAAAACATTAGAACCAAATATTAAGACTGTTACAGTAGTAATTGATGGTGGTATGCATTAATGAAAGATGACATACATTAGGCTGGAAGATAAGGACCTCAATAATTGGCTGGACAAATTGTCTTTCCGAAAATAATTGTCCAGAGGCTTCCACAGTTGACAAGGCATAAATAAAGCTTAATTGCAGCACTGATACATTACTAAGAGATGATGTCAGGCATGTATTTATGTGCATTAACCAATCAACATCTCATTATCAAATAATGACAGGCACTAATCAATGTTGTGTAATGAATAATAAAAATGCGATAGAAACAGTAATTGAAATAAGAAGGTTATCTACTTTAAATTGGATTTACTTTCACATTATAGTTCAAACATTTAAAATGTTGATCAGATGCCGCTAACCTGTTGTTACATCATCCATCTCATGATGCTCAGCAGATCGTTTAAATTTCCTTCTGCTTGCATCGAGAATAGCGTAACTGAGACAGGGATTGGCCAGGATAAACTCTGACACTGAACTGACGTGAGCTTTACCAGCAGTAGCGTCTTGATGGAGGTGTAGAATGTACAGAACCTAAAGTAAAAAACAAATATGGCTCTAGGCGTTTCAAGTCACTTGTAAATTCCCTTTTCTTCTCCCTCCCAGTGGTGAGAAGTAAATATGGGGGTTCATGAGGGATAAATTATAATTAGATTGTGTATTTTTCGATAATACAATTCTAGCGTGAAAATAAACATACCATGTACAATAGGATATTACATCACTGTAAACATCAATTATTTCAGTAAAATGTACCATACAAGTAGTATATTAATTGCAAATTGATATTCCTAACACCAAATTGCCAATGTATTGTGGCTACTTACGCTGCGTTTAATATCAGAAAGCACCATATAGCTGGCACTGAGATCTATGTTGGCTTTGATAATGGGCTCTATGTAACCAGATGACAAATTGTTTGGTGCAGTAAAGTTGATGGTCTGAAGACACGTCCAGGACTCGCAGCTCCAGACTTTGATCTGATTGTTGTTGTCAGCGCCAGTCACTGCATACTTCCAGAATTGGACACTGAAACACATGATCATGTAAATAAATGTAGATGGACTAACATATTTGGCAAATGCATGGAATTGTTTATTTCGTTGGATAGTAATTCAGTAAGACATTTTAAATTGTGACAATTGGCAATTGCATGGAATGGTTTATTTCGTTGGATAGTAAGGCAGTAAGACATTTTAAATTGTGACAAATTCTTGCTATTTCTTGGTTGAATTGCATGCTCCAGAACTTTGCCAAAATTAAATGTTCCAACAGTATGTAATTGATAAATAAAAGAGCAGTGCAAAACGTATATTTTTACTTATCTTACTTTTACTACACTAAGCCTTATCTAAAGTCTTGTAGTTGTTCATGCACTGATTTTTAGCAATTTTGTCCAATGAAGACTTTTGAACCATTAATACACTATATCGACCTCCACTTGGTGCTTTATTTGCCCATGATTGCACTTTGTACTTACTCTGGGTTAGGATGTTTGTGGTCATCAAGAAAGAATAAACAAGAGAGAGGTTTCCCTTCATGTGGTTTCCACTGGTGAAGACAGCGTGGAGATGTTGATTCATGCATGTAGACTTGGAAAAATTTCACTTCTCCATCGAGACTTGCTGTTGCTAGGGCAGTGCCATCTGGTGAGAAGGATGCATCCATTATCGCCTGGAAAATTCAATCGTAATAGTGATGGAGGTTAACAATAATAATGCTGTACTTTGTTTGAAGATGGTGTGATGATATTTTATTTGAGATGTAGTGATCTCCCCAGCATTAAAGCAACTGGGCACAGCACCCACATGAGATTTTAAAGACAGGCTTGCATCCACCTGGGAATTCATTTGCACTCACTTGAAAATGAAAAAAATCATGAAATATGGGCATATTTTGACCAGTTTTGGTCTGAATTGTGAAAATGAGAATTTTGCACCCACTCGAGAAAAAGGTCAAATTTTAATCAAACATGAAACACAGTATTTGTGTGATTTTTTATGTGATTTTTTTGTGGGATATTGATCCATTAAAATACAGATGATACATTTGGATTTTTTGATGAGACATTTAGATGCTTGTAATTTTAACCACTAGTTTCTTGACATTAACAATTAATTAAATAGATAATCTTCAGGTGTATAAGAACTGGTTTATTTCCAAAGACCAAATGGTCAATTAATGATTAAATAAAAAAACAAGAATCAATCTGAGACATTAACAATCTGGACCCCAGCCAACACCTGTCTGTATATTACTAACCTTTGTATGGCTGTCGATGACGAGGTATCCAACATCAATATCATCAGGATAAAGGGGTCCACATCCAAACTTGCGTGTCACAATATCAATGCTCCACATTTCAGCCTGAAAATGAAATATCAAACATTTTAGAAAATACTGACACTGCAAGCTGGCATGATAATCCCTCATGCTAATAATTATACCCTAGGACTATATTCTGTACTACCATGCCAGAAATATCACCTTTTGAAAGAAGGGAAATGTTAAAATATCAATGTATCAATTTTGGACGAGACGAAATTTTTTTTTAAAGGAACACAGTCTTAGTGTCATTAAACTTAATACATTAAAACTTCAATGAGTAGCATTATGTCATTCCAGTATCACAGTCTTTCAGAAGAGAGTGAATATTATTCTATTTTTTACGCAACCACTTGATTAAAAATAAATTGTAACATACCACATTTTCATGAGTAAGGACGAGTAGCTTGCTGTTATCGTCCAACTCTCCTGGATATTCCTCCTCATCAGGTATATAAGGGCACCAGATTACCCTATGGTAGTCAGAGGGGGACACACCCTCAGGTCGATTTACTTGCAGTAACAGGGTGGTGCTTATGTGGTTAAGGCCAAATCAAATTATTTCATGAGAGAACCTATTCACTTGTTTACTTTGGTTGAACAAGAGATATAGCCAGGGTAATTAACATAACAGTTTAGCATTTTTTGATTTTCTCAAATTGATAAGGGGTTTAGAAGGATGCAGACGGAAATGCTAAACTATTATATTACCTACCCTAGCCTAAAAACAAATATGACACTAGGACAGGATCAAGATTGTATACACTCTCTTTCATTTCATTGCTAACTTTGTACAGCTTGTTACACCTAGTAATAAATGATTATAAAAGGATACGTTATTTTATTCTCCATTGTCTCGTTCAGCTCATAAATGAACATATTCCCGATTTCATCAACTCCAGCAAATACAACAGAGCTCAAATTGGCGAATGATATATCAATGACCTTTCCCATAAATCCCTTCAGGAGGGTCCTCTCAGCAGTCTTTCGGTTCACGATGCGAACGACACCTCCAGACTTCCCTAAAATTAATTAATTTATTACACATATGAAACTCTCAGGTTACCGGGCCAGGGGTAAATAAATATGATATCCAGCATTTTCTCTCTTATTTATTAACCTATTTTTCTAACTGCTGTCAGTCCCAGTCATTTATGGCTTATTAAAAGCAATATTGATAAAATAAATTAAAATATCAACATCTGAAACTTGATTGGTCTAATTAATGACCTGTTTCCAATTCAGGTCTTAAACAGGTTAACGTTCACTCAGTGCAATATAATGATTTAATTCTAACATTTTCTATGAGTTCAAAGTTCACAGTAACTTTTTGCTGAATACAGAGTGAGCCAATAAACGTTACCAACCTGACAAACTGTATGCTGCATATATGCCATCTCTGTGTATAGCTACGAGATTCCCAACATAATACTTCGACTCCCAATCATAATTAACAACTGGACTAGTTTTCACCTGCAAAACATGATAACTTCAAAGTGTGAATAAAATGGTTGGTTTTGGGTTTAAAAATGAATAGCATACTTAAAGGGGGTGGGGAGTTTCTTAAACAAAAAACAAGAGACAGGGACATATTGTAAATGGGTTCAATAGTGGAACTTAACTTTAAAATCAAAATACTTGAACAGACTTTGGTACATTAATTCATTGGAGGTTTTGATCAAATCCTTGGAGTAAGAAGCATATAGGCTATAACAATGGAGTAACTTGAGATTTGCTTCTAAATATTGAGTCCCCTAAAGAGATAAAGTGTTACATGTGCAGACTGACCTTATTGCTGCCAGGCGTATGGAGGCCACTACTGGCAGTGCTTGCAACTATTGTGACATCACTACTGTAAACACTGAAGCTATTACAGCTGTCATCTCCTTGGAGAATACTGCAAACAAATCAGAAGCAATGATCAGATTTTCTTGATATTTTTTTAGGTGTAGTCAGATATTTAATTTAATTTAGTTCTTCAGAGTTGGTGGTAACACAATATTTATTTCAAATTCTACAAGGTTTCTCTCACTCTTAGTATAAGGTGAACCTTTAATCTTTGGAGAAGAGCATTCCTGTTTAGTCCAGCTAGTTAAGACAACAACTAGTTAAGACAAAAATATATTAATGTTGAAAAAAATACAAACATTTGCTGCTGGCTGCCAGTTCCATTCATGCTGTTCCTTAACAGATTCATTATGGCTTGCCCACTAGCATTGGTCACTGAATTGTTCATGTCTGAATCAGAGCTATAAATATAACATGTTAAATTATATAATATCTTTGAGAATATGTTTTATTTCAATTCTGCCTTATTTTAGCAGTTTTGGTCAAAATATCTCAATCATGTTATCATTTTGATGGGGTGCTAAGCTGAGATTTTTCTTTACCAATGATTTATTTCCATAAAAAATATAAATCTATATAGCATATATAACTGAGGAGATCACTGATTATCCATAGAATTTTCATATACAGAGCTGAGGCCTCATTATCATCTGGTCGCAAATAGTTGCGTTGCGTCTGCGATGCGATTGCGATCGCAATTCGTAACGCATGCGATGCGTGATATTATCAATTGAGCACAATCGCAGACGCAAAGCAATCGCAAAACAATTAAAACGTAAGTTGCGATCGCAAGTCTAGAGTGTATTTTGGCGCGAAATTTAAAATATTCCTGAGTGTTATTCACCAGGAAGTAGTAGTATCATGGGATACTATATTATCCCAAATGATAAACCCAATATACAACTCCGACCGGGGATGCTTAGTTCATGATAATTCATAAAATGCAAGAATTCATTAATTTAACACTGGACGAAACAAAACGAAACGTGCTGGTACAGGCCTATAGCCGAGGGGGAGGGTGATATCTCCTAAAAAATGTGGGCATGCCTTCTTGCCTATAAACGTTGTAGGGCCATAATAAGTCGGCCTTTTTGGGCATTTATAGGCATTGAAGGACCTTATTTTAAAAGAAAATGGGCCTTAATTTTCAAAATTCCGGCCATCTCTTGATAATTAATTAAAGTAAGCTTTTATCCCATATTATTTTGTATGAAACACAATCAAACTACAGTCAGTGAAACCTGTCTTAGAGAACAACTCTCTCAAGTGGACACCTGTTTCTAGTGAACACCCCTTCTCAGCACATACTCCATTGACTTCTGTAAGATCGCCTCTATGTAGTAAATACTTACCTACAATGAACAAATTTTTGTAGCTCCATATTGGTGTTCACTGTACACAGGTTTTACTATTTCTTATGTATAAAATTCTGGCAATTATAGCATACGCATTTTGAAATATAAAGACTTTATTGTATACCATCAACAGATCAAGAAATTCAATATGCACCACGTTGGTGTAAGACTCTTTAACTGTGTAAGACTCTTTAAATTCTATGAGTGTTTATAAGTATTATCACACCCTTGGTATACAAGGGGTGTATCCTGAGGGTGTATCTGAGCTATTTTATAGTTTGATATACCAATAATAAATATAGATAGTGTTGTTTATGAAAACTTACCAGAATATGCACCATTGCAACAATAATGGGACAATTATGTATTTCATGAAGTGCCAAACTACTTTGCTCTAGCACATTGTTGTCAATGTATCATTGATTAAACAAAATCGTGTTTTGTGTTGAAAGCAAACAATTATAGAGAAAATCTACCGAGAAATTGGTTTAAATGGCAAAGACACGATGTCTTTGAGATATGCACTCGATATTATGCGTTTCGAATTGTCAGAATCTTTAAAAAACATAGTAAAAAGAAAACTACATATTCTTAACTTACCTTGCCATAATAGTAACAACTTCTGTAATTATATTGGAAACGGATGATTGGCTAATGCCAAACGTATCTCCTGTTGACATTTGGAGTTGTCCAGTTGCCAGGAATCTGATAGTGATCAACATTTTTAGAAACCCCGGGATGAAATGATTGTTCCTATTCTTTGGTGTCAGCTCGTCTTCAAAAAGGTTTATAACCTCTATCATGGGCTTTCAATTAGATTATTCTAGTTGAAAGCCCATGCCTCATTTAACAATGCTCTCGGCATTCTGTATCTCTGGAGCATCTCGATGTCATTTAGTGAATCGAGTGGGTTAAACCTCTCTCGAAATACTATTTTTTTCTCGGCCAATACGATTGTGGTGATCCAGAATGAAATGAAACATCTTGGTGTTCTTGTACTTTTGCAGACGATGTAGGTGAGGTACATATACACTAGGAATACTCAGAACATTAGTGTAGTAGTGGCAAGATTAATTCACCAAACAAGCTTTATTAGCTAGATAAATATTTAATTGGCGAAAATCCTATGCTCTAAAGAGCACGAAATATTGCAGGCACCAATCTAAGACATATACAGTATGTGATGCGTTCGCAACATTTAGAAACAAACCTGATTTTTAAGGATTTACAGGCTCAATTAAATGTATATTTTAATCATATTAAATAAATAAAATTGAACAATTTCTTCGATACTATTGATTAATACTTAACAGGTAGTGAAATGACCGATATAAAACACCACAAAATATCCATTAACATAGATAAAATAAAGCTCAAAGATGAACTAGATTTGCGATTTGATTTGCGACAGGGTAAACGTCGTCGCAACTTTTTGTTTAGTTGCGTTCAGAAAACCGATAACTTTGCGTCAGACTTGCGATGCGATGGAATGATAATAACATTTTTGGGAAGTAGTTGCGTTGCGATGTCTTGCGATGCGATTCGCATGCGATTTTGCGTTGCGACCAGATGATAATGAGGCCTCTGGCCTGTAGCCAGAGTGGGGGGGGGGGGTCGTTCCCCCTGGCCAAAAATTCTTTCAAAAATTGTGCAGTTTTTCACCATTTTGAGCAGTTCTCAAGTGATTTTAGCCATATTTGGGCCAAAATTGTCAAATATGAACCCCCCCTGGAAATTTGGGAAAACTGAACCCCCCTTGGCAAATCCTGGCTACGGGCCTGTAGAGCATAATAATTATGTGTTACCTTGAGTTATTCACGGGTGCTGCCATGTATTGTCCTATACTTTGTACTGAATCAGATGAATCTGAAAATAACATTGAATCCTAAATAAGTGTCTTATTTCAAAATAATGAAACTAAATCCATGCAAACAAATGGAGAGCTAATATGAATTACTTCTATCCTTTTTGGTAATTATTTTCAAGGTTTTCATAATCTGAGCACTTGTGCTGTGATTTAATTCCTAATAACATCTTATAACATCTACATGAAAGATCAGACAGCATTTACAGTTTCGAGGAAACCCGTTTAACTTGGGATATGGTGATGTACAGTCAGCACCAACTATCAAACATCTAATACATAACATAATAGAATGACATCCTCTGATCACAGGATCAGATTAAGAATTATCGGATTAAGAACTCGCAATCTGATTGGCTGCGATAGAAATCATGTATAAGTCATTGAGCATAATTAGATCACGTGATTCAGTTTAATTTAGCGCTTCCAAATTAGTTATAGCAGGGGGAAGAAGGAGGTACGGATTCTGGATACCTGCTTAGGAGGATGTAGAATGAAGACTGGTAACTAAAAAAGATTCATGCCAGGGGCTTTGATCAAGGGAAAGATCAATACCCGGTGATTTCAGCGGGAAGTGGCGTTTCGTTCAGTGGATGAGCTGCGCGCGCACGCATAAATGTGATTATCCAATATAATTAGGGGAGGGCTATTTGAAACAGTTTTTGGTCTCAGGCGCGACCCAGGGCTGTTGTCTTAAGGACATTTCGTTGAAAATGAGCCATTCGGCTGATAATTGGTAAGAGTTTGCGATCTTATAATGTATAACTGTTACTCAGACACATATTTTGACTCGATTCTGTTGGAAATAAGCTTTGGACCGAGAGATATTCACGATTGATATGTACATTTTTGATTGTGCCATTGCTTTTCCATTGCACAATCCATGTATTGATATAAGAAACATTAATAATGCAGATTGGTTTACCTTCAATACATGACAGACACTACATATCGGTCTATTAATACCAGTTTGTGCCTTAAATAGTTTTATATTTCCATCCACGGCCTGGAGCCTGGGTGTGTTTGTCTCTTATGTGTATGCTTGTGCATGGACTTCTAATCACTAGCAGAATTTAACATGATGCAAACTCGACATTATAACTCATGTTGTAACATTTTGACTTCGCTGGAAAACAATAGGAATTATTTTTCTTGCCAATCAATCATGAATCACAATCAAAATTTCAGAATGATCAATCAGGCAATGGTCCAAATCAAGTTATAACATTATATGATATCCAGCAAGAAGTCCGGTAGAAATACAGAATATTTAAACATCAAAGCTGAAAGTTAAAAGCTAATCTGTCAATTTTCTGTCTGCAAAAGAGCGTTTACATTTGACACAATAACAGACTGAGGCTTTGAAATCTAGGATTCCCCAGGAAAATATGACGTCATACTAATTAGCATAAGGATTTCCCTATTGGCCTGGGTCGCGCCTTGTTCGAAAACACAATCCATAAATACATGCTAATTTCTAAGGAGATAGGAAGTGTATAACGTGTTTATCGATTTTGTTTAAAGATTTAATCAATTATCAAATTGTTTAAGTGGATAAAGTGGTCACACTTGCTTCAATTCATAGCGAAATCGACGGATAGAAACTGACCGAATTCCCGATATCCTACCCCGTATTACTGTAGGCTATAAGCACAGTGACCTACAGAGGGCGCTATCACAAACAAGTACTGCACGAACCGATAAATTCCCGGGTATTGTAACGCCCTTGCTTTGATCAGGGATATCTTGTGCTTGAAGTTCAATATCTACGATTTGCAAGTGATTCTGGCTATGGTTTAAGTTTCAAAGACTAATTACAAACAGCAATTTCCATTTGTGTGGCCAATGTTAACAGACAGATGAGATGAACCAATGTACAGATAGACAGACTTTGTGAGCCATAAACCATTGAAGCAAGGAATATTTTACAAATATCTCCTTCAATAATCAGATATCGAGTCTCATATCTGAACCTAATATGAGGCTCGATATCTACTCAATAATACAAAGGTAATGTAAAAGCTTATCAGAACCAGAACTCTGTCCACAGAAGACGTCATCAATATTCATAAATGGTTTGCATAAGGACGTCATTTGCATTTAGCTTATAGCCGAAAAAGTCCCTTTGTCAGGACCTTGGTATTCAGTTTGCTCATATCACAAAATGGCACTCCACTGGCAATAAGGGTAATAAGAACAACTGGACTCTAGCAATTTACTGCCACAGGTTACAGAAATGCAGCTTACTGCGTACCTCTAATTTCCTTTGTTTCAGTAGATCCAGGGGATATCCCTACATCATCTGGAATATTCAGCAAATCTTTCAAAATCACAGAAAATTTCAACAGCTGAGATGCTTCACTTGTTGCCTGAGATGAAACAGAACTATTGGGAGTGTCCATTACTTGAAAACTGGATAAACTAGTAATGTATGTTTCCACGTCTCCAATAAACGATTTTGATGTATAGATCCAATAATATTAGGCTAAATATCTCAAATCGTTGAAAATATTATTTTGGCAGTTTCGCCGGTAATTCTCAGCATGGCCGACAGGTGGCCACGCCGTGATTTCGAGAGTTGGTCAAAAGCATATTTTCTGGCAGAACCATACATATAACAATTCTTTGTATAAAATTTTGCAATGCTATATATTTATATATGATATTTTGACCCTGAATTAAGAAATAAAGGGCGAAATAAAAAAAATTAGACTCTTCAAAGAAGGAGGTGAAGTTGGCGGAAGTTTCGATTTTCGACTTTTTCGATTTAATTTCTCTATTTCAAATTTATGGCTTTATCTCAGCCCTGATAGGAGAAGTGTTTGTACATAAACAACGTGGCTTTATCTCAGCTCTGATAGGAGACGTTTTTTTGTACATAAACAATGTCCTGGAATAATTGGAGTCGTGAATCAAGAAAGAGGAGGGTTTGTAAATTTCCTTCTGCAATAGGCCTATATCAATAGGCGTCCTACTAATCTCAGTATGTCTTATCACATGGTTAGGAGTTTCTAACAATTTTTGATTGGTCAATTTGGACAACATATAGATCTAATCCGTATCACATGACTAATTTTCATGCGATACGGTTGGCTGTATTTCTACGGAGTCAATAGTAACGATATGATGTCTCTGGTTATATCACTTCGTAGCTAAAGAAAACAGTGTGACGTCATATTATTTCACTAACAAGTACGAATACAACAGTATGACGTCATATTATTTCAAAGCAAATTTTCAAAACACACAAAATTATAATAGTTACCGGGAGTACAGAGTACTGAACACAATTATAATGACCAAATTAAAATCGCCTACTTTATAGAGGACAGGGAGGCAACATTGCCATTTAGGTAACTGTCGGACAAAGGAAGGCCTGCATTGAGTGTCCGACAATTACCTACATGGACGACATTGCCTCCCTGTACTGTATTTCAAAGATTTCTTTCAAAGTCTAAACCACACCGACTCACCAAACAAGATTGAAGAATAGCTTAGATAATGAACAGTTTCAATTAAATTTGTTAGAACTTTACAGCCAGCCATCTTCCATTATTGCTCCTCCTTTATATGCCAATATGCCACTGATCCTCCTTTCAGGAATTCTAATGACATCCCTGAGTATGTATTTTTATTTTTTTCTAGTTGAATTACAATGAAGACATTTTCAATGATAAGTTTGATGTCGATGACTATGACTCTCCAGAAAAATCTCGCCATAAATCTGCATCTAAGCTCACGTCAGTTACAAAATCATTGATCAGGCAAAATGAATGGGACAGAGCTATGGAGGGTTTCAAGGGACTTATGGAAAAACCTCAGAAAAAGAAGATATCTTCAGACTCAAAGCAACAAAGTAACAAAGCAAGTGAAAGGCTGGAAGATACCAAAATTAGGAAGCCTAGTGACCCTAGAGGTAAGTTGCCTATTAATAAAAATTTGGAAAACTGGGTATTGACATTATGATATAAATTTGTTGTTAGCGGTCCCTAACAGTATGGGTACGATACACCGTACATTTAAGATCTCCCCAGTAACATTTCCTACTGCTTTATCTCATTTCAATCCCTACCTCAGTTAATCAAATTTGGCAGATTTTTTTCATCCACTCATTATTAATATATGAAAAATACTGAATTCCTTTGCATAATCTGTGAAATCATTATCTAAAGGGCTTAAAATGTCACTCAATAGTTATACAATATGTTGTATTTTCAGGAAGAAACTATGATCCTCCTTTGTCGCAAGCGGACATTGATTGGGAATCTTCTGACGAAGAGGGGGAAATATCTAAACTTTCCTCAGACGAATCTCCACCACCAAGTCCAAAATTTTCTTCAAAATTCTCTCAGAAACAGAAAAAGAAATGTGTCCTAGAAGACAACAGTGACAATAGCTCCCCCTATATTCAAACTGCATCATCAAAATCATCATTTTTGCTTGAGCTATCAACCACAAAGTTATCACCAGATCTCAGTGGAGAATCACCGCCATCTAGCTATACTGATGTAAGTGTGTCACGTCGAATGTTTTGCTCCAAGTCTCTTTTTCTATGTTTTTATTTATGCCTTTTTATTTTTTGATACATGATTTCACTGTTATCCAATCATATGTCAAAGAACTTTGGAATTATGAAACCTAATTACTGACTTTTGACTGAAAAGCAGATAATTTTTTAAGCTCTCCAGCTTACACTCTTCACAGATTGAGCAATGTCATTTATGCAATACAGTGTACAATATTTCTTAACTACCGGTATGTTTAAATAAATTAATGACCTGAATTACTCTTGCATACACTGTATTATCATTTTCCAGGGAATAATTGATATCTGTATATCAGAGTATAATTCAGACACAGAAAAACAAGATGATGAACCATTGAATCAAAGCAATAAATTGGTAAGAACTCTTGAATTAAGGTAGGCAGGGGTGTTAATTAGCTTTTGATATTTTGAAAAAAATATTACATTTACAAAGTCATGTACAGATTTAGAGAATTTAGAGTTCAAAATAGAAGTAGCAAAATCAGTAAATTCTTTATGAACCTTCAATACTCATATCAATGCAATTAGGTACAAAACATGATAACATTTGATAGAATTTAATAGCTAAAGCATGTAAACTGAGAGCCAGGGAATGGCAGGGATTGAAAATAACAAAAACAAAACAAATATAATGACTTCTGATTTTATTGGTGGCTTAACTCTCTGCTAACTCATTGTGAGAATGTTATTGGACAGTTTAAAATTCATGTTTTATTTAGTGTGGGGAAGGAAATAGATTTATATTCTTGATCTTACTCTGCACTCAGATCATGGTTTTGGTTTACTTTGTCATATTGTAATAGTCTCCAACTTTTTTTGGACAGAAGTTGGTGGTTGGTGTTTGGTTCTGTAACATTGTTCGGTGGTTGGCATCGGTAACAAATAGCAGGTGGTGACATTTTGCATGTTAATCTTATGCATTGTTAAAATTCATGTGCAACTCTTGTAAATGTAAATGTTATTACAAAATTCAGGGCTCAGAAGAATTAGATTCCTCTATAAATATATCCACGGCGACGCAGTCTCCACAAGAGCCCGTATCAACTGACAAACTGAAGGGATCTGATTGGCTAAAGAAAGTCACATGGCATAAAACACCTGAAAAGTCGCAAAACACCGAGACATGTGCTAAGACTCCAGTAGATTCGGGTAAAAAGAAGAAACAAAAGTACATCAGGTATTGTTGTACATTTAATTTTATGTGACAGCATTATTGGAGGTTTCAGATAATAATAAGCTTATATCACAGGGAAAATCTGATATCTCTGAAGAAGATATTTCTGTTCCAGGATATAAAAATAATACTTTTGTCGAACCCCTTATGAGATGATACTGTTTACATATCTATTTTTGCTTATTTATTTTCCTCAGTCTGAATTAGTGCCACAATTGCTTTGTGTAACATGTCTATATTGTAGGGATGGTCTAGCTGAGCAGTTACTTAGGTTACAGCAGAGAGAGAAAACAGCACATACATTTTGGAGCCATAAAAAAACTGGTAATTTTTTTAAATGAATGAGCAAAATTGAGACAGCATATATAGAGTTCAAAACACCATGTACAGTGTAAAAGAATAGAGTCAGCAATTTTAAACTAAACAGGATCACAATATTTCTCTCATTAATGTACTGCAATTACCTCAGTTTTTATTTTTATTTTTTAATGCCAAATTATAATCGTCATGTGACTATAGCTGATGCCGACAATAATGTTCTTTGAGATTAGTCCCTCCTTATAAACTATGTTTAATTTATTTTTGATAAACATTATTATGCAATAAAAACCTAATAATCTATTAAAAATGACATTAAAATAATTTTCAGAAAAGAAGAATGCTATGATGCTAAAGGTTAAAAGCATTGAGAAATCTGACTCACATTTACAAATCGCAACTTGCGTCAATATATCTGATCAGATGCCAGGAAAAAGATGTATCCAAGGAGAACTAAATAATGGAAATCGTACAAGCAGTGATCCAAAATCAACTCAAAATGTTGTTGAAAATAATTCCAAACTCGATATTGTGATGCCCACTATAGAGCCAAATGAATGTGGAAATGCATCAGAGTGTTTTGAGATCCCCAAAGAAGACATTGTAATGTCCACCAAAGAAACAAGTGAAAGAGGAAATACTTCTGAGGGTTTCGATATCCCCACAGAGGAGTACATAGTCTTGTTGAAAGAGGATCAAGCTGTAAAGCAAGGCTGTGTCATCAAGATAGATCCACCATGGTAAATAATAACTGAATAATAGCAACTTTATATATCTTCCACTTTGTTACAAAACAACAAAAATATATCAAATAACAGAAATTAAAAAACCTGATATTTGCTGATTCCACCATTGTCTAGTTTTGTGTTCAAGGAGGTCATATGATTGCGATGAATCTTAAAATCAAGGTCGGTCTTCTATTAATAATGTAAACAAACAAGAAAAAACGCAATTTTGAAGCCATTTTGGTGGCCTTTTACTCAATTTGTAATCATTCATACTCCATCATATAGTTCAATTGTGACATCATCATTTATCATATTTGAATAATATTTCAGGCAAAGATTGGATCTCCCTAGTAGTAAAAAGCCAGTGATTTTATGCACTCAGTTCACTCAGGTCATCCAGCAACCTGATGATGTCATGAAGCAACCTGATGATGTCATGAAGCAACCTGATGATGTCATGAAGCAACCTGATGATGTCACAGCTAAACCCAAGCCCAGCAATTGTCTTGTACCAATAGCATCATGGCAGTGCCCTTGCTCATTAGGTTATTACAGTTTTCGCGACATAATTACATTCTCCTTTGTATGAGTATTTTTGGGGCTAATGTTATTCTGATTTTTGACTTTTACTTAAATCTAAAATTGTGCAGTTGCAACTTTATGGGAGCCACAATAGGCACAAATACAGTACAATAAAATGTTTGCATATTTTCAGTCGTTTCCCATCCTCACAAAAAATGTCTATCATAAGATTTTCAAATTTTTTAGAAGAACTTCTTGTTCAAGAGTCTTTGCACAATAATTTTACCAAAAAATGCTCGTTTAATTTTGATTGTGATACATGCACTTCATAATTGAGCGTGTTATTTCAGATCCTGATGTCTGTTACAAAGATTGTGTTGCCAATATGAACCCTTGTGTAGGAACATGGGCACCTGGCCCCAAGGTTGGCAAAATATTTGTTTTTAATTTTTTCATTTTTAATTCCATTTATTTTTGATTTTAAAACAGTCTTTCCAAAGGTGTTTAGCATCTTTCACATTAAGTGCTATTTTAGCATATTAAAAGCTTAGGATTTTCTTTGTCATGAATTGCCTTTTTTATTGAACAATGAATGTATAAACATGTAGTTGGGTTGAAGCTCAGCCATTAATCAACTTAATGAGACTATGAAAAAGATTTATTGTAAAAAGGCTCAATGTTAAGTGTTTACAGTTCAATCTTACATTTCATGATTTATATCTTTTGAGTTCTGCATCAAATATGATAACAGTGAAGTCCTATTATGTTTTTCATTTTAGAGCATCCAGTGTTTTAACAGTCCAACCAATCCACCCAGGTTACAGCTAGTAAAATCACAACCCTCTCAACTTGATACGCCAGAAATGCCCAGATCCATACTGGAGAGCATTGAGAAACAAGGGGATGGGGCCACAGTATCATTTCGTGCCACTTTACAGAGGTTGTTTTGTTGGAAAGATTCAAAGACAGAAAGGTGTGACATTTATAAGTAGAAACCCATGTCACTGTTAACAGTAGTTTTATGACCTCGCGAAATAACAGGCAATAACTTTAAGAGAAAATTGTCTATGGCATGCTGCTAATGAAACCTCTGTGTACATGTACATGTTATATGTTTTGTGTATGATTTCAGAACAGAACAGACCATGAAGAAGACCAGTATCAATCCAACTGACCAGAATGATATCAGGTAAGCAATTATCTTACATGTGAGCAGAATAAATCAGACTTTGTATGTGACCACAAGTAGATGTACCTTTGTTTGACAACATTAGTAACTCCATTTACTGAGTATTTGCTCAGTTTTTATTGTCCCCCTTTTCTGTGACTTGTGTTTGCCTTTGACAACTATAAAGCATTGTTACATTTTTCTAACCATTTACACTAACTTAAGACATGGACACATTATGTCATGTTGTGGTATTGTTTCTAGTTTGGATGTAATAGATGGCTGCAAACGCTGTAACTAGTTTTGAAATATTGCCATTGTGTTCTTTCATTTCAGATTCTCTTTGTTGATTGAGGACATCTATGGTTCATTCTGTGCACTAGAAGTTCCACATGGCTGATTCTTTCATTTCAGATTCTCTTTGTTAATTGAGGACATCTATGGTTCATTCTGTGTACTAGAAGTTCCACATGGCTGGTTCTTTCATTTCAGATTCTCTTTGTTAATTGAGGACATCTATGGTTCATTCTGTGTACTAGAAGTTCCACATGGCTGGTTCTTTCATTTCAGATTCTCATTGTTAATTGAGGACATATATGGTTCATTCTGTGTACTAGAAGTTCCACATGGCTGGTTTTTTCATTTCAGATTCTCATTGTTAATTGAGGACATCTATGGTTCATCCTGTGTACTAGAAGTTCCACATGGCTGGTTCTTTCATTTCAGATTCTCATTGTTAATTGAGGACATCTATGGTTCATTCTGTGTACTAGAAGTTCCACATGGCTGGTTCTTTCATTTCAGATTCTCTTTGTTAATTGAGGACATCTATGGTTCATTCTGTGCACTAGAAGTTCCACATGGCTGGTTCTTTCATTTCAGATTCTCTTTGTTAATTGAGGACATCTATGGTTCATTCTGTGTACTAGAAGTTCCACATGGCTGGGCTGAGAGCAAGCAACAAAGAGACTTCATAGAAGAGGCAGTTGCTAAAGAATGTATTTTTACATCACTGAAAGTCACACAGAGAACATACAAGGACAGGTGAGCAAAAGAAAATCACTTGAAACAGAATTATGTTTTACCTGTCAATTTTATTCAATCTCACATGGGATTCGTACCTTTAGCAGCAATGTATTTTCATGGGGCATCTGTCAGTCTGCAAGAAATTTTTTTATGTCACCACCACAAGTGGTGACATGTTGTTATAGCCTCCAAGTTTTTTTGTGGATTGTGTTTAGCGTTCGGTTGTCAACGTGCAGTGTCTGTAGCAAATGGCAGGCCGCAGGTGTTCAACTTTTTGCATGTTAATGCCTTGTCTGATTTGCAATAACTTAAAGTGTGCGCCTGACCCGGCTACGTATAGCACAGAGTTTATACTGGCGGATTAGACTAGTTCATTTTTTATATGTGTGTGAAAGCTTTTTCTTATTTGCGTTTTTTTCGTTTAGTACGGTTCTGTTATAATTGCCGAGGTCATATAACCGGGATAAAACAATGATTATCGTTGACTGCCCACACACAAAACATACGTTGAGTGAACAGTGTTATTACAAACAACAGGCTTTAGAATACAAAGCGTAGTGTGATAATAAGCTGTACACTACCACTGCTGCATGTACATATTACTAATTTACTAGGGCTCCCAAAGAGTGGATAGGGAGGTTGTGTTTGTCACTTTTAAATTTTACATTTCAAAATTGTCATTTTACATGTCATAATTTCTTGGTTTCATTCGTTTAGCCAATCAAAACATTGTAAAACAATAAATTGTCTGTTACATACAATCAATTTTGTTCAGTTTTGATTAGTTGTCAGAATAAAGTTACGTTCATCATAATCCATGTATCAAAACAAAAATCCTATTTTTACTTCAAAATACTTCAGTGAGATGAAGGCTTGGAATTGTCACATGCAATAACTTATTGTCCTATTCGTTATTTTATCTTCTCGATAGTAGCATTTAGTCGCACATTTGATGCCAGGTCACCTTGTCGCGTACCTCTTGGGGAACCCCACATTTATGTGTGTACTCATGGAAGTAAATTCCCCGGTGTAGCCGAGAGCCACAAACTTTTCAACAGGTTCGAAATGACCAATTTCTCTCATATATACTCTAAATATTTTATTATTTAGCACCTACAAAGTATTGCTGATAACCATACGTAATTTCAATAAGGAAACTTATCTGGCTACATGTAAATTCAATATCAACACTAGCTGTTCTCTCAACACGTCCTGGCTTACCTTGTGGTGACAAACCCTGGATTTTCGCTATTTATAGTTTATCAACACCTGTACGCATGCGCATTTTATAGTTTATCGGGCACTTTAAGAACTAATATTCAACTAGACTTTCTCTGTGAAAATATTATAGATTACAGTGTACTGTGTGAAACCAGATGTGGACATTTTGTTATGTTAATTCTAGGTATCGTCTGTTTCTAGTATTGCCCTTGTTATATGTTGCCCTTTCTGATATTTCTATCATTATTAAGTTAATCCCTTTGTTTCCTCATTCCAGATGTCTAGGTCTATTTGGTGTTATTGAGAGTGTCTGGAGACCTGATGTTCTAACTGTTAAACATTCCCAAGAGTCACAAGAGGTAAGGACTTAACACTGTCAGTGCCATTTGTTACAAAGCGCAATGTTAAGCAAAACATGGAATTTACACTGTCTGTGCCATTTGTTACAAAGTTCATTGTAGAGCAAAACATGGAATTTACACCGTCTGTGCCATTTGTTACATAGCTCATTGTAGAGCAAAACAAGGACTTTACACTGTCTGTGCCATTTGTTACAAAGTGTATTGTAGAGCAAATCAAGGACTTTACACTGTCAGTGCCATTTGTTACAAAGTTCATTGTAGAGCAAATCAAGGACTTCACACTGTCTGTGCCATTTGTTACAAAGTTCATTGTAGAGCAAATCAAAGACTTCACACTGTCTGTGCCATTTGTTACAAAGTGCATTGTAGAGCAAAACAAGGACTTCACACTTTCTGTGCCATTTGTTACAAAGTTCATTGTAGAGCAAATCAAAGACTTCACACTGTCTGTGCCATTTGTTACAAAGTGCATTGTAGAGCAAAACAAGGACTTTACACTGTCTGTGCCATTTGTTACAAAGTGTATTGTAGAGCAAATCAAGGACTTTACATTGTCAGTGCCATTTGTTACAAAGTGTATTGTAGAGCAAATCAAGGACTTCACACTGTCAGTGCCATTTGTTACAAAGTTCATTGTAGAGCAAATCAAGGACTTTACACTGTCAGTGCCATTTGTTACAAAGTTCATTGTAGAGCAAATCAAGGACTTCACACTGTCTGTGCCATTTGTTACAAAGTGCATTGTAGAGCAAAACAAGGACTTTACACTGTCAGTGCCATTTGTTACAAAGCTCATAGTTGAGCAAAACATGGCAAGACTCAGATTTGTTAAGTCGAGTGCTTGATTAAGTGGTCCACAATTTATACAAAAAGCTAAAGTGTGTACTTATCATGTATCACTTTCAAAGTGCACGAAATAATATAGGGCTGTCTTAGAAGATGTCTCAGTGATGTTTTGAATGGCAGTAGCCCTCTATTACTGTATGTTGCTATCTTGTATAAAGAAACATATGTACATGCTTTATTGCATATGCATAAAAGGGGGTTATTGTGAACCCTTTTTCTGCACAAAATGTTAATACATGTAGATGTTAGTATTGCACACATAGTGTAGAAACTTGAAAGGGGAAGATAAGCATATTTTGTAAGAGAAACAATAATTTCATACTTTCTTCTTAATTCTATAGTTTCCATCTTCATAATAACCAATGTACAAATTGTCCTTATTTTGTCTTTTGAAAGACGCCATCCTCCCAAAACCTGAATCCTTTGTTATCACAAGTACATCACAGTAAGAGAGTATTTCAAAATCGAGTATCACCTTTGAGTGGCTCTCACAGGCTAATTTCTCAAATGGGCCTTGCTGGTCAATGTGCATTGTTTTACCTCCTATGTCAATGATATTTTCACTGAATTGAGCCTTTGAGGCATTTCTAACGTCTTCACTGTTTGTTGTTACAAAGATACGATAGTCCTGTTGTTTTGGGTAGTTCTCGAAAAATGTCCATATATTTGTTATGTTTTTGAGATATCCTTTGAGATTATCCCTAAATATGTAGGAGAACTTCATTAACATATCAGGAACCCTTATTTGAGCACAGATGAGTTGTGATTGGTTGAGATCTTTCAGGAAACTTTCAAGCATTGTTTTGATTGGTTGTTTCAAAGTAAAAAGCCCGTTGCACATATCAGTTATAAACAGTTTGGGATCGTATTCATCTGGGTTGATTTTCATTTGTTTCAATTTCTCCTTGTTAAATGGATTTTGTATCATAAAGCGGTAAAGCGGTGCATTGTTTCTGAAAATGATCACATCTTCTGGGTATTTTTCATCTAATGACACTTCCAAATTTGCAAGTTGGTCTTTCACTTCATCCATAGAATCCTCTTCTTTAAGTACATAGTCCAGAAGGAGAGATGATCGATTTTCTAACTCTATCTTGGAATTCCAATCTATTCCATTCCAATTCATAATCTTGTCTTCGTTTGATTGAGATTTTGTTGATTCTGATATGTATGTTTCTTTGATAGGCATATCTTTTGAAATATTACCACTCACATTATCATTATCTTTATCATTTTTGATTGTATCATTTGATGAATCCTTTATGGTTGGCCGACCTTCCGTCTGATCATTATCAATAGTATCTTGCTCCATCACAGTATCTGGTCTAAGATGATCATTTTCAGCATTGTGAGGATGCAACATGTATTGTTCATCTTTGTCTCTGAAGTTATCATTGTCCTTGCCGTCATCTATTAGCTGAACAGTACGAGGGGTCTCCATGAGTTCATAGAGGTTGCAGGGGTCTTTATACTCAATATGGAAGCACCTGTCAGTCAGTAAAGACCAGGTAAGCCCAGTTAAGATGCCATCTATTCTGTCTGACCAACCACCGCATAAATGTGATTTCCCACAGCTGAAATAATGTAAAATGCATATTTATCATTGTTGTGTTTGTTTTTATAATCTCCCCAGTTTTAAAAATCTCTATGAAATTAAAGAAAAATGTCTATTTCAGCTGGATACTGTATAATACAGTTTAAGTTCACTTAATGTTGCTCAACTTGACATTATGAGCCTAATAGTGCAACTACACTTCATATTGCTTACATTTAACTACTCAACGCAACTTAACTAGTGTTACTTCTCACCATATACAGGGTTTCGAATAAATATTTTCTCCCCTTGATTCCAAAAGTGTGAACATTTGTGGATAAGAGTGCATCTAGTTGAGCTAGTCATGTGAAACTTCTTATGGAGTTGCTCTATGAAGCCTAGTTTTAATATGCTCTTAGAACAATTCAGATGTCATGCAGACAAAAAAGTAATGCAACATTGTGCGGATGTTAAAACTTAGGGGACCTATTTATTTGACACCTTGTAGTCCATGTGCAGTAAAAACTATTAATATTGCTCACCTATAGATTACATGTTTAGTGCAATTATACTTTATGTTTTGTTCATAGTACTCAAATGCTGAATAAGCCATTGATGTGAGTCTGTTTGGTAAAACTCTTCTTTGAAGTCTTTCTTTTGATACTATTGCGCTTTCTTCTTGTTCTAGATTTTTATATTCATTGCCATGAAACTGGTTAATACTTGAAGTGTGTTTTTCATTGTTTTGGTCAATCTCTGTCTCATTTTCAAAGTCATTTGATGCATCCACCTCATAGGGATTATTAACTTCATCTTCAATCAGACTGTTAACTTCACTTTCAAAGGAATTTCGAAATTCATCCGTACTTTCACCCTTATTCTGAGATTCAACTTCGCTGCTATCATGAATATCAACAGTGTTGATCAAATCTAAGTTATTTAAGTTTTCAATATTGTCATCAACATTGAGAGAAGTGTAGTCAACAGCAGAGGGATCATTATTCAGTTCAACATTGTTATCTAGATTTTCTTCTTCATTTTTCTCAAAGTCCAAGTCTTTGTTCTCATTTTCTAGTTCAATGTCTCTATTTTGTTCTTCATTTGTCATGTAGTCCAAGTCTTTATTCTTATTCTCCTGTTCAATTTCTCTATTTTGTTCTTCATTTGTCATGTAGTCCAAGTCTTTATTCTTATTCTCCTGTTCAATGTCTCTATTTTGTTCTTCATTGTTCATGTAGTCCAAGTCTTTATTCTTATTCTCCTGTTCAATGTCTCTATTTTGTTCTTCATTGTTCATGTAGTCCAAGTCTTTATTCTTATTCTCCTGTTCAATGTCTCTATTTTGTTCTTCATTGTTCATGTAGTCCAAGTCTTTATTCTTATTCTCCTGTTCAATGTCTCTATTTTGTTCTTCATTGTTCATGTAGTCCAAGTCTTTATTCTTATTCTCCTGTTCAATGTCTCTATTTTGTTCTTCATTGTTCATGTAGTCCAAGTCTTTATTCTTATTCTCCTGTTCAATGTCTCTATTTTGTTCTTCATTGTTCATGTAGTCCAAGTCTTTATTCTTATTCTCCTGTTCAATGTCTCTATTTTGTTCTTCATTGTTCATGTAGTCCAAGTCTTTATTCTCATTCTCCAGTTCAATTTCTCTATCTTGTTCTTCATTGTTCATGTAGTCCAAGTCTTTATTCTCATTCTCCAGTTCAATTTCTCTATCTTGTTCTTCATTGTTCATGTAGTCCAAGTCTTTATTCTCATTCTCCAGTTCAATTTCTCTATCTTGTTCTTCATTGTTCATGTAGTCCAAGTCTTTATTCTCATTCTCCAGTTCAATGTCTCTATCTTTTTCTTCATTTGTCATGTTGTCCAAGTCTTTATTCTTATTCTCCAGTCCAATGTCTCTATCTTGTCCTTCATTTGTCATGTAGTCCAAGTCTTTATTATCATTCTCCAGTTCAATGTCTCTATTTTGTTCTTCATTGTTCATGTAGTCCAAGTCTTTATTCTCATTCTCCAGTTCAATGACTCTATCTTGTTCTTCATTTGTCACGTAGTCCAAGTCTTTATTCTCATTCCCCAATTCATTGTCACTAACTTGTTCTTCATTTGTCATGTAGCCCAAGTCTTTGTTCTCATTCTCCAGTTCAATTTCTCTATTTTGTTCTTCATTTGTCATGTAGTCCAAATCTTTATTTTCATTCTCCAGTTCAATGTCACTAACTTGTTCTTCATTTGTCATGTAGCCCAAGTCTTTGTTCTCATTCTCCAGTTCAATATCTCTATCTTGTTCTTCATTTGTCATGTGGTCCATGTCTTTATTCTCATTCTCCAGTTCAATGTTGATATTTTGTTCTTCATTTTTCATATAGCCCAAGTCCAAGTCTTTATTCTCATTCCCCAGTTCAGTATCTATCTTGTGCTTCATTCCAGTATTCAGTTCAATCTCATCATTATTTAGATATTTTAAATCCATGTTATCTTGTCTCTGTTTTGGTTTGTCAACAGAGATCATATTGTTTTCAAGATTTTTCATATGGTTGACGACATTTTTTGTATGGTAATGTGCTTGGTCACCTGGAATAGTGTTGTGTTTGTGGCTCTTCCATTCAACTTGTATTGTATTTGTATTTATCTGATCTTTGGTACTATTTTGACTATTATTATCAGTTACCTTATTAACATCATCTGTGCCATCATTTAGGCTCATATCATGTTCATTAACTGCTTTTATGTCATGATTTGATGGAATATGCGTTTTCTTTTGCATATTTTGTATCATCTGTGTTGTGTATTTATCTGGGTCATCATTTGGAATTGCAACTTTTTGATCATCAGATTTTTCTGTATCATCTAATGGAATTTGAATGCCTTGTTTGGAAACACCTCTGTATGTTGTGTCATTTTTGGAGTCCTCCTTTATGATTGTAACATGTTTATCATCATGTTCTGCATCATCATTTGTTAAGGCTGGAGTGGTACCTGGCGATTCAGTTATGTTATAAGGCCAATCTGAGTCTTTCAATGTCATATTGGAAATCAGTTGGTCTATACTGAATTTAGGTACATAGTTTGCCTCTTTGGGTTTTTGCCCATCATTTAAATTATCAGATTCTTCTCTCCTCTTGTTAATGTCTTCACTGTCATCATCTAAAATATCCTTTGTGTTGTCATGCTCACTTTGATCATCAGATTTTTCTGTATCATCTGATGGAATTTGAATGCCTTGTCTGGAAACACCTCTATATGTTGTGTCATTTTCGGAGTCATCCTTTATGATTGTAACATGTTTATCATCATGTTCTGCATCATCATGTGGTAAGGCTGGAGTGGTACCTGCCGATTCAGTTATGTTATAAGGCCAATCTGAGTCTTTCAATGTCATATTGGAAATCAGTTGGTGTATACTGAATTTTGGTACATAGTTTGCCTCTTTGGGTTTTTGGCTATCATTTAAATTATCAGATTGTTCTCTCCTCTTGTTAATGTCTTCACTGTCATCATCTAAAATATTCCTTATGTTGTCATGCTCTTTTTGATGTATGTTACCTTGAGTATTATCATAAGCTTCTCTATTTGATGGATCTTTGACAATAAACTTGTTACCATGAGTGTTGATATAACCTGAAGGATTTAATGAAGTTATTTCTCTGATGTCCTCCTTACCAGGTTTTGTTGTCATAAAGCTATGAAGTTCATAGCAAATATATACAAAGCTGAAACACATTGTAAGTATGGTTATGATTCTTGGAAGTTTCCTTAGCAGATGTTTTACTCTCCTTTTCAAGCTCATTTTTGCTGCTTGAAATCATAGACATATCATTATTTCTTCATTAGACATATTCTCTCATTAAGTTCCAGCTCTTCTAGTTTATGACATGTACTTGGGAATGAAATCGGTTTCTAAAAGCTGTCCTAAACAAATTTGGATAACAATTTAGAAGCTCCCTGTTGTAGATTATTCATCTGTCTTATTTTTGTTTATATTCTTACTTATATAAACACTGTTTAACTTAAAGTTGAGTAAAATTTCTCCTGTATTGTGACTTTAACTACTCAGGATTTGTTGTCAGATTACCATTCTCACTGCTGATTTATTGGACACTTCATCTAATTTATGTGACTGCATTGACATAAGTATCCCTAACAGTGCCAGAAGCTATGAAAAAATATAGTTAACATTACATGGAGTTTTGATAAAATTGGTTTGCTGCTCTAAATCTTCATTTGAGGGCACCATACTGCCCCCTGGGTACAAAATAATTTGAATTTTGATGCTGAAATGGTCATGATGACCTCAAAAAGCTTTAATGGATGTTTGAATGTGAAATGAATTACAACTTACACTTTCTGATTGGATAGTAATTTTTAGCGCACCCTTGGGATCTAAATTGAGATCAGTTTGCCAGATGGGTGAGTGAGTGGGCGGATGGGCATCCTACTTAATTTTGGCTATGTATTTCCATACAAATCTTTTGACCATTTCTGGGATATTTCTTTGTATGAAAATGTAGAACTATTTAATTTGAAATAAAGGATAGAATCAGATGCTTAGGGCTGATGTGAAAAAGTCACTCCACCTCGGTGGGAATCGAACCCACAACCTCTTGATTTCATGCTGGATACTCTACCACTTATTTTTCTATCATAAAATTTTGTCTGTAAAGTCTTGTGTTTTCAGGCAAATAGTTGGATGGATTGGTTTTGAATTTTCAGGGAAGGTTCGTTGTAGAAAATTCTAGAACTGATTAGTTTTTGGACATTCTGGGTAAATGTTAAGGTGGCCACTTTTGATTGTCCATCCTAAAATCTTGTTTGTAAACTCTTGTCTAGTCATTGTATTTTGACATGTGCAAAGGTCTGCTTAGTAATATTTTCATCTATGTTAGTATTAGAAATAAATAACACAAAAAGTGGTCTTTTCATTTCAAATATGGCAGTCGTTCGGATGTTTGAAAATCCTTACAAAAAATTCTTGTCATTTAGTGAATGAAATTCTATGATTTTATAATTTCAGTCCTGCCCTGACATTCCATTAATCCAAGTGCCAACATTTTGCTACAAACTCACTCCCACATCTAGAGACTGGCTGAGGGTAGCATCTGCAGACATCTCAAAAATACACTACAAGTCAAGCAATCTGACTCTCACTGATCTACAGGTAACATTTTACTACATGTATTTACTATTTTTACTTTTTATGGGTGCTAGTAATATTTATAGAAACATTTTTATGTTTGAATGTTTAGTGAATCATCAAGCAGGTGGTATTACTAAAGAGTATATTACTATTTCAAATAAATATAAATTGTTGGACAATGTTGTGAGCTTCATGTACAATGGTTGTATAAATATGTCAAAGTTTCTATGGAAAAAAATATGTAAGAACAATGTCAGAGATTTTGAATTTAATAGTTGGAGACAATCTTTATCAATGAGTATTCAACTTCAAGATTTTAGAACTGTACAGTTGCATATTGACATTCCTTCTATCTGGTATTACTTAGGACTCAAACATCCTGAACTTAAGCAAAAATTTAATATGATGATTAAGTTGCTATGTGGTATACATAATTTAGAAATTAACAACCATGGTTTACCTAGAGAAAATAGGGAATGTAAGAGATGCAATAATAACTCATTAGAGGATCTTTATCATTTTATTATAGGTTGTGATAATTATGTTGATATCAGAAAGATTATGATTGAAAATTTGATTAAAGAAAATCCTACATTTAAGAAACTTTCATGTGAGGTTTTATATAACATTATTTTAGGCATGGAGTTTCCAATGAAAAATTGGGATAATGTTTTGATTATTTCATGTAAGAATGTCTCAATTATGTACCAAAGAAGATTTTTTAGCTGATTTACCAATGTATCCATTGTTATTTTGGGTCTAAATTTTGCTCATGTATACATGTATAATTCATGATATTGTAATTGTCTAATTAGCATAAGGTATAGTGTAAGATTGTTATAATTGTCAAACTATTCTTCAGTATTGGAGGCTAAATAAATAAATAAATAAATATTTGATAAAATTTGATAAAAGTAAATAAAATATCTGCCCATTAAGTAATATAATATTTAATTTTGAGTTGCTTGATTGGTTCACTCTAACAGATAGCTTGAAGTCGATAGCTACATTTGGTATAGTAATTGAATGGATTATTTGAGGCATTTACCAATGCTAATTGTAAGTCTGAATAAATCTCAGTGATATTCCAACCACCAGTTTATATCTTGCTCTGTAGTTAACAGTCAACAATAAGATACATTACTCGTTTATTGTCCTTCTGTTAAAAATGGTTACATCATATCTTCCTTAGTATAATGTTAAATAACATTGTATTTCACATCATATCTTCCATAGTATAATGTTAAATGACATTGTATTTCAGAAACCAGATATATCACAAAGGTGTAGTGTTTACTGTAAACCCATCTACAGTAGGAAAAATGTAAGTAATGACATCAGTATAATAACACTATATCGTTCATGATTCAGTAGTTGCATACGAGATATAATTAAATATCTCTTTAATATGATAATTGGGGCTTTCGTGCAAGCACTCAGTGGGAGTTTGTTCCCAACCGTTTTTATAACTGGCTTATACAAATTAATTACCATCAAGGTAATTTTTATTAGGTAATCACAACCATTGTTACGTCATATTATGTAATATTATGTGATATAATTTATAAGTTACGATTTTATGATATATATATCTCACACACAAAACTTATCTTTTCTGTGGTTTATATTCATCATATAAATAAACCCTAATGCTTCATTAGGAAATTTATGGGAGGAATATACCACACACTCTGTGCTATTTTTCATGCCTGTTATTGCTCCACCCACATGTCACTGTCAACCAATAGCATGCTTGTCTTTCCTAATCTCACACCATGCTAAGGATAATACCCTCTGTTCCATATCTTCTTGCTACATACTGTTGGAACACAGTCACCGGACTTCCATTTTACGTTCAATCAAACTATCATATAAAATACCATGATTAATTAACTGATATATATTTACATTTACTTCTTTCCACCCTTACCCCTTCCTTCAACCCAATCATTAACAGTTAGGAGCACTAATATCGGTCCGGGAGTTTGTTCCCAACCGCTTTTATAACTGCCTTATGCAAATTAATTACCATCAAGGTAATTTTTATTACGCAATCACAACCTTTGTTACGTCATATTATGTAATATAATTTATAAGTTATGATTTACAAACTACAAAAGAACTACAAACTCAGGTGAAAGAGGTGGAGAAGCTCCAGTATCCTGGGGATACCTGTGGTTATATATTTGTGATATATTCTGATTCTAACAGTTTGCCATCAGGGAGTTAATTAGTACAATTAAATGATAAGTTAATTAGCCAAATTAAAGGGATATGTCTCATTACTTACTTAGAAACATCCTGTCTTTGAAGTTCAGTGGAATAATGAATTCCCAGTTACCTCGTGACCTTCAGTCATGTGATCTTTGTCCAGAGGATGGATCATTCTTACTTCATTTGTTCTATACTTTCATATGTACTACTCCCCTCAACAAACTGTTTATAATTTCATAAATCCAATTATTGCATGATATTTATATATTTAATGAATGACAATGCAGTGTAATGTTAGTAATGTTCTATTCTTAGATTGCATAACTCAATAATTTCCACCTATATGTGTGGTCTCACTTTAATATATCAACATGAGACTATATGTGGTACTCAGATTTCCACGACAACAAAGTGTTAAATGTTTAAGATATTTTTTTTCAAGGTTGCATCACAAGGTAACATCCACCTATATGTCACAGACTCCACATCTGGTGGTCACATACCACATATTACAGTAGGGCCTAGATGTGTCACAGATGACCAAGTTGCCATGGCGATACAAGAGGGCACAGATTGTTTATACCTACAGGACCTTCTAGTCAACTCAGGTGACTTCATTTTGTTAGTTATTACAGAATATTGGAATAGTTCTAGTATATAATGTATCTTTCTGTATACTTCATTTTTTGTTTAGTCATTTACATGTACATGGATACAGCTTTCACAATTCACACACCAGTTTGATTTATAAGTCTTGCCTCAAGCCCCCATGTTGCCCCTCTGTTCTCTCTCTTGTTGAGTGTATTTACAATGGAAAAGGCAGATTTGATGCAAGACTTAATCTATTTGTTTCATATGTATACCCTTGTTTGGAAGTTTCTGTGCACCTATAACCATCTAAAAAAAATAAAATTGGTTCATCTGGCTAATCTCATCATGTCCCAATTTACACACTTTTTGGTCATGTTTTTTTCTTCCCTTTTGCTCCCATGTTGAAATAACCTTAAAATGTAAACACCTCTTGGTTTGTACAGTAAACAGTCATATTTTAAATTAAAAATAAGGTTTTACTGTATCTTGTTTTGTCACCACCAAGATTGGTGACATATTGTTATGGTCTCCAACTTTTGGGTGTTTGGTGGTCAGCATTCGGTGTCTCTAACAAATGGCACGTGGTGTTATTTTGCATGTTGATGCCTTGTTTTCTATCTGCAGGAAATGTATGCTGTGATGAGTACACAAGGCTCTACAGTGGTAACATAGTCCCTAAATCCACCAGGGAAAAGTTGCTACAAACCAAGATGAACATTCCAGAAGTTTCCCTGAATTCCAAGAAACATAGTATTGTTTCAGTCTGTGGTACGTAGCACAATAACACTATCAAGGGAATGCTATAAGGGGTTGTATCCAAATGTTGACAGTTTTGAAAAAACAAAATTCATTACTTTATGGTTTTACCCCTTCACTCCCCATATAGCAAAACTTGAAAATGTTGATTTGCTTTTCACTTGAATGGTTTTAAAAAACGTTTTCCATGAATAAAATTGTTATTTATCCCCTCCTCTCATAAATTTCACTTCAGCAACCGTTGCCTTTGGACACCATCCCACAAACATAATTATGTCATCACCACATATTTTCCAATTTTTTATGGATGGCATTTGATGGTTGGCAGTTGGCATCTGTAACAAATGGCAGGTGGTGACATTTTGCATGTTAATGCCTTATTTACAATGTTTCTAAAGTCCTCACTCTCAAAGGCATATTAGACATATTACATATACAGAAAACCTCTGGATATTGAATCTTCTAACATGTAATACAATACAATACAGAACAATGAAGGAATATTCGTTTCATAAATCTATCATTTGTTCTTCTATAGGAGTAATAACAGGTATAGATGAAAGTACAGCCTATGCCTGGCCAGTATGTGACCAATGTGGCAATGAGAGACTCCAAGCAAAACAGAATACCAGGTAATATAATCATTTAACCAGGAGATGGGAACAATTATAGACTGCAGTCCATTGTTGTGTTAAATACATATCTGGTACAACATCTAATGTTATAGATATATAACAGATATGAATTGCAAATGATACCAAAGTTTAGTAGTATATCTGAGGTTTGTTTATATTATTTCTTCAGTCTACTGCTCGTAGAATCAACAACTGTTACAACACATATAACTGTCCCATATGAATCTATTTTAATCATTTTAGGTGCAATACATGTTCTTATGTGTCTCATTATAATTATATACTCTTAAGAAATTCCTCATCTCGGAGAAATCTCCATTTATTTACACAGTCAGGTAAGCCGAATTGACCATGAGCTATGCTCTAGATTTATTTCACAATTTTATGATATCTTACAGAGAGCTGTTCTGCCTGGAGTGCAAATGTTTTGTGCTACACCCAGTGACCAGGATGAGGTTAGATGTTCTGGTACAAACAAAAATGGCTGATATTGTGAAAGTGCAGGTTTGTTATTGATACATACACAGTGATTTCCCCAGCATTGCTTTAAAGCATGTGGGTGCAGCACTCACGAGGGATTTGAAAAACAGGCTAGCACCCACTTGAGAAGTCATTTGCACCAATTTGGAAATCATGAACAATTGGCATATTTTGACCAATTTCGGTCTAAATTGTAAAAAAGAGAATTTTGAACCCACTTGAGAAAAAAATCATGAAAAATTGGCATATTTTGACCAATTTCTATCTAAATTGTGAAAATGAAAATTTTGCACCCTTTTGAGAAAAAATCATGTGGAGAACACTGATACAGGTACTTACAAATAAAGTATTCAACATTAGGATTCCTATTATTATGTCACCACTAAGAAGTGACAACTGTAACACTTTTGTAACCATTTGCAATAACTTACCAGTGGTGTCATTTTGTCGAGTTAATGTTTCGTTATATGTTAAAAACTAAACTGGTTGTAACCTAACATCACACATATACATGTACATCTTGCTATGAATGAATATGTGCTTTGCTGATATAAAGATGGCAGTCTTGTTTTATGGGGACTACAGGGCCCACATCAATTTTTGTGAAATCAATTTTTAGTAAGCCTTAGACCCCCTTCATTACATGATATCATCAAAACTGTCATCCATTCAAAGTACAATGGTTTCATTATTAAACCTGGCTTATTATTCCCTCTTCCGGCATTTGTTTTTGCTAAAAATGGCACATTGAAAACTGTTCCAGCTGCTCTGAGTATTATGATTAAACATAATTCACACATATTGACCACCAAACAGATGAGACTGTTCAATTTCTACATTTCCTTAACATTTTACATTGACAACATTACTGCACATTATCAAGTTTTTACAATGTGCTTGTTGTGGCATTTGAATGTTAAACCTCTTTGAATTTAGAAAAAAGAGCATATGCAATAAGCATCGAGTGAAGGTGAATAAGGATGACGCATGAGATCTGGTCAAATAGGGGTTAATCACATGTTTAAGATAATGCATCTTTGATAATCTATATATAGGACAGGCCCGTAGCCAGGATTTGCCAAGGCCCGAACACTGCGAACCCCCCCTGGCTATGGGCCTGTAGGATAAATATTCAATTTCAAATGTAAAATTAATTGGAAAAGAAGATGAGATCCTAATGTTTCTTATACTGTATTTGCAGCTACTCCAGTCAACCATAGAGAACTTGCTTCCAACTGACAGTGCAGATGAAGAGGTATACAGTCATAATTATTTACCTCTCCTAAGGTTGACTGTTAGAATTATATCCTGCCACTAACATGAAATACAATTAAAGGTTTATAGTGGAAGGATATAATTTTGATGGTCAGCAAATCTTTTCATGCCTAAAGAGATTTTATCCATATTATTAGATACTGACGGTACAATTAGATAAAAAAATGTCATTTTTGAATCGTTTCGGACTGTCCACTTTGAAATCAAACTACCTGCGCAGGGACATTACAAGGAGTTGAGTTTCAGTGCTCTTTGAAAGGTCAAAAATTCATCTTTTCAAATGAAGGTTTAAAAATACTTTGAAAATTGTCAAAATCAAAATTCATCTAGGTCACACAAGCTATTACTCTATTTTAATAGATACTAAACTTTGGAACTACACTTTCGAAAGTGTTAATCTCATAAACTTAAAAAAAGTTTAAAATAATCCAATTATTTGCACTTTGAGACCCAAATAGAGCAAACTGAAAAAGGCACAAATCACGAACAGGTCAAACACTACAATTTCACACATTGCAATTACCCAAATGCGAGTAGGTAGTTACCAGTTTCACCACCAGGTGGCTGATTCGGGTCAATTAACATGGCAGGTATATAAGAAAGTTCCCTTAAACTTGAATATTATCAATTTAAGTGGCTCAATTTTCATATAACCCTTATGTGTCTGATACTTATACTAATGAAAATATGTCCAGTAAAGCAAAATATTATCTGTCCACTAAAAGAAAAGATATTTCATTTTTTGTGATTTTATAGCATGGGGTCTATGGGGAATCTCCCCGAGCTAGAAGTCACATTTTCAAAGAAAATTAATTTTTCAAAGTTGATAAACACTTTTTAAAACCACATTTCTAGATGTAATTTTACATGTAGATTTCAAATATGATATTACTTTGACTTAATTTTGAATTTTTAATGACGTAAATCAAGATTATTTCTACTCGCATCTGGGTTATTATATACAGTACATCTAATGATCAAGTATATACCAATTACCAAATCATACTAAACTTGAAGTAATTGGAGATAGTCGACCAAATAGATTTTGCTAAAGCCATGTAAAATTGTTTTTGAATATGTTTTCAGGGCTATGATCTGGATTGTGTACTAAAGAGACCCATTGGGCCGATATCTTGTATAACAAAAGAGACTTTACATGAAATTAGACCTTGTTTGAGTTTGGAAGAAATATGTTTAAAAATAAATAACTAAAAATCGATTTATTGTTTCATTCAATTGATTATATATTAATTATAACAAGAATCATTATCATTTTTATATTTAATTGATATTTTAATCCACGCTAAATGAGAATTTTTCTAGAATATATATTTTTTTAAGTTTAAGAAGAATTTTAAGAGATTTTTTGGATAAGTTGGTTAGATACATCCCATCTATTGATTTTGATGTTTCCATATTCCAAATCTCCATAAATAGCATACAATTTAAGTTTAAGACAACCCTTCTTTTCTCTCTATTGCTCGCGTTTTCATAAGAAACTTGCTCATTTTTAATTTATCACGGGAAGTTGGTGGTATAATTACTTCCCTTTTTGCGTTGATTATAATTAACACATTTCTCTGGTGTGTTACGAGCATGTTGTTTTTCATCAAATTATAATTTCTTGCATGCGTTTGCCAATATCCACATCACTTCAATATTGCTACTCCTCTATCAGTCTCTATGTTTTGGATTTGTTCATTTATCATTTTAAAATCTGAAAATATATTTTTATATCATTATCACTTGTCTGTGTAGAATGTTTCTTGAAAGAATATAAGGTCTGTTTTCGTGTGTTTAACCACAGATTCAATCAAATGTAAATATGGATGAATATCAGAAAGAACAGGAAAATCCTGCTACGGCCAAAAAACAAAACTGGACATGAATATTCTAAAAAAGTTCCCACGGAACCTAAGATGTACATGCTGCCTTCGCCTCTTTATTAGCCAGAGTAATAGATTTATACATGGCGCATAAAAAACGCAATAAACAAATAAATCGTAGATCGTAGCACAAAACCAGTGATGACTGCATCAATTTCATTCTCAGCCATGTTTCCCATCTTTACAATTATTGTCATTTATTTACATGGACTCTGTTCGCTATCTGAATAGTATCTGTGAATGAAATACTTGGGTACTTTTGGTTCGTATTTAAATGAGTTGCCCATAAAACAGTAGGTTAATCCGGTAGCCGACAACCGAAAGTTGCATTCGCTTATACAAGCTTTAAATAATATTACGTGCGTTATATAGGCCTAACTTTTTGACGACTGATATTCTGCTTTAACACGTGTATAAACGCGCCTGTATTATATCACCATAATGATAGCCTATCCGTTACACTAATACGTATTACCGTTTAAACGGTCTTGGTTAGATTACCCGTTGATTAGTTATTAGTCAAGAACTATCTAAGAGAAATGCTTAATATATTTTCACATTTATGAAGTCTATGACAGACAACAGAACATGTCATAGTAGCTTGAAATCGAGTGTTAATGAAGAAGCTGAGCATATTAGTATCAGTGTGTTTTACTTTCGCAGTACCAGGTGAAGCGCTAGTAAGTAAATAAATAAATAAGAGAGTTGCATACTATGTATAAATAAATATTTTTATATATATAAAACTAAATAAGAGAGGGCCGTAGAACTAAACAAACATCTGATGTCAGCATGTCGTCGATATTTCGAGAGAGAAAACTGTCGCGGACTCAAAGTATAGCACAACACAGCGTCACTTCATCAATTCGCGAAGATCGAAAACAACTAAACGATTTACTTGTAGCCAGTAAAAACCCGAACGGACAAAGGTTGGAAATCATAAAGATGATGGTTTTGATGATTTTACCAATAACTGCCTTGGTTATATTGAGCGGTATAGCCCTGGTTGCCGCCGTAAAAGTGAATAACACCGCAAGTAACGTCAACGCCGTGATTGAATTGAGCAACCAAATGAGAGAAATCGTTAAGCAATTGCAGATAGAGAGAGGAATAACTGCATTATATCTCAGTGAAACTTCCGAGGACCTGAAAGCAAAATCTTATTTAGAACTGGTCGAGAAACACCGGAAAACCAATGTTGCTTTAGATAAGACAACGGGATGGACAAACACATACCGTATTAACAATAGTGATTACACCAAAGAACAATTTAGATTCGATTTAGAAAATTATCGGAGCCGACTGAGTATAGATAGTATCACATTTGAACAAAATATCGAGTACTATACGGATATCATTCAGGACCTGATCGGAGTAACGTCTATAAAAACTCAACTACCTCATTCTGAGACACTTTGGCGTAACATCGTTGCGAATGAAATTATTCTCCGCTTATCCGATGTCATTGGGATTGAACGGGCCCTTGGTTCGACGTTTTTCGTTGTTTGCGGGTTCAACAGTTCACGTTTCAAATGGTTCTCATCCCTGTGCGGCCAAAAGCAGGCGCTCCTGGAGCTTCTTTACAAGAACTATAAAGATGGACTTGAGATTTTTAACAATGCTCTTGGAGACAGCCCATTAATGAGTGAACTTGAATTAGTTCGGAGGGATATTCTGAATGCATCGTATGATCCTTGTGTGACTCTGTCTTCCAGGGATTTGCGTCTCGCGTCTTCTAATTGGTTCTCGAACGTTACAACCTATATGGACGCAATTGGTGCTATCGGCACCCGCTTATCTGAGGACATTATCTTGGAACTAGCTTCAATTTCTTCGATGGCATCAAGTGATGTCTGGGCATATTCATGTGCGATGATCGTTGTTACGTGCGGTTGTCTCATTCTGGGTGTCTCATACTGTCGCAGTTTGTACGAAATGAACCGAAAGATCCAAGATTTCGCCATTAAAGTATCAACCAAATCTGAAGAGCTTCGTTACGAGAAAAAACGTTCCGACAAACTATTGCATCAGATGTTACCTAAACAAATTGCCGATCAGCTGAAGTTAAACGATGAGGTACCCCCTGAGTATTACGACGCGGCAACAATTTTTTTCAGTGACATTGTGGGCTTTACCAAGATATCATCAATAAGCACCCCGCTACAAGTCGTTGAGTTTTTAAACAGGATGTACAGGTAAAAATTAACTTTGTTAGTACCTCAGTTGAAATACTCATTTCTGATTGGTTGATTAGCGGTCAACAGTACTTATTGGTACTAGGTACCGTACTGCCAGTTGACCTCAAGAGAGGTCTACAATTGTATACTATCATGTCTTTATATCTTTCCATCTGTTGCGTATTGGATTTTGTTTATGAAGGTGTGTAATGATGGATCCCATTTTTGTCGTAGTCTATGTATGTAATCATGATACTTCCCTTGTAATTGGATAATTGGATTGGATTTAATAATTACTAGTCTCCAGGTCTCTGACCCCCGTGGTATCATGAAATGAACAGAGAAATCCTCCTTGAATGAACTCTGCGTTATTTTACATAAAACAAGCACACAAGTACACCCCACGCCTACAGTCTTTGGTGTATCGTATTGTATCGTATCGTATTATATTGTATTGGTATTAGAACCGTTTGTTAATGTTAACCCATTGCAATCTTGATACTTGGTATCACTTTATATTAATGAGTCATTAACTACATCCTGTTTTCAATGCGCGGTCCATCTTGTTCCCAATACGCCCACCTCGTTCTTAATACGCCCACTTCGTTCCAAATACGTCCATCCCGTTCCAATACGCCCACCTTGTTCCAAATACGTCCACCTCGTTTCCAATACGTCCATCTAGTTTCCAATACACCAGCCTCGTTCCCAATACGTCAACCCCGTTCCTAGTAATACGCGGTCCATCCCGTTTCCAATACGCTGTTCATCTCGTTCCCAATACGCCCACCTCGCTCCCAATACGTCCACCTCGTTCCTAATACGCGGTCCATCCCGTTTCCAATACGCTGTCCATCTAGTTCCAAATACGCCCACGTTCCCAATACGCGGTCCCTCTCATTCCCAATACGTCCACCTCGTTCCCAATATGCGGTCTATTCTGTTCCCAATACGTCCATCTCGTTCCTAATACGTCCATCTCGTTCCAAATACGTCCAACTCGTTCCCAATACGTCCAACTCGTGTCCAATATGTCCACCTTGCTACCAATACGTCCACCTCGTTCCCAATTTGCAGTCCACCTCGTTCCCAATACACGGTCCATCCCGTTCCCAATAAGTACAGCTCGTTCTAATCACATCCTCATCTCGCCCCTAGTGGATGCAGAGCGCATTTGAGGTGGCCGCCAGAAAACTTTGAATACGCTATGCTCGGGTTCTGAGACACCTTGCCGGCAGAGAACGTCACTAAAGTTCGTAAAATCGTAGAAATCTCCAACTACGTTCAATCCTTTCGCACACAGTTCACCCTGCTCGGCGCAACATTTTTAAGAAAGGCGTGGACAGTGGACACGCTACTCATTACCAAATGCACCTTGACTGAGAATCAGAGCAAGCATAGTACATTAGTGTAGATTCGATCTCATAAAAATGCAAAAGTACAACCTTTTGAAAGGCTACAATCACACATAATTTAGGCAAGGTGTGTCCGATTCCAGCCAATCAGAACACAGTATTTCACATATAGACCAGTGTGTGAAATATCAATAACACATGCAAGGTCACTAGTTAAACAGTTTTCATGGTGATGAATGGACTCCTCACATTGGATTTGATGACTTTCCAACTTGACCCTTGCAAAAAATGTCACTGAAAATGTGTTCTTTTAGTGATTTCGTAAGAAAAAATTGCATTGTGTGAAAATAATTTAAGCCCAAGACTCAATGCATTGTAGCTGCTTCATTCCACCCAGGCGTTGTTTCCTTAACTTTATTCCCGCTGCGTGGTCATGCAAAGGTTTGGACACCTTCATGGTATGATTCAGCAAAAAAATGCAGGGCTTAAAGCCTAAATAAAATGTGTATGAAATCTATTTATTGTGGACCACCCTGTGTTATTTAATGATATATCTATGGTATGTTTTAGAAACTTTCTCGCTTTACTGGTTTTACGTGCATTTTTGTGAGGATTTGAAATTTTATAGGCAAAAATAAGCAAGGTGTGTCTTATTCCAGCCAATCAGAACACACTATGGGTGTCAATGGGTTGTCAAGGTTAGAACTGGATTCTACAAATTGAATGATGCTTTGCAAACTTGCACCTTGCAAAAAGGTTTCATTGAAAATATGTTCTTTTAGTGATTTAGTACCTTTTTAGTGACATGGTAGAAAAAAATTTGCAATGTGTGAAAAGAATGTAAGCCAAAGACTCAATGCATTGTGGAATTACCATTCCTTTCAGGCGTTGTTTTTATTAAAACTAACACTCGCTGCTGGCGCATCTCGTGCAAATTTTGGAAAGCAACATCTTCAACTGAATGGTCATTCCACATTGCACCGAGTCCAGGGCTTAAATCCTTAAATATGGTCTTCATTGATCAAACAAGCAATTAATGTATATTGTACAAACAACTTTTTTGGCTTCTGATATAGTGCATATTGTTGATTAATCCTTGGTCGTGTCATTTGAAATTATATCACCATAGCTATTGTATTGCAATTCATCATATTAATTGTGCTAATGGTTGACTAATCCACGTGACAAAATATCTGAGATTCATTTTATCCCGCACTGTGTCTGACAATTTGCGGGGTCGGAACAATTAATCAGCTCTAATAAGAACCCATCATCCAATACATATTCAATATTGGAAGCATAAAATCACGAGTGCTTGCATGAATCCATACAAATAACACAATAAGAAGCAAACAGTAATTTGCGAATTAAAAACGGTTACTAGTATCTGAATGTACTCTCATTTCTTGATTGATACAGACAAATATAAATTGAGGAATTTATTGATCGACTATATTTTAACGCTGCCTCAATGTTTGAATTAGCTCGTATTTTAAATTTCCGTTCGTCTTGTTGTCATGCACGTAGCGTACATGTACGTTGGATGCGTTCGGTCAATTTGTTCGTAATATCCGAATTTTTATTTCATTTCTTCAAACCAAAAATGCTTTTCTTACACTTTCAGCTTGTTTGATGCGACTATTGACCGGTATGACGTATATAAAGTGGAAACAATCGGGGATTCGTACATGGTCGTGAGTGGACTGCCTGAGAGAAATGGAACTGCGCATGCGTCCGAGATATGTTGCCTTGCTCTGGAGTTGCGGACCTCGATCTCGGAATTCGTCATACCCCACATGCCACTAGATAATGTTCATTTACGTATTGGAATAAACTCAGGTAATATTTTTTGAATGCCACCTTTCATAAAAACGATTATCTTTGTTTCATGAAAAGCATTCCAACATCACGAGTCCACAAGCCTATTCCTACAAATGCTCCATTATTGCGACCATATTTATTAAGAGGCTGTGAGCCCCCGTGTAGCCAAATCTATCAACTGTAGTGTAGTCAACTTACTGAGAATAACTGAGGTCTGGAAAAGTAAAATATTTAAGATCAAATGTCATCAGGGTAGTTCACAAACTGTGCTCTCTAATTTTCTCATAGTTCGAGACGAAAAATAAAATATTTCTGGGGATATACATCCCTCTAAAAGGTTCTACACATATAAGCAATTGTATGTCTTTTAATAAAACATTACACCAGTTTTAAGATATAAAAGCTCAAAAATGAAAATGGAAGGTCAAATTCGAAATTTACCAAGAACAAATTTAAACTTGCTTTAAATTGATCAATTTACTTTTAAGATTATCAACAAGTTCTCGGGAGTTTAAATGTGACCTTGAGATTCAACCTTTGGTTGACCTTCAGTGATCTTCAAAAGTTAAAAAAAGTTGATGTTTGGATTCAAATCTAGGTCAGCTTAATTACAAAAGGCCTACTTTCTCATACAAGTAATATTTCAAGGTCAATGTCATCATTTTAGGTCACAATCTATGTAATCTAAGTTTCTCAAAACTCGATATTTCAAATCAATAGTTTTAGTTGAAAGTCAGGATACGAGATAAAGGAGACTCTCAAAGTAAATCAAGAATGGGCAATATTGCATAGGTACGAATGTAAAAACTTTTTATCATTTAACAATATATATTTGTATTTTGTGTAATATTATTTGAAAATGTCATCCTGAAATTGTTTTTACTTTATTTCCATATTTGAAAATGTTACGTGTATGATAATGGGCATTGGTATACGCTTCCATATTACTAAGGCAAATAATGAATCAGGCTTTACACTATACTTCTTAATAGGACCATGTGTGGCAGGAATTGTGGGTACAAAGATGCCTCGGTATTGTCTGTTCGGTGATACCGTCAACACAGCGTCAAGAATGGAGTCTACTGGGAAAGGTAAGAGACAAGGATGATCAGATTCAGGTGTAATCACGATTGGCATTGTCTTGAACGCTAAATAGTAATGCAAATCAAGTATAATTTCAAGACGCTTTACACCCTTTCCCCCGAACGAAATTAAAACTCATCAATGTGGGCAGTTTCTCTGGACTATAGTTTTTTCAGAAGAATAGTGTGGTCTAAATCACCGTAGTGCATTTTGTATAGCATGTGTCACGAACATGATGAAGATGTCACTTTCTGCAATTTTCAGATATTGTTTACATGGTAGCGAATGTGCTTCAGAAAATGGTAGGGCGAGGGGAGGCTCTAAACGTCAACGGGTTTGGCTGATTTTTTGTGCTTGGGGACCAACTGGGCAAAACTCCACTTTGATCCAAAAGATGAAACACCTTATTCATATTTTTTCATTTGTGGCTAAGTGATAGAAAGGTTGCCGGAAAAGGTTTATTTTCTAGTAGATTTTAAGATCAGAAGCAAATAAGCTATTTGAAAATAACAAGTTAATGAGATAATTTGATGGATCATGGTTCTCGACCTTAAGCAAGTAATATTAGTATCGCCCATTAAATAAGTTGGTTTGTTCTCTGAACACATGGAGCCGAGAAATTGTTAAAATGTCTAAGATGTTGATGTTGATATCAGGTGTTTAATAATATTAAATACATGTCACTTATAATTTTTATATACTGATTCAATGTTATTATTTAGTCATGTTTCAGATATAGCAACTACTGAAAAGTCTCTTATATTGTGCCATCAGCCACTGATTGTCATTCAAAATGTCAATTTTTAAGATCATTATTTACATCGTATGTTCATGATATTTACATGAATTCGTATTAGTTTCTAATTGAGAGTCTAATTGTTTGACATCCTCGGGGTCATTTGTAATGTTATTTAGATCTTTAACATTGAAAACAAGTTGTCACATTGGTCATATACTGTATAAGTGGTATTTAATCCGAGTGGTTAATTTTCCGAATGGTCAAATTTCCTAATTTTCCTAATTTTAATTTTCCTAATGACAAGAAACCTCCCATTGGATAACATTATAAAGACAATATTTCCGACATTTAATTTTCCGAACCTGGCAAAAATTAGGAAATAGGCAAATTAAATGATTAGGCAAAATTACCACTTATACAGTAATCTATATAAGGCATTATGCTCTAGAGACGCGCAATACTAGCTTACCAGTTTACCAGTGATTTTTCAATCACAGGTACGAAAACTCCATACCTTGGTACAGTGGTAATCCAAGATGTCAGAGATCAGCAGTCAGGATCTAAAAAATAATTAACCATGCTGGAGGGTGGGGAATCGGAAATTGTAAGCTGAACAAAATGAATCACACTACTTATTAACATTTCATCTGAGCACGATCTTGAACTTCTGAATCCTTCTTAGCACGACAATTTGTTTAAAAGTAAATGGAAGAATTCAGAGAAATCAATTTTATTTGGTAAGTGAATTGAAATATCATCAGTATCAAGATATAGATAGGGACAAAAAATAAAATTGAAAGGAAAAAGCCTTGATGTGTAATTTTTTAGAGTCAACATCGTCTAAAAATTTGTGGAACTCCCAAACATTCTAAGAAATCATAGGCTTCAAATTTGACATGTAAAGGTAGATAGCATACAAAGCACCGCACCGGTCACGCTGCTGAATCCGCCAGGTGCATTATTCAGGAATAATATCAGAATATCATTTTAATCTACTCGGTGATATTGATATATGCGCTCGTTCGCTTCGCTCTCTCGTGCAGATATCAATATCACCTCGTAGATAAAAATGATATTCCTCAAAATCAAAGGATATCCTATAAGCATCTTTTTGTTATCTGATGCTTCGGTCGCCAATACTTTTCCATTGTGGGCCTATGCACCCTCGGTGCCATCATGTTGCAACTTATGTCGCAGTCACATTTGCTCTACGGTGGCCGTAGCTTTCCAATAATCGATAAGTCCCTATATAGAAAATCTACATCGTACTACTTATTCCTAATTTTATGCTGCATATTTCTAACGATTTTGGGAAGCTACGGTCGCCATACGGTAGCCGTTGATCAAATGTTACAGAGGCATTAGTTGCCAGGGCAATGCTCTATTGGCAGGAGACGGTCTTCCATTATAATGAGAGGCTTGGGCTTTTGAGCACTTTACGTGTTCGGAGAATATTAGGGAGTTAAGCTTGCACAGCCTTAACGCGAACCTAAGTTATTTAATCGATGTATTTTCGTGGGCGATTGGTCATACGTATAGGTAGGCGTTTCGATTTCATATGCAAGCTTAAACTCCCTATTGTCTCTTATTTTCTGAATTGAACTGTACAGTACATATGTACACTACACCTATATATATTCTAATGTCGTAGAAATGCACGAAAGGCCTTTTAAAAAGGGATAGCAAATAATAAATAATTATTAATTCCATTGTATTTAGTCTCATAGAAAGGTACACTCGAATTGATATTCCTATTATTTGTAAATATATTATTAATTGTCTAGTTTCCTTCATATTTGTTATTCTCAAACAAAGCTGTTAGTGAATGACATGCATCTGTGATTTGCGCGTTTTTGTATTACAAGCAATGAAGATCCAACTGAGCGAATCCACCAAGGCTCTCCTGGATGAAATAGGGGGATTCGTGACAGCACCACGAGATCAAGTAGAAATAAAGGTACATTTAATTTCTCACTAGTTAACTACGTCTGAATAATTCATTCCCATCACTTCATATAAAAAATTGCTATACGTACTGTTAAATGTGTTAACAAGAGAATTATTTCTTATTCAAATATATTTCGTTTCGTTCCGGCGCTAACCAGTATTTGTTTCAGTTGTACTAATCGTTCACGTGATCCCGTTTTTATTCAACGTGATGCGTCTGTCCCTAATTTTTACAGATGAACGAATTCGATGAAACACAGATTGTACATCGTGGTAAGCCACACCCTCTTTATCTCTATCCTTCTGCGATGCAACAGACATGACAGAGAGAGATGCTATGAGTATCAGAATGAAAATTGTACACGTTGTTCTTACTAATGCTTTTGATACTCCATGGTAGGCATCCAAAAGGACATCCTGTTAAAATCTGTCCCATTCTTTTCATTTGACACGGGTTTTGTTTTGTTTTTTTCAGGGTAAAGGCTCAATGAATACGCATTGGCTAGAAGGACACATTCCAATACCACAAAAGAGGGTAAAGCGAGCTTCATTTGTCAAAGAAGATGTAGGATTAAGCATACTCCCTTTGTTGAATCCAAGTCCAGATGTCCACGTAATACATGCTGATTACATGAATTAAGAGAGAAGAAGCATGATCGTATATTAATAAAAATCGTCAATACAATAGAGCGTGTTGGACTCATTTGCATTACAGGAGTCAACAAATTGGTTATAATCACTAAATGTTTAATTATCTATGACTGTCTTAATTTGGGTTTCAAGCAAACTGTGGGTGCCTTTTTAGCAATCAAACAGTAAAGTGGGGCTCGATAACTATATGCCCAAAATATCTGCGTTTCTAGGCAAAAATAAACTAAAACGAAAATCTGATCAATTAATTTATTTTAGATTATATACATTTATAGTTAATTGAAATAACATACTACTGTCATGCTATATAATTACCATTACTTAACGCAGCTACACTCATAAAATGTACTGTAAACCCTAGGGTTAGGGTTTATAATTTATAATGAAGATCCATTTACATTTCGTATACAAACATTACTAATCAACTATTAATCACATACCATCTTTGCGAAATAAAATGATTTTAAAAATTACATATATTCAGACTAGTTTGCCCATACTCAATTATTCCCTTACCCATTGATATATTTGAATTTATAATTGTCTTCGCGGAAAATGACGTCACTTCCGTTTCTGTTCCTCAGATTTTCAGCATTATATGGCACTACTCCACAGCTGATAGAAATGTTTGATCGAATTCACGTTTGATCAGTGACATCATCAATGTTTATATTTTAAGATGTACTTTTAAGATATCATGCCGGACTTTATGTATCTTATATTTATATAATTTAATAAACAGTGTGACAAAATACTTACTAAAACTACACTAAAACTTGTGGCGTTGATGTGTAGAGTTTTGTTTTCAAATCACTATGGAATATTCCAGATATCGCTATTAATCTTTGAGGATCAACTGAAAACGAGGAGAGGTTGCCCATATTTCAACATGGATACTTTCGCCTCTATTAACTCACTTTTCTATGAATAGGTTCACGTCCATTCGACTTGCACATATTTCGTGATATCAGATTTCCCAATATACGTGCTTAAGAACAAATGATCTATTCACTGAGAGAACAACACTCTTTGCAGCAAAAAAACATCTCCGCTTTGTCTGAGCATGAGAAAATTACCTCTGCATGATATACACGTAGAAATGGTCACGGTGGGGCAAAAGCGTCCATATATTTTAACTGAACCCACCCTAAGCCTATGTGCTTTTCCAACAGACTGAGAAATTTAAGGATTTAAATCTTGGACTCAGTACATTGTGAGCTGAACCATTCCACGAGGATGTTGTTTCCAAATCTTTGCATGACGCGCACGTGGAATGTAAAGTTTAGGAAACAACATCTGAGTGGAATGAAGCAGCCACAATGCATTGAGTGTTGGGCTTAAATTATTTTCACACATTGCAAAATATTTTCTATAAAATCACATAAAAGATACAAAATCACTAAAAGAACATATTTTCAATGACACTTTTTGCAAGTGTCAAGTATTGGATAACTCAATTTCAATCTCGATCGCTTACGCAACAAATGCGTTATTGATATTTCACACACTGTTCATTATGCAAATACTTTATTCGGATTGGCTGGAATCGGACACACCTTGCCGAGCCGATTCCTACATCCCCTACGAACATTATATCGAAATCCATGCATTTTTTGAGAAGTTGTATCGAAGTAAAAAGCATGGACGTTTTTGGCCCACCCTGCAGTATAGGCTAACAAAGTTTATGATCCTGTACATTTAGAATCTGGATATCTATATACCTGTATACGTATGCTGTTATATAACGGTGGAAAATTATGCGAGATAAGTTAGTCAGTAAAATAATGACAAAATAGGAAAACATCCAGTCGAAAGGTCCAGTCTCCAACTCCGAGTCTAAATATACCCCAACATTAGAGAAACATTATTTAATTTTCATCAATAGTCCAAATTAATATTTACAGACAGGAACGATTTATCAAAGTATATTGATGGTGCTTATTGGTTATCGTGAATCTACTTATGGCGCATTTTAAGACTCGAGTTAGAGGCTGTACTTTAAATTTTTTTAAAAACTTACTAACACCAATTTTTTAAAGCGTCTGAAATGCCTAATTTACATAGCCTTATTAATATGTACAAAACGAGTATAAAATGCATTATTTTACAATCAGCATTCCTAGTCACAGTAGCCCAATACAACCAAAAACGTACTGGATTATATCGTTTTTAGAATATCAGTTCTTATCTAGACACATTAATTTAGACCTAAGTTCTATATCTCAACTGAAAATGCGAGCAGGACAGTAGGCTATTTGTATGCGGTTAACTAGCACTAACTAGGCACCAGCTAGGCTCATAATTTGTAAGTAACAAAGTCGTGGGAATCACATCCTTTCGTCGTCATCTTCATCATCAGCGTCGGTTTCAGTAAATACAGGCTCATCGTAAATTTGTGCTGAATAAGCATCAGAGCGTGACGTATTTCCGGTGAAACTGTCGTCTGCGCCAGATAAAGTGCCATCTGGCGACATAGAGACTACCATTGATGGACTCGGAGGTCCACTTGAGTCACTGCGGGAAATATAATCACTTGTTGTTGTCTGGGAGTCGATACTGCCTACAAGACAATGGAAAATATTATATTTTGATTCGGATGAATATGACTGGATGATAAAATGATGAAAAATATGATTTGCGTTTGAGCCCTTAGGTGACAATGAAAGAACATGAACATGTCATGGGATGTATGTGAAACATTGAATCAGGTTCGCAGATGTGGACTCGTTGATGTCAATTAAATGTCTAGATTATCCTCAGGGCAGGTTTTAAAAATGACTAATGAGCAATTTTATTCACGATGTCAAGTGTTTTAGGAACGGAAAGGGGATAGAGAAAACAAAATGTTGTAAGCCACCCGTTTTCAAGAAGCATGCCACTATTTCCCTTACAATCCTAATTTCTGGAAAAAGATCTGAAATACCTTCTGAAATAAAGAAGTTAAATGAAAATGATTCAGAAATGTCCAAATAGTTCATAAGAATCGAGAGAGGCAAATCAAACTTCAGCCAGATAACCAGTTAAAAAGAAGATTATCCTAAATCAATATAAAAATGTTGTACCTTTTAAAATAGGCATATCATGGAATAATGAGAACAAAACATAATAAAATAATACTTCATTGAACAGTATTTTGTAATGAAATTAGGAAAATATGACTTAAACAAAGTTGACAGCATAATTATTTAACAGTGCCCGGGCTCTTTTATAGAGCCCGGACACTGAAAGCAAAAGTAGGCCCAGTATATTTTACAATAATCAAAACATAGGGTAACGCTAGATACTAATCTAGTATACCTGTCAAACAAGTGGTACCACAAATCGAAAGTGCCAAAAAGGAGACTAAAAAGCAAAATAAAATACGGAAAGAACAGGAAACATCTAACAGTCAGTTATAAGGCAAACGAAACCGCCGATAACCCAAACCATGACATCAGTTAAAAAAGCAGGAAAAGCATGCATTGGAGTTTTCCATGGAAACCCGACGAGAAGAATTGTTACCACTAGAAATTAATGGAGCCACAACCTTTCTTTCCAAACTTAGACCATCGAGTATGAGATTGGAAAACTGCTGGCATCCCCTCAGTTGTACTGTCGGCAGTATCCGTCATCTCCTTGGTGTCCTTCGGCCCTCCAAGCTCTGAATCCGCCTCACTGGCACTCTGCCGTCGCCTCTTGTATCGTACAAAGTAGGCCACAACGACCAAGATGAAAATCATTACAGCCCCTCCAATCACGATTATCTCTATAAGCACAGTATTGCTCGATGCCCATGATGAGTGGGTCTCTTCAATAAAAGCTAAAGCACTGTCTTCGTCGACTGATGTTGTGTTTTGTTCAGCTATTGTTACAGTCATGTAACTGTTTGTTGTACTTATCCCAATTCCTAATGTCGTGGATACAAAATCTGTTTGTTTCGCTTCATCCTTGTATCCTTCAATTTCCACTTCCCCTTCTACTTGTTCTTCACCTTGATCTATTTTACCGTCACTTTCTGGTTTCACATCCCCCTTATTCTCATCATTAGTTTCTATTCCTTCTCCCTTTTCCATATCTTCAATATTCTCATCATTTGTGTCAATTTCTCCTCCCTTTTGCACATCTCCCTTAATCTCATCATTTGTTTGTATTCCTTCTTCTTCATCTTGCATATCTTCCTCATTCTCATCATTGGTTTCTACTCCTTCTTCTCTTTCTTGCATATCTTCTTTATTCTCATCGTTTGCATCTATTCCCTCTTCTTCTCGCATGTCTTCCTTACTCTCATCATTTGTTTCTAATCCTTCTCCCTCTTGCATATCTTCTTTATTCTCATCGTCTATTTCCTTTTCCCCTTCTTCTGTATCTTCATCACTTGTGTCTTTTTTATCTTCTCTCGTTTTTGAGATTTCTTCATCAGGTTGGCCGCCAGCTTCGGCTGATTCAGAGTCTGTTATCTCGGCATCAGTGTCTACATCATCATCTATGTCTGGGGAGTCTTTGTTGTCTTCGACCTGACTTTCATCAGAGTTATCACCTGCCAGATCTATTTCGTCAGCTTCTGAATTTTCAATCTGCGGGTTTTGTTCAGTTTGTTCAATTTCATCAGTTTTTCCTGGCTCTGTATCATCTTTATCACCTACTGTGGTCATCGGTTCGCTTGTCTCCTCACCGTCCATGACTGGTATTCCACCATCCATATCTTCTTCACCCTCGTCCTTTTCACCTTCCAGTTCGTCTTTTTCTGTAGTCGTTGACATAGATAACGTAGTTGCTGATTCTGATCTTACTAACACCGTAGACTGTGTTGGAAGAGATGTTTCCATATCTTCCTTTACCATCTCAGTTGTTTCTTGTGGCATTTTCATACTTTCAGTCGTATGATCTGTCATTGTGTCAGTTTCAGTAGTTGGTCCACGTTCTGTTGAAGATACGAATATAGCTGGTTTGGCAGTAGTCGAAGTCACATGCATAGTTGACGTTTGTGTTGTCTCCTTTGATTGTTCCTCCATATCGTCCTCATCTTCGCCAGATTCTTTTTCATCTGACGATTCTTCGGCCATGTTTTGTGTAGTTGTCATTGTGGCACTGCTTGCGCTAGTCATATACGCAATGGTGACTGTTGCTGCGGTGGTTGTGACTAGAAGTGTCGACAATTGATCAGTTGAAGAGGCGGGAGTTGTACCGGTGGAGTGAACCAAGCTTGAATAGTCGTCATAATCATAATCACCAGTTTCTTCAGCCCCGATAGAGCTTGTTTCGGTCACCTTTGTTATTTTATCTGTAGGAATACTCGTTGTTTCAACATTGTCTGGTCTTTGTCGAGGTCCTGAAATGATTCTCCCAGGAGCAGCAGCCTTCAATAAATCCGAGTCAGAGGATGCGTCGGTACCTCCAGGTATTTCTATCGTAGTAGGGGCCTGTGTTGACTTTGTTAATTCCACTATAGGAGCAACTGTAGATTTACTTCGATTTTGCTGTTGGGCTCTTAAAATGCTCAAAATTTCAGATAGTCTTGGTACACCAGGACGCCTTGTATTTGGAGCTGGACTGGGTTTTATTTTGGGCTTTCTTCTTCTGGGATTCACGGTTATTAATTTACGAGTTGGTTTTGGCCTTTTCGGACGATCTTTGGGTCTAATTGGGGGTAGTTTTACTGTTGTTGTAGTCGGGGGAGGCGTTGTGGTTGTTGTAGTCGTTGTGGTTGTAGTAGTGGTAGTTGTAACAGTGGAAGGTAATGTGAACTTTGTTGTAGTCGAGGCGTTTTCTCCATCAGATGGAAATACATATCCATCTCCAAGTACTTCATCAAAAATATAATCCTTCAGGGGTACCCCATGCCATCGGTCAGGTGTGATACATGGATATTCGCTAGGCCATTGTTGGATATAAGGTCGGTTGTCTGATTCAGCCATCTTGGAAAGCTCTACCAGTCCAATTGAGGGGAAACAATGGTATGGGTTATTTGCCAGGTTAAGCTGATCCAAACCTTTGAAATAGTCGATGTCCTCTTGAGTTAATGTCTGAATATAGTTCTCTGAGAGATCCAGTGTTTCTAGATGAGTGTTTAAGCGGACAGCTTCTGGTACTCTACGTATCTGATTATCCGTCAACATCAACATCCTCATTCTCGAGGTGTTCTTCAAGGCATCGTGGTGTATCTCCTTTAGTGTATTCTTCTCCAAGTGAACTTCTTCCACTGAGATGTTCTGAAAGCAACACTTTAATACAGAAAGTCTACAGCCAGTCAGAATTATGCTTCTTATCCTTGTCAACGGCTGGAACACGCCATCTGCAAGCTCATTTAATGGGTTACTCTCCATATTAAGCGTCTCCAGTTTATCGAGGCCATCAAATGTTTGGTTGGTGGTAATAGACGATATATCAGAGTTAGACAGTTTAAGTTCTTGGAGGGATAATAATCCTGCAAATGCTCGCTCCGATAGCTTTTCCAATCTACTGTTATTACTCAAATCCAGATATATCAGTTGAGTGAGACCTGCAAAAGTAAAGGAGTTGATTTCCCGTAGACTGTTACCACTCAGGTCTAAGAATTGTACGGAAGGCATCGGAAAGAAGGCATGTACCAAAATTCGGCTGATTTCGTTATTTGACAAGTCTATTGTAGTCAGTTGGTTTAAACTCTCTGCGGCTTGTTGGAAATATTTTCCGATATTTCTTATCTTGTTGCCTTTCAGTGACAGAATATTCAGGTTGGTCAGACCTATTAAAGCCTTGGGGCCTAAATTCTTTAATTTTGGACAGTTTTCAATATAAAGTTCTTCTAAACTCTCAAGACCAACGAACGTCAAATCGGGAATACTGGAAAAGCCACTCCCTGATATGTCAAGGACTTCAAGAGAGGGAATGCTTCCGAATGTATCATCTTTCAAATTTCTCCAAGATTTCATATCCCTTGCGAACAGCTTTCGGACAACCGATATATCACCAAGGCCACTTAAAAAGTATGAAAATGTGTCTTCTGAAAACAGGTTATTGTCGATTCTGAAAATTTCCAAGACTGCAAAAACATTCAAGGCCTCTCTGTCAATGTAAAATAGTTTATTATTTGAAAGATCAATTTCTCTCAGCATCCCAAGGCCTCTAAAGGCATCAGGTTGAATATTGTCAAGTATATTGTTCCGTATGGACACGCTTCGTAAATGGGGATACCCTAAAAACGTATTGTTATTTAGCGTTCCTATGTTGTTAAAGTCCAGGTTCAGAATATAAGTGTTGTCCGGAATATGAGAAGGGAATGACGTCAGACCCGCCTTGGAGCAATCAACTGTGATTCTCCCGCCGCTGTCGTCATAGCGACATGGATCACCGCTTCTTGATTGACCAATCACAAACCTCAGTATTAAACAGTTCAACACAAGTGTTTGAACGAACACGTGCTTCATCATCTTTTGATTTGATTTGTATTTTGTTCTTATTTAAGTTCCTGAGATAGTTACGTTTTGAAAATAATTAATTAAGCTGGTTATATTCTATTTCAGTTCATTCACCACAATTGTCCAATTCTTCAATCCAGCATTGTCGTATATTATGTATCGGGTTACTAAAGTCGTGATTTAACAAGCGTGTATCCTACATAACTCAGATTTCTATTATATGCGAAAATGAAGTAATCCGGCTGATCGGAAACAAGTTGATAATATTGATGTGGTGATTCACAATGAGTTATGTGAGTCTATAACCCAGGGCTAAGATATGTCATTATTACTGGTCTAACAAGTGACAACAAACAAGACAGTCTACTTTTATTGTTTTTTTCAAAACACTCATGTTAACAAAAGGCAAAATCATGCAAGTACAATTGGTTATAATTCGGAAAAATTGCACACAGTAAACTCTCTTTGAACATCACTGTCCATCTGTCCATCGACATTTAACTGGTCCCACTGCGTCTTATAACACAGCTTTTGAAATGTTTGTTTCATTCGAATTGAAATGTTTTCCACTCACACACTATGAGCCTATGCTTTCATCTCGATTCATATAATGACAAAACGTTAATCATGCAGATTGATATCTTAGGTACAGATTCGTTGTTGTTGATGGCACACAAGGAGACAGTATAACTTAATATCAATGACAGATAATACAAGACCCTAATCTATTCTTCGAGAAAAACATTTCATATTTCCTTTTCAACAAGTCTCTCAGTATTCACGCGTCCTCTATTACAGTACACATCGAGGTTAATTAATCATTTTATTTTTATGGACAGCGCTAGTTGTTCATTGTTGTATCTAATGTCACAATCATTCTATATCTTATCTTATGCATCATAGGCACAATATCGTGTTTCATTATGATTGATATTGTAGCCCAAACAGGCCTCACATTTATTTTTCTGTCAGTATTTGAGAACACAATTTATTCCATTGAACAATGCTTTTCAGTCATGCTTTTGAATCACTTTTTCTTGGACCATACCTATTATTATAGCACTCTTGGGGGCTATATTGTAATCATTGTTTTCATTTGGAGCAAACAGGACCATTTCACAGCATTTTTATTACTAAGTAGCACACAAAATGAATTCCATTCATATTTCCGCAACACTTCATAGATTCGCACCCATTGGGATAACCATACGCCCGTTCAAAGATAGATGTATGTTGTTTTTCATAAAATAATCAAAACTCACTCGTCTCATCACAGTTTGATTTAAAAGACTCATTAAATAGGTGATGATGAACTGATGCTCAATCAACAACACACTTAAGACGGTTCATGTAAATGTCAAATGTATAAGCTTACAAACCAGTTATTGCACATAAGAAGAAATATAAGCCCGTCATTCACGATTAGAGGAAATGTGATAGACAAGCTCCCGGTCTTTAATTTCTTATTTTTGATAAATCACATGGTCGAACACAGGATCTGATTTAAGGCCAGGTTATAATTACGAACGATTTTAAGTGTTAGAATATCGATGTTGTTCCTCATCGCATTAGAGATCTCTTTTTCGTATACAGTTGCCGGAGATTCTATAGGCCTGCTTCAGAGCAGCCTGGCAGTTGTTGTAATCAGACCATGGCTGGCATAATGTGTCACACAACAGGGATAGATGTTTCTCAAATGTTGGTAATGCTCCATCGGTGTCTCCATTTATGGCTGATTTCATGGCCTCGATATACTTCGTATGCGACTCCATTAACAGATCCAGCTTTTCCTGAGCATTGGTCACGTGACAACATTTCGGGCATTCCGTTTTTTCAAGCCCCTCCTTGTTTTGTACTTGTAGCGCAGAGCCACACATCTCACACCTGACCACAGGGAGTTTGTTCAAAAGGTCCTCGTGAAGAGGCCAATTGTTCACACAAGCCTCACATTTACAATCGAAGAAGTACTGTGGCCGGAGGACAGCTTGTCGTTGTTCTTTCGTTTGTAAAAAGAACAAAGCACCGTATTCGTCAGTTATCTCCTCGCCTTTTTTAATATTTGTAATTGCTCTACAAACGGCCCTGTCCCCACCTACAAAGTTACGATCCACAGACGGGTTACAGGAGTGGTTGAGCAGGCTAGATGTAACATACATACCGATGCCGAGCGTTAAGAATTTCGAATGGCGAAAGTCATCTTCAAGCAACATCTCGCAAATTTCATGAGCATTACACAGCGCCTGTTGCATATGTCTCAATATTAAACCCCCGACGTAGGCAATGTCCTCCCCAGCGCATGATATACCATCTTGGACGAAGAATCCGGATTTTTGGAGAATTTGCAGCATGAAGACGGCAACCATGGAAAGCTGAATCAACTCCTTTGGTTCTCTCAATTCAGTGTTGGTCACCATATTATAAACAGCCCAATAATTATTCAAGTAATCACCGTCTTTATTACAACCGGCGTTTACACCAGAGTCCTCGCCTTGTTCTGAGAGCGTGTCTCGGAACGCTAGTAGTTTTTTCAAACCCATGCACGTCACAAGACGCAGAGGGAGTAGACCTGGCACAATAACTCCCGAATCGATTATCAAATCAGTGAACTTGCACTCGAATTTGTGACCAGAATTCCAGGATTTTTCACTACATTCCTCGCTGCAATACCTGAAATAATCAAGCAAATTCCTTAAGACAAATACTCGTATAATGGCTATAAGTTGACAGTATAAACGAGAATGAGAATTGAGAATGTTACGTATGCATAATTAATGAATTACATTAATAAGGATCTTTTAAATATATCTGCGTTTGGCGCATTTGAACAAATCTAGTAGGCCTCATTAAATAGTTAAGGGAAGGTATAGATCCAGAACTACTTCACAACCGAATGTACACTTATGCACTCTTTTTTTACTCTACAAATGGAACACTGCACTGCATCATTCTACATTAAATTATACTACATTACTATTCACTACACTACACTACACATCTACACAGCAGAACAATGTTTTGTACAGTACCAAATGATAAGAGGTTACCATCAATGGAATGCGAGATTTTGTATAGTAGACCTTTACTAACCTGACACCACCTTATTGTCTACATACATGGCACTATCGCGTTTTCTATCTAGATGAATTATTGACACAACTGCATGATCTACATATCTCTACATATGCCATGCATACATGACATTTTTACATTTTGTTTTCTACACGAATACATAGATGACACCATCGTCTCGTCCAACGCGTCCATACATTTCACATACCATTACATTTTCTGTAAAAATACATACCTGACACAACTACACTGTATCCATGGTTACATGACACACATAGGTACATACATAAAGCATACCATTACATTTTCTACACGAATACATACCTGACACCAATCCATTATCTACATAGGTACATACATATAACACATACCATTACATTTTCTACACGAATACATACCTGACACCAATCCATTATCTACATAGGTACATACATATAACACATACCATTACATTTTCTACACGAATACATACCTAACACCAATCCATTATCTACATAGGTACATACATATAACACATACCATTACATTTTCTACACGAATACATACCTGACACCAATCCATTATCTACATAGGTACATACATATAACACATACCATTACATTTTCTACACGAATACATACCTGACACCAATCCATTATCTACACAGGTACATACACAACACATACCATTACATTTTCTACACGACCTGACACCACTAGATTTTCTCCATTGGTACATACATGATATACATACCATTATATTTTCTACACGAATACATACCTGACAGCTAGTACTGCATTGTCTCATGGGTACATACATGAAATATACCATTAAATTTTCAACACGAATACATACCTGATACCACTGCATTGTCTCCATGGGTACATACATGATATATATCATTAGATTTTTTACACAATACATACCTGATACGACTGCATTGTCTCCATGGGTACATACATAACATAATACCATAACATTTTCTACACGAATACATACCTGACACCAGTGCATTGTCTCCATGGGTACATACATAATCATTACATTTGCTTCATGAATACATACCTGACACCACTGCATTGTCTACATGGGTACGCAAGTTTAATCCTTTTGTAACAGCAGTAGCAGTGTGTAGCCAGGAAGTCAGGTAGCATGACTGACGCAAACGGAAGCTCCGCGATCAAAGTGTCCCCAATTTCAATATCCCTATTAGCAACTGCGAAGCGCCCTCTACCGGGGGTGTAACGAATATCAACAGCAGACGATGCCCGGGAATAGCGTGGATTCTTTCCGTAGGTAAGTTCAGATGTTGAATCGGCAGTATCATTTTTATCTTTCGGAGTGTCCAACGGCATATGGTCACATTTCTTCAATTGTCTCTCAATGTCTTCTGTCCAGGTTTGATGTTTTTTGTTGTCCAGGTGAGCATCATTCAACGTAGATTTTGCCCGTTTGAAACAGTTTGTGGATTGTTCTCGATTCTCTAAACGTGTATAACATTTCCCCATCCTGTCATGAAGTTTGTAATGCATGTCACCTGGGTAGCCGTGTTTAAACGCTGCTTCGCAGTCAGTTAGGCATTCCTTCAGTCTGCCCAAATGGTACAAGGCGGCTGATCTGTTCGCAAGGGCGAGGGCAAGCTGATTATTATTTTCCTCAACAGGGGCAAAAAGAACACTGTCAGTATACTTCCTTAGGGCACTATCATACTCCCTCTTTCCGAAAAATTTATTGCCTTTCACTCTGGCCTCTTCTGCCAGTTTTGAGAACTTCCCCTTATAGTTTTCCTTTACCATATCGTTGGTCTCATTTTGGTAATGTTTCATATTTGACACGAATGCCACTCTGTGCATGTCACTTCCGAGACGATTAAACGTCGATAACATTTTCTCTGATGAATTCTGGTACACGTTCTCCAGTACCATACCAAAGAACCCGGATGATATCTCAAACAGCCCCATTTTGTGTGATATGGAGTATGATGATTCAACTGAAAATAAAGTTAGAGTTATAGTTTTATCATCTAATTGTTGTGAAGTATAAATGCATCGATGTTCCTCTTTTTAAAGAAATCATCTTCTGCCATCTTGCTGTAAACGATAACTGTAGTAAACGGAATTGAATTTGAGTAAGAGCCATGTAAATGTACGTGTGAGAGAGAAGGGGGTTGTGTGATCTCACATCTCAAATGGATCTTTACGACCCCCTCTACAAAAGCCATAGTCGCTTTCCACTGGATCTAGAGATCCCGTGAGGTAGGAGCAAACCTTGTGAATCAAGATGCTCAAAAGCTTTGCCTTTTTAATATTTATTTAGGTATTAGCCACAGTACATTAGATTGATATATTTTGATAACGTACAGCAATCATTTAGGCATTAGGTATTGTATACAGGCACTGTATAATATCAAACAAATAAGTAAACCATTCATGTATACCATGGACCACGTCTATACTTACCGGTTCTGGTCTTTTCCGGCCACTCAAGTTCTACTTTCCTAATCACACGAGATGCTAGTAGGCTACTGACAGGGTCCTACTCGTACACGGCCAACATTCACAAAGTATCTCGGATTGAAAAAAACTGCACGATATATGAGACTCAAAATTCCACCGGTGTCTTTGTTGTTTCCTTCCAAAATTTCCTTTCTGGCCCCTTCCTATCTATTCGTGGTGAATATTAGCGTATAAAATGAGGGTTTGTTTCCACAAATTAACACATGTAGGGCCTATACGCTAACATGTAAATCCTCTTATCTTTTCGCATGTTAAAGCAACCTACCCCATGCTTTAAATAGAACCTAGTCAGAAATAAATCCCTGTCTAAACAGGTGTGCCACTGATCGGGATCCAAAGGAAATAACGCTTAAACATGTGACGTTTACTTTGAGTGTTTTCCAGCTAAGCAAGCACCTGGTAAGTTGGGTATAAGTTTACCTTTCTATTTAAAGTTTATCCGATGGATTCTAGAATACTAGAACACAAGATACCCGGGACAAGATGCCATCTTTTTAATTCAGCCAAAGCTATATGTTAACATTATACACTCCATTTCATTTTAGTGAGTTCGAAAAATCTAAAACTGATGCCCTGTGTTTCGGTTTTACATTTTATAGAAAGACATATTTATCGTGACGTATACCTTGACCAAGAGACCTCAAAGCTCATTGAGTGAATTCGTTTCTTTTTCATTTTATATGAATGCATGGCTTAGCCTACCTCAATAATCGCATGCATTTTATTTTGCCTTAGGCACCAACGTGTGTTACTGTAAATACTCCTATGTTAAAATGTTGTTTACAGAAGGAATTGTCTGTTTTCTAGATTTGTACATTTTAAATCAATTCATGTTTTAATAATATAAGTTCAATAATCACAAGTATTTTATTTTGCCTTATAGGCACCAACGTGTGTTACTGTAAATACTTCTATGTTAAAATGTTGTTTAAGAAGGAATTGTCTGCTGTTTGAACATTTCAAATCATGGGATAGAGGGTGGAGAATATCAGAAGCAATCTTCAAAAGCATGTGTCCTTACAATTATTCTCATTTTATTTTCTGAAAACAGAATTAAGATATTTTACCCGATCAAACAATATAATGTTCTATGCACTGTGCTACGGCCGCCGTGCGGTCCATCAATTCAGCGGTCAGTATTAAGCATTTCTACGCAAGGCGAGCGTAGTTTTTCTACGCTCGCCGCAGAAATGCGGTCAACGCTTTGTACGACAAATGTGGGGGTGTTACAGAAAAAATTATTCATTTTAGTACAAGCTATATTTAGACCTTTCTGTTTCATTCTCATTGGGTTCATTGCCATTTGGATAAAAAATTGATAAAATATATCAAATGGGGCTATTTATTCAGTCATTGGTCCACGTCGCCACATTCACCGACGAGTCCTTCTCAGTATGTTGTTTGTTGCAATTCTAGCGCTTTCTTTGGCTTATAGGTAAGTTTTCCAATAAAAGAGACTCGAATAAAGTAGCATGTAGAGGAATGGTCCACAATTAAATGGAATCATCGTTGGGAGAAATTGTCCACATTTAATGGAATTTTGGAGAAATTGTCCACATTTAATAAAATTTGAGAGAAATGATCCACAAGCAATTATGTAAATAGAACATGGGACTAATGGTCTACATGAAATGGAATTTGGGAGAAATTGTCCACATTGAATAAAACTTTGGGAGAAAGGGTCCACATTAAATGGAATTTGGGAGAAATCGTCCACACTAAATGGAATTTAGGAGAAAAGGGTCCATATTAAACAGAATATAGGAGAATTGCTACGTATCATGCGGACTTTCATCGTGGTAAGCCACGCCCTCTCCATCTCTATATCCTTCTGGAGAGCCTCTGCGATGCAACAGAGAGAGATGCTATGAGTATCAGAATGGGGCAATGTAACAAGTTTGTATTGATGTTTTCTAGCCAAGCAGCGGAGATTTGCTCTCCTCCATGTGGTTGTTTCAACAACGACGACGAGCCTTGGGTTGACACTGATCTTCCTGAGACGTGGGAGGCGCAAGAACTGAGATACGAGCTCTATAATCGCGATGACCCTGAGAGGGCAATTGACATACGCTGGGACAACATCCCGTTAGTAATTAATCTGTTTTAATCGATTTCTATTTTTGAGGGGGGGGGGGCATTGTGATAACATTTTATCACTATGATTGAGCATCCGTTTAACTTTCATCATCAACATTGATGGACTTTTGACAATTATATTTTCATGACTGCAGCAACGAATATGACAGCACAAAACCAACGAGATTCATCATTCATGGTTGGTGGGGAAGGACTCCCCTCTCTCATTGGACAAACAATATGAGGAATGCCCTTCTGGTAAGAATATGTGACCAAGAGAAAAATCACAATAATGATTCTGTGAAAAAACGGAGTGAATGAATTATTTTTAACTTTTTGCCCTTCACTTGTCATTTAGTAGGAAGAAGCCATTTTCACGAAGCCCCTGGAGGAAAATTACAAGTTATACACATTTATTGTAATATTGCAAGCAAGATGTTTCTCCCAAAATAATCTTTACCATCTTAAATATATCATCTCCCAAAAGTCCCGTGGTATTTAATTGTGAAGTTATTCACTATTCAAAAGTGCAAACGTCACAAATATTATGTTATCTGCTAGAACCTTTTCTTTTTCTTTGGTATTCTAGGAAAATGGCGATTACAACGTCATTATCGTTGACTGGACAGAAGGTGCGTCCGACGTATATTACCCTCAGTCAGCCATGAACACTAGGGTTATTGGGGCATGTACTGGACACTTAGTAGACACACTGGTATGCAACGAAATATATAGCCTACCTACACATCGCAGCCAAACTTTGAAATAGTCACAGGTGCCCAAATAAGACGACGTTCTTGTTATTAGCGAAATTCGCCAGATTTCGATGGTTGGGAAATATATAGCTAGAATTTTCTCTATATGATTTCGTTTTTTCTACAAAGCTTTCCATTCATTACTTCCGTCACACGTTCTCCCCATTGATTTTAATTTCCTTGTTCTGGTGTTTTGGTTCGGTGTAAAATTCGGCTTCTAACAATTTGCAAGCATGCACAGTGCTTGATTTGCCGGATAACAAGTTGTCTGCCACATTGTACACACTTAGTGTGAGCCATCCATGCATATACATCAAGCTATATGTTGAATTAAAGGTTAATGCCGGAAACACATACGGAGACTTCCATTGTATCGGGCATAGTTTGGGAGCACAGACATGTGGGTTTACTGGAAAAAGTACCAACGGTCGAATGGCCAGAGTCACAGGTATCATTTCAATTTTGCAAACTATAGATAACGCCTTTGAGTGACGCTCATTGTTGAAATCTGAACATTTGTATTCAAAATCCAGTCAGTTATCAGTGTATTTCGATTCTATTCTTATTCTTATCCATGTTAAAGGAATGGACCCTGCTGGGCCGGCATTTGAGATTTCTGACCCAAGAGGACGCATTGACGCAGGAGACGCCCAATTCGTTGACAACATACATACCAATGGGAACAGTGATGGGATTAATCTTGGTCTCGGACACCCAGTTGGACATGCCGACTTCTACCCCAACAAAGGAGGAGATCAACCACCTTGCGATGACTTCAGTGAGTATCTTTGAATAAGAATAGGCTCAGCTTTGTTGTACAGATTTTTGCTATCTATACGTCTAATGAGCTTGGAAGTCATCATAGTCCACCGTAGTTCTCGCGATCGTTCTCCGGTCCATCAAAGACATGGTTGCTTGGTTGTGTGGTGTGTGGCTCTTATGTAATTCTGTGGTACATTTGTGGCCTTGAAATTAATTATGTGAATCTAGGTAACTGTTAAATAATCATTCATCTGTTGTAAAATAAAGCATGGCTGCAATGTTTTCTGATTGGCCAAAAATGATATAGAATTTCACAAGATAGGTGTGAAACCGTTTCATATAATATCAGTATAACTGGTATTAGTTAAAGCACGGACATTCAACTTGAATTTCCATGGTTAAAGGTAGAGTGATGGTTATGTCGCGACCCTCGTGTGGTAGCGTGGTTTGAGGGTCGTAAACAGAATACAGTCTAAGAGTCAATAATTTGATTTGATGTTTTCATTCACTTAGTTTCGGAACAAGTTCAAGTAAAAGTTGAAAAGTGTATCCCCTATTTAATTGAACAACATCTGTGTTCACAGTACCTAACAAAATGGGATAAAGTGGGGATAAATATATAGGGGATAAAATTTTGCGATGAAAATTTACGGGATAATTTAGGGATAAATTCTGGGATAAATATAATTGGGATGAAGTGGGACAATTTCGGGATAACAGTTACGGGATAACAATGTCTAAGTATAGGCTTAGTTAGATATCTCAGTGTTCAATGTAAATTTTATATTTCATAAGAGCAAATGGCAACAAACTCAAGATTCTGAATATGCCCAGTGTTAAATTGCATCAAATAAGTATGAAGTTAGGGCGTGAGTATGACCAGGTGGAAGTCAAGTTGCAGCCACTTGAGGGTACCCTTTGCATTCGTTTGACTTCACTTCTTAAAAGAGAACTTCGTCTTCACTCTTTCAAACTAAAATAAACCTGTGAACTCACCGCGCCAATCAGTGTTCGTCGGCCAAATTTGACCGACGTTCTATATATGGTCATTCCTTCTGACGTCATCGTTGAGCCCGGAATTGACCAATGACATGCGCATATTTAATTAGAACGCATTTGGCGTATGTTTGTTCAGGCTCGCTGAATGGTGGAAGAAAGGTCAGCGCATAGGTCAGAAGTGATTTATATTATTACCCAAACTGTCACCGGTACCCGTCGTGGGGGCGGGGCTACTAAACTGTAATATGGTCTCTACTAGGCAGAGTGTAGTTTAACTAGACTCTGCACGCAGGGTACTTGAGGGCTACAATGGGCTTCAAGTTGTCACTTTTCACAATTAAAGTGGGAAACTTTGTAATGCTTAAAGTAGGGCTTTTTCAAATCAGGAGTCTGTCAAACTCATCAGGGGATAATATTACTAATTCACCATTTAAACACACGAATAACAAAACAGTGGAAGTAAATGGATTTTTATATAACGTATAAAAACGACTCTATTTCTATTACTAATCTACACAAAACTTACAAAATCAGTATAGTCAAATGGTATATCAAGTACACAAATGATCTCTCATACACAATGCACAAAACAGCAGTCAGTGGAAGTTCAGTAAATCAATTTGCAATAAAGCCCAAAATGTGTTTCTTTCCAAAAATGTAACTCAACAGCTTAGTTATGTATGATCTCTAGTGGGGTTGAAATCACCTTCCTATACTACTCACATGAAAAGTGGAATGTAGTTTTCCCCTCAATTAGCAAACAAAAGGGTAAGGTATTTAAGTATTCTTGCATAAAATCTGTCAATAATCGAAGAACTATATAGAGAATATAGTTAACATAGATATTGACCAGATATGGAAACTAAATGGGGAGGGGTAGATGGTAAACACTGACTAGAACCCCAAACAAGCAAGCGCAAGGCTAAAAGACCCCAAATGGAATCTATACCAACTCCAGGGGCGGATCTGGGAACCAACAAGGGGGGGGGCCCCAAATTTCAGGTCAGAGAAAAAAAACGTCCGCGCAAATTTTGGGCCCCTAAAACCCAAAAGTGGGCCCAAATTTTGAAATTTTGAGGCCCATTTTCTTCAAAATTTGGCCTGAAATTAAAAAATAAGGCCTTAAAAGACCCAGTAATGATCAATTAGGCCCACTTTTTGGGGCCTTAAGGCCTTTTTTGGCCCATAATATCTTTTGGGCCCAATTTTTTTTTTCTGGGCCCACCCAAGGGGGGGGGGCCCTGGCCCCCAGGCCCCCCCCCCTAATCCGCCAGTGAACTCAAGCTATGTAGTCAGGGGGTGGTCAATGGTCATAGTGTCTAGACAGCATCTCAAATAGGCTTAAAGCCTTATGAACTGGCTTCAATACTGACTTTGACTCTGCAAGTACTGTGTGCAGAATCAGTGATCAGCTGTTTGATCATAGTCAGAAAGAATGCTCGGATCCCTTTTAAAATACCCAGGCATGAACATACACATACAAAGATACAAAGATACAAAAGTGTATTTTCTAATGGGTCAATAAAAGTTACTTTGGCGAATAAAATTAATACAGTCTCAAGTTGAATGTGGAGGGGGGGGGGGGTCATAAAGATTATTCAATGGAACCCTAGGAACATTGACTCTGGTTTAGAATAAGTTACATCGGTTCCTAAAGACCATAACTTTACGTACGCCTTGTCAAATGTTCCATAACAATTCCCGGGACCTCTCGAATTTACAATTGTTCAAAAAGTTCTCTCTCAATTTCAGGTTTATAAATCAAAACAGATATATAATATGAGAAATCATTCCAAGTTAAAAGATCTAGAATAGTGAATGATGTATCTATTATAAGCAACAATATATAGTAAGGCCAGACGTGTAAAACTGACTAGAAATAAATACAATCAGTGTTTTTGGTATAACATGTATAAGGGGAGGGGTTGCAGTGAATAGTCTAAATAGTAATGGAAAGCCCAAAGAAGCCAAATGGGCTTGAAATGGCTTGCCGTGACCTTTAGGGGGGGGGGGGGGGAGTTGTGGTAAATATATGGGAAGCTCTAATAAGCCAGTTGAAGCCAAATGAGCTTGTCGGCACACAGTGACCCCTGTTCTTATTGAAGTTCCTCCAACCAAACTGGCGGTGAAAAATCACAGAAACGGGTACTGGGATTTAAATTAGGGAGTGAGTGATAAAGCCCAATTACAGACAATTATCTGAGAAGGAGCTTTACTGTCTAAGCGGGGGTTATTGCCAGTAAAGAATAAGACTGAATCAGTTCAAAGTTCAAGCTGATCCAAAAGACGCTAGAAACTTTATATAATCCAAATCAACAGTAGTCCTTTAGCAATAAATCCCCTAAACAGTTTTAAATGAGTGTTTATACATGTTACACGCTAACTGAGATAAAAAGATACTACAGTGGTTTATCAAAGTCAAAAACCTGTCAAAATAACAATAAAATCAATTCAATTACCTTCCCCAACTTGTTCACCTAAGTTGGTATATCTGTGTTTATATAAATATCCAGTTTTGAGTTGCATTTTTGAATGTTATAATTTCAAAAAGTTATACACGTCCGGCCCGTTTCAATGCAATGGAGAGAGTCCCCAGACAAGACAGAATCACTGAGCTAAAACAGCTGATCTCCAGCCTAGCCTCGTTTTGGATAAAAGTAAACAAGCCCGGTGAATTTTGGCTATCCCTTAAATGAAAGTTTACAGCACAGTTGCTAACATAAAACTGACCAGTTTTATAACAAAAATTATACGCTGTCACTACTCTACACAACTATGGCATAAAATATACAAGTATAAAGTTTATAGTTACATGATAAAAACAAGTGAGGACCCCAATTCAATAGATCTTGAATGAATAACATTGACACTCTCAATTTTAGTCCAGGGCATCTGCCTGTCTATATCAACAACCCTTTTGTAAAATCTTAAAGAGTTCTACATATATTAAATACAACACAAATTAGAGTAACTACAAAAAGTAAGGAAGTGCAAAAGTGAAACAAAGTGACAATCCCTCAAGGCAATCCCATTACCATGCTCAAAGTAATCTGAAGGATCGTCACAGTTATATACGCTTTATATTGTACGTTTTCTAGACTGTGATCACGGAATTGCCCATGAGTATATGAGGACATCTATCCTAAACGGTTGCCGTTTTGATTCCTACCCATGTAATAGTGACGCGGATGCTGATATCGTACGTTAATACCATAATTATGTTTTCTTATTGTCCTGATTGGAGCATTAAGGATCACCATTATATTGGACGCCTGTTATATTATGTCCTTTGAAACGATGGCTGACGCATTTTGCCCCAGTCTGTAGAGTGAGGACTTGAAAGGACATCTATGGACTATCTATGGACAAAACGCCAAATCACTGATCAATACACAATTTTTAAAACATCATAAATGATAATTTGATCTCAAGTTGTCAAAATTTCAATTATCGTTCCTTCAGCTTTTGAATATAAAGCCTAGAAATCCTGAAATTATGAAAAGAAACAAACTTCCCATACGCATAAATTGTACAATGAAAATGAAATGATGATGCAGGACGTGAGTCAAAAAAGTAATATGGCTTTAAACACATGCTGGATGACTGGGTTATAACATTTGTTTGGGTTACCTTCTTTTGGCTCACCCTGTAATATGATAAATGGCGTATAAAGTAGACGATACATGTATCACAGACACGGGAACAAGAGTTTATCCCCTCCCACTCACTATGTATTACTAAATTAGCGATACATTTACTGGGGGGGGGTTAAATCTTCCTGGGCCTGTGACATGTATAATGTCTTCGGATCCCAACAGTGCACATCTTCCCTTTAATATGTCATTGTATTTTAAATTCTTACTTCAGGGTAGTTGTGAATCGTGTTCCGGTAACTGTCAGAGAATGGGTTACTATGCCAACACGATGCCTGGACGCGGGACATTCTTCCTCAGAACTGTCCGTAATTATCCCTACTGCGAATAAAAATAATCTGATGTATTTGCATGGTTGTGGAAAAATAAAAATGTTGTGCAAAGTATAAGATCTTTTGTCGGTTAGGGTTGTTTCAAGAAGAAAGGAAGGTAGTAATACTTCTGTTGACAAGTAACAATTTACACTTAAGTGGACGTTTCGTCGAAAATTGGGATAACTTAAATTATGATTAATAATCAAAATCTTTCACGTTGCATTATGTAAATTAACACACGTCACCTCTCTGCCGAAGTAACGAGAGCTATTTAGAGATTTAAATCATAATCAAAACAATTCACGAACCAACATACGAACTATTGAAAATGGAGTAAGATTGATTTGTCATGTTTTTCAAATCATCTTACAATGACTCCTAGGCGTAGCCAGGAGGGGGTGCGATGGTGCGATCGCACCCCCCCCCCCATAACCAATAAAAATATGACCATGATGATAGAGGAAGAAAATGCTTAAAATGCTTTTTATTTGAAGCTTCTGGCTCAATTTTGAAGGAAGTTACATACCTTTTTGGGGTTTGTGTAAAAAAACGGGTGACCGGGTAACCGGGTACTTAACGTTCCTAGCAGGGTTACGATTTTTTATTTATAACGTTGGATCTGGACGATACATGTGCGCTATTTTCGACGTCACGTTTTGAGGTTATTTCACATCGTAAGAACGTTTTGACAACGTTAACTTTTAGTGAGAACATATTGACGTCTTTGTAACCTTTCCTTAACTCACAAATTTTTTGAAGCCATTTCCACAATGTTGAAATTCAACCATCCATCGACGTTTTGCTGAATATTTAAATAACGTCAGATCAATACGGCCCATGAACGTCATTATTGACGTCACGTTTTGAGGTAATTTCAAATTGAAAAAAACATTTCGACAACGTTAAACTTTAACGTTAACAATACTTCGGAAATGAACCGACTTAGTAAGAACACAAAGTTTTTGTCATGTTTTTTTCCCACCAACAAATATTTTGATATTAAAAGCCTGTTTTGACAACGTTGAATTTTAACGTTTGAGTTACGTCACATATGGACCAATGTAGTAAAAAATCAAACATTCCTGTTTGTTATGTTTTCCACACTAACGAACTTTACGGACACGTCACAACAACGTTCTTTTATACCATCAATAGATCACGCCTGACCATCGACAAGGTACAGTCACGTGACATTACCGTAGTACACTTTTGATGTACTATGTCATTTCCGCCATTTTAGATCGCCATTTTCTAGAATGAGGAAGCGAGGAAAGAACTAGCATTGATTTGATCAATATTGTGTCAGTTCATCATCAGGTAGTTGTTGCATTCGATTTGTAATTAAGTTGCAAATATGCATATCTACTTTAAATGATCCTCAGCAACTTCAATATCTTGTTATAGATCTACCCAGCACGTCAGGGATCTCTAAATCTTGACTGAATTTCTCAAAATTCTCTCTAATTTTTGTTTTGCTATGCAAATAACAGCCAAACTACGACTAACACAACTTAAGATAAGTATACAAATATACATTCAGAGTTAATGCAAAACCGCTTTTTACTTTGGATGCTACTACGAAAAATAGATAATGTATGTTGTCAACTCGAATGTATGTTGTCACATTGGCCTTACAGATCTCAATTCACAGTTAATTTTACAGTGAATGAAATGCTATAATGTACGTGTAATAGAAGGAACATATTTGATAATAAAGTAATAATATTTAATAGGCATATCAGATATATTTACCCTAATATTTTTTCCGTAAATCCATAAAATTGGCATTGATATGATTAAATGTCAATGTTACTAATTCTTTTTTTTTGTGTTCCATACCAGTCAATATGGTACAACGAAAATGAGACTTCTGCGCATGTTAAAAATTTTCGTCAAAACTCAACTTTTGTTCAAGTTGATACGATTGTCTTTCGAACTAGAGACTTACCTCATTCGAAAGATCATAAAAGACTTTATCTATACTGAAAATCTTAGATCCAAACATAGTAGAATACGCCGTCAGTCCGCATTTGATTTTTTGAAGTGAGTTTCGTAGATCGTCAGATTTCTCCGACTGATATCGGGTTATCTCAAACTGGTTCGTTTATAAATACGAATTTCTTTACCGTTGTAAGGCGCATGCGCAAAATTGATTTATAAACGTTATTGGTTGATGGTTTTTCTCCTACGCATGCGTGAAGTCTGATCAACACTTATGACGAAGACCGGAGCAAACATTACTAGCTCTCGAACGAAATTCCAAGATTCAGGTCATTTCGCCGTGTTTGCTAAGCGTGTACACGTGAATGACAAGCTGTTTTGAGTAGATCAGGTACCTGTTTTAGACACAACATTGATTTAGCTTGACATTGATGTGCACATTGGCACTTTTGAGCATGTTAATACAAGTTTTTACACTCTTAGCACGAGACGGGTTTTCGAAAAATCTGTTATCTGATTCACTCGATTATCGTATGGATATGTATTTCTGCTGACATTTCAACACCACATCACATAGAATTACGATGCAGAATGATAATAAAACACAAAACAACTACTAAATTCCACTTGTTATTTCACAGGAGGTAAAAATGCAAACTGCCTAGATTCTTTGTAAGGGTCGTCAGACATCGGATTGGCCGCCATATTTGAAATGAAAATATCACTAAATAGAGGTCTGCGCATGTATCAACATTTCGACTGATACCTGGCTTTTGAACTTCTGCACTTTCCAGATATACAGTGTCCCAAAGTATGCCCCCCTCCCTAGGCAGACATATACCAATGTCTCCATAGTATGTGTCATATATCATTTTTAAGCTTATCCAAAGTTACATTGATTTGCCAAATATGATGGTTCAAATGGTAAAAAGTAACAGGCAATTCAAAAATTAGCGTTTTGTCAAAAAGATAGTTCATTTCAGTATCCTGGAAACAGCCCTGACCCTGTGACAGAAAATATGGATGCCATTCTCGAAGATAGGATGGCTATTGAGTTCTAAAAAGATGACGTTTAGGGTAGATACTCCAAGGAAACTCTTCTTATGCCTTAAAAAGGTTTCATGAGGATTACAAAACGCCATATCCCTATTTGAAGCCTGTTTAAGGTCATATATGGAAAGTATTGCTGCTGTTAACATGGCGGCTAAGGAGACACACCGACTATTGTTTTGGTGTAAAACTGACTTTAATTTTGGCCAAACACTAACTTTTGTATTCCTGTAACTTTTTCCATTTGTGAGTTGAACCATGATACTCGGCAAATTAATATAACTTTGGATGAGCTTTAAAATGATATATGACACATACTATGGAGACATTGGTATATGTCTGCCTAGGGGGCCCATACTTTCGGGACACCCTATAGCATAAATTTTGAAAGTCATCTTGCTAGTATAGATCTCTCCATGAACTCCTTGAGATTATTAAAATTCATAAAAGTGCAACTAAACATAACGTAACGTACCGACGCCGAGTGGCCAAAAAGGTCGGAAGATATCACGCCATGGTCACATATTAAAGTAACTTTCTATGATTTCATCTAAAAATTAAAACCCTTGGAAATACTAAATATGGTTTAAGTGCCATATATAAACATTTATTTTAGAAATATTGTGGATCAAAATGAAAACAAAACAAAAATAAAGAATAAAAACATATTCCAACGGAGGGATTTGAACCCAGATCTTTTGGAATAAAAGTCTGTTTGAGCCCAAAGCTCTAACCACTACACCAAACTGCCAAAGCTTCATGAATGAAGAAATTCTTTATCTATATAATCATGGACGAAAAAAGTCTTATTAACATGCTTAAATTTCTTAAAAATGATTAGCATTACTACTAATAATAACATTTTGCATGTCTGAGTAAGTATTTTGATCTACATTTAGGATAAATGTTGTTTTATTCAGTTTTCATTTTGGGTATGACTTCCTGTCAAAACAGTGTTAAAAATGCAGGGCTCAACAAAAATTTTTAATTAGAAAATGATATATATCCTTTGATCAGCTGTTTTTGGCACCTGAACTCATCCTACTAGAAAGGTAAGAGCATTTTCTTGAGACATATGGCTCGAAATCTCACATTTCTCCTTCTAAGTCTTAGAAAGACATCACCATATTAACACTTTCATAAAATAAAATAGCATTCAACGAAAAAATCACGTTTACCTGTTTATCTGTACTAGGGATACAGGAGCATGTTCGTTGAACATCACTTGTTACGCATAAAACCCTTGATGCATTTTGAATTTTTTTATCATCTTTCATATTTATTGTAAGCACAAGTCATTTAGATACAATTACAAGGGGCAAAGCGCTGTAAGCATTAGATGTCCCCTTATATAATTAAACAATAAAGTACAATATTCATTTTAACCTGGATGTCACCTGTAAATGGTAGAATCCCTTGCAATGAAACAAAAGATAGGAGGGCTGCTGATATCCTGGGGGAGGGGTAGTATGTTGAAAAATGGAAACAGGTCATAGGCAGGAAAATATTTAGATTCTGGTTGTGTTTTCAATGAGATAATTCGCAACCAGTGAAAATAGATTATCCATTTCTAATTGGGTTAATGATGGATCCCCAAAAAGAAAAAAGTGAATTTTGTCTTGCTGTGTTCTGAAATGAGTTAATAAGTCCCCATATATCCCTAAAGTATCTGTTATTAATTTATTTCTTTGTTGTTCTTTCAGAGGGCATTTGAAAAAGAAGTGGGGAAAAGTTTCAGGGGAACCACATAAACAATTTGATGACTCAACTGAGCTCCAATTGTGGGCTTTGAGCTGGGCTTTTAAAATTAAATCTACCCTGGCTCTATTCAGATAAAGTTCTTGTTGACGAGTTAATTTTAAACAAATTGTTGAAACAACACCAGGGAACAAATTTAATTTAAGTGTTCTTTTAAAAGATGCAATAGTTGGCAAGAGCTTTTGTTCCAAGGGAACAGATCCTGGATCATTCCATAGGTTCATCATTTTGTATATTTGAGACTTATGAGGATAGTGAATAGGGATAGTGAAATCTCGAGATTTCCTTAACAATCTTGCTTGATGGTTTATGAATGGCCTAAATATATCTGAGATATAAATAGGTGTTAAATCGTTCACGGCTTTGTACATAATTGTTTTAAAGTGGAAGATCCTCCTCTCAGTTAAGGTGGACCAGTTCAAATTGTTAAGTACTTTGGAAGTGCTGGAGCCTGGGAGAGCACCAGAGACTATTAGACCAGCTTGGTACTGGAGACTGTCAAGTCTGTTAAGGTCACAAATAGGAGCACAGTCGTAAAGGATATCACAATAATCAAATAAGGACTGAATATAAGCTGTATAGAGAATATTTAATTGTTTTGATTTTAGTCTACCCTTAAGTGCTTTTAAGGGGTTAAGAGCTGTTTGGATTTTTGCACAGATAGAATTTATATGTGCTGACCCACTTAATTTTTTATCAAAAATGAAGCCTAGGTGTTTATGAATGTCAGTTTTTTCAATTTGTTTATCATTTAAGATAACTGGTGGATAGATTGGATTATTTTTCTTAGAAAAGGTCATTTCTCTGCTCTTTTCTGGTTTAAAATCTAGTTTCCACTGTTTAGACCAGGCTTCGATTTTTTTTAGATCATTTTGAATTTGTATATGAGACTGCGGATTGTTTGGGGAAGTAGGTACAAAGAGGGAGGTGTCGTCTGCGTAAATAAAGCACTCTGAGGTCAGGTTGTCCGGTAAGTCGTTTATATAGAGGAGAAACATCAAAGGTCCGAGAATACTTCCCTGAGGCACAGAACAGTTTATGTAGTTGCTAGGAGAGGTGTCAGAACATTTGCCATTCACAGTTACTTTGACACTCCTATCAGTCAAATAAGATTTTAGAAAAACTAATAAGTTTCCTGAAAATCCATACGCTTTCAACTTTTTTAGAAGAAGGTAATGGGGGACACGGTCAAACGCGGCCGAAATATCCAAAAAAAGTGCACGTGTATCATTGCCGTCGCTAAAATTGCGCCAAATTAGGTTTTGGATGGCTAACAGTTGTAACTCATTGCTGTGCCCTTTCAAAAAACCGGACTGGTATTTATACAATAAGTTATTTTCAATTAAATGTTCGTACATCTTAGAGTAGACAATTCGCTCTAATATTTTGGAAGTAATACTGAGAAGAGATATAGGTCTATAATTTCTTATGTCATTCTTATTATTCTTTTTAAATATTGGGCAGATATCCCCTAATTTCCAGTTCTGGGGAAAATTACCTGTGGTCAAAATTTTATGAAAAAGTAAATTAAGTGGCACAGAAATAGTATTCCTGCATAGCTGGAGCATTTTTATTGTAACTCCATCTGGACCATTTGCTTTTGAGGGGTCAAGATCCTTAATTATAGAGATAATTTCCTGTTGGTCAAAGTCAATGTTCTCTAATTTGTTATTGCATCTGTCAGGAAAATGAATATCATTATTCAATGCATCTGGTTCTAAGTGATACATGTTAGAGAAATATTTTTGAAATTCAGTAGCTTTCTCCTGACTGGTCAAACAGGTAGTTCCAGTTAAAGGGTTTTCTATGGTAGGAATAGGCGAGCTAAATTTTTTACCTAAAAACTTTTTTATAAGTTGCCAAAATTTGTCACTTGCATGTGTTTCTCCATTTAGACTTTCTATTTGATCTGATGTAAATTTTGCTTTGGTTTCTAAAATAAGGTTCTTGACAGCTTCAGTCTGATTCTTATATGCTGTATAATGTTCAGGAAGATTGCTTTTCTTGAATTTAACATAGAGTTTTTTCTTTTTCTGAATCGCATGAGATATACTCTCATTGAACCAAGGTCGATCATTCGCTTTAATTCTTTTCATTTTGTGAGGGATATGCTTTTTAAAGATGGTAAGAATTGTATCAGTAAATTGATCATTTAAAGTGTTCATATCATGGTTTTGAGTAAAAAAATTAGCCCAGTTTATTTTTTCAATTTCAAGGTTCAAAGCATCTTTATTTGCAGTATCATATTTCCAAATAAGTTTAAATTGATCATGAATTTCAATTACAGGGACAACATACACTGTGAGTTGATAACGTACATTTCTGATTTTTAAATTATACCAAATGCATGAATATTTATTAAATCTTAACCCGTCTTAAATTGTGCAGTTTAGAGAAACACATTCTCATTAAAATATTCGATACTCCGAGACAGTCAAAATTATCTTGAAGGAAATGTGTAAAAAACAACATTTTTCCAACCGAACAATTGTATGGGTAGACGTACAACGAAACAAATCGAGCACTGCTCGAAGATCTTTTAACGTAATTAGAAAAATAAATGTCTTTGAAATCGAATACACGCGAAATCAAACAGGAAATCCTTTTTGTATTCCTCAAATTTATTTTTGAAAACCTGCATCAAACCTACATCATAGTCTTTGTTTAAAATCAGTTAATAGTGACATTGTACATCAAAAGTGTACTACGGCATATTTTGTCACGGTCACGTGACTGTACCTTGTCGATGGTTAGGCGTGTAGATGTCTCATGTTTACGTTGCCTCGATGTGTAAAAAACGAAAATGTGCAACGTCTTCTAGGAACTTATATGCTACTTATGAGTAACGTGACATGGACGTCACTGTTTGCTGGATCGATTATATTACAAAGTACTCTGTCTCGCACTGTTCAGTGTACACTATAGGTGCATGGACTTTTGGGACACCCTGTAAGCTTACCCTAAAAATTTAAGCATCATGAAAGAATCATGAAAGAATCAAAAATCGTTTATATTAGCAATTATAATATACGGGGGGGGGGGGGCTTTGTGTAAGACAGTTCCATAAAGATTCCCCTTCCCGGATGAGTACTCGACCCCCGGGACTCGTCCTTTATGATTGGTTTACTAAATTGTTACTAATATACCAAAATGTCTGGCTGCAGTACGGTCTGCAGTCAGATTTATGACCCACTTCCGGGTTTAAAAACGTGAAAAATAATAATTTGTCAATAGTTTTGATGATTTTCGGTGATACAACAGGTGTGTATCAATTATTTGATTACAATCATGAAATTCAACAATTTTCCTAACTCTTGACGGTCAATAGTTCTTATATATCACAGTTTAGATTCATTGTTTTGCTTTTTGAATAAAACTTACACATGTACACAGCTTACTCCCGTCGAGAGCTACTTAGATTACTTTCAAAATCTAACATGGTAGCTCTCGACGTGAGTAATACACAGCTCAGATGAAATTGAAAACCTTGTTCAATCTTTGAGTGGGCAGTCGGGCGTCAATGAGACTACATATACCATTAAGCTAGCCGTAGACCAATGGGACATGATGGGACATCGAGGAAGTTATTGAGTAAAATGGGACAATGTGGGACATTGTCCCATGATGTCGCGGGGTTATCGCATCCTACGACCCCTTTAGATTGTTATCTAAAGTGGTCGGTAGGATACGATAAGTCAGACAATGTCCCATTGGTGTACGGCTAGCTTTACATACAGTGGAGTAGGGTGGGTATTTTGTGAGTGAACTCGAGCGAAGTGAACAAGCTTTAAGGGGGGTTTAGGCAGAAGCACTCGTTGCCATAAGTCGCGCCCTCAAAACCCGGGTTTACTGTCATCCAAACCCGCCTTTGCAAAAAAAACGAACGGTTTATTATTTGACTCGTTCGTGTTATTTTCGATGCTTTTCAAACCAGGATTTTCATTGTTTTTATTAGAAGGGTTCCTCGTTATTAACTCTTAACTATGGATATGTTGACTTAACTACAACAGACTTTTTAACGAGATGTTTTGCGCATGGGGTTATAAAGTGCCTTGTATGATGCGCCCTCAAAACCCGGGTTTGCCTTCATCGAAATCCGCCTTTGCAAAAATGTGAACGGTTCAAAATTAGAGTCATTCGTGTTATTTTCGGGAGTTTTCAAATTAGAAGAGTTCCTTGTTATCAATTGTAATGTATGTATGTATATATTTATTGCCCTTTATATAAAGGAGATACATGTATACAAATTATGTAAATGTTAAATTAAAAATAATCACTATTTACAAACAAGCAATATTGCTGTTTTTGACTGACGACGACGCCTAGCTACCGCGTAGACGCACGCCGCCGACCAAAGTTGGCCTAGCACTTAATTGTAACGCAATTATAAAAAAAATGACTATATTTTACAAACATTCATTGTTTTGTTGTTGTTGTTTTTTTGTACTGACGACGACGCCTAGCTACCACGTAGACGCACGCCGTAGGCCTAGATAGACCTGTTACCTAACACTCTTGAGATTAATAAATAATGACATTAATATTGTAAGATTTTGACCCAGACTGACACAACAGAGATTGTCAACACTGGAGGATGGTAATAGCTCGTAATATATTTAAATAAAATATTATCCATATTTATGAATAAAAATAGTATGTCAAGTTCCTCATCTCTACTGGTCAATTTTCCTTGCTTAAGTAGCCGTTGTCCTGATACATTATCTTAGTCAAAATAGAGAACGAACGGCTCGAAGGAATATAAAGGGTCTTCTAGCTTTGCACATTTTAGACCAATCATAATACATAACATTTTCTAATATGTAAAACGTCTTGGTAGATAAAAATGAACACGTATAAAATTCTAATAAAACGAACTTTTATATTTCGTGGCCTCATTAAACACTTATTTCGTTTGGAATGACCTTAAACCCTGGTCCGCGAAACACACATTTAAATAAGGGATTGGCGCACCCGGGTCTGACTGAAAACCTCCTGTTCACTGTTGTATGAATTATGAATGTAGTTTCGCACAGTTGTCAATGGAAACAAACAGTGAACCCTGCTTTCCCGAACCCGGGTTTCCAGGATTCGCCTCGCATGCCTCCGACTCTTTCTCGGTTTAGGGGGGGGGGGGGGGGGGGGGGGGTTAGGCAGGGGGGTAATTTTTTGAAAATGATATTGCATTTGAAGCGTTCATGTACGAAATTCTGACTCGAGTCAATTTTACTGTTTTATTGCGTCAGTAGAACCCCAAAAATAAGAAATCAGGAGACCATTGTGCAATAATATATGAAAAAGTATATTCATATTGTACATGAATGACATTTGTATATTTCAGATTTTTTAGTTTTTTGTGCAATAAGCCTGTGCCCTCTTGTAATTTGAAGAATTTCAGCCATGTTAATCTTATTGAAGCATCCAAATATAAGAGGCATACTTTATGAGCTTAACTAGAAGCAATCCCAAGATATTCAAATGTCATTCATGTACAATAGGAATATATTTTTCCATATATTACTGCATTATGATATTTTGATTTCTTATTTTTATTACTGACGCAATTGAACAGTGAAATGGACTCTAATATGTGGGTCAATTCAACAGAAAAAATCAACTTTCTCTAAATTTTGAGAGTATGCAATGGTGTCTTATGTGTATATGACGCTACGCCATTGACATATCAAAGTCCCAGGAGGGCAAATACATTTCGAAATTAAGAGGAGATTTTCCGCTTTCAAAGGCTGCTGACTGATCTGATAGAACAGCCTTTGCTGGCCCTCTTTACATAGCTAGAGAATTGTGATGGCTGAAACTGAAATACAGGAATCAACTGCTTACTTTATATCTTAAAATGTTCCTCTGTTTGTGATCAGGACTTGTCTTTCCAAGCTGATAACTTACAGACTTTCGCCAACAGAGGATGAAGATACATGTACAGGGTGTCCCGAAAGTATGGGGACACCCTGTATACGGAATATTTAGAGAGATGTAGACCTTGAAAGAGGTAGATTTCAAGAAACAACAACACTTCTGTAGTACATGTATTTCTATTTCCAGGATCAAGATATTTGACTAGAAAACTTGAAAAAATATAGGCTGCTGCATTTAATATATCGTAATGTTGAAAAAAGAATATGGGCAAAAAACAAAGTCAACAAAAGAAAGCCAAACAGTCTGTTTTCAAGGTCAAAGAAGCCAAGGTCAACAAAGACAAGAGCAAACATCTGAAAAAGAAAATTGATGTGAAAAAGGTATTTACTCAGTTACTCAGTTACTCAATATTTTTAACTACATGTACGTGTTTAGAGTGATTAAATATGATAATTTTTCTGCATTTACTTTTAAACAGCAATAGAAGTTATGCTAAGTCGGGTGCTAAGTCTTGCAAAATTATCCTAAAATGAGAAAAATAATATGTTCTAACATCGAGTTGAGTGATAAAACATGCATAAAATAATATGTTCTAACTCTGGAAACAACCGAAACATTTATGTGTGATACATTAGAATGACCTGTGTGATGATTCCAATATTTGTTCGGAATAATTACAGGGTGGGGTCAAGCCTAAAATCATTGTATACATCTCAATTGCTCCAAGCAAAAATGATGACGGAGAGGGGTATAGATAAAGAGAAACCCAATTCTGATCTGCCATGTTTTTATATGTGTCTAGTTGTAGTAAATACTTTAACATGTTAAATCCAGGTGATTCTTCAAACTAGATCAAGAACTGTAGAAGTTGACTCCAGATTCTCCCAACTGAAGTCTAATCAGCCAGTAAAGCTAAAACAAAATAAACAGACTCTCAAGCATGAAAAGGTATGTAACACTTCTTTAGCTTCCTTAAGCCTCAGTCACATAATGCTCTATTGCGGGTGTGCGGCAGCCATAACTTTAGATATAGTAAATCTACATCATACTCCTATACTAGTATTTTATGCTTCATATTTCTCCCGAATTTGGGAAGATAAGGCCACCCTACAGTTGCCATAGATCAAATGTGACTGAGGTATTAGCCCTGGAAAAAAGTACATTGGATATTGTTGGGTTCAATGTTTGATGTGCATTGATTGAAAAATACAATGTTTGATGTACACCAATAATACAATGCAATGTTTGATGTACATCAGTTATGTAATGCAACATGTACATCCATTATTCAATGTTTGATGATACATCAGTTATACAATGTTTAGTGTACATCAGTTATACAATGTTTGATGTACATCAGTTATACAATGTTTGATGTACATCACACAATATTTAATGTACATCAGTTATACAATGTTCAATGTACATCAGTTAATGTTCAATGTACATCTGTTATGCAATATTTGATTTACATTAGTTATGCAATGTTTGATGTACATGTACATCAGTTATACAATGTTTGATTTACGTTAGTTATGCAATGTCTGAAGTACATCAGTTATACAATGTTTGAAGTACATCAGTTATACAATGTTTGAAGTGCATCAGTTATATAATGTTTGATGTACATCAGTTATGCAATGTTTGATGCACATTGTACATCAGTTATACAATGTTTGATTTACATTAGCTATGCAATATTTGAAGAACATCAGTCATGCAATGTTTGAAGTAGATCAGTTATACAATGTTTGATGCACACTGTACATCAGTTATACAATGTTTGATTTACATTAGCTATGCAATATTTGAAGAACATCAGTCATGCAATGTTTGAAGTACATCAGTTATACAATGTTTGAAGTACATCAGTTATATAATGTTTGATGTACATCAGTTATGCAATGTTTGATGCACATTGTACATCAGTTATACAATGTTTGATTTACATTAGCTATGCAATATTTGAAGAACATCAGTCATGCAATGTTTGAAGTACATCAGTTATACAATGTTTGAAGTACATCAGTTATACAATGTTTGATTTACAATAGTTATGTAATGTTTGATGTATATCAGTTACATACATTTTCTGAAAATATTAGAATGTACAGTGTGGAATCAGAAAATCATGTTGGATTAAAGAGGGACAGTAAAGTATGTCAACATTACTTAATGAACACCATGTTTGTAGGATTTAAGGAACTTGAAGGAATTATTTCCCAGAATATTAGAAAAATGTTGTATTTCATTGTGAAGTCAATTGTCATTATATTCAGGGATAGCCCTCTTAAAAGAGTTTGTGATGGACTTATCCAAATTGCATACATAGAGATTATCCTATGTAGAATATGAGGTTCAGGATATTGGGATTATCTATCTTTAAATGTCATTTTTGTCAAAATGTGTGTATTTGCATCAGAGTGTCGTACAGATTCTGCGTCCCACAGCTCTAGTAAATGAAAATGGCTAAAATGTAGAGTTAATATTATGTCACATGGGCCAATCAGATCACAAGAACTTTCAACTCATTGAATAATAGTCTATCTCAATTAATTTTATGTTTTCAGATGACCTCTACACCATCACACAAGCAACCACAGATGGACATTAACAAAACTATAGACAATTTAGATTTCTCAAAGTTATGACAGAGAACAGTAAATTCATTGCTTAAAGCTTGAAATTGCAGTATAAATAATAAATTGTATTTTATAATTATGTTAAGTATGAGAATGAGTGAATTTGTTCATTACTATGTAGTGACTGTGTAATGTGGGTGTAAATACAGAAATAGAAATACCAGAACATCCATATCCACTTAAAACATATTAAACTACACTGTAAATTGTGGTCACACATTTTAAGTGTAGGAACACTGGGATGTGTAGGCATCAGTCGTGAATATTTCCATTTTCATTTCTATTTTATAGTAGCCTGGACAGCTATTTGAGAACAATGCAATATTTCTGGCTTTCCATTCCCAAATTTAACAATACATTGGCTCATTCCTAATGTAATTTTTTCTGTTTATTTTTGATAATGAAAGAATTCCTCAGAATATGTTTCCTTTGTGTGCATGAACATTGGTGTATGAACAAAGTGTACATGATTTGACTACAACTGACAGCAGAAAATAACAAATACAAAGAAAGAATGGTGCATATGGTACAAATACAAAGAATGGTGCACATTGGCACAAATGCCATAAATGGTGCACATGGCACAAATACCAAAAATGGTGCGCATTGGCATTTTAGCTTTAAAACAAATTATATTTTTTTTATATTTAAGAAGGATATCCATAGATATAACATGATTATCAAGTGGCTGTCTTGGCTACTATAATGAATATATAGGCATTGATATGCTAATTGTTCCAACATGGATTCCAAACTTGATAACAATCTTGATTCTTCACAATTACAATAGTGTTATAATTAAAGAACATCTTTTCAATTTCCCCCGTTAGTACAATTATTAATTACACCTTTTGTATTTTAACCATAATTTAATCCTTTTCCTGTAATTTCTGATACTAAGTAAGATAGTCACACAAAGTAAAGCAGAAAGTTACACCTTCATGAATAATGACGTCTCTATAACACCATATTAGGGGACGTCTCAAGATCTCGTAATATCTTTGCAATATATGATGGAGAATACATCCCATGATTAAATTATGACATTTGAGATGGCCCCAGTTGGAAAACCTTCCCTTTCAAGATTATTTAACAGATAAATGATGGATAGCCATTGTGAATTATTTCCTTATTCTTGTTGGGATATAGCAGCATATGTGTGTTTAAGAAAACACAGGACTAATCACAGCTTCAGTTGACCATACAACTAAAGGTAGGAAAATTCTTTATGTTATACTGTAATATACAAATTAATATATAGAGCCAAATATTTTTTGTGTTGACCACTGATTTGGATTTGCAGTGATTTATATTTTGATATGCCTAGTTTTACAAATATTTTAATGCCATATTGATATGGCCTTTGCATGTGTAACAACTGTTACACTTTTGTAACAGTCATTAATTTTTTAAAAAGTACTGAAAGATACAATGGTAATGAATGTGCCCTTAGGAAAAAAACAACCATTTTTTCCGAATTTCAACCGTTAAAATCCATTGTGCAACCATTACAAATCATTGCATAACCATTGCTGCAACCAATTGAAATGGTTTCCAACCATTACATTGCAACCATTAAAATTTGGTTGAAAACTTTGGTTGCATATCATTGAAATTATGGAATCATTTGCAACCATTACAAACCATTGATTGTTTAAGTTGCATTTTACCAAATGGTTGCAACTATTTTCAACCATATTGTGGAAATTATTTAGTTTAAGAATGAGACAATTTGAGACAGTATTTCTATTTTATTGAAGAGAGTATTCATTTCTGGCCCTGGTCATTCTTGTAGTTTCTTTGGAAATTCCTTCTTGATTCATTCAGTTTTACTGAACAATACATGTACAACAAAATGTTCTGTGGAAATTTTCTGTTTTTCTCCTGTCTCAACAAAAAAATGTTTCTGACTAAAAGTACATACATACATATTATGAAACATCAAAGATTGTATTTCCTGCCTTTTATTTATGATTTGGATTAAGATAGTGCCAAAATAACTGCTTCTTCAATATCAAAGAAGTCTTATTACAACAATTAAGTAGATTAAACTGAAAATGTTTCCAAAACATGATTTTGAAACATCAACATCCTTGTATTTATGCTTTGGATTAGGCAAGAGCCGGATTGATTGTCTTTTCTTCAATATCATTTACAAATCAAAAAATATTAATTACTATTGGATTAAACTTTAATCATAATGACTGAAAGGGAAATATCTTAAACACTTGAATAGATGATATTTCCTTTTACTAGACATGGTTTTATGCCTATGAGCATGAACTTGAAGTTGGATATGTCTATAAATTGTATTATGAACTTAAGTTAACTATCGCTAGAAAAAAGAGAATTCATCAAGACCATAGCTGGCTTCAAAAATCTTAATGTGAATCTCATCTAATTTACTATGATTGTGTCATTATTATGGTAGGGGGAATTCAAAAATAAATTATTCAGACAAAAATAATTCTTAAAAAAAGAATTAATTTGTAATGATTTTGTTAAACTATCAAAACAGAACTTTATCTAATTGGCTGTTCAAGGGTTATAATTAGCATTTCAATGGTTATAATTAGTTTTTCAATGGTTATAATTAGCATTTCAACCGTTGCCGCTCTGTCTGTGCAACTGTTGCTGCTCTGTCTTTGTACCTTATCTGAATTCAATAATGTGAAATCTTAATTTGTATTTCTACAATTTTCTTAATGAAAATAAGCCAGCAAAATTAAACAATATTGAATTGAAACAAAAAAGAATCCTTATTTTCCTACAAGATTTCTGCATTTTTCATTCTCCTTAAAAACGATACCTGATAAGTGATTGCAATAGTCATAGAAATAAGTGTTTAAAATCCTAGGGATTAGATTAAATGATATATACAAATAAGTGTATGTTTTTTGTTGTTCTGGAAGTGACGTCAGACTTGTCATTGAGAACAAGATCCGAGACACACAAAGTCCAAAAAAAATTATTTTATGAGAGAAGAGTGTGATAGACTGCAGACTACAGACATGCTTACTTAAAAATAAACATACTAATAATATCAACATAGCCATAGCCAAAAATTATTTCAAATTCATGCAGTTTTTCACCATATTGAGGACTTTTCAAGCGATTTTGGCCAATTTTTGGCCATAGTTATAAAATATGAATCCCCTTGTAAATTTGTCAAAAGTTCAAAAGCTGGCTACAGGTCTGCCCATGAGCATTCATTTTGAGGATTAATGGTTGCAATAGTTGCAGTTCTCCATCAATGGTTGCAATCAATTGTAACTGTTAATTTCAATAGGTAATGGTTGTAATGGTTTTGCAATGGTTTCTCAAAGATGGTTGCGTAACCATTGCAACTTTATGTAAAATGGGTTGAAAAGATTGGGTGAAGTAATGGTTGCGCAATGGTTTTGAATGGTTGATATAATGATTTTTCCTTTGATCTTCAAGGTTGAAATGATGGTTACATGATATGCAATGAAACCATTGAATTTCGGAAAAAATGGTTGTTTTTTTTATAAGGGTGGGACTGGAAAACATTAACATTTTTGTAGTTCATGTAGTGAACACCTATGAACATGATAAAGATGGTCCAAATGAGACACTATTCAATACTTAGTCAATGCTATTTCAAATATACGAAATTTTAAAAGTATCAATGTTTTTCCCTCATGTGTAATCATTAAGCACTATTAATAATACATGTATACTTTTTTTAGGCAAGATGGCGGTGTCATATGTTAGCGTTGTTATAGCAACAGTAATTTTACCTCATGTGACATCAATCAGCTCGCCCTGCATGGATATGAACCCTACTAAGTATTGCACAGCTTCTAACCTATGGGACTGCTGGCCATACGGACAGTGTACTGTAAATACTAATTTGAAGTGTACTGATTTCAGCCAGAGTGATTGCGTTATAGATTACTGCCTGTGAGTAGACATTGAACATGTGTCAAACATGATCAGTTAATGTTAAGTAGCTTATCTTCCTTCAATAATAATAAGGTTATTTTAATTGCCAAATACGCCAGAAGTAAATATATTAATCGAAGTGTTTTTACAAAATTTTGAGTCTCCATTTTGTTTTGGTTATTTGACCAATCAACAATGATGATCATCTCTCTATTTTCCACTGGGGTTATCTTTGAACTCTGGGGAATTCCCCTCCTTTTCCTGAAATCTTTCAATTGAATGAAGCCATTCAGTTTATTGTGAATCACTGTATAGAACTCACAAGACAAAAATTGATTTGTACTTGTATCTCTTTGGTGATCCAACTCACCCATGATAAATAAGACAACCTGTTCATATTATCTTCATCATTCCTTCTTGAAAATTGTTAATGGTTGTATTTCAATGTACGTACATGTATGTATATATTTCTGATTATAGTGAGTATTGTGTTCATTGTCTAAAGTGAATGGCATAGATGTATATCTAGAGTAGAGTAGAATTAAATGAATTCTGGAATTTCTGTCAAAAAGTAAATCCCCAATGTGGAAAACTTTCTAGTTTCTAAACCTCTGTATTATTTTTGATTGTGGGTTCCATTTAAAATGCATATTTTGCTTATTTCAGGAAGAATGTGCAGTCTGGTATTCAAGGCCTCCCCATAAACTGCACAGCAGACGTCATGAACGGTAACAACGGAAGGAAGAAACGTGATGTCGCATTGGCTGATGAGATGGACATGTCGCATGCTGAATTGAATACCACTGAAGAAGACTCACCATTCAAGAGTGACCTGGAGATGTCCTTCTGTCTAAGACCAGTTATGGAGCTCATGTCATTGATCATCAAATTAAGTTAGAAGGTGAGTGATATAGACTGATGAATTACAGTGAAACCTGTAAAGTGGACAACCTCTAGAAGTGGCCAATAATGCCTCAACGTAGGCCCTGTACCCATTTGTATTGTAAATGTATTATCATGAGATAAAGAAAACAAACTTAAAAACCTCTAGAAGTGGAACAACTCTGTTAGTGGAACATTTTTCAAGTCCCAAGACTAACTGACTCAACCTCTATAAGTGGAACATCTCCCAAGTGGAACACTCTTTAGAGGTTCCAAATTATTCCACTTAGACAGGTTTTACTGTACTTATAAATGTGCGATGTGCATGACATTGTAGGTATCACTTTTATGAAGCTAATATTGAGAGTTAAATATTTATTTACAACTATTTTATTTAATCCTCATTATAGCGAAGTAGACTATTTATAGTGTTTATTGTTTCAAGTGAATAGAACTACATCCCAAGTACAGAATTCAAAGAATAATGAACGGCAATTTCTGTCAAAAAGTGAACTCAGAAAAACTTTCTTTACTACTTTATTTTTTTAGATTATGCATTTCAATAAAAAAAACTCAACAGATAATCAACTCATTTTATAGAAAAACATATTAAACATAAAACCATTGTCAGGTTATGTTGTTTGAGGGAATCTTCATCAAATCAATATATTCATGGAAAACGCTTGTGTTACACTATAATCTTACACAGTCAATCAGTCCATTAATTTCGAGATGCAAGTGGCTGAAGTGACATACATATCCATGCTGAATAACACCATTGTATTTATCTATGCATATGTATCAGAAATACAATATATCTTCATTAAATGGCAATTGTAATGATTAAGATAATATCACAATGCTAATAATAATTCCAAGCACTTGGTATCATTCTGATATGAATCTCTCCTAGCATTCACTATTCTTTAGTGATTAAGTTGAAGCTGGTGGATACCACAATGACTTCGAATATGTGAATGAATTTTATTCACTCTTTAATTTGCTGAAACATATTTGGTTCATGCCTGCATTTTTCATGTAGAATTAACATGCGCTAATGTAGTTAAAGTGTCAAGTAAGACATACCATAGAAACTGCAAAATTGAACACCTCACAAGTTGATAAAAATCATGTGGCCCATTGACTTCATGTTAATGCTCTTCTGTAAGTGGAACACCTTGCAAGTGGAACATTTTTGTGGTCATAAGGGTGTTCCACTTACACAGGTTCTACTGTACTTAAGTGGACCATTTCTACAAGATAACATTGTTTTGTTGTTGTTTTTATTTACAGATACTAACTGGTAGTAAGATAATGTTCCAACTAACACAAACCTCCCCTAGTTGTGGTGACATCAACTGGTAGTTATGGTTACATAAACTTGTTGTTATGGTGACATGCATCTGTAGATACAAGGACTTAGTTTTCACTTGCTCCATGGACCTCCGTCAGATTCCTCCTTTTGGTCTCAAGGCTCAATAAATTTTATTAAATATGCTCATATATTTATTGAGCCTACCACAAATGGGGACTGGATCTGGCACGGGATCTGTGACTTCATCCTATATATGAGTACATGCAGTGGATGATTTAGATGTGTACTTAACCTTACAGTTTAAAAACAGTCTAAAATGATTTTGACAAAGTGGACGTCTAATGAGTTTCCAACATTTCTGCATCTTAGATCTTTTCGGAAAATAGGATTTTATGGAAAATGTCCCTGCTATTTGCTTTCAATGATCTCTATCCCTTCTTTTATGAGGCCGCCGTTTGTCTCCAGGATTAAGTGGACTCTAAGAAAGGACAAAATAAATTTATGAATGTGAATAAAGTAATGATTTGGAGTTTTTGTTTAAGTTGACTTCACGAGCATGATGCATGACTATGAAGCAGTTTAAACTTTGTTCAATAAAAGTTTTGGACCTGTTTGTTAATGCATTTATAAATAGTTTGTACACTAAGAAAGATGGCGTATGTTGTACTAACAATTGATTAAGCTGCAGTCAGGGGCGGATATGGGAACCAAATTTCAGGTCAGAGAAAAAAACTTCCGGAAAAAAAATTTGAGGCCCCTTTTCTTCAAAATTTGGCCTGAAATTAAATAATAAGGCCTTTTAAGGCCCAGTAATGATCAAAAAGGACCATTTTTGTGGCCTTTTGGGCCCAAAATTTTTTGTTTGGGCCGAATTTTTTTTCTGGCCCCCCCCAGATCCGCCAGTGACAGTAGCATTGTTCGACGTGTAATGGTTGTTTCTTTTTATTGAAATATAATATGCTTTGTTTGATACTGCCATAGTTAATGAATTCTTTGTCTCTTTTTAAATTATGTATAGTTTCAAATAAAGATACCGTTCTTCAATATTTTGTAGTTATTCCAATTTTATTTCCACTAAAAGAGCTAGAATTATAAATGTCTTGCTACCCTGTGGTGGATGGTCGTTCGTGAAGACTGACAAGTGACATCGTATATGTTTAAACCACACAAAGTTACTCTCATCTCAAAAAATTCACCACATTTCGCAAATTGTGCTTTAGTTGACAGCAGTTACTACTCTAATTCTAGTATAGTAAAACCTGTGTTTGCTGAACATTTTTTGAAAAATAAAGTTCAGTGTTGGTAGGTTGTCACGACAGAGAGGGTAATTTACATAGAAATCAATGTAAAAACACAGAATTAGCACAGGATTTCATTCTGTGTTTGCATTAACTATGTGCAAAGGAAGGGTGTTCACTAGAGACAGGTGTTCACTAGCGAGGGGTATCCACTAAGACAGCTTTTACTGTACTTGACATTTTTGTTTTATTAAAACCATTTAGCAAAGAGTATTCAAAAAATTAAGCAAACCCCAAGAATATATAAAAATCATTAAAAGTTATCCCTTTGTTTCATTAACAAGACACCTTTTTTCAAATAAACCAAACTTTATTTTGTACAATTACAATATTGAGACCTAAACACGTTGTGTATGTCATTTTGTTCTAATGAGGTTCGGATAGATGTCAAAATTTTCAGAATCTTTTGATGACTGGTTTAAGAGGGACATGTGTTCAATTCAGTTCGCCATATCGATACCTATTCTTTGATACGAGAACATCAATGCTTTGTCGGAAAATGTTAAAGTCTGTTATGACACCTAAGAACTTCAATGTACCTTGTATTGAACACTTTCCACACATGTAACATGTGTAAAAGCAAGATTTGTGGACAAAAGTAATAGAGGGTAGGGTAGCATTTTTGTGACACGCTGTACTGTGCATTTCTCGATATTTATACCACATCGAAAATCCCCTGAAAAGTACGCCATATTACGTGGTCGGGATAACAAGGAAAAAATAAAGATTATACGGGGCAATGCGATACATGCGATACGAATCAATATAATAAACGCCTCGTTTCTGTAACATTTTATTTCAAAGTAAGTAACTATTGATAGTGAAAGCATACAGAGACTGGCATCCTACAGTAAAACATGAATATGAGATTTATATTTATTGAACTTCTAAATCATGGCTAAAAACGTACAGTGACAAAATATAATTGTGTACGCTGTTCGAAGCAAAAATTGTGATGTAGGTTTTAAAAAAAAATATCTAAGGAATATGATGAAGTATTTCATGTTTAATTTCATGTGCATGCTCTTGGCAAGGCTTTTTACTTTTTAATTAAATGAACAGATTCTCAAGCAGAGCACGAGTTTTTTTCTAGGTAATTCCAGCCACGTCCATGTGAATACATCCAACATTTTCCGACCGGTCAATTATGTTCGGAAACTCGAGCATTGCTCGGGAATCTATTAACGGAATTAGAACGTTAAAAGTCTTGCCAGGAGCATGCACATGATATTAAACATGAAATACTATTTTATAATCCTTAGATAAACCTTTTAAAACCTATTTCACAATTTTTGCATTACACATGATAACGTACAGCTAAAGTGTAGAACCGTATATTTTGTCACTGTACGTTGTCGATAGTTAGTCGTGTAAATAAGAATTGGACATCATTTCGTGCTGTGTGACGTTGTCGAAATGAATTGAAACGTTAAAAATGGGAGGCGATCATTTACAAAAGTGATGACGTGGTTTAACAGATAATCGTTAACTGTCCCAAATGTAACTAGACATGTAAATTGAACAAGTTCAATTTAAGACTCCAGATTTCAAACTTTTTTTAAGCTGAGTTATCCAGAACTTGTAAGCTGAGTCATTCAGAATAAGCTGAGTCAGCTAGAATATAGACATTTAGACAATTTTAAGAAGGCTATCTTCGACTCTATTAGCTTAACATGGGGATATCATCATATCGACTTTTTGAGACTTCAAACCGCTATAACTATCTAACCAGAAGTTAGATCGAAATTTGGTTTAAAGATTCTGATTCCTGAGAAAATTCTACCCTTAATTCATAACTCATACGTTAAATTTGGAGAATTTTTTATTTTGACCTACATTTCGGACACCATATCTCAAAAGTGGGTCAAAAAACTTTCTGACAGCAGAAGACTAACACTATAAGCACACTCTTTGCTACCTGTATACAAAATTTTGAAGCAAATCCTTTAAGTGTAATGTCAGAATCGCAAAAATAAGGAAAAACTATGAATTTGACCTAGATTTTGACCAAGGCATTTTTGCGTCCAAATTTTAAAGCTAGATAGCCTTCGAGGTCCCCTCCTTTTATAGGCTTTCAGAATATTATGCTGTACTCAGTCTATATCTGGTATTTTACACTTCAAAAAATCCTTTTTCTCATTGACATAATATGAGGCACCAAATTTGGCGATTTCTGAGCTTTCAAAACGCCATAACTTTCGAACCGGAAGTCGGATCGAAATTTAATTTGCAGATTTGGATTCCTGACAAAATTCTACCCCTAATTCATAACTCATACGTTAAATTTGGAATTTTTTTATTTTGACCTACTTTTTGGACATGCCATAACTTCCGAACCGGAAGTCGGATCGAAATTTGGTTTGCAGATTCGGATTTCTGAGAAAATTCTACCTTTAATTCATATCTCATTCGTTGAATCTGGAGATTTTTTTATTTTGACCTACTTTTCGGACACCATATCTCAAAAGTGGGTCAAAATACTTTCTGACGGCAAAAGGCTAACACTATTAGCACACTCTTTGCTACCTGTATACAAAATTTTGAAGCAAATCATTAAAGTGTAATGTCAGAATCGCAAAAATAAGGAAAAATAATGAATTTGACCTAGATTTTGACCTAGGCATTTTGGTGTCCAAATTTTAAAGCTAGATAGCCTTCGAGGTCCCTTTCTTTTCTAGGCTTTCAGAATGTTAAGCTGTACTCAGTTTATATCTGGTATTTTACACTTGGAAAAAGTCATTTTTCCCATTGACTTAACATAGGCACCAAATTTAGCGATTTTTGAGCTTTCAAAACGCCATTACTTCCGAACCGGAAGTCCGATCTAAATTTGGTTTGCAGATTCGGATTCCTGAGATCATTTTACACTTATTCCATAAATTACATATTGAATTTGGAGAACTTTTTGTTCTGACCTACTTTCCGGACGCCATATCTCAAAATCGGTAAGAGTAATCAAAATTCTGATGTCATATCTTTGATTCGCCTTTTTCTAAGCTACATGATGAAAAAAAGATGAAGGAGTTACGATGAATATTGACGAAGATATGATGAAGAATGTTGAAAATGTAAGATTTGACCTAGTTCTTGACCTTTGACCTAGATAAAAATTTGACCTAATTTCCCAGAAAGCCAGAAACATTCCTTAGTTAACCATGTAAGTTGGTTTAAGTAAGATGTTATAGTTGGAGAGAAAATGTGTTAGGAGGAAGAAGAAAGAAAGAAAAAGAGGAATAACTAGATTTTGGAAATTGAACGAGTTCAATTTCAGACTCCAGATCTAGACTTTTTTTAGCCGAGTCATCCAGAATAAGCCAACTCATCCAAAATAAGCTAAGTCATCCAGAAAAAGATGAATGGATGGATGGATGAAAAAGGAAGGAAGGATAGGATAGAATAGGAAGGAACTATAGGATAGAATAGGAAAGAATGATATAATAGAATAGGAAGAAGGGATAGAATAGGAAGGATAGGAAGGAGAGGATACGAAGCAAGGGTAGATAGGAAGGATAGGATAGGATCAGAAAGGAAGGATGGATGCATTTTTCAATATTTTCTTCTCTACTCTTGACTTTCTATCAGGATACCATCAGATCGATTTTTCTTGAAATTTCAAAACGTCATAACTTCCGAACCGGAAGTCGGATCCAAATTTGATTTGCAGATTCGGATTCCTGACAAAATTCTACCCCTAATTCATAACTCATACGTTAAATTTGGCGAATTTTTATTTTGACCTACTTTTCGGACACGCCATAACTTCGGAACCGGAAGTCGAATTGAAATTTTTTTTGCAGATTCGGATTTCTGAGAAGATTCTATTCTTAATTCATAACTCAAACGTTAAATTTGGAGAACTTTTTATTTTGACCTACTTTTCGGACACCATATCTCAAAAGTGGGTCAAAATACTTTCTGACGGCAAAAGGCTAACACTATTAGCGTACTGTTGGCTACATGTATACAAAATTTCGAAGAATATAATTAATCTGTAGTGTCAGAATCGCAAAAATAAGGAAAAACTTTGAATTTGACCTAGATTTTGACCTAGGCATTTTGGTGTCCACATTTTGAAGCTAGCACTGCGTCAAATGTGAAATTCCAAGCAATTTCTAGACGTGCAAAGATAGTCTAGGAACTCTGCGTATCTAGAGATTCCAAGACGTGTCAAGAGGTGCAAAGACCTCGCGTGTAAAGAGCGTGTCAAGAGTTTTGATATCTCTTTGCACAGCCTTATCAAAACAAACAGTATAATTAGACCGGCCACATGTTGTCATGCCCTATAGTCGCGCTTAATTATACTTTACTAGGATTGGAATATAATAATCATTTTAATTTCGTGTTAATAATGATTTGTGTTTTTTAAATCATTA